TACATTTCGCCCTTATTTATTTTAAATTTAATGTTATAATCGAAAATTTATAAAAAAAATATAAAACTCAAATTACCCTTATCTTATTAGCTATTTTTGATCGCCTACTTTAAGGAAAAAATCTTCTGATATCTACTTAAATTCTTTAAAATAAAACTTTTCGACATACTTCATAAAATGACTGTGCTTATGGATACATCTAAAAGCTGTAAATTGTAACCAGATGAATAACAACAGAATGTATACAGGCACTGCATCCACGCAAAGAGGTAGAAGTGCCAAGAGCTACGATCAAAGCAAGAGATCATAAAAATTTAAGAATTATAATATTATTAAAAAAATGTAGGCTTTTGTTTCCTTCCTTATAACAATAGTAAAATAAAATCTATATATATTTTTTTTATATTTTGGATCCCGACGCGACGTTTCGAATGCTTTACAGCCATCATGGTCACGGGAGAGACTGATTAATATGTATCGATATATAATACGACCCGTACAAAATAATTATGAGAAGCTAACCCTGTTTATCAATGTATAGAAAAGTATTGAAGTTTATTTCATTAATTACATATAAGATAATTAAATACTCGTAGTTTAATGTTTTTGTTATTTTTGGTCTATCGCCTTTTTCATCTTCTTTAATTAGTTTATTGTTAATAGCAAAATAAACTTAACTATAAAAAATAAATAGGCAAAGGCAAAATAGTTCAGTACCTTTTTCTTCTTTGCTTGTCAATTAATTCTCTTTTTTTATTTAATAACTATTAACGAGTTGTAGTGTTACCAATAAACATACATTTCAAACAGTTAATTTTCATTATATAGATATGTAGTAAACAATTTTTCCTAAAATTTATAATAAAGATTATATTAGAATTTCAATTAAGAGAATATTGAATACAAGTCATAATTTACCAATTAATTAACTTTATCTTGCAGATATTAAGTAAATATCGTGTATGTTAAAATTACCTTTCAGAACAAGAACAAAGAATCAGTCATCTTATTACTAAGTGTTAAACATTTTAAGTGAAGCACCATTCGTTTTTTGTCTTCTCACAAAGTTAGTGTGAGAATAATACATATAAAATATTTAAATTAAATTTAATACCTAACATAGACTTTTAAATATCTCAGAAATTTTTAATCAAGTTGTTAGAATGTTGTTTATCTTATTTTTAAATAATTTACAAGTGAAATCATTTTAAAAACATACGAGTATTTAAGTGTAATTCATCACAACTGATCGAAACTGGCTTTGATAAAATTTATCGTAATCTTGTAATTCCTACGTCCGACGAGTGGCGCTTATCTGTTAATTATCAATTCGACTAAACTAACTTCTTACTCAGTCGACACTTTGAGCGAATTCCTTGTGTACTTTTGTGTGGTTTTGTTTTGGCTTTCAAACATGTTCCTAAGCAACTGACAATTAATATGGTAAGTGTTTGTTTATTTTAATTAATGTTATCAGATTATTTTAGATGTATATCGATAACGTGGCATTCTCCATATTTTAGTTAATTTAATGATTAATTTTATTATTATTTATTTTAATTATGGTGTGCTAATAAGCTGTCATTATCGTTTTTTTTTCATTATAATTCAATTTTTTATATATTATATGTATATTTTTTTGGCCATAAATATATATTGCAAATTCAATATTTATACATACACATGTTTTAAGAAAAATAAATTAACAAATATATAAGCTTTGATAATTAAAGAAGCCGACAAGAAAAGCACTGTTCTTACATTGAAGCTTTATTCGATACGAAAATGATATTTTTGTACCATAAATCATAGTTTAAAAATTATAAATGAATATAAAAATAACTATGAAACACGTAAATCGTGTACACATTTTCCATTACTTATTATAGTTCTTTAAGGAGTAAGCAAATTATGAATTGAATATCGTTAACATTCATTAAACTTGACAATCAAATAGTAATCAAAATTAAATAGTATTAAGTATTTATCGAAAACAGATACACGCATCACGATACTTTATAAGTAAATGGATTTTCGTCATTTACCTGTGAGATAATTAGACCACTATGACTCATGAAAAATGCCGTTGTTCAATTTATTTTATTTAGGTAATATTGATAGAAAAATATTTTGCTATTTAAATTCTCAGTTTTGTTTTTGCTATAATATGTTAAATTATATAGCTTAAATATAAGTACGATGAAATCGAAGTACTTTTTTTAATGTTTTATGTCAAATTTTAAATAAAAAATAACGTCAAAAATAAGTAAGTAAAACCATCTTTTACCTTTTAACTATCTGTTACATACATTTACAAATGAAAAAATGAAAAATATTAATTTCAATTGCTGTCATTTTGATCCACACAGTAAGAACTTACTACATCTAACTGAAACTTCATAACCAAAAATCCAAATGAATCCGCCAAAAAATCCGAAAAGATAGTTTTATTCAAAATGTCAAAAATTCGCGTAAATCTAAAAAAGTATTATAAGTAAAGTCAAAAAGTTTTTGTTCAGCGTAGAAGTTTACATTCTCTTACTAGAAGTCAAAAACTCTAAAAAAGACGTTTCTATCATAAGAAGAACTGGCATGAGAAATGAAAGGCAAAACTAGCACACGTCCGTGGCTTTGTTATTTATTTAACAAAAAATTCTTAATTATCGTAGCTTGATATTAGATAAAGAAGAAGCTAAAAAGTTCAAAAATCATTTATCAAATCCATTTGTTCTATAAATAAGCGAATTGAAATTAAAATTGATAACATCCTAGCACACAGACTTCTGGATGATAACTGTCCAAGATGTCTCAAAAGAAAAGCCATACTAGATCTAGCATTATAATTCTAGCCTGCCTAATAAAGGAGAATAGATCCTAATGAGGATCCACTCCATAAGACAGCAATCTCTCAACAAATTTGCTAATAGTCAAAAGACTGATCGCAAATCATACCAGGAAAAAAATATATATTGATATAGACAATAGAAGTAAAGGCAAATTCATTCATATTTCATAGCTTTACTTCAACATTATCCAAATTACATTACACTGTACAACGACGTGACTTTTGCCACAGAAGTAACTGTAAGTGATTATTATTCATAGAATCTTCAAAATCCAAGCAGTTGTGCCTTAACTTAAGCTGAACTATACTTTGAAGTAGCCAGATTTACGGAGTAGCGTTTGATTAATACCAACGGTTTAAGATACGTTCTTACTGCACCGCTCTTGAGCTGGCAGCTAGTAAACTAATCCGCTTTAAAAGCGGTAAAATTTACATCCTATACAAGGGTTAAATTTGTTGCTTAAGTTCTTTAAGCTTATCAAATTTTCAATCAATATAACATACTTAGGTCTGCTACTATATTTAGTTATAGGTATTTAATATAAAAATAAACATACCTAGTACTATTGTTTATGTTTTTAAAATATCTTTACCTTTACCATCTATTCGTTTGCAATAAAACCGTTTAGAGTTTCCCTGAAAAAAATCTTTCATTTTTTCATCGACATTTTATCAGAAGGATTTATTATTCCGAATATAATAAAAAATAGTAATTATATGTTTTATAGTTGGTTTCAGCAAACATTTTGATAATATTAGTCTAATACTGTAATAGACCTCCTCCTCCAGATTAATCTGGTGAATTGAAATCAATCAGAACGCCAGATTCCTTACATAAGGCACAAAGAAACGCTTTTGCAATTATAATATTCGTTAGGATCAATATATTGGATTTTCAAAGCTTAAACGACTTACTTACTTAGTTAATCTATAGTACTCGTACATTAATTATTGTTTGAAGCATTTTAGCAATATTTTTTTATTTTAGTAATTTTGAGGTGAATTTTAACGATCTGTGAATTTACTCTGAATAAAAAGATAGAGTTGCTTTGCATGGGCTGGCACCGATTTCGAAAATATTTGATTAGGTATGTATTTAATAGGTAGACTTTAATTATTTAGCCAAAGCACACCGACTTCGAAATTATTTGATTAGGTATGTATAGTAAATGAAAACTACCAATCAGTTATTTTTTACTTTTTAGTGCTTTTGTTTGAAGTCGTTTTTTATTATTTTGTTAAAAAGTTTTTATTTTTCCCTTTTTAGTGTAGACAGTAGTAGCAAAGTAAGAATTCTAACGTGTTAGGCTTGTCAAATCAAACAAAATAAGCTCAAACTCAAAGTATCTACTATTACTACTGTACTATCAACGGAAATAGAAACACTTGCAAAGTTTCAAGTCAATATGGCAATTAGAAGTAGGTTAAATTCATCATTAGCTATTTTTCCACCCTTAGCTGTGGTTTTTTTTTGAAATTTAAATGGGACCAATCTGGAAGTATACACTTTCAAACAACACAAATATTGTCCAAATCGGTTAATAAATGACGTCGGTTGAAAAAGCAAAGATATCTAAGATTAGTTTAAATCAATACTTAAGATGAACACCTTCGGGTCGCCCATTATAAGATAAAAACGAAAAATATAACAAAGAATAAAAAAAATGATTAATTTTTGACAATTTATAGTTCAAATTTTAATACCAATAATATTAAAAACAAGTATTACATAGAATTCATTTCATTCTTAAATAAAACAAAATGTTTGTAGCTTTTGGTTTGTAGATTTTTTACTTCTCTTATTACTACAAAAGACACTCACACTCAAAGAATCTTTTAATTATATGCGCATTCTTGCACATCTTATTATCTGTTAGATTAAAGTATTGTTTTAATATATAATTATTACAAGGACAGTCGTTCGTTCGTCGTTCTTTACTAAATTAAAAAAATCTATACCTACTTATAAAATTATATAAAATATTATTAGGATAAATCCAACAAAAAATTAAAGATTTACATAGCTTCCACCCTTTCCTTGCGGAATCCAAAAAAAAAACTGTGATCATACTAAGTTTTAATACTAACGGATTAGATAAAAAATTAAGTCTATCGGTATTTATATGTTTGCAAATTTCATTCATTACCCATCACCATGCAGTTGTTCCTCCTCATCGCTGGGTTAGCCCTAGTTAGTGCCAGAGGCATTTACGAGCCCATAAACACCAACTACCATGAGACCATCGGTATCCCTTTGGCTACTCGCATCAAACAAGCTGAAGCAGCAATTCTATAAAGCAATTCTTATATTTAATAAAATTCTGAGTCCAATCTGTACATTAAATATTTTTTGGAAAATCTTATTGAAATAGTCATTATTATCGATACAGAGGCTATATCTATAGTTTTTAGAATTTTTGTGTCTCTGTTTGTCTGTCTGTGGCCGCATCACGAGAAAACTACTAGATAGATTTTGATGAAATTTCGTATGATGCTATCAGGTTATCTAGGTCAACATATAGGATACTTTTTACTGCAGGAAAATATCTTATCTCTAAGAAATCTATAATAAACGTTAAGACGTAAAACGAACGAGGGTGACTAGCTAGTTATTTGTAAATGAACAATTCCTACAGTACTGGATTAATAAATTCATTTAAAATACACCCTATAAATAATCTGGTACTATTTTTACTACATTATTTATACTATTCTATAATACATTATTATAATATCCTTAAAATAAGTGAATAATGTAATTAAAAAAAATATTTCCTTTTAAAAAATATTATCAAAAAATATATTATCGATCACAAAAGTCAAATACAATATCTTAGGAGATAATTTAAACGCAAGGAATCACTTAATTTTTTAATTATCCGTCAGCAGGACGACGATACGTTGTCACGGACGACAGGCTCCGTAGTACTCCAGGTGGGAGCGTTGGAACTGTTGGCTCGATACTCTATGAACTCTGGTAGAGCTACCAGCGTTCTATCGTCACTGTACGAGTTCAGGACCCAGGAATTAGAACAGACCGGCGGAAACCAGTGGAATTGGAAGTACTTAAGGGTATTTAAAATAAATAACTTATAAATCAATATTAACATATACTCTTAAGATTTACCATTACTTGGATATGACTCAGTAATAAACCTCTAAAATAAAAAAATAAAAATATGGCAGTGTATTACAAAATTATTGTTTGATTTATCAACTAACATATTCCGTAGATCTTTAAAATGATTTTTGATAACTTGATTACTTTGAAATGTTATAGAAAATGTTAAACCCGCACGTGTAGTAGCAATTATATATAGCATATTTGACCATTTCGTTTATTACCATAAATTACTAAAGATCATAAGGCCGTAGGTTCTAATAGTTGACCGAGGAAAATCTCTACTCGAATCATAACCGATTCGTTGTTTTAGTGGCTAGCATTTACGGCTGCTCATGTACAAAGGTCCTAGGTTCGAATCTCGAATCGGGTAAAGTGTGGGTATTCGATTTTTTTGTCAACAAATTACTCTAAAATAGCCCAGAGTTGGGAAAATGGTAGTGTTTCACAATCATGTTCTAAAGAGCACGTAAAGCTGCCGGTGCTGCCCTTACCAGTTGTGTCTTAAGAGGTATACAGGTTGCACTTGTAATTGAGTGCACAGTTGTACCCAAAAATATCTTCTGCATACATGGCTAATCTCAATGAAATTAGCCGCCGTACCCGAAATCGTTTATGAGAACATTTCACATTACTAATATCTCCCACGTTGACGGCTATACTTAGAGCAACAACTGAAACTCGGTCAGGAGTATATTGTGTTATATGTAAACATAGAAATAAATAAAAAATCCGCTCTTTCTGAGTGATAATTTTAGACGCTACGAATTTTATTGCTATGATATTGTCCAAGCTCCACGGTGCATCAATTCACCGTATCAGTAGGTGCCATTTATGTTGAAAATGATTCGCATATTGGTAGCTGCTATTTATTATAGCTATTTTACATTGTTCTTGTATTTGCCATCAAGTTAAGTTCCTATTTTTCCTTTGATTCCAGGACCAGTTTTTCCAAAAGGATCTAGAAGGATTGTATCGAAAATATGATGACAAATTAAGAGAAACATTTATTTATATATACGTATCATTACTAGCATTTTTTTCAACCCTCCACATAGTTTTAGTAATTACAAGTACATATAATGAGGTAAGTTTATATTTTGCAAAATTCTTAAAAAATATTGTTCATTTATATATTTAAACTATATATTTTTAAGCTATATATTATTACAGATAAAACAAATTGTGTTTTTTTACATATTATTACAAGACCTTAACCAAATATTTCGTAACTAGATAATTATCCTATGAAAGGATCATCCGATCCTGAACAAATGTTTGTATTGGCTAAATAAAATATGTATAAATATGAGTTAAATGATACTTTTATCCTGATAAGATAACATCGATAAAACAAATATCCTAACAAAACGCTCTGTAAGGGGAAATCAATTTAAAATAAAGTGCATTATATCTATACGTATAATAAAATTCTGAATAAAATCTGTACATTAAATATTATTTGGAAAATCTTATTGAAATAGACATTATTATCGATACAGAGGCCGAATCTATAGTTTTCAGAATTTTTGTCTGTCTGTCCGTCTGTCTGTCTGTCTGTTACAGCATCACAGAAAAACTATTGGACGGGTTTTAATGAAATTTGGTATGGTCATAGCTGATTATCCGGGTCAACATATAGGATACTTTTTACCGCGGAAAAATATACTAATATGTACAACCTAAGAATTTGGTTTTTGGTCATCTGAACGCGGGCGGAGCCGCGGGCAGTGCCAGTTTATCTATATAATCTATTATGTACTACCGACTTACCCTCGCTTTGCTCGGGTGCACGGACTTTGTTCACAGTTTCATGGGTTTTAATTTTTTTGCGCGGAACCATAATTCTTTATCCAAAACAAAGGTATTCCTTATAACGTAAAATCGGTCCAGCTGTTTTGGAGATTAGCTGGAACAAACATACAGATAGAAAGATGAACAAAAATTTCAAAAATTGTTTTTTTTTTCTTATAAGTAGATCAAGACAATATATACTTTCATATACATAGTAAAAAGCTATTATTTTGACATTACAAACAAACATTTCAATTTTTTTATTCGTATAAATAATTTAGCTTTTTATATTATTTTTAATTTATATTAGATTAATCTTATTGGATATATTTAAAACATTACAGCAAATACAGTGGAAATCTACTTATTTATCTATGGGTATGTACGTATTGAGGATAGCAGTTCCGGCTGTCTCGTTCTGGAAGTGTCTGTACTCTCCGCTTAAGAAGAGGTTTTTTCTAATTCCCATTATTGTTACATTTGTACTTACTGCTGATCTTGTAATCTCAGGTAAATATTAAAATTATTTTATTTAATTAAGCTACTGCCCAGAAAATGTTTTCTTCTTGCGTATGTTTTTCTTTAATAGTCATGTATATCTGTTTTATTTCGCCCTCACTTCGCTCGTGTTCGCCTTTAGGAAAGCAATAACAAACATATCTCACGGAAACCGTACATTTTCCGAGATAAAAAGTATCTATGTGTTATTCCAGACTTTAATCTATCTCTGTGCCAAATTTCACCCAGATCCGTTCAGCCGTTCTGGCGTGAAAGAGTAACAAACATCCATACTCACCAACTTTCACATTTATAATATTAATAAGGTTAATAAATATATGAATATGTTGGGACATTAACATATATCACCATCTAGTTCCATGGTAAGCTACGTGACCTGTGTTATGGATACCAAATAGTTGATACACTACACATATATAACCTTAAATACAAACATATACATATTATAAATACCATACCCATGAATGAAGTACAAACATTCGTGCTCATCACACAAATTATTGCCCCCAACGGGTTTCGAACCCGCGACCGCTGGCACAGCAAGTAGGATCACTACAAACTGAGCCAAACGTGTTACCAAATATGTATGTACGTATGTACATTTATTTAATAGATTTTTTACTCATTTAGGTAAAATTTAGTTAACTTTAGGGACTTTCCCTAAATTAGAACATGATTGTCAGAAGTGAATTACAGAAAGCTTTTGACGTAGGTATAATCATTATTTTTACTAATCATAGACACTATATACTGTTGATAATCTAAACATAATATGATAATTTACGATAATATACAAAATAGTACATTTTATCTTTAATCCACAGGAGCTTATATTGCTTCTTTATTAATTTGATTTAAATATAAGAAAATACTTCACTACATGTCGGTTTGATCATCAGTTTTTATAAGTTTATATTGAACATATAAATATTTTTCTAGTTTGGTCACGACGAAAGGAAGAGTCGACTGCTTCTACCAAACCTATATTGTATTACATTCGAAGCGAGGAGTCATTATAATATCACTATCTTACTCGGCAAGAAAGAAAAACCAGCGATAATTCTAAAAAAATAAAATTGTAACAAACATTACAATTTATTCTATTATTTTCATTGAAGAAAAAATTGCAAGAAAAATTACACAATACGATCTTATCAATCGTTCCTTATCTATGTACTTTGAATGAGTATTATAAAAAGGTCTTCAAACTAATAATAAATCCCATCAAAAACATAAATGTGAAAATAGGAGCCAAGTTCACTATTAAGTATAAGCGTGGTTGTCAATTTCACCGACAAAAGAATTGAGATCTAAATGGGTGTCGAGTTCAGTAGATAATCCTGAAATTTTTTCATAGGAACATACACATTCTAAAATAAATTTAAAACACAATTTCGTGTTATTTTCTGCTACAAAAGTGTTTGCCATTTAAAAATAGAACTTCTTAAATTTTTAACAGTCGAATTATTTACACAGAGTTGATAACTTAGGATAATTCAAGTTCAAGATTTGACTTGGCTAGTTTAAGCTAACACGGTGCTGCGTCGCAAATTCCTTTGGCTTGAACTTGGCTGGACACGCTGCCGCGTGTCTTGACTAGGATTAATTTCTATGAAAAAAAATACGTATCATCACGCTATCTCGGATATTGCGACATTGTTTTTCCACAATGCTATTTTGTTTTTGTTTTTAACATCTGGGTTATTATTTATAAATCGATTATAGAAATAAGAATTTAGTATCAATTTTCATCATGTATTTACAACAAAGTGTAATATTATAACTTGAATAAATTTATCTTCAGTCATTTTATAAAAAAACTTTGTGTCGTTTGTCAACATTCACGAAATTTTAATTCCTTCCTTATAAAGAACTTGAATTTTTTGAAGTCACAAGCATGATGTTGTGCATGTATGTATGTACAAATAGATATTTGTTTCGGCAGTAGTGAAATGCACTATTATTTTACCTGAAACATTATGACAAATGTTGTAATAAATATTCATATTTGAAGTTTATGATACGGTCGAAATAAAAACGAAAGAATAATCCGTGCCTAAAATAAAAATTCCGATAATAATTTCTAATATACGTAGATCTAATTTTATTTCTGAAAAGTAATTTACAAATTAAATATACTTCATATTTAGAGTGAGGTGTATTTTTACTCCTTAGTCCTTGTGAATGAAAGCGTGATGCGGATATATATTGCCCTATTTACTAGTTTTTGCGTACGACTCAACTCATGTATTTATGTATAAAGGCTCAGCCTCTCAACGTCATAATGTGATGTAAGAAAGACTTTCTCCAATGAATAGCCTATAAAATGAAATCTTCAAATCTGACTGATAATTTCAGAGAACAGTGCCTATAAAAAATCTTTTTTTAAATATTAGTGTATACTGTATAACTATTTAATATCATATAAAATTCTTTGCAGATATAACCGTTCCCATATTCTCGTCGTACGAAGGCATGTCCTTGAGGCCAGCTTATTCAACGATGGCCCTTCTATCAGTGTATATATTCTTACCGATGAGGAATAATTACCTCGCAATATTCTTGGGAGTTATAGTGAGCGTTGTATATATCTTCGTGTTTGCTTTCTCTACCTATTTTGAGGACCCTAAGGTGGAGCTGGTGGTAAGGGTCAGATATCATTCCCTTTTTTTTTAATATTTTACATTTTTACTTTAATATTGCGAAATTATTTATTGTATTATTTTAAAGAAAATCGTTAATGGCAAGAACTAACTTACGATCAAGAAATAACTTAAGATTACCCCGTATCACACAGTTGACGACACGTTTGGCTCAATTTGTAGTAGTAAACCCTACTTGCTGTGCCAGCGGTCGCGGGTTCTAGTCCCGCTGGGGGCATTCATTGCGTGATAGCACGAATGTTTGTACTCCAGTCATGGGTGTTTATATTTATAATATGCGTATAAGTATTTAAAGTTATATGTATATGTATAGCGTATCAACTATCTGGTATCCATAACACAAGCCTCGTAGCTTACCATGGAGCTAGATAGTACTGTGTGTTAACATCCCAACATATTTATATTCATTTATTTATTTACTCATATATTTAATAAAATTACAATGGAGTAAAAATTGTACATGATATTTTTAAACGTCAGTTTAACTTGCTTTTTTGATGGTTTGATTGCAAAAGGATTTGTTGGTAAAACAATAAAGGTACAATTAAGATTTTTTTCAATCGGTTGAGAAGATAAAAATAAATATACTTATTGTAATTAGAAGTTTCTAAAGAACTATTTAATACAATGTCAAAGTGTAAGAGCCATTTTATTTTACACGAACGGTACTTCATATTGGTAGTAAAATTTCAAGTTAGAAAATTGAAACTAACTTTGACAAGCTTTAGTGAGGTTATTGAAAATAGTTGTAATTTAAGTTTGCTGTATGTTTGGCGTGATTTTTATTTTAATCTATTAATAAAAGAAAACGTGTGTGTACTTATATACGCACGTAAGAAGTTATACTTCTTTGGCGTAACAGGACAAAAATAGCTCAAGATTTCATCCCGTATGTCACAAGTCACAACTTTGTTTATAAAAGGAATGTAGCTAACTTCATCATGTCGCTTTTAACTAACTTAATCATGTCGCTTTTTGGCTGTCGGTGTGCGCGCGCATCGTATTTTATTTTACACTCAATTTTTTTCCAAACGTGCCAAAAGAAGTATAACTTCACTTATCAAAAATATCTTGTTTTGGATTTACATAACAAAGGATAGACAGCAAAATTCTTATATCGTAAAGAGTGTCCCAGTAGACGTCAAATTTTATTAATTAACATGTAATTAAGTACATTAATAGAGCTTAAGATATTATGATTTAAAATATGTAAGCCTCCATCAATCATCAACAAAACTCCAAAGATAAATAAACAGTAATAATCACTAATATTTTTATTAATAGCGCACAAAGTAAATATTGAAGGAATACAGAGCTCTCTGAAGAGTAAACATAATAATACTATAGTCTAACATGTATTTTACAATATAATATAATATAATATATATATATATATATATATATATATATATATATATATATATATATATATACTATATATAAAACATATACATGAAGTATTATGTAAGCAGAAAATTTTAATATAAAATACAAACTATTGGTATAAGAATATTATGAAATTATATATTTTCATATACAAAAAATTAAGTTTTACCTTAACGGTACACGTTATTTATTTAGTTACGGTAAAATCAATTATTTATTATAATCAAGAAATCTAATAGGTGCTTATTTAACGATACAATAATTTAATAGTTGATATTTCTTATTGCAGGTTGCATGCGAGGTTATCTTCTTAATTGGTGTCAACCTTATGGGCATTTATTTTAGACTGATGAACGAGATAGTCACGCGACGATCGTTTTTAGACAGGCGGGCGTGCGTTGAGAGTACTTTGCGTCTGAAATTTGTTAAAGATCAAGAGGTAAACAAGAGGAAAACGTATTATAATTTTACTAAATATATTCATGATACAGCTCTCATCCCATCAATAAACTCATATTTTGATTATATATTAAGAAAACATATAACTGGGTATCTATAAGCATTGTTATATGTAAAAATCTACATATACTATGTAATATACTATTCTTCCTAATAAGTATTTTCTTTTATTCTTCCTAACTGAAATATAATATAATCTTTGAAATTGAATAAATAATATCGAGTAAAATATTTTTCAGGAACGTCTTATGTTAAGTATTTTGCCTGAACATATCGTATCAAGAGTGCGCCATGATATCCGAAATATGTTCTTGGATATTCGGTCACAAAGCCACAGCCATAATATGAAATCTTTTAGGTAATCTCAGTTCTCATTCTATAATATAGTTACTGATACATTACACTATTTGCTTCAAGATAATTATTTCAAATAAACTTATGATTATTTTAAGAAAAATAATATTTGTTAGTGAAAAACAAATGGAATGTTCCCAGGCATTTTTGTTTGACAAAACATTTTTTTTATGTTACATGAAACCCTAGAAACATTAATAATTCTTTTTGAATTGGTTTAAATGTCAAGAAAAAATCATTAATTTTAAATTAAATTTTATAATTTAAATTTTAATCATTAAATTAACATTTAAAATTAAATTGGTAAAATATATAGTTTTTGTCTTTTTAATTAAATGTTATCTTAAGACAATTAAAATTTAAGGAATAAACTATACTATCGATGGTATTTTTTCAGCCAATTATATGTTGAAGAACATGACAATGTTAGCATTTTATATGCGGATGTAGTTAATTATACAAAAATATCAACTACCTTGTCACCGATGCGAATGGTAGAGCTACTAAATGAACTGTTTGGGAGGTTTGACGAGGCTTCTGAAGTAAGGATATACATATTATATAATAGAATTTATTTATTACACACTTAGATATTTTTAATATAAGAGGGAAATTTCGATAGTTAGCTTATATGATGCATTTAACATAACTTTTATTTTTTTAATTTTCTAATTTACTCTCCAAAACATACATAGATATATCATACCTTCCCAACAAATATACTTTGACCGAAAAGACAGCCAGAGACACACTGTCGAATAAATGTAATTATCTTATTTTACAAAAGTGTGTTGTAAAATACAAAGTGTAAACAAGCTCTATAACCACCGACAGTAAGTTGATTCATATTTTATTCCATCTAGTTATAATATGAAATAATATTTCTTTCTAGCAAAACCTTAGGTATATTTTTATTACTTAGGTTGTTTTACTAACTCTCAAGTCACAGGATCACTATATTATAAAAGTCTACAAAGCTAGGCTTACATACATATAAATGTTTAATATGGTTTTATGTTGTATATAACATCTTCAATATATAAATTAATGTACAACAGTGTAATAATAATTTACTTTTATATATTTATTATTAACATTTTATTACATCCATTTAAATAAAAACGTTTTTTCTAGGAACATGACGTTTTACGCATAAAATTTTTGGGCGATTGCTATTATTGTGTGAGTGGTGTTCCGAAACCGACTGCCCAGCACGCTAAGAATTGCGTCGACCTTGGACTTGAAATGATCCACATCATTAAAGATGTTAGGTGAGATAATAAAATTTCATATCTTTTTAATGGCTTTTTTTTCTGACTGTACCTTACTTACTTGATTTAGGTACTTTTAAATTAAATTAGAGATAGTATGTCACGTAATAATGATTGCTGTAAAACATTCCAAATGTTGAGAACCAAAAACCTAAACCAAATCCGATAGTTTTATACCTAAAACAAAGTTGTGACACAATGAAATATACCACCATTCATGACTATGAATATGAAAAAAGTCGCTTCGGTGTATTTAATTAATAGTCTTTTTATTATATGAAAACAAAATGTGCTAATAAAAATATAAAATTTTAAATAGGTATTTTTCTACGTGATACATTTCTAACAAAACGCAATTAGTTATTTTTTATTATAATATTAATAAACTTACCTAGATTATTTATGTTTTAAAAAGCACGAGGTGCTTTGTATTACTAACCCTACTTTTAGATATCGTACCAATGGAATATATTTTATGACGACTAATATCGAGCGTGATATCATTAAAGCGTGTTTTTTAGTTTTTTAAACTGTAATTTTTTTCTATTTTTTAATTTGATCTGCTATAAACGCGTGATATTTTAGTTTTTAAAGTATTATTTTTTCATAAATTATTGTACTGCCATCATTTCTTGTTTGTTGTTTTGTGTTGAAGTAGATGCAAATCGCGTTCAAAGATTCAGGTGAAGCTAATAAAAGCGTGTCAAAAAAGGTGCACACTGAATTCAAAGTCACCCAAAATAAAACAAATCATTGAATATTATATAATAATAATATTCATTCATTCCATCTTTTACTATGTTTTTTTTTAATTTATAATATGAGAAATAACCTATTCTTAAAAAAATACAAAATTCGAGTCTCAATTTGAGGTAACACCCTATAACATACACACAAAACAAAACAAATAACTGAAATGAAAACATCTTCGTTTTTAAAACAAAAATTATGATGAGTGTAATTTTTAGTTAATTAATGTTTATTACGAAGCTATGTATATTTAATGTAAAAACGTGTAATAAGCATGTTACATGAATATTACACTTTACGTGGTACACAATAATCTGTTTGGCGACCAGCCAAGTCAGCTACTCAAACTAAGTCTTGAGCTTAGCGAATATCTTCTTCAGACCTAAATATGTAATATATTAAACTTATGCATAACTCCCATCTAAATATATATAATATCCTAAATCTATAACATGTTAGTTATATGACAATAAACATTATAATAGGTACACAATTCATTTCTTCAATCGCCATTTTTGCAAAATTTAATTCGCCGAATATTATTTATTTTTATATTTCTTTAATTATGTCGTGTTTGAAGAACATCAAACCAACTCTACATACTCTCTGAAGAAAGAAAATAATTTTGATTAATAAAATCATTATAAACACACAGGTAAATTGCACTAGCAATTAACATTACCATAAACGCAGACACCTAACTATTTTATATATAGAATATCATAAAATCGATAGATAAAAAATCGTTAAATTCTTTACAAGAAGCATATTAGAGCTAAGTAAATATCTATTGCGTTTAGTTTAACATGAGTTTAACGCGAACACTAAAAATAATATATGATTTCAGAGAAAAGCGCTCGTTGAATATTGATATGAGAATTGGTGTGCACTCAGGGAAAATTCTAAGCGGTTTGATCGGCATTCGGAAATGGCAATTCGATATCTGGTCGAAGGATGTCACTATTGCAAATAAAATGGAATCTACTGGCAAAGCAGGGTAAGATTTAAAAACCATGTGAATCCACTCCACGTATTATTTTAACAAGCAGACATACAGACAAACAGACAAAAATTTCAATTACTATTATTTTGGGGTCTATATTATGTACACAATACATGATAGTCATTGTATTTAATAAACATTGCATATACAGATTTGGTTACAATTTTATTATATGTATAGATATCACGACAAAAAAGTATAAATTAAAGTCATCCGCCGCGCTAAATTTGTTTTTGTGCGGGAACTCGGAAACTACTGAACAGATTTTCATACAGTTTTCACCAATAGGGATTATCTAGGTAGATTATAGGATATGTTTAAATTTTTTGAAAATCGTATGATATTTTAATCAAGTCTTAAAAAATCGCCACGTTAGACACAAAATAACTAATTTATAAAAAGTTTTCAAGAATATTTTCCTAACTAAATTGTGATACTGTAAGCAGGGAATACTATATCAACTGTGTACCACATACGATCTCATAACTGTTTTGGTCCACAATATATCCTGGCGCACATGCACAAAGACTGAATTGCTTGTCATTAAAACAATAGTTCTGCAGTTTCATGCAGACAGACCGACGTGGGACAGAGAGATTGATTATCTGCACGCAACAAAACGTTGAACGTTGGAACTTGATTTGTTGGAAGGCTGCAGTGTAATTGAATAAATGAATCTGGTGCAATTTAGAATATACATGTATTGCGACTCTCTACTTTTTTATTACATTTGCAAAAAAATACCAGATTCATAGCTGAAAAAGTAAATTTGAAATCGAATATAATCTATTGGGTGTACACACAATATGTAGTGCACAATATAAGAGATAAAATAAAAAAAAAATCATATAAATGTCAATAACACTTTACTTGTAAATACTATGAACTAAATCACAAAATAGCACGTTATATAAATAAAATGTTTGTTTCAGAAAAGTACACGTAACAAAGCAAACGCTAGAACTGCTTTTGAATTATGCACGAGAATATATTATTGAGCCGAACTTTGCGTCTCAAAGCGACCCGTTTATAATGAAGAATAAGCTGGAAACATTTCTACTCTCGAGACCACCGAAGGTAAATTCGAAATATCTACTATTATTTTAATAGCATCCACCAAATTTAACGTGGGTTCTAACTATCGTTAAAAGTAATAGCCAACGATATTTAAATTTTCAATTTGTTTTTAGCCTCCAGCGGATTACAAACCATTTCGAAGAGCTTCTGTTGGCTTCAACAAAATAATCACCTCTCGCTCGCGTGGTAGAGTAAGTAACTATTGTGTTAGCTTTTTTATATAAAATACTATACTTTTAATTTATGTATTCAATTTGCTGGTCAAAATATAATCATAATACGCTTGATTAATTTTTCCTTTCAATTTTTCTTCAATGAATGTCTTATTATAATAAAACACAAACAAAAGAAAAGTAGTTATAGTATCAAAAGTATTGACTTACAACTGCTCGATGCAATTTATTATATTATATGTATTTTTAGTAGCGATCGGAAAATACAAGATCATCAACCTTTCGAGGAACGACTGCCTTTATGGATGAAAATTTAGTTGAATACCAACAAATGCTTAAAGCAGCAGATGCTCAAATGGCTAAGGAAATTGAAGACATGACTAATGGAAAGTACGCATTTAAAATATATATATCGTTAAAAAAACTAGTTTATCACTGTACAAGCTGTTTTTTAGGTCTAGAAATTACGATTAAAAGTTTAGAATAGAGTAGAATATTTCTATTTTACAATTAAAATCTATACATATAATAAAATTCTAACTAAGCCGAATCTGTACATACATTTTTTTTTTTGGAAAATCTGATTGAAATAGACATTATTATCGATACAGAGGCCGAATCTATACTTTTTAGAATTTTTGTCTGTCCGTCTATTACCGCATCACGGAAAACCCACTGAAGGGATTTTGATGAAATTTGGTATGCTGTTTATCCGAGTCAACATATAGAATACTTTTTACCGTGGGAAAATGTCTCATTTCTGAGAAAAAATACAAAAACTGCAATGTAAGAGTATACTAATATGTAAAATCAAAGAAGTTTTTGGTCATCTGAACGCGGGCGGAGCCGCGGGCAATGCTAGTAGCTTATAAAGCTCTCTATAGTATGAAAAAAAAATGTTACACAAATGTTCTTAATTACGATGTAAATTCATGACGGCAAATACAACTAATCCAATAAGCCTTAAAATAGTCTCATTTTCTGAATATTATACACAATAATTGGAAAATTAGACAATATAAAGCTATTTCATACATTTTCTAGGGAGCACTTGAAACATGAGTCTAGACTAAATAGGTTTTCACTGATGTACAAAAACCTAAAGCTAGAAAAATCATTTCTTCAGCAACCGGATCCTTTATTCAAATATTACATAACCTGCTGTTTGATTATACTGATTTTGATAATGATGATTAACGGATTGACTACCAGCTGGTAAGGTGTTATATTTAAGTGCTATATATTTCATTAAATAATTTTTAATAATTCATATCGCAAAGATACATAATCAGACTACTGTTATAAATACGTGGATGTATATGAGTGTGTGCGTGCGTGTGTGTGTGTGTGTGTGTGTGTGGGCGTGCGTATGTGCGTGTGTGTGTGTGTGTCTGTATGTATATATGCCTGTGTGTGTGTATGCTAATTACTCATACAAGCTGGAACAAACGGCGGGACAGATTTGGAACAAACTTAGCACAATCTTGTGTATCTATGTGTTTATATATCAATAGTTTAACATTATGAAAGGTTGGTTTTCAGTTAGTTATTTTGTTACGCATTCCGCTTTTTATATTTTGCAAATTTTTCTTAAATTGAAAATTATGGATTCTATAAGCAGATCGGACTGAATACAATTTCGTAGAATATGAAACTTTATTATTCTCTACGAGTACAATATTCAAAGTAGTATAAAAGTAGTGATTGTAATATATTATTATTAGTAGTAGTCTTCAACTTAGCCTTTTATATTGACATCATACGAATATTACAAATGAGAAACTTTGCGGGTAAGTGGGTTTGTGTACTTCTTCACTAAAGGTCGAAGGATTTTAGTGAAATTCTGACTTAAAAATAGCTCATTTCCTTTTCGATAAATGCAACAACAAGTAATAATAACTATTGAGAGAATTTCCTGCAATCGATGTTTTAAGTGTCACGTATTTGTATGAGAAACCAATTAACTTGTTGTAATAAACTTGACAAACTAAAAGAGAAAGGGTGAAAAGCTTCTTATTTTATTTTCCTTATTCTTAAGTGCCACCACTTCTCCTTAATTGCCCAATACTTCAAATTCTAAATCCAGCCCTGATTATTATCTAATAATTATTATTATTGATAGAAACATGTTAAAGTAAAAATTATAATTCGATTATAATCTTTTAAAATTGATACAAAAATAGCTTATTATGTTATTTTTCAGGCTCCATAACTTTAAATGGTATTCCCGTGTTTTACTAAGCATACTGGTAATATTATTAGTAATATTACAACCTTTAACTTGGTTTCAATTTGCATGGACTAAATACAAAGGTATTGATGAGCCAAAAAACAAATTTCTGCGATACATCCATGATTTGTCGCTAACAATTATAAAATCGGCGAAGATTAGAACAGCTGTGTATTTGCTGATTAGTTTGGCGCTTGCCGCAACTTCTATGGTGAATGTCATAGCGTGTGTGGAGGTCGAAGTGGATCCGTCGGTTCAGTTTGTTCTGTCAAACTGCATGTCTTCATGGGTAATCATTTTTATTTATTACATAGAAATATTTTATTTATGACTCTTTTGATCATACCAAAATTGCTTACTATCCACTAGACCACTATACTTAGATAAATTATGCAATATCACTATAACAAATAAATACTTCATAAGTACAAGAAGTTAAAAGGCAGTGGTAGCCCAGTGGTAACGCGCTCGCTTGGGAAACCGAGGGAACGTTTGGCACGGTTATATGGCGCATGTATTGTCAGTGATCATGAAAGTTTAAAAACTTGAATATTTATTACATTCTCACATTTACATAAAAAAATTTTATACTATTTCAGCATGTGACACAATGTTGGAGTTTGGCCCTGCTTTTAAACTTTCTATTCAGCAGGGTTTTTTTTATTTTCAAATGGATAGTTGCTGGAGGTATGACTATCTTTTACTTGTGGGTAGTTTGGGAAATTAAAACATCTTTTTTTTCTACTGACCTTACTTGGAATGTGGGATTAGATCCTAGAGTCTCTCATACTCTTTCAGTAATATTCATTACTGTTACGCTTTATTGGATTGATAGAACTACTGAATACAGAAATCGTCTAGATTATTTATGGCAAATACAGTTAAGTGAAGAACAGGATGAAGCTGAGACTATGTTAAAAGTTAACACCATGCTGTTGGAAAATATTTTACCCGCACACGTTGGTAAGTGAAAATGTCAATAATAACTCTAACATTGCACTCTAAACGAGAGCATTTGCTTTCATAAACTTAATTCTCAAGATTACATTTTTAATAAATAAACAATACATAATATTATAGTAAATCTTAATATTTTTTTATTATTGGTATGTTAAAATTATTCTATTTTATTCTATCCTGGTCGTCCCAGAAATAACAGATTTTTTTGAGTTTTTATTTTATACCATTTTTTTATCCAGCTCGTGAACGTAACGCTACGTAACGTAAACCGCTTAAAACACTCCTAAACTAAACGGCTTGATGGTTTTCATACAAAATATGTATGTCATTAAGCTTGTCTTTTTGACATAAACTACAAAAAAGTGCGTTTAACGTTACGAAAGTAATGTTTTCACTTATTTCGTTACGTAGTGAGCTTTTTATATTTTGGTAATGTTTCTTTAATAATAAGTAGCTTTAAATAAAATATATTTATTTGCAGTGCAAGTATACTTGGATCTGAATAGGTCTCTAGATGAGTTATATTATGAGAAGTATGATAACGTGGCAGTTATGTTTGCGTCCCTAACAGATTATAAATTGGGCCTAGAAAATGATGAAGACTTAAGTGATAAATTTGTTTTAAGTATTTTAGATGAAGTCATATCCGACTTTGATAGAGTAAGTTATATCATTTTTAGACATTATTTTTTAAATCTTGTCTTATAATATTAAATGAGCATATCATCTTGTATCCACAATCTATATCTAAATAAAATTGAACTGTCTGTTTGTAATGTCAACGTAACAGCTTTTTAGTAAATGTATTTGGAATTATGTACGGTATTTATAAGAAAAACATAATTTTTACAAATTTTGTCTGTCTGTCTGTTTGTTCCGGCTAAGCTCCGAAACGGGTGGGCTGATTTTGACGGGGCTTTCACAGTCAGGTAGTTGATGTTATAAGGAGTAACTTAGGCTACTTTTATCTTTTCTAAAAAAATGCAATTTTATATATTTACCGAAAAAACACGACTTTACAAAAAAACGCCGGGCAGAGCTTGGTCGCCCAGGTACTTATATTGGTTAAGTCTAAAGTAATATTTCCTAAACTAATGCATTATTTCAATGTACCAAGCACTGTTACAAGCAATATACAAATTAACAATAAATTATATTGACAATCGCCTGGCGGATTTATCTGAGAATTTGTTTCTATGCTAGAGGTCATCACGTTCGGGACAAATATTTACATTTGTTTAAATTCTATGAATGTCTCACAGACCCAGACACGGGACAAATTAGAATAAACTTTTTACTCGTAGTGTAATGTTAATTGTATTTATTTGTACATTTCAGCTTTTACTGACTGGAAGTTCAGTTCACAAAGTTGAGAAAATCAAAATGGCAGGCTGGACATATATGGCGGCCTGTGGATTGGACCCCAATAGGCGTGATTCCTTTGACTCTTCCTCCTATACTTCATTAGTAGACAAAAACAAAAATACACCATACAATCGAGCAATCGTACTTACTATGGTTGAATTTGCCGCAGCAATGATGATGCAATTGCAAAATTTCAACCGCGGCTCATTTCAAAGTTTTGAAGGATTAAGCCTACGGATTGGTACGATTATTCATAAAATACTGTAATTATAGTTTTCTCTCGTATGGTACCTACCTCTTTATTTGAAGAAAACTTCTTTTGTCTGTTTATATAATCTTATATCTTTAATCGAGCAATTCTTGTGTGCAATGTATATATATAATATATATATATATATATATATATATATATATATATATATATATATATATATATATATATATATATATATAATCTGAATCTCGGAAACGGCTCCAACGATTTTCATGAAATTTAGCACATAGGAGGTTTGGGGGGCGATAAAACGATTTAGATTAGTCTTATGTCTGAGAAAATGCGTGTTTTCGAATGTTCATGCGGTTTTCTTTCGCATTATTCCACGCAAAATATGGTCGATAATTTTGCACGCTCGAGCATATGCATCATGGTCAAGCGGCCAAGGCACAAGTTTGACAATCATAAGTGTCCGGGTTCGAATCCTGGTCGGATACCAGTTATAATTTTTTTTTGTATTAATTCTAGTTTTTAGTTTTTTTTTAAAGAAAATTGTACTTCAGACCAAAAACTCCGAGCGAAGCTCGGTGGCTCAGGTGCTAATATCTTATCTAAATAACAAGTAAAAAGAAGAAAATTATTATATAAGTATAGAATAAAAGGTTAAAGTTATAAAGTCTTTTGATACATAGTATTTATTTATTCAGGTATATCTAACGGGGAAGTTGCTGCAGGTGTGGTCGGTTCGCTTAAGCCTCTCTATGATATATGGGGTAACGCTGTTAATATGGCGTCTCGTATGGACTCTACGGGAGAAACCGGCAGAATACAAGTAAGTTTATTACTTAACATAAAATTATGACATTCAATATTTTTGCAAATACACAATTATTTTTTATTTATTTTTTTACTAATAAAGGCAATAAGTAAGTATTACTACGGGGTTTCATCACGAACAAAGACAAATTAGTTCAAATAAATGTCAATAGTGTTACATGTATCGATTTGTTATTAAAGTTGTGTTAAATTAACAAAAGATAAAAAATAGATCCCAAAAAGATGTATTACTGTTTTAGCAATATTCTAAGTGAAGGGAAACGAAATAATGCGCTCGCAAATCATTTTTTTTCTTTTGTTGCTTTAGTTAACTAATTACAATAGTGTCTTTAAATTTTTTTTATTACTTATAATGCTGTTAATTTTTAATTTTTAAATGCTCCGTGTAACTATTTATGCTTGTCGTGTTTACCTATAAGTATGATAACAGTTAGATTTAGACATCTTTTGTACAATTGTGTATAAATAAATTTGCGTAATTACTGCTTATAATTTACTGCTTATTACTGCTGAAATATCAGCAATCAAAAGGGCTTGTAAAGTATATTTACAGCTGGCGTTTTTATTTTTTATGAACTGTTTATCACGATTAAAAATTGTTAAAATCACAAATTTTTTTATTTGAATACAGGATGAATTTTAAAATATTAATCTTTCCTTAGTTTGCACATATTTATAAAACAGTTTAACTATTTCCGAATCAACGACATCTATTATCTATTCAAGCAAACAAAAATAGCCCGAAGAATAGTCCGAACTAGCGCTGTCCTGTATTTATATGTAATATATTATTTTTGTAAGGGATGAGGCATCTGTACACTAGTACAATTTTGCAATATAGTATTATGTGATCTGTGGTATTACAGTAATTGTTACACATAATTATACGAACAAAAGAAATTTTGTTCCACTAAATGTCAAAAGATGGCGTTATTTTAATTCGCCTTTATCCGCTTGCATCGCCATCTAGCACCTACTGTAGTCAAACAAATAGTCCGAAATGTAACCAGAATTAGGTGGGTTTTTTAGTAGGAGATGAGGTATTAATTTTATTATTTTACTAGAATGATATTATGCTAGAATATTATTAAGATTATCATATAAATTGTGTTAAAGTTTATTTTCTTCTTTTAGAGCATTTAAATAAAAGCTTGTTTTAAAAATGTTTTTTTTTTTAATTTTTAAGTTATTTCATTGCTAAGTTACATTATTGTTCCTTGAACTTCCAATATGTTGATAGACTAATATCATCTGTTATGACTGTGTTTCGCGTTTAATATCGAAACCGACTTTTTTATTTTATTTTTAATCATTTAACATACGTATTTATTTGTCGTCTTACCAACTTGTATGTATGTCTGTGTATGTCTCTTACAAATAATTACTGAATAGTTAATAAATATATAAATTATAAATAATAATATAAAGAATAACTAATTATTATCGGAACCCATAATATTATTTTAATATTATTTTTTAACTTTCATATTGTTAAGAAGTTATCAACTAGCTCTCTAAAATGTATGAACTATTTGCAAATAATTATGTTAGTGTTTTACCTGGATAGTTTTGTGATGCTTTGAACTACTGCTGTTTTTATACATATTAATGTGCCAGTATAGAATTTAACTTTGTATTGTATTGTTGATATACGTTATTATCCATTAATGCAGAGGGCATTGGTAAAATAACACTTCAGAAAGAAACATATTGATATTTTAAATAAACTAAGAAAGTATTAAATATATTAATGTTTAATTTTACGATACACGTAGTAATTAAAGAAATGATAAATTATTTACAGAAAAGTTGCTTTAATTTTAGTAATAACCACGTATTTATAGAGTAAATAATTTTGATATATATGCGAAATTGACTTCAAAACTGGGGAGAGAAAATAAATAATCTTTTTAGCACCAATTTTTAACATGAATTTTCTCATTAACTGATTTTTTTAAAGGTTATCCATCCTTCAACCTCTAAATACTAAAACAGAATTATTGTCCCTAGAAATATTTTAACAATTTTATCTTTGTTCAGGTAACAGAAAACACAGCAATAATTTTAGATGAATGTGGAATTCTTACGACTTATCGAGGAGAAACTTTCGTAAAAGGCAGAGGGTATATAAAAACTTATTTTGTACCACTGGATGAACATTTTAATTTAGTTAAAAAACAACATTCTTTTGAATACTATAATTCTGACAAAATAGGACGCCAATTTAGACCTTCTAAAATTACTTTGACTTCGGACGAAACGGAAACAATTGAGACAGTATCAGAAAACTCCACGAATGATATAAAACTTTCAGCTGATGAAGATGACATTGAGGTTGATATAGATGAAGTAAATTCTAATAGCTTTAACTTTAAGTTTAGCTCTGATTTAAGCCATAGAAGAGAGCCTATACCACTTGGGGATGAAACAAGTTATTCTTTCACAGAGCCTGATATTATAGAAACTCGTTGTTAATAAGGTTAATGATTCTTTCTTAGATTTACGCGAATGTTTGACATTTTTAAATAAAACTGTCTTTTCGGATTATTTCGCGGATTTATTTTGATTTTTGGTTCCCGACGTTTCGAATGCTTTACAGCAAACGTCGGGAACCAAAAACCAAAATAGATCCGCGAAATAATCCGAAAAGATAGTTTTATTTAAAAAGGTTAATGATTGTTGATAAAATTGTGATTGTCTTATTCGAATGTTTAATTTTAAGTAGGTATTTTTAGACAAAATGAAGTAAGATATGTATTGTTTTAATTATGTACAATTTTATGTTTGAATTTTGTTTAAAAAAGTTTATTGTACTTCAATTATATTTGAATGGACAGACAGACAGTACAGATAAAATGCATATTTTTTTTGGTGTTATTTATGAAAATGTATTGTTAGTAAATACAGGTTGTATTAAGTTACCGCTACTTATAGAAATGGTCACGTATCTGTCCATCATAGAGTATATTGCTACATATATAAACTGTCCATCTGACATAGTCCAGTCGGTCCGATGATATTAAAAGTAAAAAATAACATTTGATAATGCACACACAAAAGTATTTATATTCGTAGAATCAATAAGTGAAATCGATGAAATCTGATACTATAAGCTAATTTTGGAGATCAATATAGAAATTAAAAAGGTCCATCAAGTTCACCGTATGAAATAAATATACAACATGTATATTTAAGAAAAAAGTAACAACAACAAGATTTTAACTGTTATAATATACGGAACTTACTTTTACGTAGGTTCCGTATATTAAAAAACAAGTACTATGATGGAAATGTATGATTCACAGCATTAATAATGGTTTCTTTTTTATTACAATTAGTTGATTAATTAATTATTATTAACAATACTGATATTTAAAAATTTTGGCTTTGTTTTTTTTTTTGGTTAGTGTTTTCTGTGTATTATATTATTTTATTAAAATATTTGAATTAATATAAAAAATAAATATTTATCTGTATTTTATTTTCATAGTAAATTGTTAAATTATTATCATAATCAAACAGTATGCATCTATTCCGTTGAGTTTTCCTTTCGATTTTCCTCTCAATACTTTTGCCGAACAAACAGATTGACAATAAATATTCTTATTTTTAATATTTATGGAAATAACTATAGCACATGACTCTAACAAGTAAAGTATATCCTAGACACAGCAATTTATTTATAAATAGTAAATTATATAAGAACGGTTTAATAAAGTATAATAGATTAATTTATTTAAATACATTGTAATGTGTACAAATTTAACTTAACAAAATAACAGTTTATAATTAAAACAACAGACAACCCGTAGGTCTTTCGCTATGACCTCATTTTTTTTAGAAGTGAATAAAATTTTACAATTCAAAGTTTATACATAGTTTTGATTAGAAACCTAATCTTTAATTCCTTCTTTCGTTATATTTTATTGAATTGTGATATTATATTTTTGAGTATTAATATTAAATTTACATGGACATCTTTTCATTTAAAGGTTCCACGCTTTACATGTTTCTATAACTCTCTACTCTTACTCAAAAGGATATATTGCATTTTAAATAAAACTATCTTTTCGGATTTTGTCGCGGATTTATTTGCATTTTTGTTTCCCGACGTTTCGAATGCTTTACAGCATCCATGGTCACGGGAGAGACTGAGGTGTTACATGTCTTGGAGGTATAGTTGTTACAGACAGCCTACCCACAATTAACATTATTATATATATAGTATTATAAGAAAGTATTATAGGATATATTGCCATATAATATTGTATTCAGCCATTTTTAACGTCCCACTGCTAGGCACGGGCCTCCCTTCAATACGAGGGGGATCAGGCCATAGTCCACCACGCTGGCCAAGTCCGGGTTGGCGGACTTCACATGTCTTTCGAAAACTTGCTAGATTTTCCCAGACATGCAGATTTCCTGACTATGTTTTGTTTCACATAAGGCGAGTGGTAATCTTGTTAGAAATGATTCGCACATGAAACTGATAATTTCAGGTGCGAGACCCGGAATTTAAACCTGCTTCACTCAGTTTCCCATATATTATTATGGTAATTAAAAAGCAAAAAATTAATTAAAAAGAATATACCATAAAGGCCTCAAAAAACCTGTAAATAACTATTTATAATTAAAGAAAATTGAAGGTAAATATGAAGTGAAATTGAGAATGGAAATGGCTCATATCAAGCATACTCGTAAGTATGAGCGTCGCGGACAAAAACTAGTTACTAAGTACATATATAAACCATGCAGATAGATGCACGATCAAATGATATCTATATATATAAAAGAAAGTCGTGTTAGTTACTTCGCTTATAACTCAAGAACGGCTGAACCGATTTAGCTGAAAATTGGCAGGGAGGTAGTTTAGAGCCAGGAGAAGGACATAGGATACTTTTTATCCCGTTCGACCGCGTTCCAATTTTTATGATATTTTAATTTTTGGATTTCTCTTAGTCCGGAATAGGTAAGTATTAAAACATATAATTAAAATGTGAGAAAGAAAGATTTTTTCTTTTTATATCTATTTAAAACGTACCTAGCGACGAACCCGAGCGAAGCGAGGGTGAGCCGCTAGTTTAAGATAAAACAACATTTATGATTAAGTTGAAGTTTATGGACGTCAACTATTTGATATTTAATAAAAACCAAAAACTATAAAAATATACAAAGTTGTGATAAATATAAAATCCGAGAGAACACGATTCTGTAGATAAAATGTTAGCAAAAAAATTGTACTTTTTCCATTTTTATATCGATATTGAAATTAAAATTGCAAACATTAAAATTATTTACTGTCTATATGGTAACATTTTGTCAGTTGTAACTGCCAGACAAAATTTACCGTCTTACTTTACCTCGTGTTATCATACAAGGGTATATCAAAGCGAATCCGGTAGGTTTTTATTAATAGATATTTGTTTACTTCTACAAAAATACAATATATAAATAATTAATATTTATAACTTGTTTATTACAAGTTCTTCGTCATTAGAATCTTTCTCTAAATCACTCACAAGTGTTTATAATAAAATATATAAACTGACAATATATATTAATTTAATGGACCTAATTTCTTTTTGATTACGAAAATAATAATTATTAAAAAATGCAAATATATGTGGGAAATTCGAAGTAGTTGAAACACACGCATGTATAAATATATAAAAAATATGTATAGTATAGATTTTTAATATATTTATAATATATTTTTTATACATTTTGACATTTATTTCTTTAATATATTTTTTTCATGGGGGTATACTCACGATAAAATAGTGAAGGCATTATTAATTCGATTTTGTCTTTTCAGATTATCAGTATGGATGAATCTGTTTGTATCATCTGCAATAAGGGAGATGATAAGCAAGTGTATGAAATAAAAAAGGTCTTTTGTTTTTTGCATTTTCTCAGAAGATTTACTCTATAGTAACATATATTTTTTTTTCACCATCGGAAAGTAGAGATTTCAACGAACAGAAAACATACCAACTTTTTGAAAAAAGCTGATATTTTGACGGGTGAATTTTCGATTGAAAATGAGGGTGCTTTTTCGATATTAATTCAAAATAAGGTGAAAAAATAAATATTTTTAATCAAATAAATTACAGCGTATTTGGGACATAAAAAGGCAAGTTTTCGCCAAATTTCGTTAAAAAAAATTGTGAAAGATAAAAATAAAAAACCAAAAAGTAGGTTTTTTGAATTTTTCACATTAATTTTGAGGTTATGTGAAAAAGGTGTAAATACAAAAGTTTTAGATCTTTTTATTACCTACAACTTTGCCATTTGATTTTTTTCGATAGGACTTTTAGTTTTGCCGGAAATCGAGAAAAACCGTTTTTTACCCTTAAACCCCCCCAATACGTACAAATAACCTAGTATATAAAGGCAAGTCTGCATTGCTAAGTACTTGTATTGTCTAAACTCTTGAACTCTCCACTCACTACGTTATACACTATAAAGATGAAAGCTGTGTGGTTTTTGACTTTCCTATCAACTGCTCTTGTTCAAGGAAAAAATGTTGATAACGTAAGTTATTTTAATATATATTGTGTTAAAATTAACATACTTGGAGTTTTAAGTTATAATTTACTACATATTGTATTAGATTTACCATATTTAGAGGTATAAGAATAGAATAAAACAATGCTTTAGAAGTATAGATCGACCGAATTTAAAACGGTCGTTATGTGATAGATTGATTGATTGAATGGATTGATGTGATTTCTGTGTAATTAGATTGCGCTTCCACCCTAAGTACATTATAGTAATTAATTTAAATAATTTTTTGAAGTGAAACTTAGAAGAGCCATGAGAGGGAAAAAGTTGAGGTTATGATTTTTGTAACGGAAAAGCTGGACCATTACGCTAGGGAAGTGAACTTATTTTTTAAACTATTATATGAATATTTCAAAGAATAAAATAAAAATAGATAATTACAAAATAATACTTCTTTTGTTTATTTTTAAATGAGCGATGAATGAATATTGTTAAGAAAATATTTACTTAAAATAATTTATTTCATTATGCTTTTTTACCAAAAAAATTGTATCCCTGTATTATTATTTATTTTATTGAAGTATGTAATTTATTAATCATTAAAACATTTGATTGAAAATTAAATTTTAAATAATAAAATATTTTTTTGCTTTTTAAATGGATAAATATTTTTTTTCGTATCTTTCCTATTCTAATTATTTAAAACATAAATTCACTTTCATAAAAAATATCGACAACCTGCATAAGTTTCATTTCTTGTGCGTGTACTTTTATTCATTTTACTCTTTATTTCAAATATACGATATATATATATATATATATATATATCGCATATTTGAAATATATATATATATATATATACTGTATACATCTCACCACTATATAATCATGAAGCAACTATGGCTCCCGCTAAATATGTATAGAGATCAAGATGTAACTTACACTATTTATCTTATATGACTTGTTAAATGAAAATAATAATTAAATGAAAATATAGTCGATCATAATCAAAAATATTTTATTGCCAAAATGTAAAGCTAAAGAAAATTATTAATTTTAGGTCGTTGTCATTCCTCAAGAATTTGTTCCCGCTATTATAAAAGCATCATCGGAATGTATTGAAAAGTATAATATGCCAGCAGATACCTTGCAAAAGGTGTTCGATGAGGAACTAGATGACTCTGAGAATGGTAAAAAGTATTTGCATTGCCTGGGATGTGACACCGGATATCTTGATGTCAGTGGAAATATCGTTAAAGATAAGGTGCTTCAAATTGTTGGTCCGTACAAAAAAAAAGTTAATGCTGTTGTGGACGAATGCAATCAAATTAAATATAGTGACGAGTTTGAAACAGCGTACCGGCGTATCATGTGTTTCTACATTAAATCGGAAATACACTTTAAAACGTAAATATATTTTTTATTTAAAAAAAAAATCAATAGAAAAATTTTAATAGTTTTAGTTTAAAAATATATTTTTATGATATTTTTATTATTTTATGGGTTTTTGTACAAAGAGAATACTAATAAAAATATAATAATAAAGCCTTTTCATTTCCTATAAGCCTTATAAAATATTAATATGTGTATATATAAATACATATATATAATAAACTAATGTTAGTAAGTAATTCTAGTCTTAGTAATAATTTATAAATATTGTAAATATTTTTATAGGGACCCATTGATAGGTATAGGACCCCTTTGTAGGCCTCCTCTAATTCATAAATTTTTCCCTATCCTACACTGCTCCGGTCCAGTTTTTCCCTATCACCGATATTATGTCGTCCACATAATTATTTAATCATCTCTGTTATAAAGTTCCCGTTCCACGATGTTGGTCCGCGATGAACTCCGAAAGTACTTATCCGAACTTAACGTATTTTTTTTCAAAATGTGCGATTTGCTCTAACTTAAAAGATAGGATAGTTTTTATCCCAATAATTTCTTCTTTTTTATTGCAAAATTAACGCTTTTCGTATGTGTGCCACAGCAATACGTGACCGGGTCTGCTAGTATCCTATAGGTATATCTTACAATAATATGTACTATAGGTTAGAGAAGGCCTTTGTCGGAAGACAAGCTGCTACAGGGGAATGATGTTTGCATATATATATATATATATATATATATATATATATAGCGTCAAAATCGCTAATCGCTCTGTTTACTTTAACGTCTTATTCCTCCTGACCAAAATAGCGTGCGTTTCAACTACTTTGAATTTTCCACCTATATTTGCACTTTTTAACAATTAATGTCAGTTTATATATTTTATTATAAACACTTGTGAGTGATTTGGAGAAAGATTCTGATGATGATGAACTTGTAATAAACAAGTTATAAATATTAATAATAATGGGCAGAAAAGAAACGAAGTATTAAAACTAGCAAAAATATACAACAAGAATAACAAAGAGAAATTAAATACGGATATATTCGGTAAGCAAAAAATAAAGGAACGTATTTACATCAATGAATTTCTTACACCTAATACAAGAAAATTGTACTACCATGCCCGCCAACTACAGAAATTACACGGATTTAAATACTACTGGGTATCAAGAGGAAGAGTCTATATTAGAAAAAATGACGGTGATCCGGCTATTCTTGTTAAATCTTTGGAGCAAATTGAATCTCTTAAAGTGGAAGCCACCATATGACTAGCATGTCATTTTACATGGTATACTACTAAATTTATTATAGTTTTAGTGTTTGTTTTTGGATTTTACTTTATTGTACTTTTAGATTTTAAGTCTTGCTTGCATTGTTTGTTACAAAATGTTACGTTAGTTTATTTTAGAAATTAACAAATTTATGTTATACACACACAACAAAAATACACATTGACTCTTTTACAGACATATAATATACATATTACACAAATCTCTGGTATTATATCTATGGAAACTGTCTTCAAAATAATTTTCCTAAATCTGCCCACATCATCATATCATTACTGCATGAAATCTGTTTTTGATAATGGTTAACATTCTGAAACTACAAGCTGATCTTGATGATAATACTAATATAGGCACAGCAGTCGTGATTGATGATATTGGGCAATGCAAAGGGATATTAAACTCTGGCAGTTACTTACGCATTTTAACACAAAATATACGTAGTATTAATAAGAATTTTGATGGGCTTACGGTTCTTCTCCAACAACTAGAAATTGAACAAGATATAATTATATTAACAGAATGTTGGCTATCTAAAGTTAACTTACTACCTACATTACCCAATTATAATCGATTTAATACAAAGCGGAACCTTAATAAAAATGATGGAGTTGTTATGTTTATAAGAAAATCTCTTCAGGTTAAGGTAATAGTACCACAAAATACGAAAGAACTGACGTGTCTGGTGGCTTGTCTTAAAGATACAAACATCATTGGCATTTATAGACCTCCTGAATTTACAAATTTAGATAATTTTACACATTCTTTGGAATTTATTCTTCAAGATTTTACACAAAACAATTTAATTTTAATGGGAGATTTAAATATTGACATCAAGGATGGATGTAATGCAGCAAGATGCGATAGTTATCTAGAAATTACAGCTATGTATGGATTAACGGCTACACATAACTTCCTTACTACGGACAAAAGTTGTTTAGATCACTGTTTAGTTAAAACAAAATTACCGATTAGCACTATCGTCTGTCAAACAACTCTAACAGATCATGCATGCGTTATAGTCTCATTATCACAAAAGAATATTATAGGAAAATCAACAATAACATTTAATAAAAAGATAGATTATGATTCTGTCATTAAACAATTAAAAAGTATTGAATGGAATATATTACTTAAGGATTTAAATGCTAATGATGCTACAGATACCTTTCTTGCTATAGTTATGACTGCATTAGACTCAAATACTACTTATATAAAATTTTCGGCTAGGAAAAGAAATATTAAACCGTGGATTACCCCTGGTTTAATTAGGTGTATGAAACATAGAGATAGACTTCACAGTAAATTACGTAAAGACCCGAATAATGTTATACTTAAAATAAGTTACGTTCGATATCGTAATACATGTAGGAAAGTTCTAAATACTGTGAAACAGATGTATTATAGAAACAAACTAAATCAAAACAAATCTAAACCCAAAATTCAATGGGATTGTGTTAGGGAAATATGTTATCTAAATAAAGACAAACAAACTTCAGCGGAAATACTTACATTGAAAACCAGCCCTAAAGAATCACTTGATTATGCAAACGAATATTTTGCTGGCATTGGTGCAGAGCTAGCAAATAATATTATACAAAGAACGCAAACGACAGAAGACAAACTACTGCGCATGATACAAAATAGTCGGAACTGTTGTGGTTCGTTTTATCTGAATCCAACTGATAAATATGAGGTTGGAAGAATTATAAAATCACTTAAAAATACCCATTCATGTGGATGGGATGGCATTACTTCTAAATTCCTCAAATTATCCATCAATGTTTTAGCTGAACCTATTGCTACTATTTCTAATATGTGTTTCGAACAAGGTATATTCCCTAGAGCGCTAAAAAAAACAATTATTGTACCAATATTCAAAACCGGAATAAAAGAAGACTTAAGTAATTATAGACCTATTTCTTTGCTACCAACACTATCTAAAATAATAGAAAAAATAATAAACGTTCGATTAAAGACGTACTTGAAGAATAATAACATATTAGCTAATAATCAATACGGATTTCAAAATAATAAATCAACTTCTGATGCATTAAAAAAATTAATATCGGTTATAGTAAACAATTTAGATAAGCGTATTAAATGTTTGGGCTTGTTTTTGGATCTAAAAAAGGCTTTCGATACGGTGTCTGTTCCTTTGTTGTTAAAAAGACTTAAAAATGTAGGAATTCGTGGTCTACCACATCAACTTTTGACAAACTATTTGACAGACAGAAAACAAATACTTAAAATAGAAAATCTGGTTAGTGAAGAAACTGATGTTAAATATGGAGTCCCCCAGGGGAGTACCTTGGGTCCTACACTTTTTTTGGTGTACATAAATGAACTTTGCTTACTTAAACTTAAGAATAGTGAAATAATAACATTTGCAGATGATACAGTATTAATTTCTCATGGCAAGTCAAATGAACAAGTGTATGAAAATGCTAACAACGATTTTAGACTAGTTACAACATGGCTAGACCAAAATTTATTATCATTAAATATTTCTAAAACACAATACTTAAATTTTAGTATTCGTTCCTATCAATGTCCCAACCTAAAAAAACTAGAATTAAAGGCACATTATTGTGAACCTAATCTTACTCCAAAATGTACCTGCCAAAAATTAACTCTAACTACCAATATTAAGTACTTAGGTATAACTGTTGACCAACATCTTGCCTGGAAAAATCATATAGAAGCACTAAATGGCCGTCTTAGGCGACTAATTTTTGTATTTAAAACTATAAAATATATATGCGATGAAAAACTTTTGAATTCGATATATTTCGCCTTATGTCATTCTATACTATCATACGGCATCGCTGTCTGGGGTGGAGTGAATAAAACTACCTTATTAAGAGTAGAAAGAACTCAGCGTGCGATACTAAAAGTAATACATTCCAAAGATTTTAAATACCCAACTGATCTACTATATAATGAATTACCAGTACTTAATGTAAGACAAACGTATATAATGGAAATATTAGGAGATCTACATCGAATTCCCTCTGATAAACATAATCAAAAAAGACGTCAGGATATCGTATACGATTTACCCACCACAAAAACAGCTTTTGCCCATTGTTTTTATCCATTTTTGGCTCCCTATTTATATAACAGAGTATCTAAATTTATGTCACTAAAAGATCTTAATAATTATACATTTAAAAAAACTCTTTATAAGTACCTAAAAACATTAACATATAATGAAACAGAAAATTTGATAAAAACTGAATAAAAAAAAAATATTTTTTTTCTTTCCTTTACTTATTTTTGGTTAGGCGTTTAATATAGTTAATAACATAATCGAAGCTCCACAATAATAATACGAGATATTTACTGTTCTATATATTGAAGTACCATATACATTATACATACATTATATATAATAATTGTAATATATACGTACATATATAACCAAACATTCATACATATGTTCTACAAACAAACACACACACATGCACACATTAACAAATACATAAATACATACGTAATACATACAGTACACATATACAAATAGAATAAATAAGGACAAAAAAAAAATATTAAATGTTAATTAAGTTAAGCTTTATCTAAATATTTGCCCATACTGTAATAAGCGAGTGGACATGCGTGCGAGGAATACTATCCTACCGTCATACAGTTAAACTAGTACGGAGGGTAGTGTTTACTTAAACATTGTTAGCTTGACTTTTAAATACTTGTTTATAAAGTGCTGTTTATTGTACAATAAGCTGTTGATATAAATAAATAAATAAATAAATAAATAAATAAATAAATAAATAAATTATGTAAATATTGTATTTTTGTAGAAATAAACAAATATCTATTAATAAAAACCTATTATGGATTCGATTTGACATACCTTGTATGATAAAACGAGGTAAAGTAAGACGTAAATTTTATCTGGTAGTTACAACTGGCAAAATGTTATCATATAGACAGTAAATAATTTTAATGTTTGAAATTTTAATTTCAATATCGATATCAAAATGGAAAATGTATTTTTTTTAACATTTTATCTACAGAATCGTGTTCTCTCGGATTTTATGTTTATCGCAACTTTATATATTTTTATAATTTTTGGTTTTTATTAAATATAAAATAGTTGAAGTCCATAAACTTCAACTTAATCATAAATTTTGTTTTATCTTAAATATGATTTGGTCGCCACCTGCATGGTTTATATATTATGTACTTAGTAACAAGTTTTTATGCTGGATATGAGCCATTTCCATTTTGAATTTCACTTCATATTTACCTTCAATTTTCATTAATTATAAATAGATAATTAACAGTTTTTTGAGGCGTTTATGGTATAATATTCTTTATAATTATTTTTTTACTTTTTAACTTTCTTACTTTTTATATTATATGGGAATATTATATGGGAAACCGAGTGAAGCAGGTTCAAATCCCGGGTCTCGCACCTGAACATATCAGTTTCATGTGCGAATCATTTCTAACATGATTACCACTTGCCTTACGGTGAAAAAATACATAGTGAGGAAATCTGCATGTCTGAGAAAATCTAGCAAGTTTTCGATAGACATGTGAAGTTCGCCATCCCGCACTTGGCCAGCGTGGTGGACTATGGCCTGATCCCCCTCGTATTGAAGGGAGGCCCGTGCCCAGCAGTGGGACGTTAAAAAGAGCAGAATTATTGAATACAATATTATATGGCAATATATCCTTTAGTTTTATTTATAGTTATAGAAACATGTTAAGCGTGGAACCTTTAAATGAGAAGATGTCCATGTAAATATAATAAATATAAAATAAATAAAATATATAATATATAATAAATATTAAATACATACTCAAAAATATAATATCACAATTCAGTAAAATATAATGAAGAAAGGAATTAAAGATAAGGTTTCATATATATTTTTTTATTTTTTATAATACTTACCTACTTTTCTATACCTATGTATATACATTCTACATATATGTATATATAGTCTATTGTATACTTACCGTTAAAACGTACCTACGGACGAACCAGGTAAGGGTGAGGGTGAGTTGCTAGTAAATAATTTATGTAAAAAAATATTATAATATATAAAAATATATGCCGTACGCATGCCGCCAAATATTTCAACGAAAAATCAAGATTGCAGTTTAAAGATTGAAAATGTATATTGGCCTTATGGACATTATTTTACTGTTATTTTTTATTTATATTTAGCGACTCAACCTCGCTTTGCTCGGATTTGCCCCTACTTACATTTTCACGTTTAGTATAGGTTTCTCAGGGATGAGATATTTTCCCGCAGTAAAATGTATTCTATATGTTAACCCGGGTAACCAGCTATGATCATACCAAATTTCATCAAAATCCCTCCACGGGTTTTTCGATGATTCTTTAATAAACTAGATTCGACGACACGTTTCGCTGTGTGTAGTAACCCTACTTGTTACGCCAGCGGTTGCGGGTTCGAATCCCGCTGGGGGCATTCATTTGTGTGATGAGCACGAATGTTTGTACTCCAGTCATGGATGTTTATATTTATAATATGTATGTATTTAAAGTTATATATATGTAGTGTATCAACTATCTGGTATACATAACACAAGCTTCGTAGCTTACCATGGAACTAGATGGTACTGTGTGTTAATGTCCCAACATATTTATTTATTTATATTTTAAAATATGTATATTATTATAAAAAAAAACGAAAAAAAAGTTTAATTTACTTACTTTAACAAAAATAACAACTTTGATTTTAAATTTGATATTTAATTATTTTAGTGTAATAACAATAACAATAATAATGTTAGCATTCGTGTGTATTAAATATTTAATCTATGCATATAAACACTTCACAATGCAGTAACCATTGTTGTGCTATGACCCTACGAAAATATACATTACAATATTGTAAACTCTCGAATGCAAATTACTCAATAAGGTTAATATATTATTTTATTTAAATTGTATCTACCACTATCGAATTCTCGTAGAAAGAAAAGTTGGGTGTCTCGCCAAAATGAAGCTACTCGCGAAGTTTAAGCTTGCTATTTAATCATTAAAAAAATCAATTGGAGACTGTAGACTATAATTTTAATAAATATATTATATTGCAAGATTCCCCGAGATTGGGTATATATTTAAGGAAAATTCAAAATATTGTTAGAATCTATATGTACTTAAAATACTATGAAACATTATAATTGATATAATATAACAATATAAGTAAATGGTTAATTGTATTTTTTAATAAGTAAAAGAAGCGATAGCTTTTAAATTATAATTAATCAGCCAGTATTTTTTTTTGATATAAACAAATATTTTTCTTTATTGGGTTGTGAAAATCATAAAATATTTAAATAATCAGCATTAAGCGATCCTATTTATTTAATTTCCATACGCATTCAAAGCAATAGACAAAAAAATACCTACTTTGACATAGAAGCAATAATTGAACATAGATTTTTCAATGATAACCTTTATTTATCCTATAAATGATATCGCAAATCAGAAGTCAATACTTTGAATTAAATATAAATAATTCCAGATATTTCCAACTTAACAGTACCTAGTCCATTTCAACTACAGGAAATGAATTCATTAGAAATAGCTAATGAACCAACTAATGAACTAACGAATAAATAAACAATATTGTAAATTCTCGAATGCAAATCACTCAACAAGGTTAATATATTATTTTGGGTATTTCGGTATATAAAAGAATGACTTCTACGCGTACCTATGTACTAACTTAGTTTAAGCTACATAAGCAAATACTTGCTACGATATAAGAAGTTAAAATGAGATCTGCGTGGTGTTTAGTTTTTATATCCATTGGACTTGTTTGTGGAAAAAATGTTGAGAACGTAAGTAAATTGCCGAATTTATTATTCACTAGTAGAACCCGCGGCTTCGCTCGCGCCAAAATTACTTTAAAAATATCATAAAGTCGTCCTACCGAAGTATGAGAGTGAACAGGAATAGAGAGTGCACTTGTGTCTGCGCGTACACTTGTGCACTATAATATCTCCTGCGTAGATGGTTAATCATGAGGACATTATTATACATATACAAATTAAAATTCTAGTGTAGTAATTGATCCGCAAGCAGTTTGGAACCCATTAACATAATTTGTACCTACGTGCAAGGGTAGATATTACAAAATATAATATATCCACATGTCGGTGAAATGTATAAATTCATATTCATAGAAGCCTCGTTTAAGTAATGTCCGCATCATATGGAACTTAAAAAAATTCACCAGTATCTTTTTTATATACATATAATCTTCTATACTAATAAATAAAATTATTTATGTGCCTGTTTGTAATGTCAAAGTAACAACTTTTTATTAAATGCATATGAAATTATATACGGTACCAATAAAAAAAAACACATGTTTTAAAATTTTTGTTTGTCTGTCTCTCCGGCTAATCTCCGAAACGGCTGGACTGATTTTGACGGGACTTTCACTGGCAGATAGCTGATGTTATAAGGATAATTTATATAAAAATGCTACACTAGTAAAAGAAAAAAAAAGAAATATACCTAAGGACCCACCCGAGCGAAGCGAGCGTAAGTCGCTAATATCAAATATGAGTCTAAACAATTTTCAATAATTTCAGGTAATTCTCGTTTCTCAAGATGCCGGAGCTGAACTTGCCAAAGTATCATTGGATTGTGTTAAAAAAATGAGTTTGGAGCCCGACATTATGAAGAGATATTTCGCCTGGGAATTAGAAGACTCTGAGACTAATAGACAGTACATATTCTGCCTTGGAAATAACTCAGGATATATTGATGATAATGGATATATAGTTAAAGATAAACTACTTCAAGTTGTAGGACCACATAAAGCGAAAGTAGACGCCGTTGTTGAAGAATGTAATAAACCCAAATATACTGACAAATATGAAGCAGTATTCCGTAGGGTCATGTGTTTCAAAGAAAACTCCGGATTGGAGTTAAGAGTGGCGTGATATTTTTATGCTAATAATTAAAAAAAAGGTTTCTGAAATATCAGTTACATGTCTATATTGTTGAGTGTATTTATGTATTAAAAAATCAAGTTAAAAATATTGTTTTCTTTCATTTTAATTTTAATTACAATATAAAGAATATTCGTGTCGAATATGTGTGTAGCTAGCTAGGGACTAAGATCGGAGTGGAGCGAATTATATATAATACTAGCCGCGGCTTCGCCCGCGTTCAGTCTTCGACAGAAACCAAATTCTTAGGTTTTATATTACCAGTTTCATTGCGCACCCCAAGATTGAGAAATAATGGCGATGATAGGCAATGCCACGAATGCTCCTCCTATAATCTCATATTTAATTTCGTAATATTGCATTTTTCGTTTTAACAATAATATTTTTTATTTGTTTTTGGTCACTTTAAATAAAACTAACCTTTCGTAAGGAAGTATTATTATTTTTAGGCGATAAACTCTCAATCTACTGAACTTATTTTAATAATGAATTATCTAATACTAATAGACAGCTACTAAGGGGCCTATCATTAATTACGTAACGACAACCTACCCCCATGTAAGAGTACTTACATAACACACACACACACACACACACACACAACTCGGACTCCCCCTCCTCCTACTTACGTAAAATTTTCCTGAATTTAGAGAAAGAACAATTGCACTAAAACTCTTAATTTGACGTAAGTCAAATATTTTTATTTTTGAATTTTATACGTATAATAAAATTGTAACTAAGCCGAATCTGTAGATTAAATATTTTTTGGAAAATCTTATTGAAATAAACATTATTATCGATACAGAGGCCGAATCTATAGTTTTTAGATTTTTTGTCGGTCTGTCTGTCTGTCTATCTATAAAACTACTGGAGGGGTTTTGATGAAATTTGGTATGGTGATAGCTGGTTATCCGGGTCAACATATAGGATACTTTTAAACGCGGGAAAATATCTTATATTACTGAGAAAAAATGCAAAAACTGCAATGTAAGAGTATACTTATCTGTAAAACCTAAGAATTTGGTTTTTCCTCATCTGAACGCGGGCGGAGCCGCGGGCAATGCTAGTACTACATAAAAAAAATACATCTCAAAGTTGTTTTCCTCAATGCTTAGATCTCAAATATCCATCACTCTATGTTAGAAATAGCACATTTCAACTTATAAAATATTACGTAAGAATGAATGGCTTTAACCTTTGTAAATTCAAATTCTATCTTTGTAAAATTTTATCCTCATCTTGAAATATAAAAAGACCGAGATACTTACTTCAAACATCGATAATTTTTTATGAGAAATGCTTTACAAAACATATATTACGTAGTTTTAGAGATATGGAATATTTTCAGTCACCGGTTTTGTTAGGTTAGCAACGGTAAACTTTATTTAATGTTTTCGAGATATTTGGAAAAAACTCGGTTTTTACTTTTTCTTCATTTTTTATTTTTTATTTTTAGAATAATCTTTTATTTTTCATAAAACTAAGGGAATGTAATCTTCAAAATACATATAATAAATTAAAAAAAATTAAAATGTTTAGCCATTTCCTAGAAAAGTATGTTTTATGGTCTCGAGAGGCTGAAATCACCCCCCACTTTAAATGTGCGTTTACATTTAAAAAGAATTTCGTTCAATTTTCAGATAGGGCTTATTCTTTTCGTCTTGAACTCTACTTCTTAAATATATAAAAAAAAACATTTTTTACATTTTTCATGATTTTTTAACAAAACTATGACTAAATTTTGTAATTAATATGAACTTAATTTTTTTAAATATATTTTTAACTAATGAATAAACAAGATTAGACTACGAATTCAGGTTATCAATAAAAAAAAAATCTCTTAAAAATAAACAGATTCCTATTGGTCTAACAGGGCGGTACCGACCGACATCTCTGCGCAAAACCACAGTAAGCAAATGAATATCCGAGTCCTTAATTTTTTTCATCCTATCGGCCAAGGTCACATAACTAGACGCTTTATACATAAATCATTACAAATTAATCAAATATATTATTTTCCATTAAAACACTCATACCTATATAAAAATGCAACCTTACATATAGGTTAGCATTAATTAATATGAAACTAGCGGACCCGACAGACGTTGTCCTGTCTACGTCTTTAATTTGAAAATTTCAAACTTTTTTTAATAATTTTTTTGATAAAAATTATTATTCAAATTGTGAATCTAAACCATTCCCTGATCCCCTTGAACACACACAAAAAATTTCATCAAAATCGGTCCAGTCGTTTGAGAGAAGTTCAGTGACATACACACTCACAGAAGAATTATATATATATATATATATAAAGATAAATATATGTATTTAATCTACATATTATACTGTTTACTACATTGTTGTGCTTGCGGCATGACCCTATGAAAATATATACTTATAAATAAAGTGTCTGTTTGTTTATCCGTCTAACGGTCTGACTAAATTTGTGATAGAATCGTAACATGCAACTGATGTGAAATTGAAATTCTTACAGAATGTCTTATTGCAGTGCATATTTTTTCAAACAAAAAAAGCTAAATCTAAAGAATATAAACGTAATACCTCTTGAAGACGAAGAAAAGCCAGACTAATTACAATGAATTTTTTTATAATAATAATAAACTATCTAATAAACAAACAACAGTAGATTCACATTAAAGATCAAAAAGGTTAACATATTATTATGTAAAATGTATAGTATCAGTATATAAAGGCATGTCTGCTACACGTACCTATGCACTAATTTAGTGTTAGCTTCACATGCAACTACTTGCTCCGATATAAGAATACGAAGTCAAAATGAAAGCTGCGTGGTGTTTAGTTTTTATATCTATTGGAGTTGTTTGTGGAAAACTTGTTGGGAACGTAAGTAAATTGCCGAATTTATTATACTTCGCCCGCCAAGCTTCAAACTACTTTGCAGAAATATATATATAATTTTCAAAAGTTAAATACAATTTTTAGCAATAAAAAGAGGAATTATCTAGGTTATAGGCTTTAAATTACAAATATTTTCTGAAGATAAGCTATCGATATGATAATCTCTTCCCAGTGCTTTCGTAATATTTCATAGCATCTAAGGACACTATTTTTAGAACTTTAACAGGCTTTTTATTTTAATAAGGGTTAGAATATAGATTGACTAGCGGAAAAACAAAAACAAATCTATCCCTCGGGAACCGTATATTTTACCGGGATAAAAAGTAACCTATGTGTTGTTCCAGACTATATTCTATCTCTGTGCCAAACATCCAGATCTGTTCAGCCGTATATATATATATATATAAATATATGAAGCTGCAATCTGCTGTCGCAATACCTATATTTTACATAATAGATTTTTTTGTAACAAATAAACACAATTTTTTATTAGTTTCAGGTAGTTCTCATTCCTCTAGAAGCGGGAGCTGAAATTGCCAAAGTATCATTGGATTGTGTGAAAAAAATGAGTTTGGAGCCCGACATTATGAAGAGATATTTCGCCTGGGAATTAGAAGACTCTGAGACTAATAGACAGTACATATTCTGCCTTGGAAATAACTCAGGATATATTGATGATAATGGATATATAGTTAAAGATAAACTACTTCAAGTTGTAGGACCACATAAAGCGAAAGTAGACGCCGTTGTTGAAGAATGTAATAAACCCAAATATACTGACAAATATGAAGCAGTATTCCGTAGGGTCATGTGTTTCAAAGAAAACTCCGGATTGGAGTTAAGAGTGGCATGATATTTTTATGCTAATAATTAAAAAAAAGGTTTATGAAATATCAGTTACATGTCTATATTGTTGAGTGTATTTATGTATTAAAAAATCAAGTTACAAATATTGTTTTCTTTAATTTTAATTTTAATTACAATATAAAGAATATTCGTGTCGAATATGTGTGTAGCTAGCGACTAAGATTGGAGTGGAGCGAATTATATATAATACTAGCATTGCCCGCGGCTTCGCCCGCGTTTAGTCTTCGACCGAAACCAAATTCTTAGGTTTTATATTACCAGTTTCATTGCGCACCCCAAGATTGAGAAATAATGGCGAAGATAGGCAATGCCACGAATGTTCCTCCTATAATCTCATATTTAATTTCGTAATATTGCATTTTTCGTTTTAACAATAATATTTTTTATTTGTTTTTGGTTACTTTAAATAAAACAAACCTTTCGTAAGGAAGTATTATTATTTTTAGGCGATAAACTCTCAATCTACTGAACTAATTTTAATAATGAATTATCTAATACTAATAGACAGCTACTAAGGGGCCTATCATTAATTACGTAACGACAACCTACCCCCATGTAAGAGTACTTACATAACACACACACACACACACACACACACACACACAACTCGGACTCCCCCTCCTCCTACTTACGTAAAATTTTCCTGAATTTAGAGAAAGAACAATTGCACTAAAACTCTTAATTTGACGTAAGTCAAATATTTTTATTTTTGAATTTTATACGTATAATAAAATTGTAACTAAGCCGAATCTGTAGATTAAATATTTTTTGGAAAATCTTATTGAAATAAACATTATTATCGATACAGAGGCCGAATCTATAGTTTTTAGATTTTTTGTCTGTCTGTCTGTCTGTCTATCTATAAAACTACTGGAGCGGTTTTGATGAAATTTGGTATGGTGATAGCTGGTTATCTGGGTCAACATATAGGATACTTTTAAACGCGGGAAAATATCTTATTACTGAGAAAAAATGCAAAAACTGCAATGTAAGAGTATACTTATCTGTAAAACCTAAGAATTTGGTTTTTCCTCATCTGAACGCGGGCGGAGCCGCGGGCAATGCTAGTAGTACATAAAAAGAATAAAATACATCTCAAAGTTGTTTTCCTCAACGCTTAGATCTCAAATATCCATCACTCTATGTTAGAAATAGCACATTTCAACTTATAAAATATTACGTAAGAATGAATGGCTTTAACCATTGTAAATTCAAATTCTATCTTTGTAAAACTTTATCCTCATCTTAAAATATAAAAAATCGAGATACTTACGTCAAACATCGAGAAATTTTTATGAGAAATGCTTTACAAAACATATATTACGTAGTTTTAGAGATATGGAATATTTTCAGTCATCGGTTTTGTTAGGTTAGCAACGGCAAACTTTATTTAAAGTTAAAGTTTTCGAGATATTTGCAAAAATCTCGGTTTTCAACTTTTTCTTCATTTTTTATGTTTTTATTTTTAGAATAATCTTTTATTTTTCATAAAACTAAGGGAATGTAATCTTTAAAATACATATAATAAATTAAAAAAAAATTAAAATGTTTAGCCATTTCCTAGAAAAGTACGTTTTATGGTCTCGAGAGGCTAAAATCACCCCCTACTTTAAGTGTGTGTTTACATTTAAAAAGAATTTTGTTCAATTTTCAGATAGGGCTCATTCTTTTCGTCTTGAACTCTACTTCTTAAAAATAATTAAAAAAAAAACATTTTTTACGATTTTTTAACAAAACTATAACTAAATTTTGTAATTAATATCAACTTAATTTTTTAAAATATATTTTTAACTAATGAATAAACAAGATTAGACTACGAATTCAGGTTATTAATAAAAAAAATCTCTTAAAAATAAACGGATTCCTATTGGTCTAACAGGGTGGTACCGACCGACATCTCTGCGCAAAACCACAGTAAGCAAATGAATATCCGAGTCCTTAATTTTTTTCATCCTATCGGCCAAGGTCACATAACTAGACGCTTTATACATAAATCATTACAAATTAATCAAATATATTATTTTCCATTAAAACACTCATACCTATATAAAAATGCAACCTTACATATAGGTTAGCATTAATTTATATGAAACTAGCGGACCCGACAGACGTTGTCCTGTCTACGTCTTTAATTTGAAAATTTCAAACTTTTTTTAATAATTTTTTTGATGAAAATTATTATTCAAATTGTGAATCTAAACCATTCCCTGATCCCCTTGAACACACACAAAAAATTTCATCAAAATCGGTCCAGTCGTTTGAGAGAAGTTCAGTGACATACACACTCACAGAAGAATTATATATATATATATAAAGATAAATATATGTATTTAATCTACATATTATACTGTTTACTACATTGTTGTGCTTGTGGCATGACCCTATGAAAATATATACTTATAAATAAAGTGTCTGTTTGTTTATCCGTCTAACGGTCTGACTAAATTTGTGATAGAATCGTAACATGCAACTGATGTGAAATTGAAATTCTTACAGAATGTCTTATTGCAGTGAATATTTTTTCAAATAAAAAAAGCTAAATCTAAAGAATATAAACGTAACACCTCTTGAAGACAAGAAAAGCCAGACTGGATTTTTTTATAATCATAATAAACTATCTAATAAACAAACAACAGTAGATTCACATTAAAGATCAAAAAGGTTAACATATTATTATGTAAAATGTATAGTATCAGTATATAAAGGCATGTCTGCTACACGTACCTATGCACTAATTTAGTTTACGCTTCATATGAAACTACTAGCTCCGATATAAGAATACGAAGTCAAAATGAGAGCTGCGTGGTGTTTAGTTTTTATATCTATTGGAGCTGTTTGTGGAAAACTTGTTGGGAACGTAAGTAAATTGCCGAATTTATTATACTTCGCCCGCCAAGTTGAGTTTGTTTGTTTGTGTTAATCTCAGAAGCTTCAAACTACTTTGCAGAAATATATATATAATTTTCAAAAGTTAAATACAATTTTTAGCAATAAAAAGAGGAATTATCTAGGTTATAGGCTTTAAATTACAAATATTTTCTGAAGATAAGCTATCGATATGATAATCTCTTCCCAGTGCTTTCGTAATATTTCATAGCATCTAAGGACACTATTTTTAGAACTTTAACAGGCTTTTTATTTTAATAAGGGTTAGAATATAGATTGACTAGCGGAAAAACAAAAACAAATCTATCCCTCGGGAACCGTATATTTTACCGGGATAAAAAGTAACCTATGTGTTGTTCCAGACTATATTCTATCTCTGTGCCAAACATCCAGATCTGTTCAGCCGTATATATATATATATATATATATATATATAAATATATGAAGCTGCAATCTGCTGTCGCAATACCTATATTTTACATAATAGATTTTTTTGTAACAAATAAACACAATTTTTTATTAGTTTCAGGTAGTTCTCATTCCTCTAGAAGCGGGAGCTGAAATTGCCAAAGTATCATTGGATTGTGTGAAAAAAATGAGTTTGGAGCCCGACATTATGAAGAGATATTTCGCCTGGGAATTAGAAGACTCTGAGACTAATAGAAAGTACATATTCTGCCTTGGAAATAACTCAGGATACATTGATGACAATGGATACATAGTTAAAGATAAAGTTCTTCAAATTGTAGGACCACATAAAGCGAAAGTAGACGCCGTTGTTGAAGAATGTAATAAACCCAAATATACTGACAAATATGAAGCAGTATTCCGTAGGGTCATGTGTTTCAAAGAAAACACCGGATTGCAGTTAAGAGTGGTGTGATATTTTTATGCTAATGTTTTATTTTTTGTAACAAAAGGTCTCTGAATTATCCGTTACATGTTTATATTGTTATATGTATTTATATATTAAAAAAATAAATTAAAAATATTATGTTTTCATTCATTTCAATTTAAATCTTATCTAATCTTTTCTATCTATCTTATATAATCCAAGGCACTGCTATACCAATCCCTCCCAAATCCCTGTGTCTGTAACCTTGTCTTGTGTTGTGGTGGGGTGCTCATTAGCGACCGGCAATCTAGCCGGGCGCGAAGCCAAGAAACTCGCTGGGTAGCAGCCCACCGATGGGCGGTATTCCATGTGGATTACTCCTGGTACTTCTCTGATAGCAAAGTGGACTGACTGACTGGACCATAACTGCCATGGAGCAACCCCATGGCAGTTATGGTCTGTTTCGGCAGACCTGTCATTGAGTCGGGGCGTCGTGGTTCAGTACATAAGCGATCCTAAGCCCCGAGTTTTAGTGGGTAATACTAGCTTTGCCGGTGAGTTCCAGATAACCATTTGTATGTATGCAGGTGGTACCTATTAACTAAACACATTTCCCAACGTTAATAAAAACTTTTTAACAAAAAAATAAAAACCGACTTCAAACAAAAGCACTAAAAAGTAAAAAATAACTGATTGGTAGTTTTCATTTACTATACATACCTAATCAAATATTTTCGAAGTCGGTGTGCTTTGCTTTGTATGGGCTGGCACCGATTTCGAAAATATTTGATTAGGTATGTATTTTATAGGTAGGCTTTAATTACTTAGCCAAAGCACACCGACTTCGAAAATATTTGATTAGGTATGTATAGTAAATGAAAACTACCAATCAGTTTTTTTTTACTTTTTAGTGCTTTTGTTTGAAGTCGGTTTTTATTTTTTTGTTAAAAAGTTTTTATTTTTCCCTTTTTAGTGTAGACAGTAGTAGCAAAGTAAGGATTCTAACGTGTTAGGCTTGTCAAATCAAATAAAATAAGCCCAAACTCAAAGTATCTACTATTAGCCGTTGAAGAGTTCCACCTATCCACCTTCTGGCCTTGCCATCAGATCAGGTCAACAACACCGAACCACTGTACTATCAACGGAAATAGAAATACTTGCAAAGTTTCAAGTCAATATGACAATTAGAAGTAGGTTAAATTAATGATTAGTAGTTTTTCCACCCTTAGGGGTGGTATTTTTTTTTGAAATTTAAATGGGACCAATCTGAAAGTATACCCTTTCAAACAAAACAAAAATTGTCCAAATCGGTTAATAAATGACGGAGTTCTGAGGTAACAAACATAAAAAAAAAAAAAAAACATACAGTCGAATTGAGAACCTCCTCCTTTTTGAAGTCGGTTGAAAAAATACTACTATGTAAAGGATATTTGTGTCGAATTTGTGTGTACGTATCTAAGAAAGAAATGGAGTGAAATATATATAATATTTATTCGTCCGATTATTATCTCATTTCAACCTTTTATATGTATAGAAATAAACAATAAAGATTATTCTTTCTTTTTACCCGACTGCACGACGCAAAGGAGGGTAATGTGTTTATTAGCCTATGTATGTACGTGAGTTTGTACCTTTGTGACACTATTTACGAGTATGTACATCTCGCGGTAAGGATGAAACGTGTATGTCTCCGACTGCATAATACTATATACCTTCGTGAACTTATTTTCATCTTTTTAGTTAGCTTTTATGCAGTCGATCATCTTACCAAATATCATCTAAATCGGTTCAGCAGATCCAGAGAGAGGGGGTAAACCCTACAACGTCATACACTCCGAACTCACAAACTTTACCTCTTTATAATATTAGTATAGATTAGGAACTGGTTGTTTTGAGTGTCTATTTTTTCACTGCACGTACTATATATGTGTGTATATATGTGTTTAATCTTTGCAATGCTTGTAAAACCTATAGTTAAGATAACGTTCAGACTATTTGTGGGCATGCTGAATTTCACCATCGGACATCGCGCCAAAATAGTAAATTCCATCCACACCATCTCGATGTCCAGCGTTCCACAACAGTGCGATTTTTAAGGCATTTTCTGCCCCGCACAACCACTCTGTGGAACCAGCTATCGCCGGCGGTCTTTCCGAACCGCTACGACCTGGCCACCTTCAAGAAGAGAGCGTATTCCTTTCTTAAAGGCCGGCAACGCGTCTGCAAGCCCTGCGGTGTTGCAGATGTCCATGGGCGGCGGTGATCACTTCTCATCAGGTGAGCCTCCTGCCCGTTTGCCCCCTTAGTCCCATAAAAAAAAAAAAAATTCTATGTTTTTAACCGACTTCAAACAGGAGGAGGTTCCTAATTCGGTTGGTACTTTTTTATGTATGTACACCGATTACTCTGGTTGATAATGTCTTGTTGATAAATATCTTGTTAGTGTTAATAATAAATAGATAAATAAACTAACCTAATATGATTTTGAATCGACCATTGCATAGTTTCTTTTGTAGATAATCTTAGATTTCATCTGAACGGGCGCTTTTTAGAACAGCTTAGCTGTTGGCTTCTCTCAAGGCGAAAACGAGGCAGTGGTAGCCCATTGAAAACGAAAAGAATATCCAAATGAAGCGGGTTCAAATCCGGGTTGCACGTACTGGTTAAGTATAACCTTATCGAAACATCGAAAGAACCTGCCTCGCATTGAGGGAAGCCTATACCTAGGTGTGAAAAGTTAATAGGATTGAATTATTATTTACCTAAGACAAAATTTGGGGGAATGTGACAAGATTATGATATAAGTGCGTTAAATACTTATATTATAGCAGTTAATTATGTGTGTGTGTCTGCGCTCGAAAGGCCTTGCTGTCTATCTTCGTATGAGCAATGGGGATATCATTAGTCCGTTATTACGACAATCTCACTCGGCGAAATGTTTTTGCTATTTTCTACCGGAAGGCACACAGTATTTTATTAAGAACATCTTATTATAGCTAGCTTTCAATAAAAATATACCTAATGTATTAAATAAACGCTCTATTTAAATATCACACGTATATAGACCTAATAAATGTAGTGTATAAAAGTTCGCCTAAAAGAATCTTTGATTATGTTGCAATCTACTTCACATTTAAGTTGTGCGAGTGGCACGAATACGTTAAAATTATTAAATAATTATTCAAACATTCCTCTAAATTTTCTTTAAGAATATCTATAATGGTTTAAAAATCTTTACAATCTTCTTCTCGATATATTTCAAGAGTTTATTTTTCATTTTACAGAGACTCAACAAGCTAAATTTCATATTAGTCGTTCAACTAGTTTTATTAACATGTAACTTAAAGCGGCTGCCATATATAGTGGTTGTGCACAACAAATATTAAACTCGCGAGCAAACCCGCATGTAGTAGCTATGTCAAATGAATAATCCATATCCATACTTTTTTAATATTATAAGCTTGAAAGTGTGTTTGTTTGTTTGTCGTTCTTTCACGTCGAAACGGAGTGATGGATTGGCGTGATTTTTTTGTGTGGAGATAGTTGGAGTGCTGAAGAGTGACATAGAGTGAATTTTTAGTATGAAGTTAGTCGTTAAGTCTCCCATTAGTATAGTGGTATGCTTAAATGCATATCCTAATATAAAAAAGTGAGTATACAGGTATAGGGGAGAGGACAGGACAGAAATCGTCATGTAACGAAAAAGGTTACGTAACAAACAAGATTATGCTTTATTATTTACTAAGAGCATCCCATGTGACGTCATCACAAGTACCAGACGGGATCCTACATATATATTGAATACTCCTTTAGGAGTTGAAGAGTGTATGCTATTAGAAATTCGTTTGCACTCTATACAGGTTTTCTTCGATGATCTTCGACAATGTACGTTGCTGTCTATGCCACCCTGGTACTCGTGACAATGTGTATGAGAAGTATGAGCTAACGGCGGATAGCGAAAGTAACTTCGTTCCTATCGGGTGTCCCACGACATTGACCAATTTTTTGTATTAATCAGGTTAACTGAGGTATGCACTATATCCCCCCCAACGTGCGTTCACCTTGTCGTGGTGGGGGGGCTCAGTAGTGCCCGGCAACCCAACCGGGCGCGAAGCCAAGAAACGCACAGGGAGGTGGCCCACTTCGGTGGGCGGTGGGAGGTGGCCCTCTTCGGAGGGCGGTGTACCATGCGGGTTGCTCCTGGTACTTCTCTGATAGCAGAGTGGACTGTGGAGCAACCCCATGGTTGTGGTGGTCTACTTCGGCAGACCTGCCGTCGGGGCGTCGTAGTTGAATGCGTAAGCGATCCTGCGACGCCCCATTAAGACGGGGGAAGGTTTTGTTGGGTTTTAGTGGGCAGTACTGGCTTTATTACGCCGGTGAGTCCCACACCTCGTGCGTAAATGCATTTCCCAACGTTAAAAAAAAAAAGGTATGTCTATATACCATACCAAAAATACCACCCGCTTCTCCGAAACCGCGTCTCATATACTAAACTTGTGCCAAACAGAACTAGAACAACGCGACAAGCGCAAGTCAAATTCGCGCGTGTCAGGTTTTTATTACTTTGGGGTAAAGACATGGTATACTGAAGAGAAAAAAAATAATACATATGGGCAACTAGTTTAGTCACAGTAAAGTTTTGATGTTTAAATGAAATAAGAAGAAAAAGTATACATATGTACATATATGTACATCTGAATAATCACTAACTTAGCAAAGAATAAAACGGAATATTAAACCAAACCACTATATTCTATAACAAGTAACAATAAAAATGCATCACACTTTAAGCATTATTCCAGAATTTTCACGGAAACACTGAACAACATGGAACACCTTCTCGTACTTGTCATTAAATTTCGATTTATTACATTCATCGACAACAGAACCTACTTTTTCTTTGTGCTCACCAACGACTTTAGCAATTTTACCTTTGACTATATTTGCATTGCCATCAATGTAACCTGTGGTGGTTCCAAGACAGTACATATACTTTCTGACTGAATCAGAATCTTCCAGTCCACCGGAAAAATATTTCGCCAAAATGTCAATCGTCTCCAAACCAAATTTATCTGCACAATCAGCTGACGCTTTTATTACTGGAGGAACAAATTCTTCAGGGATGACTAGTATCTAAAATAAACAAAACAAAAACATTTAAACAATATATAAGAAAAATAATCGATACCTACAAGCAAATAAATAATTCCCAATGTTAAAAAAGTTATTTAGATTTTAGCATTTACATTACCGTGATGTTGTACTATATTAGTCCACAGAACAGCGAGCCTTTTTCATAATGATTAATATCAAGATGAACCCTCACGAGTAGCCACAAGCTTCGTTAGAACAAGAAGCCCAACTTTTCTCTCTATAAAAGTTTTTGATGGTGGTAGGTAAGATTGTAGATAGGAACATGTTGATACCGTTATTATCTCACATTAAGCCCTTCTTAGATACTATTATTTACTTTAAATATTATTCTTTGACTTAAATCTTTTTAAAAAATATGGCCATGGGTCTTTAGGTTTTATATGGATGCTTTTGCGGATCATTTTATATTTATATTATAAATTATATAAATATTATTTTTTGTGAGTTCGATTTACTATACGATCATTTGATTGAACTATTTAAGTCCCATGTATTATATTGTACAGGTAAATAGGTATACAGATGTATTCCACCCTTTTTAACATCCCAATGTTAGGCACGGGCCTCATCTCAGTACGAGACGGAACAGGCTATAGTCTACAACACTGGTCATGTGCGGGTTGACCAGCGTTGAACTTCAGAGGTTCGAGAATTTGCACCCGCTTCACTCGGCTTCCCAAGAGAGGGCGTTACCACTAGGCTACCACTGCCGTTAATAGTTAAGAAAAAGGGGTCAATAGGTAACGTTTATATATTCATACAAAGCTGTGTAAACATTACAACAATATTTTACATGACATATGCCTTCCAACACTTTTTATCGCTTTCCTTTTTTATATATTTCTTTTTATGAGTATGCAAAATATTAAACTAATAACGACTACAGCTGTAGTTAAAAACTTACTTTTCGATTTGGTCTTCCAGTTACAATAGCAACGGACAGAAAGACGAAGTAACCCACTGCTTTCATGTTTGTAATATATTGCTTTTGATGTGGTTTATTCTACGACTAATGCAAAATTAATACATGAGTGTCGCAAACTTCTCTTTATATATGTTTAAGAACGTTTCCAATAAAGGAAAAATTCTTAATTTGACCCGTTTTGCTAATGCATATTTGTCTCGCGATATTTTCTGTGTTTTGTTTTCATAAAACGAAATTCAGACTCGGTACCATTTAGATATTTCGATAGACTTCGAGATAAAAAATGTAACTCTGTAGTGGTTATGGTAAAAAAGAGTGAAATCGCGGAAAAAGAATAAAAGGCACGGAGGCGAAACACCGCCAACTTCCCAACTCCGGGCTGTTACTGGGGCTTTATATACAGAAATACTCAATAACTAAACTTGGCCCGATCCGGGACTCGAACCCAGGACCTCAGGATGTGCAGCCGTACATGCTAGCCACTACACCACCGAGGCAGTTGCTAGCTATATATATATATATATATATATATACTAAGGTGTGCCAAAAAATGACGATTTTTTTTTCTTCGCTCTCACCCCAAAATATCTTAAAAAATGTCCCAACAAAGCTCCTGTAAAAGCGGAGCTCAAAATTCCAATTCTAAGAGGTTCTCCGTCGAACTTTAAGTTTTCCCATACATATTGTATGGAAAATATGATTTTTAACACTTTTTTGTCCTGCAAACTACGACGAAAATATTAAAAAAAAATGAATGAATGGAACGTTTTTACTATTAAATTTACTACAAAAAGTTCCATGGAGTCGAATTTCTATCTTCAATATTTTATTTGTTATATAGCTTTATAGTTCAAATATATGTTTTATTGCATTTTTTAGCTAAACTGTAAGAGTTACAGAAAAATGTTACATGGCAAATTTGTAGTACGTTTAAAATCCTATAAAAAAGTCCTTGTCAACTTTTTCATATCATCAATAACAACAAAATTACAGGCTCACGAATATTTTATTTTTCAAAATTTTTGCTCTTACGAACTGAACTGAAATACGATAATTTTATTACTGATATTTTATGTCCTTTATCAATATATTTTATAATATACTTGAAAAATCATTAAAATATGTCTAATAAGTCTGTCACTATTAACTATTGATAATACAAAATACATGATCTATCCAATTTTGTACCATTTTTTTTTGTTTAACTATCGATATTTCAGTTACGCAGTATATGAGTTAATTTTGAATCCATTGTCATGGAAGTAACTGTGTTGAATGGATATGCAAACTATGTGTATGTGCTTTCAAAACACCTTAATATTGAACCCATATTTTAAGTCAAAAATATTAATCTTATACTTATCTTTATACGAGCAATTCTTGTATATATATAATCTGAATCTCGGAAACAGCTCCAACGATTTCTATGAAATTTAGCACACAGGGGGTTTCGGGGGCGATAAATCGATCTAGATTAGTCTTATGTCTGGGAAAACGTGTTTTCATGCGGTTTTCTTTCGCATTATTCCACGCAAAATATAGTCGATAATTTCGCACGCTCGGGCATAAGTATCATGGTCAAACGGCCAAGGTGCATTATTATATTGACAATCATAGGTGTCCGGGTTCGAATCCCGGTCGGATACAAAGGTATGAACTATTTTTGTTTTTTTTTTATATTTATTCAACTTTTTAGTTTTTTTAAAGAAAATTGTATTTTTGCCCAAAAACTCCGAGCGAAGCTCAGTGGCCCAGGTGCTGAAAGATTAAATAAAAAAAGACAGCAGCTCTTGTAAGAAGACAAATGTAGCGTCAGCGTGAAACTACTATTGCAAGTAAATATTGAGAAATATTAATTACATTTATCTATTTTTTTTTTGTTTAGCAATGATGGAGATCTTGCAATGCTATTAATAGAAGGCAAATACGTTTTTATTATTAACAGGTATATTTTATGAATAAAATAAAAATCTCTAAGACTTTTAACGATGATAAATGAATTTTCCTTTTAAAACGTCTAATTATGAAAATTAATGTTTTCTCTATTTAAAAACATTGTGTTATTTAACAAAATAATACGAGTATTATAAAAATAAAACTTACATATTTATTCACTTGCTTTATACATACCACACCTAAAACTACAATTTGTATGTCACATCACCACAAATACATATTAAATATGATAATTATAAACTTACGTATCATTAATTAATTATGATACAAAATTAAAGATATAAATATTACATAACGAAATGTATGGGGGTATTATCACGGAAACAAATTGCTACTTTGTACATAGTATCGTGATTGTCACTTCCGTTCTCTTTATTGCATTCTTTTAGGGTATCAAGATATCGAGATTTGTCCTTATGGTTCTCTACTAATTCAGCCATTTTGTCTACATTAAAGTGACCATGGTCATCAGCGTACCCTGATTTTGTAGCGAAGCAGTATAAGAAGTTTTTAAACTTTTCAGTATTCTCAATCTGCCCAGTGATTATTTTTTGTACAGTATCTCCCTCCACATCAGTTTTAGTTAAACAATCAGCAGACGCTTGTAAAAGATTAGGTACGAATTGTGGAGGGATAGTATACAAATTCTGTAAAAAAGAAATATGATGAGAATTTATTTTCCTATGATTTATCTAAAATTAATTTAATAATTTTTTACTAAATTTATATGATTTTTTTTTAATTCAGTTTTTTTACTTCAGTTTATTGTATATTATTTTATACTTACTCCTTTTCCATCAATAAGGACAATGGATTGTAATAAAATACACCATAAGAACTTCATGGTACTATTATACATATAATTAAACAGACTACTGTTTACTACTTGTGTAGCAAAGTCACTAAGACACAAGATCACAAACACAGATCGAAGTTCTATTTATATAATACCGAAGGTTGTTAGGTTTTTATTATTAATTAAACAAAGAATAGACTATAATATATTACTACCTATAAACTGACTAGCATTACCCGCGGCTTCGCCCGCGTTCAGATGACCACAAACCAAATTCTTAGGCTTTACATATTAGTATACTCTTACATTACAGTTTTTGTATTTTTTCTCAGAAATGAGATATTTTCACGCGGTAAAAAGTATCCTATATGTTGACCCGGATAACCAGCTATCACCTTACCAAATTTTATCAAAATCCCTCAAATGGTTTTTCTGTGATGCGGTAACAGACAAACAGACAGAAAAACAGGACAGACAGACAAAAATTCTAAAAACTATAGATTTGGTCTCTGTATCGACAATAATATTTATTTTAATAAGATTTTCCAAAATATATATAATGTACAGATTCGGATTAGTTACAATTTTATTATATGTATAGATTTCTAAACAAAGTTGCTTTCATGGCACAACGATGTAGAGTAAAATCACTGTTTTTTGTAAAGTGCATATTTTATCATCTCTATAAAGTAGAATAAAATATTATAATACCAGTAGTATGAATCATTAATAATAATATTTAATATAAAAAAATTGCCAACAAGGCTTGTAGTTGAGTCGGACAACATCTGTCTCCTGCCTCTGGCATTCATTGGCCGTACAGAGTGGAGCGCAAGAGTCAATTGCTAGAAAGGGTGGAAGTGGTCAATCTGCGTAATAACGGAGACACCCGCTCGCGAGCACTCTCGCGATGGTAACCATTCCTATATTGCGCCCAACGCCCTATGATGCTTTGTGGGGATCCATCTGATAGGAGGCAAGGAACCGTCAGGTATCGTATATTTATACGATCTGATAAAGTTTATCCAATAGTCCAATTTTTAGACTAGGGAGACTACAATATGTAATCCTATTTCGTTTTCCATATTTTACATTACCTCTACGTATCATCGGATGGCCATCTTTGGGCAATTCCCTATGGGTTGCTCAGAGATGGATCCCCGCTGATGCGTCAGGTCGTTATCGTCGTCGTCATCTACGTGTTTAATCTATGTCCTCGCGCAAGCCTTCCAAAGGACAGCGCTCCTTGGAAGCCGTGAAAACCAATGAGATAAAAAAATCTAAATCAGCTAGTTCATAGCGATCACCTCGCTGGACTTACATAAAGCCAACACCCGACCTTTCATTCAATTACAAGATACATCAGGACAGATAATCATTTTATTACAACTTATTATCTTTAATTTTAACCGACTTCCAAAAAGGAGGAGGTTCTCAATTCGTCGGAATCTTTTCTTTTTTTTATTTATGTTCACCGATTACTCGAAGACGCCTGAACCGATTTAGCTATTTTTTTTGTTTCAAAAGGTATATTTCCCAGTTAGTCCCATATAAATTATATCGAAATCGGTCAAGCGGTTTTAAAAAAAATCAACTATAATATTTTTTAAATAAATTGTTTAATCCAATTTGTTATTAAAAAACTTTCTTCTTATAAATTATCTGCTTATTACGTCTACACTAAAAATGGAAAAATAGAAACTTAAAAAAATCGACTTCCAGGCACTAAAATATATAAAATAACTAAACGGTGGTTTTCATTTAGAACAGATACCTAATCAGATATTTTCGAAGTCGGTGCCAGTCTACAATATTTTAAGATATGAATAACTAATAGGTAAATATGTATTTTACGTATCGAAATATATCAGATTTGCTTTGCATCGGCTGGCACCAACTTCGAAAATATCTGATTAGTTATCTATTCTAAATGAAAACCTCTTATTTTTTACATTTTATGGATATAATTTTATAGTCAAAATGTCATGAAGTATAGCCATAGGCCCTATATTTTATTAAACCACAAGATGTAGACATTACCTATCTATAGGTAGGTAAAAATTTAAGACAATGGAAATATAGTCAAAGCTAAAATGGCTTAAGTCGTTGGTGAGCAGAAATACAAAGTAGATTCTGTTGTTGATGAATGTAATAAAGCCAAATATAATGACAAGTACGAGACTGTATGCCGTATTGTTCAGTGTGATGCATTTCGATTGTTACTTGATATATATAATTATTTGGTTTATTATTTATTAGTTTAATTTTATTCTATACTTAGTTAATAATATTACTAATTGTTCCGTTTTATTCTTGTGTAGTTAGTAAATATTTACATGTACATATATGTATACTTTCTGTTGTGTGAAACTTAATATTTTAAATATATAAACACCAAAACTTTACTTGTGACTAGTTCCTCGCATGAATTCGATATTATTTTCTTTCAGTACACCATGAAAAAAAAAATTATCTTGAGCAGCCCGTATAGACAGTTGTATTACAAACCAGTTATACGCTAGTACAGTGACGAAGCCACTGCCGTCTCGAAACAATATTATCAACGCAACTTGATGATATTCTTACTTGTTTTAATAGATTTATGTGTATGTTTAATTAACTACCGCGTATGAATCCGCAGTGCACGGGAAAATCATACATGGTTTTTGTTGCGCTGTTGGTGTTTAGATTAATGTTTTAAAAAATGTCATAAAAAAATTAAATAAAAAAGAATGTCTTTACCCCAAAGTAATAAAAATGTGACAAGCGCGAGTCTGACTCGCGCATCGAGGGTTCTGTTAGAGCAAACTTTCAATTTGTGATTTATTAAGGTGAAAGTAAAATCAAACAATTAAACAATATTAATTTTATCGACAGCAAAAATAACTTTATATTTCTATAAAACAAAGTTACTTCCGCAGTCGATAAACTAACAAAATGAAATATAACCGAAAACATCCCATACCTACTTATGTCAAAAGCTACTCAAAATATTAGTATTTTGAAAGTCCTATTTTTTTTACATTCTTTTTAACTCTACACGAGAGTAAGGGTTTAGATACACAATGTTAACAAATTTAGAATCATATAGTGTAAAGATTATATGTAATAATACCATGTAGCTACATGTAGTTCCATATATGCTCTTTTTATATCTCGAATTTGACTTCACCATTGTCTTTTTACGGTTCACATGAGAATTACTTACCGTTTTCAGAAAACAACAACGACATACGGATAAAATTATAAGGCTTCTTGTTTTTGCCTATTGCTTACGGAACCCTAGAAACAGGAGTTAGGTACGTATATTAGGTTATATTATTTACTTTAATCTATTACCAAAAAGAGAAAGTTCTCAATTCGACTGAATTCTCTGTTTGTGTATATAACCAGATAAACTAAAATAAGAATAAAAACTTTTTAACAAAAAAATAAAAACCGACTTCAAACAAAAGCACTAAAAAGTAAAAAATAACTGATTGGTAGTTTTCATTTACTATACATACCTAATCAAATATTTTCGAAGTCGGTGTGCTTTGTTTTGTATGGGCTGGCACCGATTTCGAAAATATTTGATTAGGTATGTATTTAATAGGTAGGCTTTTATTACTTAGCCAGTCGAATTGAGAACCTCCTCCTTTTTACTTTTTAGTGATTTTGTTTGAAGTCGGTTTTTATTATTTAGTTAAAAAGTTTTTATTAAAGACAAAAATCGTCTGAAATCCGCCATTTTAATTTTTAACTATTTTTATATAGTCTATGTTATAATTATTATTATACATAGACTGAAACACAATACCCTCCTTTGCGTCACGCAGCCATGTACATAGAATCCTCATCGACAAAAAAAATAAAAATAATTAGGTATATCACAATATAAAAGAAAACATAAATGCTGATGACCTCTAAAAATCATATTTCCACGTACATAATAATACTGTCTAAAAATAAATTTGATATAGAAGTTACATTACTTAGTCTACTTTAAATACATAATATTATTCATCATATCCGGTATTTCTATGAAGTGAATATGTAATTTTTTTCATTTTTAATTCTCGGTTTTTTTTATTATTGAATTATATATAACTAGCTTTCGTCCGCGGCTTTGCAATAATTATGCTGCTATAAATAAAACTCACGGGGGGTTTTATTTATAGTAGCATAATAATTTATAATTGCCATAAAAAGAGATCATATCTCCAGTAAGTTTTCATTCCTCAAAAAAATACTTTTTTATTGGTACCATGGTCTCAAATAGTTTACCAAAGACTAGAGGGGATGATATTGAGGGACAATTGTCGATTTGGTTTGTCTTACCTAGTTTTGGAACTAATATTTATCCAGTGACTTTACAATACGCTGGAAATAGATCAATAAAATAAATAAATGTACCAGTAAGATGTAGTAGTGTAAAAGGTCTATTAAATATGATGTCAAGATGATGAGACAAACTTTTAGCACATATTTTTTTCTTCAAATAATCACTGATTCCATTCGATCCTGCTCTTTTGTTAAGGTTCAGTTTACGTTGTGATTTTAATACTTGGTGTTCAGGCAGGCCTAAATTATAAAATATATTAGAATACAAAGCATTATGATATTTGGTTTATTGTAACACATTAATTAGTGTCATAAATTGATGACAACTGTTGTTTAAACAGAGAACAGATAATATGAGATCCAATATTAACTACTTTGTTTTTTAAATGCTTAGTAGTTATTGGGTAGGAACCGGAGTTTTTCATTTTCTTGTTAATAAAGAAATCTTGGATTAGATTTTATTTTTTAAAATTATTTAGGTAGTTTTAATAACAAATGCTAAGTAACTTTTACGCGTCTATCTTTGAGAATACCAAAACTTAACTGAACATTGGGGTTTTTATATTTTCCCGTTATCCTTTTACCGTCTACAAAATGAGCTGATAATCTGCAAACAGCTGAACGGATTTTCTTGATTTATAGCTAAGAACACTCTCGATCAAGTCATCTTTTAAACAAAAAGCACTAAATTGAAATCGGTTCATCCGATCAATCTTAGACGGTACTATGCCACAGACAGATACACAGACATACAGATACACACATTAAACTTATAACTTATATCTTTTTTTTGCATAGGAGGATAATAAATTAACTCATACAAAAGCAAATAATAGATTTTGTATGCAAAAAAACTTAGCGATAAAGCTACTTTGAAAAAAAACTTTGTTTTTGAGGTAGAGTAAATCATTTATTCATTTAAATTGCTACGTTTTATATAATTTTTACTAACAAAAAACAGATTACGAATACCTATATAATCTTAAGTGCAATATGGTCAGAAATAATTTTCATAAAACCACAATAGTGATTACATGAAATTAAGTGTTAAATAAAAATGTTTCTAACGTTTATGATTCTACTGTTAATAAGTCTAGTAGAAGGGAGAGGGGTAAGTACAAATAATTTAAAATACTACTTTTTATACATTTCTGATACTTTTTAGACTTGGAAGTTTTTTTCGATATGATGATGATGATGATGTTCTCTTGGCCGATTCGGGCTACGGCGGCCAATCTTAATGAGACTAGCCAACTGACGACTGCTCGACACGACCAGTGAGAGTTAAGGCGCAGGACCGACGGCTTTACGTGCTCTCCGAGGCACGGGGGCGAAATACCGCCAACTTCCCAACTCCGGACTGTAACTGAGAATTACTATACAAAAAGACTAAACACTTAAATAAATATAAAAATAACAAAAAAATTCTTTGTATCCGACCGAGGTTCCCCCCACCTGGACACTTATGATTGTCGAATTTGCGCCTTGGCTGTTTGATCACGATGCTTACGCCAGAGCGTGTGAAATTACCGAACATATTTTGTGTGGAATAATGCGAAAGAAAACCGCATGAAAACTCAAAAACAGGCGTTTTCTCAGACATAAGACTAATCTAGATCGATTTATCGCCCCCGAAACTCCCTGTATGCTAAATTTCATGAAAATCGTTGGAGCCGTTTCCGAGATTCAGATTATATATATATACTAGCGGACCCGACAGACGTTGTCCTGTCTACACGTCTTTAATTTGAAAATTTCAAACTTTTTTTAATATTTTTTTTGATGAAAATTATTATTCAAATTGTGAATCTAAACCATTCCCAGATCCCCTTGAACACACACAAAAAATTTCATCAAAATCGGTCCAGTCGTTTGAGAGAAGTTCAGTGACATACACACTCACAGAAGAATTATATATATAAAGATATATATTTATATGTACACAAGAATTACTCGTTTAAATATATTAGATAGATTAGATAAGAATTCTATTATGACGTTTTTGTAACATAAATAAATTCTTCTTGCAATTATCAAGAACAAAGGAATGGTTTTAGGTTAGGTTTTTTAAATCACTTTTTTCTTTTCCAGAAGAAAAGTTATCATTATATTAAAATATGTTTTTACTAGCATTTGTCTGTTTTAATGTGTATTTTGTATATACTCGTATATACTTTATTGTGACGTCTTGTTTGTTGTAAGTCCAGATTATACAATAACTCCCTCATATATCCAAAAAGTTTTTAGTTCTCATTGTGAATATCTCATTTTAAACCGACCAATTGTCAAACTTTACCGTATCTTCTCCATTCTACACGACATTGGCGAAGAAAATTGTGTCCAAATGGCATGCCTGTAAGCCACAGAACAAAGAAAATTGAAAATATGATTTACTTAAAAACGAAATTAAACAGTAAACTGTTCTTAATATTTCTTTCTTCTCTTCATATACCAATACTTTGCATTATATAAAGATTAGTTAATTTGACCGAATTCAATAACGAGAAGGATTTTATCAAGCGCTTTTCAAATGTTACATGATTGGTATTTTGTGTAGGTATATTTAAGTACGTATAAAAATGACAAAGAAGCCAACATACAAAAAATGATTTGAGACAGTAGTGTTGTTTCTATATAATGACGTATCCGTGAACTTCTACTCGTACATATCTACGTCAAGCAATGCTGGACTTTATTTTGCGGGAACTTATTTTAAATAAAAAAAAATAATTCTTTCTTAGATTTACGCGAATATTTGACATTGTAAATAAAACTATCTTTTCGGATTATTTCGCTTATTAAAATAAAAAAAATACTTTAAATAAAACACATATAATAACTATTTGGATTTTATGCGCGATCAAATTACAACTTAAAGACTGTATTTATGCTACAATAATTAGTTTCCAACTCAAAAAGGTTCCCGATGAAGTGGGAATTATTCCACTGTTAGAGGAGGAATTTATTTTTGAAATTTATATTGGATCACCCTTGAAGTTGATTATTCTCACACTTGATCTTGAATATTTATTAAAAAAAGAAAAAGTATACATCATTTATCCCATTTTATAGAAATATTAATTACAGGAAGTTCCGGTGTGCCAGAATAAAAATTAAACTAAGGCACTGTCTCGCACTCGCACTATTCTGGTGCCTCCCTAAGTGCCTTTTACAACTGTCAATAAAAACATTGACTTTTCTTTATGTTGTTCATAGTAATTAAGGATTTAAGACATTATTTTTCTGATAGATCGAAAATTAGAGAAATTAAGAAAATAGGTAATTAATCTTTTAATATAGAATTCTTATGTAATTGTTAGATACTTATTATTATATAGTATATATAGTAGGGTATATGGTGTATATAGTATGGTACTATATTATTTAATTTAAGATTTACCTTGCCATATGCACTACGATCGAACTAAATTAAATGGTATCAGGTCAAGAGCAGTATAAGGTACTTGATTATATTGAAAGTAACATTTCCTCACATCTTATAAGGTCTATAACCTACTTTTTATTGTATATAAACCAGATATAAATGAATTGAAAATTATTATCTTAATAAAAGATCTACAGCAACAAGTAATATGAAGTCAGTTTTGGTAATTTGTGCCATAATTTCTACAGGTATCCAAGCTCATGTAAGTATGTCAATATTAAATCGTACGCTAAAATGGATATGAAATCTTCAGAATAGTCAAGTATGTAGGTCGCATATTGTTTTAAATTTCTCACAGATATACATATATATATTACTATGCATAAGTTGTTTTTCAAATGTAAATATATATTGTTATTTCAATACTTTTGTTTCAATAGATTCAATAAAATAAATGAAGACTCAATCTAAGAATTGAATCTTCTTCTCAAATTAGGTTATTTGTAATAAAATGTTAAAAAATATATAAAAACCACAAAGTCTGAGCTAGTTTTATGTCTGGGAAAACGCGTGTTTTCGAGTTTTCATGCGGTTTTGTGTCGCATTATTCCACCCAAAAAATGGTCGCTAATTCGCACGTTAGGACATAAGTATCGTGGTCAAGCGGCCAAGGCGCAACTTTGACATCCACAGGTGTCTGGATTCGAATCCTGGTTGTTTTTTTTGTATATATTAAAATTTTTATTTTGTTATTTTTTTAAATGTTTTTTGGCCAAAAACTCCGAGCGAAGTTCGGTCGCCTAAGTACTGTGTAATATGTATGTATATTTGGTAATGTATAACATTTATAATGTCCTCCTGACCGATTTCGCCCACGGCGGCCAATCTCACTGAGACTAGCCGGATGCACAGGAGATATAGTGTACACGCAGACACAATTGCACTCTCTATTCCTTTTACTCTCAAAGTCCGATGAGACGTTACTTTGACAAGACTGGTGTGAGTTGAGACGCAGGATCTACGGCTTTCCCCCTCAATGTGCGTTCACCTTTTCGTGGTGGAGAGGGGAGGAGGGGGAGTGGGGAGGAGGGGGAGGGGGGAGGAGGGAGAGGGGGGAGGCGGAGGGAGAGGGGTTCATTAGCAATTAAGAATTTGAGATATCACGCCGCTATGCCAAGGATCTGTAGACAGTACAATACGCTTTCTAAACAATATGTTGAATTAGATATCTTTTCCACTTGTTAGTTTGAATTTAAAAGTAATCTTACTAAATTCTTATCGCAACTTTAGTAGAAATGTTTAATTAAATGTGTTGTAATATGATTTGTTTCTTTTTTATCTCTATGAATAGTTTCAGATTTGTTTCTCGAAATGTACCTACGTTAATTTTTTCTTAGTTTAAACTTAGTTATAACTTATAATACTAATGTATTATAAGTTATATATTTATTAATTTATTTAGTTGTATGAGCAAGCTGTGGTCTCCTATAAGTGAAGAAGCACACTTGTTGTGAGTCTTATTTGCTTTTTGTTTTTATATGATTTTGTATATTGTGTGTATCTTTTGTTGGAGACTCTAATTAAAATAATATATATATATATATATATATATATATATATATATATATATATATATATATATATATATATATATATATAAAAAAATAAAATAAAAATTAGCGTCTGGAAGTTCAGCCGGGCGCGAAGCCAAAAAACGCATATTGAACTAACCCTCTTCTCGGTACTTCTCTGACGGCACAGTGGACCCTTGAAGCGACCCCATGGTTGTTGTGGTCCTACGGCTAACCTGCCGTCGGGGCATCGTTGTTAATTGTGCGTACATTATACATTGCGACACCATATTATGTATATATTACCGTAAAATTGTAAATATCGTTAGATTATAATCTATCTCGCAAAATTGTAAAATGTCGAAAGATTGTGAACTGCTTACAATTTAACGCATTATTTTTCAGTAGATTATAATGTATCGAAGTGAAACTATCAATTGTGAAATGGAAAAATTTACTATAGAGTTAAAAAACTATTACGGTGGGCATAATGAAAATAGTAAAAATTAGAATGGACAAATAAAGGATACAAAGTGTAATAAAATTGTTAGACGAGTATAATAATTTTTTCTAACTATCCAAAAATAAATGAAAAATTTATTATATGTACTCGAAAATAATTTTTTCATTTATTTTTGGATTCTCCTTAAGAATTTTTGTTCTAAAAGTTCCAGTCGTTTATGGCATTGTGGTCACTATTATAAGCCGATATTGTTTTATTTGTTATATTAAAAAAAAAACATTTGTTCCTTTGTAAAAAAGTAGTACAAAAGTTTAAAAACCTTATATTATTAAAAATATCTGCTATTTCTAAAAATACCAGCGGTTGCAACTATTAAGTACGGTTCTTCTATTAACATAAGAAATAATCTGTTATATCATGACAACAGTATTTAAAAAAGAAATTGGCAGTTTTTTAATTTTATGTGCTATACCAGCAATTAAACGCGGGCGAAGCCGCGGAGTACCGCTAGTTTATTATAAATTCTATTATTAATTTATATTTCATTGCAGAATGTGCACCTTTCGCATGGACAGAAGGAAAAAGTTAAAGAGTACACAGCTGAATGTATTAAGGAAAGTGGTGCAAAACTTGAAGTATTAGCGGACGCTAAAAATGGGCACTTAATTGATGACGAGGGTTTGAAAAAATTCATTTTTTGTTTTTTCCAAAAGACTGGAATATTAACCCATGATGCCAAGTTGAATACTGATGTTGCCTTGTCGAAATTACCCTCTGGAATAGATAAAGTTACTGCAGCAAAAGTACTAAATGATTGTAAAAACAAAAAAGGCACCACCCACGCTGCTACAGCGTTTGAAATATTTAAATGTTATTATACACATACAAAACAACACGTTATATTTGAAAAATAGGTTTAAAAATATTTTAGATAATTATTGATTATTATTTATTGTTATTATATGAAAAATCTGAAAGTCTATTTATGGTTAGTAAAATTGTACTAAATTCACGTAGCTGGAAGTTACTAATTGATAAACTTACTATTACATATACTTATTATTTCATTTTAAGTCGTAAAATTTCCTTTATATATAATATCTAAAAAAACAGGCAGCAAAAACTTAATTTCGGTAGATTTTGATTAAATTATACACTATTTATTGTTGGTTTTACTTATTTATTTATTTATTTATTTATTTTTGGGAAACAAACAGTGACAAAATTCTTAAAATTAATTAAAAAACTAAAAAGTCCACACACCAGCAAAGTTTTCACCTATAAATATGCCACAGGTAGAGTAAACATAAATAATTTAAACATTAAAACTATATAATAAAATTTTAACAAAAGTTACTGCAAAAACACTACAAATGACAACAATAAAAATGACTAAGTTAGAATTACAAAAAAAATAAAATAAAAAACAAATTATAAAATAAAAAAAAACACAAAAAGCAAAACTCAAACTCTAACAGAACATAATAAAACAATAATAAAAAAACATAATATGAATAGGCAATTTTAAAAACGACTTAAGGTTATGATAGAGATATTAAAGATTTTAAAAACACTTTCTTAACAATGTAAACATCTTTATAATTAAATAATTTTAAAAAATTTACCTATGCATTTTATTATAAAAATATTACATTTTCCCCTTATATATTTATATTTTTTTATTAAATTTTATTTTCCAAAATACGCTGAGGTAATATAACTCAGAAATTGTCAGAAGTTGTCCTCTAAAATATAAGAGAAAGCTAAATGACAAGGATAAAAAATTAAAAACAGTTACCTTCTTAAATAAATTTTATTTATATTTCAAAACTTATTTGACGACAAAGAAAAGAGTTTCTAATACCAAACATATTATATGTAAATAACTTAGCGTATTAATATTTCGTCATAGTATTCAATATAACTATATTTTGAATATTACAATGAAAAATAGATCATATTTTAAATAAATTAATTTGAAACACACCTAATTTGACCACATTTTTATCTCATTAACATTTTAATTTAAACCATAATGTGGAACTATCGCGGTAATAAATAGTAGCTTTATCGCCACTTCGTATTCGTATTATATATATTTTTTATATTTAATGTTTTTGTATTATATTCGCTATTCACTCAAAAACTTTTCGGCCCTATCGTACATCCATTTTGAAAGCAATATGCTCTAACAAAAGCTACTTTCGGTGAAGATTCGGGCGATGTCGGTAACCTCGGTCCTTCTGTGCATCTTATTATTTTTGTATTACTCTGAACTCGATTTTGAAAACTCTAAGCATAGTCATTTCCAGTGTTCGTTGGGTGGCCTTGAATTTTCTTATATTATCATTTATCGTGATTGGAGTAACTTACGTAACTTACAATGATAATATTTCTAATAAATCAAACTTTAATCCCTCCAAGATCGCGGACACGCCATCGTTACAGTTAACAATAAATTTCTTAGAAATTTAATGAATGTCTAAGAAATTTACCTGGAGGTGTTATGAATTGAATTATAATTAGTATATTGAAAATAAAACTTAAAGGCTAAAAAGTATCAAAAATGTATAAATAATATAAATGTATTTTAAATTATTAGTACTTACTCCTCTCCCTTCAACTAGACTTATTGAGAGAAGCATCATACATATTAGAAACAATTTTATTTATCACTTAATTTCATGTAATCACTATTGTGGTTTTTTGAGAGGCTTCAACAGGCTTATGTTACAACCAACAATTATGTCAATAAAGATTCTATTTTATTCCATTCTATACCATTCCATTCCATTAAATTCCATTCTACTCTAATGTCCTCCTAGCCGATTCCGGCCACGGTGGCCAATCTCATTGAGACTAGCGCGCAGTACACGCAGACACAAGTGCACTCTCTATTCCTGTCACTCTCATTCTCCAGTGAAACGACTGCTCACACGACCAGTGAGAGTTAAGGCGCAGGACCGACGGCTTTACGTGCTCTCCGAGGCACGGGGGTGAAATACCGCCAACTTCCTAACTCCGGGCTGTTACTGCTTACTATACAGAAAGACTCAATAACTAAATTTGGCCCGACCCGGGACTCGAACCCAGGACCTCCGGCTGTGCAGCCGTACATGCTAGCTACTACACCACCGAGGCAGTTCATTCCATTCTACTCTTCTCTACTCTTCGCTACTCTATTCTATTCTATAAAAATATATGTAGTTCCTGACTATAGTGCACTATAGGTTATATAGGTATTCATAGCCTGTTTTTTTAAATAAAATTTAAATAATTGGTAGAAGCTTTAAATAAATGAATGATTTACACTATCTTACAAACAAAATTGCAAGGTGAGCCTGTTTTATCAAAGTAGCTTTATCGCAAAAAAATTTTGCATACAGAATCCATTAATATTAATTGTATATATTGTATGCGTTAATTTATTATCCCCCTATACATAAAGAGAGAAGTTGTCAGCGGATGAACTTGATCAAGATTGTGGCTTCAGTTTAGTATATGGGACTCCTCCTCTGGAGGAGTGGTTGGTATTTTTGGATAGGGAAGTGATAGGAAGTTTAAGTACATAAAAAATATTTTGAGGAAATAAAGGACTTAAAGTCACAATACTTCTCTTTAGGCCTTTTTTATTGTTTCTTATTTTTGGAAACTTAATTGGTAAATGCGTATATTTTTTATTTTAAATTATATGTTCTTTAATACTGTTTCTTTCCCTAAAATAAATAAAAATAAAAGACAAGCGAAGCCGCGAACGAAAGCTAGTTTTTAAATATCACGCTAGTAAAAAATTTTTGTACAAAAAAATTTGTTTTAATGTATGTAGGTTATTGTACATATCGAAAAATATGAACATTCGAGTAGGTGGTGAAACCTTACAAGAAACAGAGAAGGTAAACCTGAACAAGAGATTTTACTTTCTGTAAAAATATATAACATATTCAATATATAGATAAATATGAGTTAACGTGATATAATATCATATTTATATGTCGATTTTTTAAACTGAAAATGTTCTGGTAGTTAATAACAATAAATATAATAATTACAATAGTATTGACAAACACTGACAAGTAGGTACACCAACATACACGCACACGTACGCACACATACATAAACACACATTCCTTTTTTTATTATATAAATCTAAGGCTCTCTCTCCAAAAATCTCTTAGGCTCCCCTACCTTAAATAAACTATACGAGTGAAACCACGGGCGAAAGCTATTTTTATTATTATGTTTATGCTTGCTTAATATAATTTTTATTACCTACTCATAAATAAATAAACATAAAATAACATGTTTTTGTTAATGTGCATTTAATTATAAATGTTGCAATCATATAAAAATAATTTGTTCATTTCTTTTAAGGACACATGATTCACACAAGGAATAAGTAATAAGTAGGTAAAATAATAAAGTTTCACAAATGCTTTATTATACGTGTAGGATCCAGAAAAAAGGAATAGACTGCCTCTATAATGTAATATATATATATATATATGTATATATATAGTATGTATGAGATACTAGCAGTACCCGCGGCTTCACCGGCGTTAAAACTACAAATAAATAAACTCTTTGGCTTTATGTTATAACTAACTAGCAAGCAAAAAAGTGAAACTTAATTGAAACAAATCTACTCCACAGGGACCGCACATTTTTCTGGGATAAAAGTGCCCTATATGCTATAGGTAATTATAGACTATAATTTCTATCTATGTCCATCCAGATCCGTTCAGCCCTTCTAGAGTGCTTGAGTAACAAACATCCATCTATCCAAAGTTTCGAATTTGTATAGTAGTAATAGTAGGAAGATAATGGGATAACCTTTTACTTTATAATTTACAAAATAAATTATAATTAATCTTTGTTATTGACTATATAATAGTTTTTCATATCATATCTGTCTTTTCTATATATCATATCACTGGAGAGATTTTGATGAAATTTGGTATGATGGTAGCTGGTTGATAACCAATGGGTCAACATATAGGATATTTTTACTGCGGGAAAATATCTCATCTCTGAGAAATCTATACTTGATAGCTGGTTATGGGTCAACATATAGGATATTTTTACTGCGGGAAAATATCTCATTTCTGAGAAAAGAAAACAAAAACTGCATTATAAGAGTATACTAATATGTAAAACCTAAGAATTTGGTTTTTGGTCAAATGAACGCGGGCAGAGCCGCGGGCTATGCTAGTTTAGTTATAAACTAATACAACAGTTATTACTGTACAAGTCATGTCCGCGAATGATGTTGAATGGCAATGCCGATTCTTTAGATACCAAAATTTTTTCATAATATTTATACTGAAGGGAGCAAAATTATTTAGATTGATATAGGTAGGTACAGGTAGGTACCCATTGCTGAATAAGTCAAATCTCAGCTTTAGAATTAGATGTTATCATCTTATGTTATCTTTTTGTCGATATCAACAGTGCATTTAGAACCGGATGAGCCATCTCACATCGCTATGTAATTTATAATAAAAAAAAAACATGTAAATTTAACTCTATCAAATCTTGAAATCTACAAATCAATACAAATCATACATATTTGGCACAGATTTATTATATTTAGTTGTATAATAAATAATTGCTTATTAAAGAATAGTTTGTACTGATTTAAATAAAATTTTAAACGTTTGTATGAAAAAATCATTTGTACAAAATTATAAGAGTAAAAAGGTTTATTTCTACTGAAGCCCAACTCCACAGATTAAAATCATATGGCTTCACGATGGGCTGTCCAAGCTCCCTCTTAGTCGGTATCGACATTGTACACCTAGAAGTTTATCTAGGTTACGAAAAGTATTTAAAGTTCTTTTGGTGATTATTAAAAATATATTTCCTTTAAGACATTGCCCCAGGTAAGATACCATTTTCCTTAATATTTAAAGTATTGCCCAATCACCTAAAAATATATGTAATATAATCAAATAATACTTAGTGCATTTATAGTGTGCATATAAACTTAAAATAATATTGTATTAACTTAAAAGTAAATGAACGAAATGAAAATTTACGAATGCTGTTACAAAACTAACTCCCAAAATAAACATGTCATGTGTATACAAAATTTGTTCACTCTTCGTGTGATCAATCTTTCGTATTTTCTATTTCGTGTTTATTTCAAGATACCTCATTTGGCTTTGGCCTTCTCATAACTATAAGTAGCATACATTAGATTTTTCTATAATGTATAGAAAATATAATCTTAGTCTTATGCCTGATTTCACCAACATCCCATAAGCTACCACCTACGTATGGGATCCCTAGCTTAAAAGTTCCCCTAAACTAGCCCCTAAATTAAATTTTGTTTTATCATCGTCAGAACTAGTATTTCTAGTACCTATATTTAGGTGGCATTTTAACATTTAGGTGACCCCTAACTGTCGATGAAACAGAAACTGTCTCCTAGGGCCCTAACAGCCCCGTAACCATGCTTAGGGGATCCCTTAAACTTAGGTGACGTTGGTGAAATCGGCCATTAGACTATTAGAAGCCCGTTTCGGGGATGCTAATAGTCTAAGACTAATATTACATTTTCGATGCCTAATACCGTATTTTAAAATCAGCACGATATTGTATTGTAACCGATTGGTTCAAATCAGTGAGTGCAGATGTCCATGATCTTGTTAAAACGAAATTAAGTTCTGTGATAACAAATAATTCGAACATAGATGCTGATCAAAGCCATGACTTACAGCAAATTAGACCTGTTATTAGTATCCTGCTTAATAGGTTTATCATTACTACCTAGAATATAACACAGTACATTATAATTGTATACCTAATAGTATTCTTTTATATTATAAATATATATAGCGAAATATGCCTAGTTTTTGTGATAGGTATGCTTTGTGTTACTTATGGCTATTTACTCCCTATGTTTTTTACTGGTGGTATGTCCTCAGTAAGCTCAGGTCTTCACCGCATAAACTATGTGAGTAATATCCCATAGGGACCACTTATCGTAAGGGGCATAAAATTAGATCAAGCTTATGCTACTTTGGTTTGTGGTTACCTGTAATATACATATGTATGTATTTAACGTCGATTCGTTGGCAAGAGATGGACGAATCAACAAATATATTTTCGATTTTATATTATTATTAGATAATAAGTTAAGGCCTATTAAAACTCTAAGATTCCCTTAAAATTGTATGATGTATGATTCACATAATAATTACTGTCTCCTTCCTCATCAAAGATTTTCAGTAAAACAATGGCTGATGAACTAGAGTCAACTTCAGGATGTCAGTTACGAAGACGGCGTTTAATGGGCAAACCACAGTTCGCTTTGAACCTTGACGTGGACTACCACGTAAAGGAAGGTTACAGTGGGCAAGGTACACCGTCCCCCAGTTATGTGAAGCTGACACCAAGTGCTACACCGAGTTCTGCCCGACTATTACAAGATTTCAAGAATAAACAACAATCGTTTGATATACGGGTTTGTTTATTTCAGTTTTTTTTAATAGGAAAGCTATTAGGCATAGAAAATCACATCCAATTTTGTATTATTTGAATCAGGATATTTACTACTGCTACTACTTGTTTTCCGCTTCACTGGTACCTGCACCAAAACTTTTGTAAGTTGAATATACTTAATTCGTTTTATAGTTTTAAATCATACAAATAATGTCAGTGATCATAACAGCTTATAGTCCAAGATCCTAGGGCCACCAGACGTGACGTATTTTCGTGGACAATTAGGTAGTGTTAGTATGTACCTACTAAGATCGCATGCCTACCTGCTAACTTGGTTAGACGGCCAATTTCCAGGTATCAGGTAATCAAGGTACCTACCTCAAAACATTACTTACCTCATGTACATTCTCCAAGCTGATTTTCACGTATATTTTAGACAATATCTTTAAAGTCGTCAATACTCCCAGATAGTTTCGATCGGCCGTATTGCTTTGCAGACGCTTTAAAAGTTGCACAATAATTAATTAACTTCACGTACATTTTGAAGCTCCATTTTTATATAATTTCGCCAGACAACTATTTCAAAATTTTTTACAAGAAGACAGACCGATTCAAGGGGCCAATCATACCCTAAACTCAATTTTAATGCCTCTGTAGGTAGCAAATAATAAATAAGGACAATGCATAAAGAAGTCAATTATAAAAACTTTCTAATATGTATTAATTAAGAATTAAAATTTTAGGTAGAAGATTGCGAAGAAATAGAAATTATAATAGAAAGCGATGAGGAAGGTGAAGAAGAAGTCGAAGAAAATGCAACAGCGATAGCGAATCGACCCATCACGCCTACACCCATACAAGACTTCGGTACAAGCGTGATATATATGGAAGGTAACTTGAATAATTTGATAGACTAAGGGGCATAACTGCAAAATCTACACTTTAATGAAAGATAAAACAAATAATCTTGTATTTTACATATTATAATAATATGGCTCTAAAGGACGTATTAAGAAATTTTGACGACACGTTTAGCTCAGTTTGTAGTGACCCTACTTTCTGTGCCAGCAGTCGCGGGTTCGAGTCCCGCTGGGGGCATTCATTTGTGTGATGAGCGCGAATGTTTACTCCAGTCATGGCTGTTTATATTTATAATATGTACATACGTATTTAAAGTTATACTATATATACTGTCTGGTGTCCATAACACAAACCTCGTGTGTTAATTTCCCAAAAAAAATTGACTACTTTTTTTTACTTTGATTCAGGATAGCATTTTTTTTGTAAAAACTATGAATTACCGCCAATTACGTAATAAACCTGAGACTCATCTATAGTGCCTGTCAAAAGGTAAAATACTTACATAGGTTTTTTTTTAATTTTGTTTATTAGAATTTAATGCCTACCAAGTACCTACCTAATAAATTATAGTCATGTTAAAATTATTATTTAAAAACAACGTAATTTTTCAAATCATATCTTGAGCGTTTTATTGTAGTAACAGTTAATGTTACAATAATCGAAGCTTTATTTCATTAAACTATGATATAATATTTATATTTCTTAAAAGAAATAGGTTGTAGGTCTATGCTTCGCCGCCGAGTAGCAAAAAGGAAATAAAGATTTTCATTATCAAAAACTATAGTAGACGGATTTAGAAATCGACATCCTTGACGTTAATTATTCGGCGGTCAAGCACCGGCGGCGCGACGTTTAAAAAAAAATGTACCAATGTAATGAAATATTATTTGCATCCTATTAGTCATAGGTACTTTATATTTATTCTTAAAATTACTATCTTCTTTTTATATGTATATATTATATATTATAAAAGCGAAATATCATTCATTAAATAATAACAAAATCTCAAAAAGTATAAATGCTACTTTAACTTGAATTTTTTATGTATAGACAGACAGATAGATATTTATGTATTTTTATGTATAGACTATATACCTACCTAATACTCGTAACACGGCAATTACTAGGTAGGTACGTAAATAGCGACCTTCAGTTACCAGTTGACTGTATTGATTTTTTCTTCATCAGTCGGATCAGTCAAGATAGCGTGAAATTATCGTAAATTATCTTGTTAATGCAGATCGAATAGAATCCCTTCCGATGTGCGTCCTTGTCGTTGTGGGGGCTCATTAGCGTCCGGCAATCCAGCCGGGCGTGAAGCCAAGTGACACATTTGTATAGAGGTCGCCCACTTCAGTGGGCAGTATACCATTTTTTTTATTAATAAAAGCCATAGATAAGATCTATGATCTAGCAAGTTACTCCTGGTAGTTTTCTTTGATAACAAAGTGGGTTGTAGAAGCAAGCTCATGGTTGTCGTGGTTTACCACGGCAGTCATATCGTCGGGGTGTCGTGGTTGAGTGCGTAAATGATCCTGCAGGGTCCCATTAAAACGGCGGAGGTACCGTTGGGTTTACTGGCTTTTCTAACCGAGGTCGAATAGAACAAAAGATTAGAAATAATTTTCACCTTACCAATAAAGGCGTAACTCGTCGTAAACGGATAAGCTGTAGAAAATTTTTTATACAATATAATTTTTCTCTCGCTCACTGATTGATAATAGCTTATACAAAGCCTTCTTATATAAATTGAGTAAAAATATGCAACAAAAAGAACTTACTGATAGTTCCTTATGTAGGTATTTAAATACGTATATATATATAATAATAATAATTGAATTTAATATATATTTACATTTCAGGACCACAAGCGACAGATTTCTTGAAGGTAAATGCAATAGAACAAGATTGCTACACAGACGTTTCGGATGCTGGCTCCGAAGATGAAGATGAACAGTAATAAATAATCAATTTTTATCTCACAATTATTATTGTTATTATTCAATATATATTTAAAAGAATAATTAAAATATACTTGCACTGAGAATAAATTATAAAATAAATATATTTATGTACTATTTGTTTCACTATTAGGTCCGGTTTCACTTTGAAGGTAAAGGAAAATTACACTTCTTTAAACAATTATCTTTTATGTATTAGTTTGTCTCGTGCATGTCATAAAATTTTTATGGAATCTATGTAAGTGGCACATTATTTTATAATAACCCCTAGGGTTGTAACTGAAGACTTGTATAGGTACATAGATGTTAGATACTCGTATTTATCAATTATCATGTACCAACATATCATCGAGAATGGCTGAATCGATTTTAACCTAAATTTTTTTACTGTATAAGTATATTAATATATTATATATTAATAAAGCATTTACGCATATCACCTGATCCCCGAAGTGGTGATGTGGGGCTCACCGGCTAGAAGAGCCGGTACTACTCACTAAAACCCGACATTCCCCTCCCCTCCGCCTTAATGGGACGCCGCAGGATCGAACTGTATAAGTACCTAATTAGCTGGTAAAAATTTGGATTTTATTGATCTTGAAAAGTTTCCGGATCTCGAAAATGGCGCCACCTACCTTGTCCATCTAGCTAAGAACAGATTTCGATGAAATTTGCCAAGGGTACGAATTGTCTAAGGACACATTCATACATACTACATACATATGTGTACATAGGTCCGGTTTTCCTTTAAAGATAAAACATAATTTTATATTACTTCTCTAGTTATTAAACAATAATTATCTTATGCATGTCATAAAATTTTAATGGAATATGTGTAAATGGCACATTATTTTTTACCCGACTGCGGTGAAACCCAGCGGGTTATGTATTTGACCTGTATGTACATATATGTATACTCGTATGTATGTCCGATCCTATGTTCCCTCGTAATTACTAAACAGCTTAACCGATTTTGACGATTCATACGTTATTCCATTCGTCTTGATAACGCTAATGTCATAAAGTATATAGGTTTCATTAAAAATCATAATTACATACATACGAGTATGTACAAGTTTTAGAATAGCTGCGTATGTCTCCGAGTGCATAATACTATGTTCCTTCGTCAACTTGTTATCTTTTCAACCGACTTCAAAAAGAAGGAGGTTCTCAATTCGACTGTACTTTTTTTTATGTTTGTTACCTCAGAACTCCGTCATTTATTAACCGATTTGGACAAATTTTATGTTGTTTGATAGTGTATACTTCCAGATTGGTCCCATTTAAGTTTCAAAAAAAAAATACCACCCCTAAGGGTGGAAAAATAGCTAATGATGAATTTAACCTACTTCTAGTTGTCATATTGACTTGAAACTTTGCAAGTGTTTCTATTTCCCTTGATAGTACAGTGGTTCGGTATTGTTGACCTGATCTGATGGTAAGGCCAGAAGGTAGATAGGTGGAACTTTTCAACGGCTAATAGTAGATACTTTGAGTTTGGGCTTATTTTGTTTGATTTGACAAGCCTAACACATTAGAATTCTTACTTTGCTACTACTGTCTACACTAAAAAGGGAAAAATAAAAACTTTTTAACAAAAAAATAAAAACCGACTTCAAACAAAAGCACTAAACAGTAAAAAATAACTGATTTGTAGTTTTCATTTACTATACATATTAATATAATCAAATATTTTCGAAGTCCCGTGTCTTTCCACGGGCATAAACTAGTGGGAAACAGAATAACAAGCTTAATAAGATGTTGTAAAAGGTTTTATTGCACTTACAACGTACATTTATTGTGGTCATATATCCATATATCTAGTACATATATAATACACTTCACACGACACTGTATTTAAATAATTTAATTATATCTTTTTCATAGATCCTAAAAATCACGTACAATTTAAAAAAAAATAATACGTTAGAACGCAATAAAAATCAAATTAATGTAAATAGAACGTCGTTCAGTTTATTTAAAACACACGGACAATTTCCATATGAATAATTATTCGCGCTTATTTTATATTAGTAAGGAAACTAAGGACCTATATACAAATACGAAATATAATTTATACATCTGTATATTATAAATGTGAAAATTCGTGAGTATGTATGGATGTTTGTTAGTCTTTCACGCCAGAACGGCTGAACGGATCTGGATGAAATTTTGCACAGAGATAGATTATAGTTTGGAATAACACATAGGCTACTTTTTATCCCGGAAAAGTGAGGGATACTTTTGTTATTGTTCTTCTAGAGGCGAACTCAAACCCGAGCGAAGCGAGGGTGAGCCGCTAGTTCTTATATATTTCTGAAAACTGTCTTATTCCATTTATATTATAAGAAGTAATAGTACTTATCAAAACACGTCAATTTTAGCTTTTGAATGTACAATTATCCTCAAATCAGATATTATGTATATGCAGCATTTCATGTGAAGCGAACAAAAAAAGTGAGGTTCTGAAATGAGTCGCTTAGCGGAATAGTGGCCTAATCCACAAATTTACAGAAACAGAGTTAAGTAGATATTTGTACACTAGACTATAGATCTTTAAAACTTAGTTTCGGTAGTGTTTGATAGATGGCGTTGATGAATGTTCGTATTCCATTTCAAATTTATGATTACTTTCGTAGGAAAAGCGGCCTATTATTTGATAGGCCCTCTTGCTTCAGCACTTAATAATTTTAGAACAACAGAATAGTGGCCCAACCCACTCTAGGCCACTTTAGTTATTAAAATATGGCCACACCAAAATAAAACGTCAATCACTTTCGCTGGAATATGTCACTGTCATCGTAAATTTTTCATTGTGGTTTGTCTATTTCGCGCCTAAAAGTAATAAAAAACATAGAATAATAACAAGTTTATGAAATATGTCTGAAAATGAGATATCGGAAATATCCGGGACAGATTTCGAGGATTCTGGTTCGGAATATACTCCATCTGATAAAGAAAACCAGCGTAATAGGCATCGTTCTCGGAAAAAACTTGTAATTCCTGAAAGTTCTGATGAATCTTCTGTTGAGGAAGCTAATGATGGAATTTCATCAAAAGAAGGTACGTTTTTCAAGTTTCGTAGTAAATATTTGATAAAATAAACATCAACTATAAAGTCTATAAAGTTATTATTGTAGTACTAATTTTATATTTCCTTCTTTCTAGTTGCCGAAGACGATAGCGTATGCAAAAGTCGGAAAAGAAAAAGGAACGTATGGAACTGGAAAAAGGAGAAGGCAAAACGAGCCAGGGCTTTCGGACAAGCGTACCTAAATGTGAAAGAAAGTTCTGTACCAGCAAAGATTTTTAATAGTGAAGACTGTGTATGTATTCATAAGTGTCACACCAAGCTATCGATGGAAGAAAGAAGAAAGATTTTTGATGACTTTTATGCACTTGGAAACTACAACTTACAATCTGCATTTATATTTGGGCTGGTTAAAGTGACAAATAAACTCAGAACATACACTGCACAAATTTGCAATAGACGTCAGTTCTCACGAATATACTATTTGCCTAGTGGAAACGGTGGAGACGTAAAAGTATGTAAAGATTTTTTTTTAAAGTCTTTGCAGGTATCTGATGGACGACTGACAAGAGTTCTGCGTAATAAAACAAATCCAGATTCTGAAACTACAGCTCCAATTGATAAACGGGGTACAGCTTCAGCTCATAATAAAACAAGTGAAGAGCAGATAAAAAAGGTTTGTGATTTCATAAATAAATTTCCCTCGTACACATCACACTATAGTCGAAGTAAAAACCCAAATCGCCAGTACCTATGCCCAGACTTAAGCATCACTAAAATGTATGAATTATACGAAAGAGAGTGTTTGAAAAATGGAGATGCAGTTGTATCGCAGTTCATATTTAGGAAGACATTTAATGAGAAATTTAATCTTCATTTTCGTCCACCATACAGTGATACGTGTAAAAATGTGATATATTCAATATCAAACTGAAGTATGGAAGTCCAGAAGAGCAAAGTGCTGTAAAGATTGAGAAGGAAATTCATTTACGTAAAGCTAACAAACGACAAATGCAAACACAAATTATTGCATCTATTTATGTTATTGATAATAATAGATTGGAAGTGGATACAATCAAGGATCTAGGCATAATTCTAGACGTAAAACTTACGTTCCTGCCACACATAAACGCGGTTATAAAAAAGGCGGCCAAAGTTTTGGGTTTTATTGTCCGCGTTACTAAAAGGGTTTTTAAGCCCAGTACAAAAATTATATTATATAATAGCCTGGTAAGGAGTATTTTAGAATATGGTAGTATTGTATGGCGACCACACTATTCGACACACTCTCTTAGAATTGAACGACTGCAAAAGCGTTTTACGAGGCACCTTGCGTACTCCACAGGCGTAGGAAGAACGCTAGATACATATGACAGTAGGTTAAAATACTTTAAAATGATATCTCTGACCACCAGAAGAGATATCCTCGATATGGTATTTTTATATAAAATTCTTCGTGATCAAATTGACTGTCCGCAACTTTTGCAGTTATTTAATTTTTACGTGCCTCCTCGTTTGCCTCGTGGTGTGATCAAGCCTTTGTCTGTGCCATCTCGTAGAACAGTATTGGGGGCGTATTCAGCTATACCTAGGATTATAAAGATTTTCAACAGGTGCAGTATTTCAATCGATGTATTTAACACTTCACTCAATGTCTTTAGAAAAAACATCAAAACTGTCTTTACTAATACTATTAATCTCACACACTAATTGTTAATAATAAAAAAAGCTGATTTAGCAAGAGATGGAATGAAAAATGATACACAGTATGGAAAAATATTGGAAAATGATACTAGTGTTATTGCATTTGACTTGATGAAGACACTTCCTACTCCATACATAGCCACTGGCGTAGCATACTACAAACGGCAATTGTGGACATACTGCCTTGGTATTCACAACTTGACATCAAACCAAGTGTGTATGTATGTATGGCATGAAGGCTTGGCTTCTCGTGGACCATGTGAAATTGGATCTTGTTTATTACACTACATGAAGAAATATGTAACCACTACGAATCTGATTATGTACAGTGACCAATGTGGAGGCCAAAACAGAAACATAAAACTATCAGCAATTTGCAATTACATAGTGTGTTCAAACAAGTTTACAGTAAAAAAAATAGATCACAAGTTTCTTGTATCTGGTCATAGCTATCTACCTTGTGACCGTGATTTCGGGTTAGTAGAAAAGGAAAAGAAACATAATAAGGACATTTTCGTTCCTGAAGACTGGAATTGTGTTATATCAAATACCAAGAAAAAGAGTCCAAAAATTTTTGATTGTGAAGATGATGACAGAAGACTTCAAAAGTATTGAAAAATTGGAAAAACTAATAACTAACAGAAAAATAGATAAAAATACTGACAAAAGTCAAAGAACCAAAGTCGAATGGCTAAAAATTCAGTGGTTGCGGTTTACCCATGATAATCCATACAAAATATATTACAAGTATACCAACAGTAATGATGAAACTTTTTCTCCATTTAACTGTTTTGATATTGAAAAGAAAAGAACTCGTTTTTCTTACTCTTTGACTGATATTAATCTAGATGTTTTGTACCCCAATGTCGCCCCATAGAGAAGAAAAAATATGAAGATCTATTACAGCTTTTACCATATGTTCCTCCAATTCGACATGATTTCTATCGCAACCTGAAGACAAATAATTCTGCACAAGATACTGAAGCTGACTTCTATGATGATGACCTAACCCAAGACTAACTTTCTTATTTAGTAGAATAGTGGCCTATACAACACACATTTTTTTTAATTTCTATGTTTTATACTAGTTTGGAAGCATAAAAATATCAATAAAATGATTACTTTGTATGGTCTGTTTTTTATTTTTAAATAACTAGAGAAAATACTTAAATATCAGTACTGATGTAATTCTCAGATCATTAATGCTCATTATCTCCATACTTAATGTGCAAGGCTTGGGCCACTCTTCCGCTGAGCGACACAAATTCGAACCCCACTTTTTTTCGTATCTTCTTCGCGTGAAATGCCCCTTATGTTAATTCGGTACAAATTTACAAAACCAAAAATACGTAAAATGTGTTTAGACTAGCTTTATAATAGGAAAGTGTCTATGTACGGAGAAGTCAAACTCTGGTGGCGTCGTGGAGTCCTTCTTATGACCGCCTGCTAATAGTTTTAGAACTACGAAATTAGTTTTGGCTACTTTAAGGAGATCCGACACCTGTTGACAGAAATATGGCAAATAAAAAACTGCATTTTAACAGTACACATATAAACAAATAAAATAAATATGTTGGAACATTAACACAGAACACCATCTAGTTACTACCAAAAAGACACTGGGTCGACAACTTTACATGTAGTTTGAGGCATACAACTAATTTCTCAGACGGTAGATGATGAGATTTTTTAATAGAAAAGCTCCAGGATTCGTAACTAAAATTCCATGATCTACAATTTTAAACCACTACAGCCATTGGCTACTTTTAAACAATTAAAAATATTAATAAAACGACAGATTATTATTGTCAATAAGAACATGTAATACTAACATTAATAAATATAACTTCAACATCAATAAATACGATATATTTCTCTTAGAGAAACTAACATTTTTATCAATGAAATTAAAATCTCACAAATCGAATCCAACCATACAAGTAATGCAACAAATAACAATAACGTACAAATGTAAAAATTTCTATATAATAATATGACACAATATTTAATTCATACATACCTCTTGATCTGGTATAGTGATAGTTTCTAACAACGTACGCGCTTGCTGGAAGTGTTTGCAGCCGGCCACGTATAGAATTACTGGGTTTTCATATCTAAAAAAAGGAAAACACATAAGGACTTTTAAAAAAAATGTTAAAGCAATTTTCTAAATACACGAGGTAAATGTACATAATAATATTAGTATAAATATGTTTTAGAGAATTCTAATAATATTACAAATGCGAAAGTTTGTGAAGGATGTATGGATGTCTGGATGTATAGATGGATGTTTGTTACTCTTTTACACAAAAACTACTGAATGGATTTCAATGAAACTTTGCAATATATAGCTTATACATCAGCATAACAAATAGGCTACTTTTTATTTCGAAAAGATGTATGGTCCCCGTGGGATAATTTGTTTTTGTTTGTTCGCTAGTAATTAATAAAAATAAAGTTGGCCGTCACATCTATGAAACATCTATGTTAATATTTAATTCATAATAAAAACCTTAACCAAATACGGAGTAAAATAAAGAAAAAATAGAGTTTAGTTAATAAAATCAATTTATTTTTGTTATTATTTTAATTATAAAAATAATATAATAATTACAGAATATATCCATACTAATATTATGAATGTGAAAGTGTTTGTTTGTTTGTATTTCTTTCACGTCGAAACGGAGTGACGGGAAATATCTAATTCCCTCGGGAAAACACGTTATAATACAATCCAAAAAAAAATATTTATGATCAGAATTACTTGAAACTGGCTATTAATGTTCTACAATAATAAAATTAAATAAATACGTGTTTTTGTATTTTTCGAAATTCATTCTATAAGGGGGTAAAATAGGTGATAAAAGTTTGTACGAATACCTTTTTAGCGATTTTTTGTAGTTTTAGCGCGAGGAAAGCCGCGAGTTCTGTTAGTATATTTATAAATAGAATAGAACATTTTTTTACCGTTTTTTTTTTAATTTTGTGACTGTTTTACAATGGAGTGTGTATAGTATACGTGAGCTGTGTGCGCGCACGTACACTATACACTCCATTGTAAAATAAAAGGCTCCTTGCATTTTTAGTAGAGAGCGGTGACGTAGAACAGCGTCACGCCACCGTTTTTGTAATACCATGAGTCGGTTTTATTGCCAAGGCGCGCCTTTAGATGTTTCACATCAAAATTAGTTGCGTTGACATATTTGAAGCATGATTTTGAGGGTAGTTAAAAGACGGTTAAACTAATGTGGCTACTGGATATCTGCGCCTTATGATTTCCGATTTTAATGGTTCATTTTTATTTGAAAGGTAACTTTAAATTAGTCTCATAAAAAATTAATGGAGATCTGATGAGTATATTTGGCGTGATGAGCAGAATAACTCCTCAAAATACAGTTTGTATTCGCGAAGCCCACTGTTTGCAGAACTACTAGTTCATATACTATATTATCAAAGAAAATCCCATTTACTACACTTATCCGACCCGGGAATCAAACCCAATACCTTATGATTTTCAGCCAAACATGCTAGCCACTAGACCAGAAAATAAAAAAGCAAGAGTCGAGAACAATATAATGTAATAGATAGATGTCATATATAACGTCACTACAGTAGTAAAGTATCACTTACTGTAACGGTTGAGTCATTTCGCAGAACTCGTGGTAGTGGACCTGCGGGGGAGTGAGCACTGACAGCGGCGCAAATCTATGTTTGTATCGCACCGCCTCGTTGTCGAACTCCGATTGAGGCTGACGGATCTTGCCTTGCAACTTGAATGCCACTAGTGCCTGTGAAATATATACATATTATAACTATATATATATATATATATATATATATATATATATATATATATATATATATATATATATATATATATATATATATATATACACACACACATATAAAATCCGAATCGGTGCCCACAATCTAATTGAGAAACACCATCTAGTTCCATGATACGCTACGAGGCTTGTGTTATGGATACCAGATAGTTGATACACTACAGATATATAACTTTTAAATTATAAATATATATAAACACCCATGACTAGAGTACAAACATTCGTGCTCATCACACAAATGAACGCCCCCAGCGGGAATCGATCCCGCGACCGCTGGCACACCGAGTAGGGTCACTACAAACTGAGCCAAACGTGTCGTCAATATTCATACATGACATACATATAACGTCACATACCTTAAAATATCCACCGTATTACATGTTCTGCATGACCTGGCACATGGGACCCTCGCGCGCGTAAGGCCGACTGCGTTTCTTCTTCTTGTCTTGTTAGGTCTTTTTTTATTTCAAACCCAGAACTCTACTATCAAAACTACTAACACAACGAGAATCCAGCTGAATGCTGTTCATACATTACATAATATATACAACATGACATACCTTAAAGTATCCACCGCACATGTTCTGCATGACCTGGCACATGAGCCCCTCGCGCGCGTACGGGCGGCTGCGTCTCTTCTTCCTCGCGCAGCTCTTCTTGTCCGCCCTGCGCTCGCCCGCCAGCCCCTCCGCGCGGGACAGCGCCGACACCAACCAGCCGTACAGGAACTCGTATAGATACCTGATTGGTTATGTTATGTTATAATATAAAAATATTATGTTATAATATTTTTAAATCTTACCTGAACAGGTTATCGAACCAACTATAATTACAGTAAAATGCACCTTCATTATTTCGTGGGACTAACCGATAGTCTGTGATAAGGATAAAATCTCTCAAAAAAACATTGCATCTTACAATTAAAGAAAAACATGAACATGACTCTAACATCGTGGGACAAACACAGGGGACATGGAAGAGTATAATAAAGCATAATATGTCCTTCTTTTTGATAAGAAATTCAGTACATTAACTACGTACATACAATGTATATATTATACATAAATTGCGATATAAAATAACTCATTTATAAACATAATATATTATTCAGTGGAGTACAACTAAAGGCTTGTCGGAATGGAGGCTAGCTGCTAGACTAGTGTAACAGTGAAATATCATTTAGTTTCAAAAACTTTGCATGTTAACAAGCTAGTTACATACACATGCCTCGAGAGAATCTCTGATATATTAATTCCCACGATTCAAATGATAAATAGACATTAACGTCACCGAGACGAAAATGCCGAATTGCAAATAACAAATATTATAATTTTATATAATTTTCTCATTATTCTAATAAATTAATCGAGTAGGTCAAACATTCATTTTAGATAATAAGTTTCATTTTTAAAGTATTATTTTATAATAAACTAGCATTGCCCGCGGCTCCGCCCGCGTTCAGATGAACAAAACTAAATTCTTAGGTTTTACATATTAGCATAGTCTAACATTGCAGTATTTTTATTTTTCTCAGAAATAAGATATTTTCCCGCGATAAAAAGTATCCTATATGTTCACCCGGATAACCATATATGATCATACCAAATTTCATCAAAATCCCTCCAGTGGTTTTTCTTTGATGCGGTAAAAGACAGACAAAAAACTATAGATTCGGTCTCTGTATCGATAATAATGTTTATTTCAATAAGATTTTTCTTAAAATATTTAATTTCATCTATACTAATATTATAAAGAGGTAAAGTTTGTGAGTTTGTGACGTTGTAGGGGATAGCCTTTGGATCTACTGAACTGATTTAGATGAAAGGTAAGAAGATAGTTTGAGACCCCGGGAAGGACACAGGATACTTTTTATCCCAGAATTTATCGCTTAAGGGAGTGAAAATCCTAGTGGGATGAAAGATTGTATTGGGAAGTTGTAAGCTAGGGACGAACCCGAGCGAAGCGAGGGTGAGTCGCTAGTGGTGTATAATATAATATTTCGATAATTACCAGAATATATAATGGTACTCGTGCACGCTGTACAGCTCGAGCTCGAGGCCGGACAGCAGGTACGCGATCATGACGCGCAGCACGTGGTACAGCACCCACGTGCCGAAGCACGCGCGCCCGCCCGCCGCCGCGCCCGCGCCCGCGCCCGCGCCCGCGCCCGCGCCCGCGCCGCTCACCAGCGCGTCCACGCTCTCCGCCTACGCACACACACATATTGTATTTTATTCAGCCTTTTTTAACGTCCCACTGCTGGACGCGGGCCTCCCTTAATACCAGGGGGATCAGGCCAAAGTCCACCACATTGGCCAACTGCAGGTTGGCGGAATTCACATGTCTTTCGAAAACTTGCTAGCTTTTCTCAGACATGCAGGTTTCCTCACGATGTTTTCCTACACCGTTAAGACAAGTGGTAATCATGTTGGAAATGATTCGCACATGAAAATATCAGAGGTGCGAGACCTGGGATTTGAACTCGCTTCACTCGGTTTCCCAAGCGAGCGCGTCACCACTGGGCTACCACTGCCTACATTGGGCTACCACTGCCATACACACATATACAAACATTTAAATACGGTTTAGTTATCTTTTATTTAATTATTATCAACTAATTTTAATCCACGGCTCCGTTCTAAGCATATATGTTAGTATAAGATACAAATTAATCATCTCCAGTCCATCTCCACCATACTTACCTTAATTACACATTTTACAAACAAACAACTGATCTATAGGCAAAATATCTATGTCTTAATTACAAAGCATGGCATTCGAGACACCATAAGGCATAAGGGTTTCACAAACATTACATAAATAATAGGACAATTATCGAAAATCTGTATGTGGGCGCCGGAAGGGGGATGCAAGGGGGTGCGCTTGCACCCCCTTGTCATAAACAAAAATATATAGAAAATGTTAAAGAAATAAAATTATATTAGGGATATCCCTGTTTAATTTTTCAGAAAATTAGTTATCTGCCAAAAAAGATAAAAAACATTCCGTACAAATATTTAAAAACAATTTTACATTTATGAGCAAAAACTATAAACTTTAAGTTTAAGTTTAAACTTTTAATTTAAAGATTAGTTAGTACATAACTTAGTGAGAACAAGCAAATGCACCATCTGGAAATAATTCTGCCACCGCCCATGTGTATGTTTAAATCTTCTTTACGCCAAAACGGCTGGTCGAACTTGGATGAAATCTAACCAGATTAACAAGAAACTGACCAAATAGGCCACTGCTAGGACGCACCCGAGAAAAGCAATGGTAAGTAGCGAGTAGCTAGCTATAGTTTGTTTTTTAGACTCAGAGACAAAACTGGCATTACGTGGGATGCCAGTTTTTTTTTCAATTCTTAAATAATGATGTGCCACTATCGAAAATTAACGTTAATAAAATCAAGTATCGTTTTTTTATAATAAGTTACCCTGAAATAATGTGTAGGTACTTATTTAAAACGTAATAATACAAAATTAACAATGCAAATTTAAATTTAATAATGTGAATTTAATGTTACACTTTGGAATATAAAACTTTGAAGTGAATCGTCTAATAAAGATAAAAAGTTACGGTTCAACAAACCGGTATCGTAGGTACAACACTACACAGAAGAGCAGGCAGCATTATTTGTAAATTTGACATTAGCATGTGTCAATTTAGTCTCTGAGATTAAAAAATAGACTATAGTAATAAATTAAAAAATTAATAGGTTATAACCTCCTCTTGCAAGGCAGCGAAGTCGTCCAGCAGTAAAGCGAGCTTGTCCCGCTGCCGCGCGCGGTTGTGTCCGCACACCTGCACTAGCACCGCGAACGGACGGACACATCGCAGTAGGAAATTTTCCACAAATTCACGTGCCTGTAATATATGTATATGAAATTTAAAATATGTAATTAGCAGCTCCTTTAGAGGTAACAGTTCAATTTAGAAATAAAATGTAGTTCAATTTCTGTATAGGAAAAACATTTGTGGTTAAATGACAAACAGCACTCATTGTTTAGGAATCGATTGAAAGTATGCTATCATATGTTACAATGGAATTCTCTTTTAATGTGTCATTATATTAATTACTAGCATTGCCCGCGGCTCCACCCGCGTTCAGATTACCGAAAACCAAATTCTTAGGTTTTACATATTAGTATATTCTTACAATGTAGTTTTAGTATTTTTTTTCAGAAATGAGATATTTTTCCGCGGTAAAAAGTTTCCTATATGTTGACCCGGATAACCAGCTATCACCATACCAAATTTCATCAAAATCCCTCCAGTGGTTTTTCTGTGATGCGGTAACAGACAGACAGACGGACAAAAATTCTAAAAACGGCCTCTGTATCGATAAAAATGTCTATTTCAAATAATATTTTCCAAAAAATATTTAATGTACAGATTCGGCTTAGTTACAATTTTATTATATACATATATCATATATATATAGTGGGTAGCTAAGGAAAGGCTAAATTATCTATACATAGATAATTTAGCCTTTCCTTAAATACCCACTTCGGGACAAACTCAATCTATTCCTATTTTAGGTGTTGAATTTATAATATAAAACGCACAATAATAACTTCATTAGACCAGTAAGTACTCTTTGCAGTGATTTGGCAGCCAACCATAAAACTTTTCACTACATCGAAAAAAATATTTGAATTTACTTTTTCTCTGCATTTGAGATAAAGCAAATTCAAAAGAAGGAACCTGAACTGGTGAATTTACCCAAACCGTCTTGATACTATTAGCTGGAGGGTTAACAAAAGCTCTTGACACTCTTCCATTGTACGCTTAAAAACCTGAAGACGCCGGATACCAGGGTGGACAAAAACACCAAAACAAGGTATTCTTACAAAATCTGTTTATTTTCAAAAGAAAGAAAAACTCTAAAGCTGTAGTATTTGCTAGAGGAAAAAGGCATAAAATGGTCGATTAGATCCATTATGAATGGATATTGCCTATTCTTGACACTAACTAGCTGAGGGGTTAACCGTTGTGCTAACAAATGGTTTACAAAAACTACAGTAATAATAATAGAAAAGAGTAACAACCAGTGTTGGAGGGTTTATAAAGGTCTTAAGTTTCTCACTGTATCGCTAACAAACCTGGAAAATAGAGACTACCCCACCCTAGCAAATAAAAAAACACAAATCAATGGATTAGGCCTACTCTTGACACTAACTAGCTGAAGGGTTAACCCTCACGGTCGCAAAGCCTAATAACAAATTAAAGAGTGCGTGTATGGATGTGTAAAAAATAATTAAATAACGCATATTAGGCATATTACAATCATATATTTATAGAATATCATTTAAGGAAAGCATATAATATTATATATAATTTTTCAGTTAATAACAACAGTTACCATGGCAACAAAGCATACTCCCCAAGTGAAGCGTGCGTAAAGAAGTTTTACTTCAAATAGTACAGTAGTGATAAAAGAAAACAGTACCAACCGGTGGATTAGGCCCACCCTTCCCACCAATAGCGGGGGGGTTGACGAAGCTCTTGACACTGTCACGCAGTATGTCGAGGAAGGCGGCGGGTCGCGGCGCGGCGGCGGCGCTGGCGGGCGACGGGCTCAGGTACAGCAGCTGCAGCGCCGAGCGGGACAGGATACAGGCGCGGGACCGGCTGAACTCCATGAAGAAGTCCTGTTGTGGGTTGGTTATTTTTAAGGTTATACTTCTTTTGGCAAGTTTGGAAAAAATATAAGAGTAAAATTTTTACGATGCGCGCGCACTCTGACAGCCAAAAAGCGACATGATGAAGTTAGCTGATAACTGTCTGTCTGGTTCCTATGAAAACTCATTCAAACTATATTCAAAGTAGTTTCTCAAATATTTATAAACCTATAAGAAGCCTATAATCAGTGGAGATAAAAAAATGTACTTATTTTCATTAATTTATCATTCCTTTACAAACAGAGAGATGCGACACACGGGATGAAATCTTTAGCTATTTTTGTTATGTTTCTTGCGTGCGTACATAAGCCCACACACACTTTTTTTTCTTATCACTTTCATAGGCAAAGGTTCATCAATAATAATAATTGCTTATAAAGAAAAAAACAATCCAAATTAAATATCTTATAAGGAGAACAATGCACAAGAGTAAAACCATACCAAAGCAGTGTGAAAGTTGGTGCACGAGGTGATCTTCCAAGCGTGTCTGAGCCTTGACACTAACTCGTCGAAGTACTGCAATGCATCTGCACGAGGCTTGATGCGTGTGTAGCGCGGGAACGTAGGCGGCAGGAGGCGCTGGTTAATCATGGGCTCGAATCCCATGGGATTTGGTGTGTCAGCTGGAATGTCATCAATTAAGGTGCTTATAAGTAAAGCTACGACCATGTGCCTTACAATAACCTATGTGTTACTCCAGGTCACATATAGTATATCTGTGAACTCAATATTATCCGAGTTCGTCCAGAGCTTTCAGCTCTTTAAGGAGTAATAAGCACACATGCATACATACGCACAAACCTTTGAATTTATGATAATACTTGCGACTTATACTCACTTTACTTGGATGCATACCATAATCTGTTCAGTTATATTTTAATGCATCTATATTATTACCTTTTAATTGTTTCTGTTGTAATTTTTTTAATATTTTAATTGTACTATTAATATTTTAATTTATATTTTCTTGGTGTTAGTAATAAATATGCGTGAAGAAGTAACTTACAAATGAATACATATACACAATTCGGCAATCAGAACCGTAGGCAAATTTGATAAACTTAACAATATATACAAATAGGTAAAACAGTCCAAAATAGTGTATAAGGCAAACTAACACATATCTTCCATATAAATAAAAATGAATGTTCCTATGTTTGTCCTCTATGTGTTCTTAAACCATTGATCTGATTGTGATGAAACTCTAGTATTATCTAGTATGTGCCTGCGAAGGTGCTGGCACAAAAAACATTATTTTTTATATTTTTGTCTTTTATGCATATTTCACGATTAGGTGAGCACCGGAACAGGGCGAGGGTAGGTCACTAGTTTAGTATACAATATTGAGTTTTATAAGCTTGTATTATCTACTCAATCAATTAAAATAGAACTAAGATTTGTTTTTAATATATTTTATTTTTGCCTTTGTTATTGCCTTTATTACATTGATCCAAAGAGTAACAGACAGTATTTTTAAGTTTATTCTAGGGCAAACATCTATAAAAATATATACAAAATAAACAATAAGCAACTTTTATTGCAGTGCCATTTTGTCATCCATATTAATATTATAAATGTGAAAATGTGTTTTTTCGTTTGTCATTCTTTCACGTCGAAACGGAGTGAGGGATTGGCGTAATTTTTGTGTGGAGATAGTTGGAGGCCTGGAGAGTGACATAGGGTACTTTTTACCGCGGGAGTTTATCTAATTCCCACGGGATAACACGTTATAATACAATCCAAAAAATATTTATGATCAGAATTATTTGAAACTTGGTATTAATGCTCTTCAATAAAATTAAATAAATACGTGTTTAGCATTTTTCGAAATTCATCCTATAAGGGGGTAAAATAGGGGATGAAATTTTGTATGAAACTACCTTTTTAGATATTTTTTTGTAGTTTTAGCGCAAGCGAAGCCGCGGGTTCTGCTAGTAAGATAATAAATCATAACATAAAAAACAAACAAGGCAAGAAAACTTACAGTTTTCACCAGGTTGAGTTCCTTTTCCAATTGTTTTTACTATAACTTTCATCATTTCTGAACATCCATCCAATAGAGCGACACAGTCTGCTCCAGATTGTGAGTCTCTCTTGGTTATTAGTAAGAGAGCTTGGTAAAACATCCTTGTAAATCGTATTCTAACTGCTAGCGCGGCCCACAGATCATAACCCTATGAAGAAATATCAAAGAACTAAATAAATTAGCACATAATCTTTATATATATAATACTTCTGTGAGTGTGTATGTCACTGAACTTCTCTCAAACGACTGGACCGATTTTGATGAAATTTTTTGTGTGTGTTCAAGGGGATCTGGGAATGGTTTAGATTCACAATTTGAATAATAATTTTCATCAAAAAATTTATTAAAAAAAGTTTGAAATTTTCAAATTAAAGACGTGTAGACAGGACAACGTCTGTCGGGTCCGCTAGTCATAATATAATTGAATTATTTCTGTCAATATGTTAAAAGAGGTCAAATGTTCAACTAAACATTCAAATAATATAATAAAAAAGCTTACTTCTTTTTTTTAAACATTCTAGATAAATATGTGTCAAGAGTAATTGGATATTTGATTATTTTCAAAGTCTCATGTTAAATTTAAACTGCAACAAATATATAGATCAAAAATCTTTATATTAAATAAATAAAACAAAGTATCATATTAAAATTAAAAAATACATACTTCATCTTCGTGGCTTATAGCTTTTTTAGGTAATTCTTCTTCTTGTTCCCTCAGCAAGGCAATACACTTTTGTTCACTGACTTCAAGACTAGCATCATAACTATTGCCCATTTGTGGATTTGAGCCGAGACGATAACCATAGCCCATCGGCAGAAAATCTTCTTCTTCAAACACTTGAGCTCTAAAGTAAAAATATCTTAAATATTACTTATACCTAAATTATATGCTAGAAAATATATTTTTTATAAACTATATAATCTTTTATTGCAAGGCGTACAGAGTCTCAGGTTAAATACATAATATCAAATTAATAAAAATGGTTAATAAAGAAACTAAATTGAAAATTTTAAATTCTAAAAACAAATAAAATCAGATTATCTTATAATTTTAAAAATAAAAAAATTAAATAAGGATATTCATGATAGTTAAAAAATAACATACTTTTTGATACAATCTCTGATACAATCCAATAACTTATACACTGCAATACAATATGCCTTTAAAGTCTTATTTATAATAGAATGTGGCTGATGGAGATACAAATTTGTAAATACTGTCTGAGCCAGAGAATGTCCCTCCAGCCAAGAAACTATGCAGGCCATTGTTGAATCTATGATACCAATTATCTCACTTGGCTCTAAGTCATCTATTTTTAGTTTACCACACTGAAAAAATCAAATGTATATCCATAATTTTCAACATAAACTCTAAAAATAATACATTTATTTAGTGTTGTTTCCAAGTAGATAAATATATGCATTCTCTAATTTATAACTTTATAATAAAAAGATACTAACAGCAACAGCTTGTTGGAAGTTCAAAGGTTTAGGGTTGCCCCTATTACATAGCATCCCTGCATCCATCTTTGGGTCCATCATCTCAATGGCTGACATTGCTTCAAATAATCCAAATAAATGTCCATCATGGAGTAATTCTCCTAATTGTAAATCTGAAAAAATAATTAAAATAATAATATTGTAATCACTAGTGAACTTTTAATTTAGTTATATATTTCAACTCTCACCTTGGATGTGCTTAAAGAACTCTGAAGTAATGTCAACCCAATTATAGGTGACTTCTGGGGATGTTGGCAAAGATTCCATTGTCCTGTATAATTTATATGAATATTATATTGAAAATGATTTGATTCAATCTTTAATCGTGTTTTAATTGTAGAGATATTTACTATTACACTATTATTAAGTATATTGTACACTATTATTTAGTAGAATATGTGTGCTGGTAATTATAGTAATAATTACCAGCACACAGTATACAAAACATACACTTCTATATATACTATTTATAAATTAAACAAATACACTATAAAAAGTAATCAAACAAAAATAATAAATACGTATGTAGAATATAGTATAAATGCGGCCAGTTAATAATAATAACAAATTAAAACAGTTAAAGAATATATTGTAAAATAGATAATGATATTGCACAAATCATGTTTATGTAATATAATAAAAATAGAAATAAAATAAAGAATTAATATCTAATAAATCTAATGAAAAAGAATATACTTTAAAATAAAAGATGACATGCATAACTACTAACCCGTCACCATCATAAAAATCACCATTATCATCCATAATTCAAAGCAAAATAGTATCTACTAAAAGTAAGAAAATATATTACCATTTAATTTTGGTTATAAATACTACTGAAAATATTACAAATTACAATTTTTTTTAAAGCCGCTACTGACAGAAATCATCTAATATTGTCATTCATGGATGACAAATTGTCAAATAGTCAGTTGTCACAGATTCAAAAAATCAAGAAGTCAATTACAGATAAAACATATTACAGATTAAATAAAACATTAAATTAGGTGCGTTCGATTTCTAAATCACAACGGCAAACATAAATTACTATAATGCTTAGTTGTTTCGAATATTTTTACCAGAAACAAAAATAATATTGAAATTATTTTAGTATAATATAAAAAACGAATCGAAGATTTAGAGTTTTACTCCTTTTAAAATTTTATACACATAGATATAAATTTCCCTAGTCCCAATTTACAAAAGAAACTTCCGGTTTACTTCCACTATTATCAAACGTTTACGATGAATTAATATTAGTGTATTATCGATTGGAAAATCATTTACGCATACCACGTGCATGCAAATAGTTATGTGGTTACTCATCGTTCAAAAAAGCCAGTTCTACAAACTATAGCTTGCCCTCATAGTACACCTTTCGACGCGCATAATAAGTGCGTGTCTTGATTTCAAGCTGGACGACTGGATTGCGAGATGCTATCACCCACACAGTTTTAAGAAAAAGCTGATTAGGATTCCGCTCAAAAAAATTAAAACGTACCTAGGGACGAACCCGAGCGAAGCAAGGGTGAATTGCTAGTATTTATTTAAATTTTGTGAGTAGACACCGTTTGTAAGAGCTATGACAATTTTTATGACCTTAAATACTAATAGTCTCTCCCTTGACAATGTCTGCTGTAAAACATCCAAAAGGTCAGCTTTCAAAAAACAAATGAAAATAGTTTGATTTCAACGAAAAAATCGGACGAGAGATGCGAGTCTTACACTCCGAGGGTTCGGTTCCGTGACATGAAATATTAAAATATATTTATAATCGCAAAATAAATATATATTTTTTGTGATTCTGTGCTGTTTGTTTTTTGTGTACTGTGGTGTTGCTCCTTTATTTTATTTTTTTATTATAAGAGAAGCATATATTTTCGAGATCAGTTGTTTTTACGTAACAGAAAGTGTTTTAGAAGTATTACCACTTAAAAAGATGGTCTTAGATGGAAATTTTTCGATTTCTCTGCTGCCGCTGTACATTTCATGGAGCCTAATTATACTTTTAACTTGCAAACGAGTAGTTATACTGAAGTGAAAATTTATGACTTTTTAGAACGCTGCAATTACCGAGTTGTAATTCAGCCATACTAATAAATCTAAACCTCGTAAAATTTGCTAATGATGATGAATATAAAAATCATAATTATTTTCGTCGTGATTGTCAAATTAAACGAACCTTAAGTCTTGTGCTCTTATCTATATTATCAATGTTTATTAAGGTATTTTTGTGTATAAATTTAATTGAACAAGTACCTACAGAACGTTTATATTAAATGTAAATTTTAATTCATCTTTATGTGAATTGTAAAAGCATTGCCTTTTTTTTGTTTTTAAAATGTTGACTGGATTTTAAAATACACATGTAAAAAAAATATATTCTTTAATCGTTTAGATACGACCAAATCAGATCAACGTTGGTAATTGACTAGAAAAGTATGATAAATGCAACTAATGCAAGTATAAAAGACAACGCCAAAGAATATTAATATATTGTATCCACTTCTTTTCATATTGTAAAAAAATATAGTACAAGTTTTAGACATTTTATTTTATAATTATATATAGTAGATAATAGATATGTATATACAAAAATAGTGTTAAATTATATTTCTAGGTTAAGACTTAGATGCGATTTCATTTATGATTAGCATTTATTACATTATAGGTATGTAATTGATATTAAACTGAAATTAAACTAAAATAAATTTAACTGAAATTAAATGCTTTAGATAATTAATTTATTTAAAAGTATTTTATTTTTATTTTATAATATGGGTTTAATTAATACCTTCTTGCTTAAAATGACATCAAAATATTTGTTTGAGAAGATTTTTTTACTAGGACTACGAAGCATATTTTTAAGACCTACAAATTATTGAACAGTATAATAAACAAGTTTTTTTCATTTCATTTTAACGCTTAATATAGATTTTTCAGAGATGAGATATATTTTGCCGCAGTAAAAAGTACCTATTCTATATGTTGACCCGGATATCCAGCTATCATCATACCAAATTTCATCAAAATCTGTCTAGCGGTTTTCTCGTGATGCGTTCCCAGACAGACAGACAAGCAAAAATACTAAAAACTATGAATTCGGCTTCTATATCGATAATAATAAATTTCAATAAGATTTTTCAAAGAATAATTCATGTATACATTCGCCTCAGTTAGAATTTTATTATATGTAGATTATTAATTGACGTCATCGTCCTACGATTCAATTAAACATGAAGTAGGAAGAAATATTCTATAGGTAAAAAATACTATACTATCTTTATATTATATTATATACACAGCTATCCAATATATTTTTTTAATACTATCATAACAGTTTAAATATTTTTTATATATATTTTATACTATTTCCGAATAAGGATTTTGAAGTCGTTTCTACATCGTCCGTGACAGGATCGTATACGTCAGCATTTAGTTGAGCTTGTTCAGTAGTGGTCTGTGGTTCTGTTTGTACTGCGGGTTGCGCGCCGCCTGGTTTAGACAGACCGACTCCACCCGCACCCATGTCCATACAGTCAAAATGAAGAATCTGAATATAACAAAAACATATTAATAATATCTAACTTTAACATATGGTATAAGATATTGAATCTTCAAGATTTTATACTTTATGAAGTTGAAAAGAAAAACTTTATCTCTCCATGTACAATCTCTATTTTCAATAGTCAGTAATAGATGGTCAGACTCACTAGGCTACGTGGGTACATGGTAAATTTCTAAATATCATTTAGGATGTCCAAAACCTTATTAAGAATAGAATGAACATAAATAAGCAATCACTTTGAAAAAAAAAAAAATATATATATATATATTAAATAAATATATCAATATTTTTTTAAGATGTGAAAAACTTACTACGACGGGTGCTTTATCTATTCTTGTATCCATGTCCATGCAAACATGTAGTTTTTGGTCTACTATTGATATGTCATAGAGCCTCACACACATATCCATTAGGCCTGGTGGTAAATATGGTACTGGTACTGGTATGCAAAGTGGCGGCGGATTGCGCGCTAAAAATTAAAAAAAAATATGTCATATATACTTTATTTATATATGTTTATTTTATCCCAATTTTACACCACACAATCTTAGTTACTTAACAAAATATGTAATTAAATATCTTATAAAATGGCTCTACTAAATATTTCTCACGTAGTCTTAATATTTTAATTAAACTTTAATTTAGATTGGATGATGTAATTCAATTGTTTTGTTCAATGACTCCTAGGAGTACCGTATGGGCAAAATTTACGTCGCCAATGTCGCATAGAAAAGAGAAGAATGAAAAAAAAATAACCAAAAAAAATTGAAATTATTTTTATCACGAAACTTAAAATAAAATTAGCAAGCTCTATTTTAGGGTTCCGTATCCGAAGAGTGCTAACGGAATCCTATTACTAAGTCTTCGCTGACCGTCCGTCTGTCTGTCAGAGGGCTGTATCTCATGAGCCGTAATAGGTAGAATTGAAATTTTTACAGAGTATGTATTTCTTTTTAACAAATAATAAAAAAAAAGTACAAGTAACATTTTTTTAACTTTCGTAATCAGTCATCGGAGTTAATATACTACATACAGAGTAAAAGTCATATTAATAAAAAGTACATGTACGATAGTACGGAACCCTTCGTGTGCAAATTCGACTCGCTATTGACCGATTTTATTAATGTTTAAGCAGATCAATAAATTCAGTCGCTGCCTAATGATTAAAATTAAAAAATATTGAATTTAAAAAATATATACATAATATTTTAATTTAAAAAAAAACACCCACTCCTAGATGAACAAAAAGATTGAATTGAATTTAAAAAATATATTAATCATTTATAATAGGTACGTTAGATGACCAAAGTAGAGTTTCAATTTTATTATCTGCGTTAATAATCATGATAAACTAAAGAAAGACACGCAAAGACTGATCACTTACTTGAAAAGCTGTCGCGAAATACACTGGCATTGTTCATGCTTACTTCCAAATCAACGGTTGATTCCACTGGCTCATACGTTAAAATAGTACACGCTAAAAACATAATAAATCTTTTTATTAAATCAGACATAACTTTCACAATATTTTAATGAAATAATTAAAAAAAAACACTTTAATTGACATCCTTTAAAAAAAAAAACAAAAAATGTGCATTGTGCATGTTTCACGCTTCAAAACTCGCAAAACGTCAATCAAAATATTGTTTAAAATAACAGTATGAATTACATTAACGAATATCTAATACTAGCAACTTATCCTCGGTTTGCCCGCGTACGTCTTTAGACGACTAGCAATACTAAATTTTATTCAAATTAGTCAAGCCGTTTTAGCATGAAGAACAGTAACGAAATAACAATGCAAGTAAAAGGATGATAGATGAAAAACAACAATTTATTTACAATAATTTAAATTGGTTTGGAAATTCAATTATATTTTTAACATACTTACTTCGCCTATCAAAATTAAAAGCTTGTATCCGAATACCAGTACAGCATCGGCATTGAAGTCCTTCACATTCACACGGTCCGCCTCTAAAAGGTAATCTCAATAACCACCCCGGCTTGTACCATGGTCTGGGCATCATTTTTTTTATTGTCTGAAACAATTATTCTAAAGTTAACATAATTAAAAAAATAACAGTTATTTACTAGTTAATACATATGTTTCTAAGAACTGATTTTTTCCGACCACGGCAAAGCCCAAAGAGAAAATTCTATGTTCCCTGTAATTACTAAGCGACTTAAACAATTTTGATGATACATAAGTCGTTAGATACGTCTTGATACAGTAATGGATAACATTTTTTTTTCTCCTAAGCCTATGGAGCGGAGCATCAAAACAAAGATTTTTAAGAGGCAATCACAAAAATATATACAAGTTACATGTTTAAAAACAATTTAGGCTTACAAATTGTTAAATAAAACTCCAAATGTCTATCTGGCCAAAACTAAAAAGATTTAAATAAAAAATTAAATTATAAAAATAAATAAACTTGACTGCGTAAAAAACAAACTAAAAGATAAGCCAAGTTGTCACATAAAAAAAAGTACTATGCAGTCGAAGATATAATATGTATGTGTTTTATTCTCGTTGCGAAATGTATGTACATATATAACAAATATTTATTTGGTTTTCTCGAAGTTCATGAAGGAAAATAAATATATTTATTTGTGCATACAAATAAAATGTACTTATAATAAATACCTTGTTTGTCTCGATGTCATAGTATACAGAAAAATCTGTGACATCCATAGCATTGTCTTCTTTAATGGTATCCAAATATAATATTCTTTGTTCGGAAGCATCCTCTGAAAAGAAAATACGTTGCTCGTTCTTAATTCCTTACTACTTTACTTCTATAAGTCGGGTAAAATAATTTATGTATACGGGTTATTATCGGTTACTTATTTTTCTTATTTAACTGATATGATCATCATCATAAAATAATATATTTTAATTAATTTTTTTTGCAAACTAACTCTACATTTCATGACTGTTTTTCAGCACTAAGCTTTATAATGTGCGTAAATTAAAACCGCGATTATCTATAACTATTCATTTTTAGCAATAAAATGAACAAGTAAAAAATGATTTGAGAAATAATTAATACTAAAAATTATAATTGATAATTATACTTACCACAATTTACATAACACACCATAAAAAACAAAAAACATGTCACCACTATCGATTTCATTTTTCGTGCGCTACAACTATTGTATCTATTGTTGCCGTCTCAAGGGACACTATTGAAATGACAGCATATCGGTAACTTATGTCGAGACAAGCAGATTAAGGTTGGATAGTAGTTTTTGTATGCAAGATGTGCTGTGCACAAGCGCAACTGGCAAACGGGACTTTCTAGAGAGAAACTCCTGCGCATACGCACTTGACACACCACCACTGAACGTCATTAAATATCCATCTATCTATACTTTGCTGGTCTGAACAGTTTCTCTTTCATTAAGTAAATTATACTGAAACGAGAGTATATAACGAGAAACGAATGACTTTAAAGTATAAGCTGATATGCATTATTGTAGCTGTGACAATTTACGATTAGAGATAATAAGGTAAATTAAATGAAATGCGTCTCATGTAATTAAAGGTTTTATTAAACTAACACAATTATAATAAATATGAAATAAATATCTTTGGATAAATAAATTTGAAATTGTATATTTTAAAATGAATATTAATCATCAAATATTTCTAATATAGATTTTACAACATTTTCGTCATAATCTTCAATATCGTCTTCTCCGGCGTCTATAACAGCATCCTGCCCGCCAAGAGGATTTGGAATTGAAATTCCACCATTTTCATCCGGGCTAAGCATTGTTATCCCATTGGCACCCATTCTGCAAAGTTAACTATAATTTTAGAATTTGTACTAGAAAAGTTTTTTTTCACCAAATTATAGTAAATAAACTGATTTAATAATACTCACCTCAAGCAATCGAATACGAAGTTAAACAACTGAAATGACCGCCATTTTCCAGTCATCGCTAAACAAAAGTGAAAGTTCCTTCCAGGAAAGAACACATTATAAAACTTCGCGCATACTTTTAAATTCGACAACCTCGGTGGACTTATACATATTGGTCTTGGATTTTTACCTGAAAATAGTTTAAAATAGTAATTTTATTATTAACAACACATAGGAAATTTTTCGTTATTGATATACTTACCAGAAATCGAATTTTCATAGAGGACTCTGTCATTCATAGACATAGCAACATCAAAAGCAAAATCCCCAGGATGATAAGTGACTTTCATACAAGCTTTTTGGTTAATCAAATCCATAAAGTATCCAGTGCAGCATTTACAAACCCCAAGATTACAGACACAACGTCTCGACGATGTAGAATTTTGCTCAGATCCTTGTTGACTTTGCCTAGCAATATAATGTGATATCGTGGAAAGTTTTCTCAAGTTTAATCGATTTATTGAAGCTATAGTACTGTCGGGCACTTCAACATCATCTGAGTAATTGTGCGTGTCATTAAGGACAGGTGATACTAAAATAATAAACAAAATAATAAACATTGGTAGTAGCTTAGAAAGTAAAAATAATTTATTAATTTATATTTTGCTTACCATTTCCTTTTGAAGTTGCAAATATTGTCACTATAACAAATATAGTATATATTTTCATAATAAACCTTTAGTCTTACTGTGAGACGAAGCTTCGCGAATGCTGGTCTTGTGAATAATAAGCTCGTCCCAATTTTCTTAAACAGATTTGAACCGGTTTAATGGTGGTATCGAAATCTAACTAAATTGCTCAACGCTTTCACATGAAAGGATTTTATATTTAAATGTTTTTCAATATATTTTTTAATTGCAATTAACTAAGGATGAAGTGAAATATGAGTTTACTGTATTTCAATTTAAACACAATGCAGACAACAACGCCTTAAGCATCCGTTTTTATAGGTTTTCGAATGCTATTAATATAACGCAAGTAACAATGTAACATTACTATTAGAAAATTCGGATTAAGAAAGTAAAAGCAAAAACTTTTATTACTTTTATTTACAAATAAATAATATTTATAATAATTTATAAAATAAAATGTGAACACACTTAATCATTTAAGTATATTAGTCAAAATCTCTTTCATCGAATAAGTTTCCAACTGCATCACCGATTACGTCTAGAGGACCATCTCCTCCACCAAAAAGTCCACCTTCCGGTGCTCCAAATATACCATTTTCTCCGCCTATAAGTGATCCAGCTGCATCCAATATTGTTCCGCTGTTATCGTTATTACCACTACCAAAGAGACTTACAGGCTTTGGTCCTGAAGAAACAGGTTTTGGCTTTAAACCTGTTTGTAGCCCTGATGATCCTAGACTGAAAAAAGATATTTTGGAGGACTTAATTACGTCATAAATTGTATAAATTTAAAATAAAAATGCATAAAGCGACACATGCAATAATAAGACAAAGCTCTTATATTTAGTAATAACTAACCCGAAACATCTAAAGGAAGCAGAGTAGATAGGAAAGCTTCCAATATCCGCATTAATATCCAAGCAGGCAAAAGCATTTCCATTTCGAATGCGAATATTGCTTATTTCTGCGCAAACACGAACAAAGGGGGCTCTCCTAGGGTTAAAGCATATCGGCGGAGGATCACTGGCTGAAAATTAATTTAAATCTAATTAAAATGAAACAAAATCCATAAGTATCACTCAAGGGCATTACAAGTTTTAAGGAAGATAGTAATAAAAAACAACGAAAATTAATTAAATAATTCATTTACCTGAAACTCTTCTGCGAACAACAGTATTGTTATTAACAGTTAATCGCACGTCGAAAACGAAGTCTTCAGGCACAAAAGACATGTTTCCACAGGCTTTCATTCTAAATCGCTGTAAGATAGTTCCCGTACAACAACCACATTGTCCGCCGCCACAGGTACAAGGAAATCTTGTAACTTGTCCACTTAATTCTTGACTTGGCTCTTCTGTTATTTCGTCTTGTAATACTGGGGCATGAGTAACATTAATTGGGGCTGAAACAGTTTGTGTGGAAACAGGAACCACGGGCTCGTCACTTACTAGTGTTACATTCTCTATTATAGGCCCTTCAGATGGCTCATTTTCTATATAATCATCGTTACTTTCTTCGTCTTCTTCTGCCACATGTATTGGTATGGTGATAGTAACTGGAGATTTTAAAACTGGCGTGGGATTTAAAGCTTGTTTCCATACTGTCCGTGGTATTTTAAAATTTATAACATCATATGAAACGTCATTTTTATCGATAATTTGACCTGTGTAAATAAATAATTTTACATTAACAAAATTATTGTTTCTTTTATAACACATTTTGACAAACAAAATAATTTTTAATTTCTAAATGATTATTTGTACTTTATTACGGGATATTATATGCATAGAATACATTTCCATCTTGTTCAAAAACCTGATTGATATGAAAGTTACTTATGTTTTCTATTCTGATTAATAAGTGAGCAATTAAAAAGTCAAGTATTAAAGTCATTAGTCCACTTTTTTTAAAGGGATGTGAATTATAAAAATAAAAAATGTTAATTCAAAAATCGATATTTTGCTTGTATTTCGAGCAATTGTGAAGGCAAATCTTATATGAAATGTACCTATAATATATAATTTTCAAATTTTCAACTTAGAATGTAGATAAAAAATATAAAACTTCCTAAGTGTTTAAAATACGAGTATATTTTAAAACGTTTTGTAGAATTAGTAATGTTTGTTAAATAAATTATACTTACCATGCTTTGCAAAACAAAAGCGACAATAAAAAATCATAAATATTAATAACTTCAGGGGATATGACATGTTTAAATAAGTTGGCAATTTATATTACAACAGGTTCCTCAGGCTTTCCAGTTCGAATTGTAGGTGAAGCATGATACTTCCATCTATTTAACCGCTGTCCAGTAACAAAGTTTCGAACCTTGATTTAGTTGCGAGGTGAATGAACATAGTAAACAAGTTTAAAATTTTAATGCGCGAACAGGAGAAAGTGGTCGTTTGTTGAATGACTATTGATTCCTACTTTCGGTATTGAGAACGCGCGTTGACTAGTTATTCGATAAGATATTTAAATCATTGTAAAACATTTTTCTATTTAAGTAGTATTTTATATTTCGAAAGTGCTACTTTAAATATGATAAATAATTTTAAATGATTTTTATGCCTATTCAAACGTCTTAGTACTAATTAAATCATGTACGCTCGCAAACAGCATTTGTAATTGAAACATTGTTATAATAATTACGTAACATCTAAGTCTCTTTAAACGTAATGTATTTTGTTTTTTTTTTCAGATTTATACGATTATTTATTATAAGAAGTTTTCAACATGGGGACCAGGAAAAGATAAAATAGGATCATTTCAGAAATTTTAATTATATAGTAATAAAATAAATTTTATGAATTATAAGATATTTACAATAATTAATTTTATAATTATATTAGTATATTTTTTGTATTATAAAAAAAAATCAAGTTGAAGCAAAGATATACTCTGGTAAAAGTCATTGCACAATCTGGCATAATTATGTGTAACTATAAATCTGACAGACACTGTTGTTTGGTAGATTAAAATAGATTATGCATATATTTTATTTTTTTACATGAATTAAGGTGAAGTTTTCTGGTTTAAAAATTGAAGTAAAGGGGGTTTTGGGAACCGCCACAACATAATATTATCTAAGCGAAGGGGAAGAAAAGATTATGTAGTATTTTAATATTTTATGAGAAAGTACTTTTAAAAATAGATATTTTATATAGCAGTTCTATTACATTTTATGTTATTGGAAATTTTGTATTTTCTTTGAGTATCTCGTAAAATTAATTTTTAAACCGAAAGTATAAATAAAAATGAATAAGTCAAAAAATGCTCATATTTAAAATTTCTTTATTCCTTCGAAAAAATAAATAACTTAAGAATAGGATGACTATTTACACTGAAAATAATTTAATGTGGTGTAATAAATAATATGCTAAGATTTATAGCTAAAGTAACTTTGTTATGCACTAGGCCACAGTCCACGCATCATTTTATTTTGCCGTCTTCTATCTTTTCTACTTAGATCTTCTATGTCAGGAAGTCCCATAGATTCACTCAAAGCATCTAATCCCAGCAAATCATCGTAATCACTCACACCCTTAATATTATGAGGTTTAGTTTCTTTATTTCTGTTTTGTCTTTTGTGTCGACCAAAAATACCTAATTGTTGTCCAACACTTTCACCGATGCCTGTTAAATCAAGAACAACTAAATCATCAAATCGAAATCCACGGTGCTTTTTCTTCGGTAAAGAAAGTCCTTCATAGTGGTGACTTGGTGTATTATCTTTATGGGACCTATTATCTTCTATTACATTTTCGCTATCTGCAGCATGTTCTTCAGAATGTGAGTCAAGAGTTTGAACGATTTGCACCATATCTTCATTACTATCATCGTCTACTACCGTGGCATAAGGAATTGTGGAATGTGGTTTGGATGTTATAGTTTGCACTTGTTCGTAGGTAACCTCTTCATTAGTAGGCATTTTTTCAGTAAATATTTGTTCACTAGTATCCTTTATTTCCGTAGGTTTCAATTGAGTCACGGGTATAAGAGAGAGCTGATCGGTTATATGAGCTAAAGACATTTCTAATCCAGCGTCTTCGAATGTTGTTACACTAGGGCTTGTAGACTCTGGAGAAACCATAGGTTTTTGAGTAATTGGTATTACTTGATGAACTTCAGCACTCTGAGAAATTTCTGTATTTTCGTTTAATGGTTCATTAAGCTTAATCTGTTCGACCTTCACAGGTACCGTGGTAGATATTGGTGCAAGTGTTGAGCTTTCTTCAGTTTGAATAGAAGAAACAGTTGTAGTGCGTCTTGCCGGTCGTCTTACAGGTCTGCGTGTAGGTCTGCGATTAACCGGTCGTACTCTAACAGTTGTAGTTCTTATAGCGGTAGTAGGTCTTAATGTTGTCGTTCTAAAAGGCCTAATTGTTGGTCTACGAGAGGGTCGGGGACGTCGAGTCGTCGTCGAAATTATTGGCGCTTGCTTATTTTTGTTTTTATTTTTATTAGGTTTCTTGCCGCTTGATGAACCTCCAAATAGGTCTCCTAATAAATCTTCTCCTAGAAGACTAAAGCCTGTGTAGTCTACACTATCTACACCATTGACGGCATCAAGGCCCCCTAAAATAAAGAAATACCGATAAATACCCAAATACTATATGTCAAATATAAATTAAAGTATAAAGTAGAATTATCTAAATTATTTACCATCGTCTTCATCTTCATCGTCATCACCATCGTCTTCATAGTCATCATCATCATCATCGTCTGCGTCAAGTCCAAAGTCGACGTCATCATCGTCATCATCGTCGTCATCATCATCATCATCATCATCAGTATCCTTTTCACCCTGTGGCACTAATGGCAAAGGATCAGCTGGCTCAGATATTACGCCTCTGGAGCCAAACTTAAAGCAGGATACCCTAACAGCTGCTTCTACAGCATTTTTAGCTTGAAGCTCTAAACCTAAACAAGCTCGAAATTCTTCTCCAGATCTTGCAATATTATAAACTCGTCCACAAAACTTTGATACACCTCCAGGGAGAGGCATGCAAACGGGACTTGGTTTGCGACCTGAAAAAATAACAATAAAATGTAAAAATATATCTAAAAAAACAAAACTATATTTTCTTAATAACATTTATATTATTATTATTAGTCACAAAAGTTAAACGTACCTGAAAGTGTTCGGTTGGTAATTACTTTGTTACCGAAACTTAGTGATACTGACATCTTATCGCCATTTAAATACATAAGTGAAGCACATCCTGGAACATAAAACAAATTTATTTTATTTTAAATAAAACTATCTTTTCGGATTTATTCGCGAATTTATTTTGAATTTTGGTTTCCAACCAACCAAAAATCTAAATAAATTCGCGAAAAAAATCGAAAAGATAGTTTAATTTTAAATGTCAAATATTCGCACAAATCTAACAATTTTATGTTATTTTATTTTATAACATCTTAATATTTTATAAATATTGAATAATTGTTTTATAAATTTTACCTGGACCATTAAGATTTATAATAGGCACTGCAAAATCTCTGCAACAGTTGCAAAATGCTTCTGAACACTTGCAATATTTGTTTATGCTGTTATCTTCTATTTGAATACCATCATTTTGTTTTTGTATTTCCTTTTTATTATTTTTCTGCCGACCTGAAATAAAGTTTGTTATCTTGATTTAAACCTTTATAATTAGTATCAATAAATAACTTATATAATATTAGAAATTTAATTACAGACTAGTAATGCTGTCACGCCAATATAAAACGAATATGATACAAAAAATTACATATTTACTTTGTATTCAACTTTCGCGTTTAACTCTATAAATAAAAAAAATGAAAGAAAAACCAAAGAATAAATCACACCAAACAAATAAAATTAATTTAAAAAGTATATTTATACCAACCGATATTTTTAGATGCTGCAAATGCTAATAGCACAAATATTAACAGAAGCTCAAACACCAGGGAGAGCTTCATTCTGAAGACCCTGCCCAGCCTGTAAAATAAATTATATGATCATAATATAAATCCAGATAGGCTATAAATGTTACGTAGCTCTACATTTATATAAATATCTAAAAACACATTTATTTTCACACTACGTCAATGGTATCTGTAAATATCATTTTTTTATGTAGTAATAAAATTATTTTATGAAATTTTATATATTTATCCATAAAACATGTGTTTGCACAACAGTCCTTCACAATCAATATAAGAGTGAATATTATTATCAAGAACTCGTTGATGTCTTTACTATGAAACATCTCTCGTTAATACGATGATAATTCATATTGTATTTATTGCGTATAATAATCTAACTTAGTATAAGTAATTTTAGTGAACCATTAATTCGTATTATGAATTTATATTATATTTGATTTAAATTTTAAAATAAAAATAACGTACCTGAAAACTTCTATTACGTATCACCAAACCGATCGAGAGTCACACCCGCTTGAGCGTTCACGGCCAATTAAATTACAATTATTAGAAGTTGCCCTAAACCGAACCACGCTGTTGTATCAACTGACTTCATATAACTCCACGGAGAAATGTGAAACGTATGGAAAGCAAAAGCCATCTCTTTCACTCATTGACGATATGTAAAGGATGGATGCTAGCACATGACCGCTTTTGGTGTGTCACGCATTTAAACAAAAATTCATATAAACAAGGAAATAGTAGCATTGATAACTTTTAAAATATAATATGTTAGTTAATTTTCAAAATTTATTTTCGAAAAGTTCTAGAAGCTATACGAGTACATACATCAAGTAATAATGTGTATCTAAATTTATTTACTTCCATATAAAAGAAAAAGCTTTCAGAAAATTCTAGAACATTCACATTAAGAGCAATGATCTCGGATATAGTGCACTTAGAAAGAACTGTTAGAATAAAAATGGAATTCTTCCTTGGAAGAAAAATCATCTAAATAGAATAATTTATCTATATATATAAAAAACTGTTTCCAATTTTTTTTTTTGACAACACCAAAGCTCGTCAATACCTACTAAACAAAAAAAAATCTGTTGTATATTATATTAACCTGATTTGTGTTTGCCTATTTATATATAGATTAGGTATAGTGTGCTCACTTCAATTTAATACTTAGTTTTGATATTTGAAAATACTTACTAGTAATTTGCAAGAAAATAAATACATATGTTTTTAGTTTAATGTTTAAAATATATGTAATTGGAAAGGGAAAAGAAGTACATTTTGATTTTTACAGACCAATAAAATTAAAAATCTAAATAAAGATCAATAACTTCTAGGAGGCAATCTACAAGAAGCACACTACGTCCGCCTACAGCATAAGCTGCCGTGCGGGTCACTTTCTACTGGAGAAAGTCGTGTCTACGATTTGTTTATTTTTCGAACTCGACTACTTGGACTTACCAAGTGCTAAACATTATGATATATACGATTATGTTATATTATAACTAAAAGGAAACAGAAAGTAAAAAATATATTTGAATAAGCCTACCTGACTTCAGAAGAAACCAATTTAAAAATATATAGAAAAATATATAAATAGAAAATATTTCAAAATGTACAAAAAATTGGTAGAATATGTTTTTTTTTATATTGTAGCTGCGTGCAATGCAACAATAACTGTAAATATTGACATAACGTAGATAGGCTTAATGACTACGTGTTTTATTTTAAATACATTGTAAATATATTTAAATATTATTCTAAAAGACTATGAAATTATTTACTCAGTAAAAGCTAGATTAATATTAAACTCAAAATTAATGTCTGTTCATTGACCTCGATGTGGGCTAGTGGAGCGCGTTGCACTTGGCCATATATGCACCGGTACCATTAACGCACAAGGCATTCTATTAACACGGCATCGTTGTCTATAGAGACGTAATAGAGGAAATCAAACGCATGAATATTATAATAATATGTACAAGCTATCTATTTTGGGTAGGCTTAGTATTTTAATTATAGTATAATAATAATATTTTTTTGTTATAGTAAATAGTGTGGGCTTATAGTGTATTTATAAATTAAGAAATATTTTTTTTCCCAAACACAAGGGGTTCGCCCCCATGCGTTATCACGTTTCTTATGATTAATAAATAGTCGTAATATAATAATAACCCACTAAAAGCCTTATACTGGATCCAGCTTATCAACTATATCAATAAATCACATCGATCTATTGCTCTATTACTAAATTACAGAAAAACGAACTAATAAACTAACAAACACAAATTTTTACACCATATTAATATAATAACTTACAAATTTTGTGAGTTAGTATGTATGTATATTTATTATTACCTTATGTTGTAACTGCTCAATGGATTTGAGTGAAATTGGGAAATGAGATACCTAAATTTATTTTTCAATAGAAAATTTTTCCAACTGAAATTAGAAATCTTCTATCGTTTATAAGTGGATACGCAATTTATTTTACATAACACATATTACTTATGAATCGTATGAACTAAATGTATGTATGGTTGGTGAAAGCCGAAATCAATTACTCCCGCTTTCATTTGTTTGTTTTGTAAATTGCAAATGTTTAATGCAGTTATGCTCTATTAATATTAAATTTTTATTTAGTTCCGTTATTATTTAAATGCGCAAAATATTACCTACACGTTACGTCGATGTTTATTTTATTAATCTTGTTAATAAATATATATACATACTAGCACTGCCTCGGTGGTGTAGCGGCTAGCATGTACGGCTGCACACTCGGAGGACCTGGGTTCGAGTCCCGGGTCGGGCCAAGTTTAGTTATTGAGTCTTTCTGTATATTAAGCCTCAGTAACAGCCCGGAGTTGGGAAGTTGGTGGTGTTTCACCCCCGTGCCACGGAGAGCACGCAAAGCCGTCGGTCCTGCGCCTAAACTCTCACTGGTCGTGTCGAGTGGTCGTCCCACCAGAGTATGAGAGGGACAGGAATAGAGAGTGCACTTGTGTCTGCGCGTACACTTGTGCACTATAATATCTCCTGCGCAGTTGACTAGTGTTAATGAGATTGGCCGCCGTGGTCGGAATCGGCTAGGAGACCATCAATACATACTAGCGACTCATCATCGTTTCGCTCGGGTTCCTCCCTAACTTGCTTCCCAATACAAACTTTCGTCCTCATTTTCACCCCCTTAAGGTGGGATTTCCGGGATAAAAAGTATCCTATGTCCTTGCCAGGGTCTCAAACAATTTTCTTACTAAATTTCATCTAAGTCGGTTCAGTAAATCCAGAGATTACTCCCTACAACGTCACAAACTCACAAACTTTACCTCTTTATAATATTAGGTATGTATGTACATACATACATTAAGTTTATTTTTTGTATATATCATATCTTATTCTGCAAAAAAATTTATCGTCATATAAGATTAACAGCTTAAATTCTGGTTTTAAAATGATAGAACTAGAAAAAGAAATGTAATTTATGCTTTCTTATGGAAATAACACGTAGTTTCAATCAAATAAGTAAAAGTAACCCATAAAACTTTAATTTTCTTATAAACTTAGACCCTAATTTAACCAGAGTTTAATATTAAGTTATCCTCGCTTTCTCAGTGCATCTCACTGATGCTTGTCGCCGCTTTATACCTTATTTTAAATTTCACCTTCTATTGTGAGTGTGGAGAAACCGGCTGACATTCGAGAAAAGGAGCAGTGTTGGCTCGACGCTAGTGAAGCTCGCCGATTCAACAGATATAAACGGATTTAATTAAATTCAATTATAGTCATCTTATAAAATTTTATGTGAATTTTTAGACTTAAATGAAAATGTCGGTTAAAGTGGCAGTAGCCTTACTTGCGTTCCTCGCGTTCGTTGATAGTCAAAGCTTAATAGGTAAGTGCATGCCATTTTTGCATCATAATTGATGGATTGATTGATGTGGAACACTATAGTTGGTGACTAACTTGATAAGTCTAACGGAAATATGAATAGTTAGAAATGTAATCTAAAATGAATTAAAATTAATTTTAGGTCTTTATATTATCATGTAACTACTGTGCTTTAAATTTTGCAAATTTCACTTTTTGTTAATATTTTTATTTATTAATAACACTTTTTAATCACAGGCATAAAAATAATTGGGCATAATATATTATTTAACTGTTACAATACACACTAAAGTACACTTATAAAACTTACATAACCCATTCAAAAAACTTTATCTTGATCTAATAACAATGACCCCCAAGTGAAAGTCGATACGTGAAAGTGGCTTAAAAAAAGTATGTTGGATGAGTAACAGTTGAATAACCTTCTTTTTTATATAAATTATTTAATATAACCTTATTAAAGATGTAACAATTTCATTTTATTTTGTTACTTGTTACATCCTGAATGAATACGTATACTATATAGACGTTTTTACCAATTTAACTTCCTCGTGGACAAAACATCAACATATAATACAAATACAATGTAATCAATCATAAATTATAATTAATTATTTAAAATTTTTGCGATAGATGAAATGATATGATGAAAATTTTCTGAGATTATGTATTGCTTATGATTTAAGATGCGCTCATTAAGCCAGTAGAAGTCCCCGAATCTCACGATGACCAACCCAACAGAAACTGTTTGTGTAAAGGACCGGCCTGCGTTTGTTGCGTGGATTTTAATGTTACATTTCTTAATCTTGGAGGACCGGGTAAGCATTATTTATTTTCATTACAATTTTCTAGCTATCTGGGTTATATGAACTGATAGCCAAAGGTAGTGTTTGTGGGTGGTTGTGGCGAATATCGCAATATTTGATTTCTTTATTACTAAGCTTAAAAAATATTTAATAATTCCTTATTTAGGGAAAATATGGAGAAATGTGCTCTAAAATTGACTAGGATTTAAATAATTAATAGTGATATCCAGTGTGTGTTATGTTAAGGTTACACTTAATAAAAAAATATCTTTATGGCTATCTGCTCTATTATAATAAGACGTGATCTTGCTTCTATTTTTAAGTTAAGTACTTATGTAAGGACTATTGAGCGATATTGAGGATAAATTGCCATTTAAATTGTTTGAAAGTAGCTCATAACACTATTTTAATTTGTATGAATATAATAAATGTGAAAGTTTGTAAGTATATAAGGATGTTTGTAACTCTTTCACGCGAGAACGGCTGAACTCATCTGCATAAAATTTGGTACAGAGATAAATTATAGTCTGGATAACACATAGGCTATTTTTTATTCCGGAAAAATATACGGTTCTCGAGGGATAGATTTTTTGTTTTTCTAGCTATCGCTAGTATTCGTAGAAAATTCAAATTCGAAAAATAATATACATAATTGTGTAACTGAAAAAATAACTAACAAAAAATATATGAAAACTAACCATCTTTACCATATTATTTTAGGATGTGTGCACATGAAATATATCTCGCCCGAAGAAGGATTTTCAGTTAAGGTTTCTTACGACAAAAGCCTTTTACACAGTTCCAAAATAAAAGGTAAGAACATTAAATCTAAATTTGTGTATATGTGTGTATTCAGCCCTTTTTAATGTCCCACTGCTGGGCACGGGCCTCCCTTCAATACGAGGGGGATCAGGCCATAGTCCACCACGCTGGCCAAGTGGGTGTTGGCGGACGTCACATGACTTTCGAAGACTTGTAAAGTTCTCTCAGACATGCAAACTAAATTTACATAACACGAATTAATATTTAATATAATATAATACAAAAACTTCACCCAACAATCAGCATTTATGAATTTCACTTCTCTTGTACTTTTATTGATATGATGATTTTTATGACAATTCATGATATATGTATATTCTATATACTAATTAATATCTTCTCATATTTATATTTACATATATTGTAGGATCAAACCCAGCCCCAGTATGTCTAGGATTGTTTGGAAAGCATGCAGAAGTTTGTGCCAAGTTCAATGATCTAGCACCGACTTCTGATGGACTCCGTGGCTGTCTGGAGGTGCAATTAAGGCTACTTGGAGACTCTCAATTAGAATTTCCAATTGGATGCTTCAGATCTTCTGCAGGCGGAATGGAAATGGAAGACCCACCAGCAGAACCAGAAGCAGAAGAAGAGTAACTCATCTTAATAAATACTTAATTTCTTTATCATACGTAGTAAAATATCTTAATTTTTTATTAATATCACTTTTTTATTACAGAACAACCGAAGAAAGTACCACTGAAGACAGTAGTGCCTTTGACGCCGAAGCCTTTTTATTGAACATTTATCAAACGGCAGAACAAGGTGTTGCTTTCCTCGGCAGCCTTTTAGATCTTCCGGCGAAGAAAAATGAAACAACTACAATTAAACCTGTAATAAACGACGCACAAGAATCTGAATCACAGAGAAGATCTCCCAAACACTTAAAACATCCTAACCAATTGTGATATTAAACATTTTAAATGTAGATTTATGTACAAAATTGCATTTTGTAGACTAGTTGTAGCTTGCCAACATGTTAACGCTCTCTTTTATAAAAAGTTAGCGATGTATCTCCTATTTATTGCTTTAATAAAAATTAATTAGTATTTTTTTATTAATGTAGCATAATTTTAAAATATAAATTAAAACATGTTTGAAAACTTTCATTTTATATTATAATTATGACTGGTTTCTGCTTATACCATCAACCTCGTTTATTTATATATGCACTATACTAGACGAGAAGTATCTTTAAGTATCAAAATATAAATAAAAATGTTTATTATATTATAGGTTAGAAAATAGCCTGATGAAATTCGTATATTAAGAATTAATATGTTATGGTATAGATACAATATGGTCGATGCGTCCGCGTTCTTTTGAGAACTTAACTGAATGTCCTGCTATGTTTATACTATCTTTATCTAGCCTCGAGAAAACGGTGGTGCACTATTTGTTTCCACCAAATATACGCCGCTTTCCCTGAAAGAAAAATTAGATAACATTTTAATATCTTAATGTTATGGGTCAATAAAAATTTACCTATACTCTTTATCTCGATAAGGCGTTCTTGAGAGATGATATTTTGATGTTTGTTAATTATATTTTCTAACTGTACTTAAGTTCTGATCTTACCTATAGAGGGGGGTACTTCTACCGAAAAAAAAACGAAGTATTAGGCAGAAACTAGTAATGAAATATAATATTAAACTTAGTTATTGCACTGTATTTTCATGCACATTGAATATAATTTTATAAAAACTCAAATTTATTAGACCGTGAGAATATTTTTTGGGAGTTATACGCAATTGAGATTTTGCAAATGTGTAACATTACTATGAAATATTAAAAATCTACTGGAATTATTTATAGTAATTTTATCTGTTATATTTAAACTATACGAATCTATTATAATGCACAAATTATATGAATATTTATACCGTTACAAGAACCATTTCCGGAATATAAAAAAATCCATATCACTGAATTGCCAAATTCTTAAAGTCTTGTTAGAGATGATTCAGTGTTTTCTTTGGTTAATAAATATAAATTTATTTACCCAGTTTTAGGTAGAAGTCCACCCATTTGTAAACGTCCCGGCAAATTACACCATCCTAAAATAGCAGCATAATAATTTGCGCATTGTGTTCCTGTAAATCCTCCTGATGTAATAGATTCTGCCATATAATAGAAACTTCTTTCGTGATCACACATATTGGAATCACATCCAGGCATAGATAAGCCGCCATTGGGGTAAAAGTCTACGTGCGCTAAAGCGGCTAGATATCCGTTAATGCCATAGTTGGTATGAATCACTTCAGTGTAGAGTCCATCACTAGGTCTAAATCGGAAAATGCTGTTCACCCATCCTATAAGTGCTGGATCGAGACCTGAAATATTAGATTCGAATCATAAAAGAAACACACTTTATTCAAATAACAGAATGGTAACAAATGCGCACAGCCCTAACTCCTGAACTAGAAAACTGTATTTCAAAAGCTAGTACCTACCATCAGGCGTACATATTCAATGTATGAAATTATATGTTCTATATAATAAGTTAAGTTAATGTAAAGAAAAAAAAAGAAAAAAAGATCAAAAAATTAAGCTTATCAAGACAGAAAAGAAATCATATAAATGGTATACGTTTTCTGTCCTGACATTTACAATGATTGGACTAGTAGCAAAGGTACCTACTCTTATTAACATAATTTCTTTTAATTAATACATTTATATAAAAAATATTTTTAATCAATACATATCCATACTTCCATACTAATAATAAAAAGTGTGTTTGTTTGCTTGTCTTTCTTTCACGTCGAAACGAAGTGAGGGATTGGCGTGATTTTTGGTGTGAAGAGAGCTGGAGAATGACATAGGTTACTTTTTATCGCGGGAGATCATCTCATTCCCACGGGAAAACCTGTATAATATATACCATGTAATACAATCTAAAAATTTATTTCTGATCAGAATTACTTGAAACTTAGAATTATTGCTCTTCAATACAAATAAATAAGTACGTGTTTTAGGATTTCTCGAAATTCATCCTATGAGAAGGGGAAATAAGAGATGAAAGTTTGTATGAAACTTAGGTACCTACCCTTTTAGAGATTTTTTTGTACTTTGAGCGCGAGCGAAGCCGCGGGCTCTGCTAGTATACAATAATTGTTTGAAAACTTACCAGTAATATATGCTACTTTTCGATCCAAATTTCTCCCAACAATGCCAGCCTGATGTCCACCAACACCATGACCAATAATGTGATACTGTTCAAGGGTAGAACCACTTTGTTCATTTAGCCATTGAATAAAGTTAGCTACAGCTATCCCAGATAATATGCAATTCCGATTTACTTCTCTATAATCAATAGAACTAGCACCAGAACTCCAATCTAATACTATAACGTTAAGATCCTCAGCAGCCAAAAGCGCTAAAATTAATATTAATTAAATGAAATACATATACAATACAATGTATATATCAAGTAGCCTATAAAAGTTTGATATATCGCTATTGAAAACTTCGTATTATCATCTAACTTCTCTCATATTTAATGTACAGTATTAAATACCCCTTAAAATTTTTATTTTATTTTAGGGTTTAATGTCTTAGAAGAAAGAAAAACAGAACCGCAAGAGGTTTATTCGGGGTTCTCCTTGAGTTTGCTGCACAAAAAGTGTTAAAGTCTGGTTCGTATAGAGCTAGGTATATCATCGAGTTAGATAGCTCAATGACTAATAATTCAATAAAGAAAGTATTTACAGTTTTACTGTAAATCTTTTACTTTAAAACTAAATACTGCGAGTTCTCATCAAATATATTTTCGTTAAATTGAAGTTTTGCTTAAAATTGAAATAAGCAGTATTTATAAAAATGCTTATAATATTTTTACCAGGAACAAGAACATTATTGAAGCTTGATACAGCCGAATTTCTCCAGCCATGGATGAGAACTACAGTTCTTCTTGTACTATTATAATTTGTTATCGACAGTAAATCAGGATTATTGATAAAGATGGGCTGGCTTAAAGAAGGATTTTGTCTGAAAAAATTTAAAACATATTATTAATGATTGTTAATAAGGACAGAAAGTTGGCGTTTGCAGAAACCAAAAATCTGTATCTGATTGGGAAAAGGTATCAAGAAGTAATTTTATATAGAATGCTATTTTGATGAGTAGGTACCAAGAAAGAGAAAAAAGAATTTTGTCTCAGTAGGTACTAATTCTTTAATGGATTTAATTATACATTGAACAGAGAGGCATTTTAAAGAAAGAACGTATAATATTCGTTTAGATATGTAATCTGCACTTAATTTACTAACTAGATGTGGTTTGTAACTCCCAAAATTGCAGAAGTCTGTGCTACTCAAATAAAAGTCATACACAGTGACAACCAGATAAATAAGTACATATTATGAACAAACACAAAATAGATAAATTACCTTGTAAAAAGATGATAGACGTTAGATACAGAGGGGTTGTATCTACTAGCAATATTTACAAAATCACTAATTGATGTCAATGAGTCGACTAGGTGTATCTGTCCGTCAGAATCCGGAGCATACTGGTAACGCGGTTCTTCATCGTTGAGAATTTGCGTTGACGCTAGAATAGCAAAAATATTTTTACATATAAAATTATATTTATAACTTTAATTATTATTAGCATTTTGCTATTAGTTAGCATAAGAACTACCTAATTATTTCCGAATAAAATGTATAACACAAAGTATAATCTATTAGATTTCATTATTTCCACGTTTTAATCTAGACTAATATTATAATGAGGTAAAGTTTGTGAGTTTGTGAGGTTGTAGAGGGTAATCTCTGGATCTACAGAACCGATTCGGATGAAATTTGGTAAGAAGATAGTTTGAGACCCTGGGAAGGCCATAGGATACTTTTTATTTCGGAGGGGTCAATTATATAATAATAATATGTATCCATTTGAGTTCAAATCCCAGGTCTCGCACCTCTGATATTTTCGAGTGCGAATCATTTCCAATATGATTACCGCTTGTCTTACAGTAAAACAAAACATCGTAAGGAAACCTACATGTCTGAGAGACCCTAGCAAATTTTCGAAACAAATGCAAAGTCTGCCAATCGGCACCTGGCAAGTGTGGTGGACTATGGCCTGATTCTCCTCCATATTGAAGGGGGGTCCGTGCCCAGCAGTGGCCAGCAATTAGTTAAAAGTTAAACAGTTAAACAGCAGCTTCTGCAATTGCAACCCAACACAGTAATATAGACATTCGTATTAATGCATTTATAAAAATAAGCCTACTTTGTCCATTATGTAAAAACTGCCGTTAAAAGGTAAAGTAAAGAAATTCTGATGAGTAGAGCAACGTCCTACATCATCACGAGCAAAAAAAATTCTAGCTAGAGTGGTTTATTACTAAAAAGAACTTACCAGAAGATATTCCTACGTAGAAAATATACGCAATCAATATTAATTTATACATAATTATATACTACTGTAGGTATACGAAAAAATTATTTAATAAAGATTATAAATCATATTAATCCTTCTTATATGCAAATCTAATCAATTTTATTTATGTTTGTAAGACACCATCAAGCTTCGCGATAATATTATCTTATCAAAAAAAAATCGAATTTTGCACAGATACCAAATGAATTCATTAACTAACCGACTTCAAAAAAGAAAGATTTTCTACGTCCGTCTCTTTGTATTATTTTTTTTATGTACGTTCACCGATTTTTCGGAGATGGCTTGACCGATTTTGCTACTTTAAGCCGTATTATATTAAAGTAGGTCCTGTTTTCGAGAAAATAAAGAAAAAATCATAAATTTTAAAGTATTTTAATATATGTGTACAATGTATATATCTGTATTTAATAGTCATATCAACTTGAAACTTTTTTTATTTCTAATGATAACACTGTTACTTGCTATCATGGAGCTGATCTAAAGGTGAAGCCAGAAGGCGGATAGTGGAACTCTTGAACGGCTACTAGTAAATATTTTAGGTTTAGGCTTATTTTGTTTATTTTAAAAACCGCAATACCTTAGAATTGGATTTTAGATCCTGATCTTGAGTATTAGATACTAATACAACAAATAAAAGTAACTTTTTTTTAGTTTGATAGTCTTTATATATTTGGTATCAAACTTAAATTTAAACTAATATTTTATTAAAATACTTTCTACTTACAAATTTGCTACTAATACATATATACTAAAAATGCAAAAATAAAAACTTTAAATTAAAATAATAACCAACTTCCGGACACTAAAAAGTAAAAAAAAATACAGAATGAGGATTTTTATTTACTATAGATACCTAATCAATCAATTTTGAAGTCGTTGCCAGCCGACAATGCTTTAAGATATAAATATCTAATAGGTAAATATGACAAGATATGAACTCTATAATTATTGTTAAAATATTATAAACACAATTATGATATATGTACATATTTATAGTCTACAGTACACCACGGTTTTTTTTAAATGATTAATAACATGCTGAAACTTCATGAGTGTGAGTGAAATTTCATGAGAGCTTCGTTTTGATGAGACGCTCAAATTTTCCTTCCACGATAATTAGATAGTAGTCGACACAATTGTGGATTGATACGGAACAACGTCGAAACAGTGGCTGTTTAAAGTTTATTACTAACAGTTTGTTTTACAATAATGTAATCTTTTGATGATTCAATATAAGACAAGAAAAGAAAATTGTAATAAAAAACAGATTATTTGGATCAAATCATCCGTCCCCCTCTCCGAAATTGTTAAAATAACAACGTCATAAAATTTATTAAGAACCGGTTGATTTTCATAGTATTTATTATTAAAAATATATGTCATTGAATGGCCACACCGTTCTACAAATAAATTGGTAGATTACTCGGTTCTACGCTCGGGTACTGTATACCGCACGGTGATCTGGAATTTTAGGATCTGGAAGTCGGTTTTTTTTGTCCTTATATGTTATATAATACAAATGATAAGTTTGCCTAAGATTTCAATAATAAATTATTGTATTTGTTCCGTGACAATAACCTAAATAAACTTTACGATGTAGGAACAAATAAAACTTTAATCTCGAACGATTTTGGGATGAGAACTCTTTTTGAGGAAGCAAAATGTATCCCAAATATCCACTTCCCTCACTAATAAAATCGTTATAATAATTTAGCGCTTACTTATATCAAATATATTTAACAGGCTATGAATAACAAATAGTATTAATAAAAATAATATATTGCGTATACGTATATCGAAATCTCTGTCAAGGAAACAAATAGGCAAAACTTTTAAACAAAATTTTTCAAAGCCAAAAATTAAGTATAAGTTAAAAAAGGAACATCATTACTAAAACGCAGGCATACCTTTTAATTTTATTAATATACCTACATGAAAAACACAAATTAGGTACATTGCTTAAGAAAATAACAACGAACGCTTAATTTATTAATTTAAATTTCACTTATGATAGTTTTTTATATTGCTCACAATAAAACAGTGAGAAAAAAAGAAATGGGTTTTTTGTTTCATAATATACTTCGAGCTATATCAATACAGTTTATAAACTACTAACGACTCGCCGTCGCTTCGCTCGGGTTCGCCCCTAGGTTGCTTCCCCATACAATTTTTCACCCCCATTTTCACCCCCTTTAGGGATTATTTCCGGGATAAAAACTATCCTATGTTCTTTCTAGGGTCTTTAACTATTTTCTTACTAAATTTCATCTAAATCTGTTCAGTAGCTTCGGAGCCTGTTCGATATAAACAAACAAACAAAACAATTTTTCCTCTTTATGATATTATAATTAAAATAGATTATATATGTATATAAAGAAAAATAGTATATGTATATATATATATATATATATATATATATATATATATATATATATATATATGTATGTATAACGAAATTGAAAGTAAAATGTTTAAGCTTATCATATGATCATCCTACCTACTCCCCAACGTGCGTTCACCTTGTCGTGGTGGTGGGCTCAGTAGTGCCCGGCAATACAGCCGGGCGCGAAGCCAAGAAACGTACAGGGAGGTGGCACACTTCGGTGGGCGGTGGGAGATGGCCCTCTTCGGTGGGTGGTGTACCGTGCGGGTTACTCCTGGTACTTCTCTGATAGCAGGGTGGACTTTGGTGCAACCTCATGGTTGTTGAGGTCTGCTTCGGCAGGCCTGCCGTCGGGGCGTCGTAGTTAATTGCGTAAGCGATCCTGCGACGTCCCATTAAGACGGGGAAGGATTTGTTGGGTTTTAGTGGGTAGTACTGGCTTTGCCGGTAAGTCCCACACCTCGTGCGTAAATGCATTTCCCAACGTTAAAAAAAAGAAAAAAGAATCCTACCTACTTACTCATATAATTGAAATTATAGGCACCTACTAAAATAAAATAAGCACTAAAGTTTCATTGAAAATCGTGAGACAAATAACTGACGGACACATAAAATTTTGATGAACTGATCTTAGGAACGAATGAACGATTTGAATGAAAATTCTCATTAAGATAAAGTACTTATACTGAATACTGAAACATAATTATCTATTCCACCAAAAACATTTTCATGTAAAATTTTGCCAAGACGAGACCATATGGCTCGCACTGTCACAAAGTTATCAGATCTCATATAGAGCCAAGCTTCTAACTCTACACGCCCTAACTTCACAAATTCTACACCTTATTCAAAATATGTGGCTTGGCTGTTTCGCTACCGTTACATGGTCATAAGGTGCATTACTTTTCTGTTATACAATAGTTCTTGTAGTAACAATGTATATATATTTTTAGGCAAGCTTCAGATAAGCCCAGTGGGTGATCCTGTGAAGTTGATTGAACGCGGTCGAAGCCGCCTGTACATTAAATATTCTTTGGAAAATCTTATTGAAATAAACATTATTATCGACACAGAGGCCGAATCTATAGTTTTTAGAATTTTTGTCTGTCTGTCTGTTACCGCACAGAAAATCCACTGGAGGGATTTTGATGAAATTTAGTACGGTGATAGCTGGTTATCCGGGTCAACCTATAGGATACTTTTTACCGCAGAAAAATGTCTCATTTCTGAGACAAAATACAAAAACTACAATGTAAGAGTATACTAATATGTAAAACCTAAGAATTTGGTTTTTGATCATCTGAACACGGGTGAAGCCGCGAGCAACGCTAGTAAGAGATAAACATTGATCTGGGAAGGGAATTATATGTATTGGTAATAGATAAATTTTAACTTTTACGTTATTTCAATATCAATTGATTTTTAACATTTAATTCGCCTCTCAATGTACTGCTTTTACAAAGTACCTACAGATCTTACCTCTTAGAATGTATCACTTAGTCTGATACCTCGATTCAATGTTACATCTTAAAGATTATATATTATATTATATATAATTTTATTTTTTTACTATATCCATTATCCATTCATTAACTGGCCATAAATTGTATTAGAACGCCAAATTGCTCAGGTGTAAGGTGTAGGCGATAAGAAAAATAATTTAATGAACCTCAAGGAACAATATAGTCCATTGAAATGTTACATTTTTTTAGGCTTAGAGTGCATTTGTCAGAGGACGCAATTTTATTTTTTAGATATGAGATATGATTGGTCATTGCTTAATTGCAGCAACTCGACGTACTTCATTTCCTTCGGCGGTTTTCCCTCAAGTATTTGATATAGAAGGTCAACCAGATCCTGAGCCACAGCCTGGTCCAACAAAAACACCGAGGACAGAGTATTTATACCACGTAAAAAAAACGCGCCTCCAGATTCTACCTCGTAGGTGGTGGGGGAAAGAGTCAGTAATTATTTAATAGCAATATTGCATTATCAATAATTAAAAAGATTATCAGAATAATAATGAAAAGAAGATTGAAAATTATGGCGAATCAATAATATTTATGTATAGTTATGAATACTGAATAATAACTATATTCATTTCGCAGCTCTGTAAAACCTTAATTAATGAATAAAATTAAAAAGTTTATAATAAAAATTGTTCCTTAAAAACGCTTCCATAGAAATGGTCTGATATATTTTTTTTGTAAAATGATCAGAAAAAAGTTATAACGACAAATAGAAAAAAAAAATCTTAAATTTTCACCGATTTTCGCTTATAACTTTGTTATTTGTGGTTCTACGACTAAAAGTTACTTAACCAAAGTTATAGAGAATTTTATTTGCAACCAAAAATGATCAACATTTTTATTGTGAGACCTATAGTTTGTCAGATAAGCCATAAAAACCATTTGCACCCCTTTTTCCAAGGTAGCGGCCGTGGGACAAGGGCTGCAACCCCACAAACTTGGATTTAACTTTACACTAATCCCTCCTTGAATAATCTAATATTTTATTATTTCTATCTTCTTTCTATCTCCTCCACTAATCTTGAATGGACTAATACAGGTTTTCTTAATTTATTTAATTGTTAAATATATCTTAGCATTTTTTTCTTTACTGTTAAATAAAAATACATATATCAAACGCACGAATACAATGATATAAAATTGACAACACAAACAAAACACAAGGGTAATAAAAAATATTTTAACAAAGTAGAATTTATTTCATAAACTTTCACAAGATTATGAATATCCCGTCGATTAACCTCGGGCAAAAGGTGGTGAAGCATTTGTCAAGAAGACGTAGATACCGCTAGCACTGGAACATAAGAAACACAAATATGTTAATATATAAGATAGAGAATATATATATATATATATATATATATATATATATATATATATATATTGTATACCTATTTCATACCAATCGTTCAAACGTACCTAGGGACGAACCTTTTTTTTTTTTTTTTTTTTTTAACGTTGGGAAATGCATTTACGCACGACGTGTGGGACTCACCGGCGTAATACAGCCAGTACTACCCACTAAAACCCAACAAAACCTTCCCCCGTCTTAATGGGGCGTCGCAGGATCGCTTACGCATTCAACTACGACGCCCCGACGGCAGGTCCGCCGAAGCAGACCACCACAACCATGGGGTTGCTCCACAGTCCACTCTGCTATCAGAGAAGTACCAGGAGCAACCCGCATGGTACACCGCCCTCCGAAGAGGGCCACCTCCCACCGCCCACCGAAGTGGGCAACCTCCCTGTGCGTTTCTTAGCTTCGCTACTGCTACTGAGCCCCCCCACCACGACAAGGTGAACGCACGTTGGGGGGGGAACCTAGGGACGAACCTGAGCGAAGCGTGGTAAGTCACGAGTAATACTAAAAATATCTTAAAAGGTTCTCGTGTTGAAGGTATCGAAAACGACGTTATGGAAGTAAACATTATGGGAACCTTCCCGAATATGTGCCCATTATAAGAAGTAAATAGAAAAGCTCTCCAAGGACTAAGTCACGCTTGTCAGCAAGCAATATTGACAAGTAAAACTGGTCAAAAAAATAGCTGGTCTTTAATAGTGATGAACAGTTGCGCTCAGTATCGTGCACCTTAAGGGTTGACAACAACTCATTCTATTTTATTTAACAGGGCTATTTAAATTGAATGTTGAATCATCACGGAAAATAAAAAATATATACATTATATAGTATATGTACATTATATTTACCAATTGAAATATGCTGAATATGATTTATATTTAATATCTATAATTTGTTTAATATTATGACAAAAGGTGTCGTGGAAGATGACTAAAGGACCTAAGGACCCTGTACTGGCCATCGCCTCTTTGTCTTTTACGCGATGCCCGGTAAACAACATTCCCAAAAAGGGTTGATGTCAGGCAGGTGGCTGGTCTTAAACCTTTCACCAGAACCAATCAGCAGTATGGAAGACGACAGCACCGACCCCAAGTTATTTAGAAAATGAGCATCTATTCATTCGATCCATACCATGGACGCGAAATATTAGTTTCAAGTAAACATGCTAGCTAATTTTGCGTGTGAAATTAGATAACTCACCTCGTGTTATCATCAGTTCCACCAAAAGTGGCATCCCGTGCACCAGAGCACTGCAAGGCAGTAGCTTCTTGGTATGATTCGCAGGCTGTTCCGATAAACTTATTTCCGTTATTGGATTCTGCGGTGATTGACTCTGCGTAATAGACATAAGCGTATGTGTGGGAACAAGAAATATCGCTCCCACAACCAATTTGATTAATACCGCCGTTTGCGTAAAAGTCCACATGTCCAAGCGGCCTATCGTAGCCATAAATTCCAGCAGTCGTGTGAAGAACTTCCACTAGTCGAGCAGCATTTTCACTTAGTTTATCGGGATGATGCGTCCATCCAGGGAGGGATGGGTCTAGACCTGTAATAAAACAACTGCATTATCTATATATAAATAGGCAAATACATAACAGTTCCACCGATTTACTTTTTTTTTGTTTAGTAGCTATTGACGAACTCCTTTAGTGCTATCAATAAAAAAAATTGAATTTTGACTGCTTAGCTACTACTTATAATTGAACTAGTGCTTATCTATACATATAATTAAATTGTAACTAAGTCGAATCTGTACATTAAATATTTTTTGGAAAATCTAATTGAAATAGACATTATTATCGATACAGAGTCCGAATCTATAGATTTTAGAATTTTTGTCTGTCTGTCTGTCTGGCTGTATGTCTGTCTGTCTGTTACCGCATCACGAGAAATCCACTGGACAGATTTTGATGAAATTTGGTATGATGATAGCTCTTTATCCGGCTCAACATACCGCTCAACTTTTTACCGCGGGAAAATATCTCATTTCTGAGAAAAAATTCAAAAACTGCATTGTAAGAGTAAACTAATATGTAAAATCTAAGAATTTGGTTTTTGGTCATCTGAACGCGGGCGAATAAACACACACACAATACAATTGAATAAAATTAGTCATTCATTTTGATTATTTTAAGGACATAATCTGAAAATATTATGTAAAAAGATAACATAAATATGATGATACCAATAACACGAGGTATGTTTCCATTGACGGCCCTGGCTGCGATGCCAGCAGCATGAGCTCCAAGACCATGACCAACAATGCGGATGTTCTCTGGACTGTATCCAAAATCATCGTTAAGGATGTTGATAAACTGGGCAACGACATTACCGACTTGAGGAATGTTACTCAGTCCAAATGTATAGCTTGTAGCACCTCGGCTCCAATCAACAGCAATAACGTTTACATCTTCAGCGGTCAAATGGGCTATAACACAAATATCAATAAATATGGTAGATATATATTTTTGTATTTATGTTATTCGTTATAAAACTGTCGTCTCTTTATTTATTTATTCTTATTATCCTATCTACATCTTATATTTTTCTCAATAATTAAGTTAAGAGTGTGTCTATTGGGTTTTGATACTAAAATGTCTCTCAAATGCCATAACTTCTCACACGCGTTATCGGTTTATAATTAATTATAGTAGGAAGGTCAGATACCCTTCAAAACTCAAACAAAGTCTAGTCCAATCGCTAGTTTTTCAATATTTTTAAAGTGATAAGGTACTTCATCGATAAAAGTGTTCTGTTAATCTATACATATAATAATACTAGCAACTCAGCCTCGCTGAGCTCAAGTTCGTCCCTAGTTGTTTGATTCCCCATACAAACTTTCACCCCCTTCAGGGTTGATTTCCGGGGTAAAAAGTATTCTATGTCCTTTCCCGGGTCTCATACCATCTTCTTACCAAATTTTATCTAAATCGGTACAGTAGATCCAGAGATTACCCCCTACAACGTCACAAACTCACAATTCACAAACTTTACCTCTTTATAATATTAGTTATATATAGGTAGATTCTGAGTCGAATCTGTACATTCAAAATTTTTTTGAAAATGAAATAGTCGTTATTATCGATACAGAGGGCGAATCTATAGTTTTTAGAATTTTTGTCTGTCTGCCTATTTGTCTGTCTGTTTGGGACTGCGTCACGAGAAAATCACTGAAAAGATTTTGATGAAATTTGGTATGATGATAGCTGGTTGTCCGGGTCAACATATAGGATATTTTTTACTGCGAGAAGCGCGGAGCGAGGGTGAGTCGTTTATCCAGAATAGTCGTATACGCTGTCATCAATTCGAATCGCACCCAAAGTTGTTAAAGTGCAAATAATTAAAGATCACAGACGTCATTTGTTTACTTTTTGTATTTATATTAATGCGATATTTTATAACTAGTGCATGTAATATTCCAAAAATATTTATAGAATTGATTTTATACCTGGTACAACAAACGCGTTAAAGTTTCCAGTTACTGAACTGTCATAGTTATGAATAGTAAAGACTGTACGACGTGACCGTTGGAACGTGGACGACATAATTGAAGCCAGAGATGGTAGTAGAGCTTGACTCACTGATGGGTTATTTCTAAAATAAAAAAAAATAGTATTAAATTATTTCATCGTTGGTATTAGATAATTAAACATTATTTCTAAGGTTTTTATGATCACCAAAAACATGAAATTTGATTTTAATTGATTATATCCATAAAATTTTCTTATCAAATACCTACCTTTTACGATTTAACTGATAAAAGTTAATTGCTCACAATATCGTTTATCTGTAATGCAATATAATAAAATTGTATCTAGATTAAAATATGTTTGCAAATTATCCTGTCGTGCATCAAGAAAGAACTATGTCTATACGATATAATTTTTGGAGGGCTAACATTTGATAATTTTGGCGCAAAAAAACACACGTAGATGAAACATACATAAGATAATTTTAATTAAAAAAATTGTAATATTTTTATATAAAGTAAATGTATATTTAAATTTTTATCAATACCTTGAAAATAAATGGAAGACAATATCAGTGGGGCCCAAAGAAAATCCGTGAGCTGAAAGAAATCACATCGATGAATACATACTCTTAATCATTCAAAGTCAGTAGCTTTATAATATAAAAAAATAAAAATACTTCAATCGGCTAATGATACCATTTTTACAATCAATTTAAGTATCAGAGAAGATTAAATAAATATAGATCACGCATTCTCACCTTGAATTTATAGATAATTCTCTGATACTTGTATGTATATTTATTATAATATTGTAGTCAAAAATCCCAAAGTTATTTTTAAAAATTATACGTAAATACGACTCTCTTAGTCAAAATTATGTTTTTATTCTATTTGCTGTAGAATTCCTTGGCCCATGGGGTCAAAGTGCTAAGCACTTCTTAAAAGACATAACACCTTTTCTTATCGCCTCTACTGGTGACAGGAGAGCTGGCGTATTTTTCGCCCAAAGAATCGGCATTGCCATTCAACGGGGGAATGCGGCTAGCATTCTTGCCACTATTCCACGTGGACATGACTTGTACAGTAATAATTAAGTGTACATTTGTTTTGTATATATATAATTAAGTATATTTGTAATTTTCTTTATTGTAAATAAAAATATTATAACTATTGACGAGACGCCCGATTTTTCTCTACTAAAATTACAGATAGAAGGTACAGGTGTTAAACATTACAAATCGGTGATTGTCCAAACTTTAGTACCAACGGCTAGTGATTCACTTAAACCTTAGATATGTTAATAAGGCATAACATAAATCTTTTGTCCTATATAATAAATATTTGGACAAGAGCGTCCTCCACGGTCAATATGTACCAATGACAAGGGTAAAATAAATAAATTAATATTTGTATACTAATGAAATGGTGCGAATCATTTCTAACATGATTACCACTTGCCATACGGTGAAGGAAAACATCGTGAGAAAACCTGCATGTCTGAGAGAACCTAGCAAGTTTTCGAAAGACATGTGAAGTCCGCCAACCCGCATTTGGCCAGCGTGGTGGACTATGGCCTGATCCCCCTCGTATTGAAGGGAGGCCCGTGCCCAGTAGTGGGACGTCAAATAGGGCTGAATACAATGAAATGGTTACATTGTCCTACAATTTGAATGGTGTGTTCTCCATTCCTACGCTTATAAACTGTATCGTAGACATTAAGTAGTACATCGTAGTTTTAAAAAGAATCACTATCCTGATAGTTCATCCTAACCCTGTCTTCGTTTTGACGAGGCAGCAATGAGTTCGATAGTGAGAGTTAAGTAAGTAAGCTGTTGTAAAATGCAATGGGTGCTCGTACAAACTTTATTTTTTCATACTCCTATGCTTGAAAAATTTCAATTCTACTGTATTACTAACTATATGACAGAAAGCGTGAAGCGTGAAGGGTATCTGTAGCTATGTTTTTAAAAATAAGAAATATATAAACATTTTAATAATATTAATATTTTTTCGGGACTTGCGATAGATAGCCATCTTATTTTTTTATTAGAAGATTTATTTAATTGAGCAAAGAATACACTAAGCTGAGGTATAGCACTTTCTTCTACAGTTAATAATAAATAAAATGCACCGTGGGATTTACATATTTTAATGGTTATGGGCGACATTTTTGTCATATCATTTATAATTACATACAACAATATTTTTTCGAGTACCTTATTAAATTCTATTAAAATTGAATTGAAATGATAAGTTAGTACTAAAGTTTGGAAAATCATCCGTTCGATGTTCTCTGTTTCAGCGATCACTATCTATAATAATATCCTCCTGACCAATTTCTACCACCACGGCCAACCTCACTGAGACTAGCCGGATGCGCTGGAGATATTATAGTACACAAGTGTACGCACAGACACATTGTACTCTATTCTTGTCACTCTCAAAGTCCGATGGGACGATACTTCGACACGACTGGTAAGAGTTAAGGCGCAGGACCGACGGCTTACGTGCTCTCCGAGGCACGGGAGTAAGCACCGCCAACTTCTGAACTCCGAACTGTTACTTCTGAGAATTGCTTGATAGAAATACTCAATAACTGAACTTGGCCCGACCCGAGACTCGCACCCAGGATCTTCGGATCTGTGGTCGTATATGCTACACTAGACCACCGAGGCAGTTACTACTATAATTTACGTAGGGAAAAATTTGAGAGTCACGTCAAAATGAAGCTACACACTAGAATTTAGCTTACATCTTAATAAATAAAAAAAACATTAGTATCAAACATTGCACAGTATTAGAACTTTCTAAACAACGTTCTATTTAAAATTTTGTTTATCAGTTCTTGCCTCACCTGCAACTGCAGCACACAAGACCAGAGCACATTTCAAAGACAACATTATGTTTCCATATATTTAACAAAACAATTGACCAACAAATTATGACTGGTTTTTATAGACTTAATTTATCTATACATCTATTTCCTTCCAAGAAATTTTAATTCACTTGTTGATAAACTAACACGATGGTCGTAAAACCGTCAGATACTGCTGTCCTGCAACATTTCACCTTTATATAATAAATAATATGTCCAAAATATTAACGTTCAATCTAAAACATTAAAAATAAGTTATTATGAACTGCATTTGAAAACTTTTATTGAGCTGAGAAGTCGCTGGTTCGCGTCTTTGGTCAGGCCAGGTTTAATTATTGGGTTCTTTCTGATAAAGAAATTCTTTGTAGCAGAGTTGAGATGTTGGCAGTGTTTATACTATCTGTATATCTCGAAGAGGACTTGTCACAATGACTGAAATCAGTCAGGTGGATATTATTTCAAATTATTCTTGCTCTTGTGCCATTTTACCTATAATTATTTTAATTATACTATACTTATATTTTTTATGTAGGTATCTAAATATTATATTACGCTGCCATTTTTGTTACCAGTAGGAACCTATAGGATTTACAACTGATTTAATCCCTTTTTTCGTAAGGAATTTCTTATACTATCTTATTTTATCGAGTAATTTCCCCATTTCTCCATTCTACGTAATATTGGCGTTCCAATGCACATATAAGTTACACACAATTAATTTAATGTTTTAAATATATTATTTACTATACTTACCCTCTCTTCGCTCATGTTCTTACTGGGTACGTTTTAAATAGATAAAAATAGTTGTAGGTGTAGTAATTTTAATAATCAATATAATTAAAATTACAAACTACTATTACAATTGTTTCTAGTTTACAAAAAATAAAATGTGTAGGTAACTAATAGTGCTGTTCGCTCACATCGCGGAATTTTTCTTTTACTTTTGACATTTTTGCACCCGTCGTAACTCCTAAACGAAAGGTCCGATTCGTATAATTTAAAGAGGAATTTACAAGTACATGCTGTATACTGTACATAATCACCCTTGATTGACCACTAAATAGTTTCATACTATTTAGTTGGAAAAGCATTAATACACGAATATCATCATCTTTCTACTCTAGCCGTGTTTTGATTAATAAAGAACAAAAAGCGGTTGTTGTAACTGAACTATAATAGTAAAACATATAGATTCGGTTTTTTCTGGGTAATACTAAAAGTACTATAAATATTAAGTACATTATTTTATGTATCGTCAATAGTTTTCGCAGCGTACGCCTTAAAATGACTTTTATAGGCAAATTTTTCATACCTTAGGTTACATTATTGTAATCTGCGTAATTTTTAACTATAATTTTTTTAAAATAATATACAACCTATGCTAATTAAGTGTAGCTTTCTATAGGTGAAAGAATTTTTAAAATCAGCTAAGAAGTTTTTGAGTTTATCCATTACAAACTCACATACAAACATACAAAATATCTTTTCTTTTTATAATATTAGTTTAGACTAGATTCTACAGAAATTGATATAATCTGTACTATGCTATCTTTTATTTAAAATTACAACATAGGAAAGTACTATAAAAATATTATCTTACATGTTTACATTGCTAATTTCATTTATCAATAAAAGCAGTTTAAAATTCGATATTCATAACATAAAAAGGCAGTGGTAGCTCAGTGGTAACGCGCTCGCTTGGAAAACCGAGTGAAGCGAGTTCAAATCCCGGGTCTCGCACCTCTGATATTTTCATGTACGAATCATTTCTAACATGAATACCACTTGCCTTAGGAGAAGGAAAAATATCGTGAAGAAACCTGCATGTCTGAGAAAACCTAACAAGTTTTGCAAAGACTTGTGAAGTCCGCCAACCCGCACTTGGCCTGCGCGGTGGACTAAGGCCTGATCTCCCTCCTATTAAAGGTAGTGTGACAATGGGACGTTAAAAGAGCTGAATACATACAAATATAATTTAAATAATTCTCGTTTGTCACTGAACCCCATAAAAAACACATATTATATTTTTCATAAACTTATATACTGATATTAAAAATTGAAAATTGAATTGTTGTTCGCGTAAATCTCATCACCTATCTATCAATCGGCTCATTTAAAAAAATCTGTATGTGTACGTGTATAGACCGTTTATTGAGAAATGTTATGCATATATTTCGTAATTATATTTCATTTATAGTAATAAAAACAATCAAGTGATCAATTTCTTTAGTTTAAAAAAATCAAACAATACCGAACGACAATGCAAGCTACGGTTCTGGGATCGAAAATGCGTTACATGCACTTGCATTATAGAGCTGTTGTTGTAAGTGCTCCTGGACTGCTTCAGAACGCCTAAAGATAGAATAAAAGCTAAAACCTACGAAGCTTATTTTATTTCAAAAGATGTGATGAAAAGGGTCTATCGTTATACGGATTAGCATTGGAATTCAAGCATGGTAACCTAAAGACTAGTTACGAAATTTTTCATAATATCTCCGAAAGGTAATTTGAAATGAACGAAAGCTTTAATTTGGTTGTGTTAAAAAGCTAAAAACATTCAGCCTTGCAGCGTTATTTCAAAAAATGCTAGATTTTAAAACTAAAAAATATGGGAAAATATGCGCATTAAAAAAATCGAAAACTCGCACGGTACTAATATAAAAATTCTCTTTGTTGTAATGTTTAGATATCATCATGATATAGATAATATGTTATCATTAATTAGTATTACGTGCATATGTTTATTATTATTTGTATATTTAGGTATACACTGGAGCCAAATGAAAGCCCAACTTGCAGAGTTACACGTTAATTTTAAATCTTGACCGTTAAGCAATTACATAGGAATAGTATCACTAGGTTGAATTTACTCGTTGCTCGTTTGGCTGTTGCAGAGGAAAGAGTGTTCAGTTGTTCAGTTTCTTCGTCATGACAACAATATTGTAAAGAAATTGACAGTTTTGTCAAAATGTAAGATAGTTATATTTATCTATACAGATAAATAAAATTGAAGTGTCTGTTTGTAATGTCAAAATAACAGCGTTTTACTAAATACATATGAAATTATATGGTATAGTATATAAAATATGGTACTTATAAGAAAAACAATTTTTTTTTAAATTTTGTCTGTCTGTCTGTTTGTTCCGGATAATCTCTGAAATGGCTGGACTGATTTTGACGGGACTTTCACTGGAAGATAGCTGATGTTATAGGGAGTAACATAGGTTACTTTTATTTTAGAAAAAAAATTAGGTTCCGCTCAAAAAAATAAAAACGTACTTAGGGACAAACCCGAGCGAAGCGAGGGTGAACCGCTAGTCTATACTAATATTATAAACAGGTAAAGTTTGTGAGGTTGTAGGGGCAGGTTGGGGAGAGAAGGGGAGGGAGGGGAGGGGGTAGGGGAGGGGAGGGAGTTGAGGGGGGGGATAATTTGGTAAGAAAATAGTTTAAGTCCCTGGGAAGGGCATAGAATACTTTTAATCCCGGAAATCATCCCTTAGGGGGGTAAAAATGGGGATGTAAGTTTGTATTGGGAAGCAAGCAAGGGACGAACCCGAGCGAAATTCCACATTTAACAGAAAGGTTTTTTATCAGTGACTTTATGTACGTCTTCATTGAGATTATTATCATGATGAATGTTCACGATTTTTTTTAATTTATCACCCCAAGCAAATAAACAGATTTAGTAATCATTATTTAATAGATCAGATTATAATATAAATTGATGGTCATTTGAAGATTTCCTGTAAAAGATTAATTATTACGTTATTTGCTTTACAGCATATGTTGTTCACATAATATGATAGATATCGTGGACAGAATATACACATTGAACTTATTGAATTATACCTACCGGATAATAGAATTACTTAGACTGAAGATAATGTGGTCATAGAACTGAATAAAGCTAAACAATATTTTAAAATAATATTTAATGTTTAAAAACAGTATACAAATCTCCACCTTTATGCTTATTTGTACAAACTACCAATACTTGCTGTACTTACTTAACAATATAGATTTTTTTCCTATACTTTAAAAACAAAGCTTTGAAACAAACAATTTAGACTATCAATACAAAAATCAACAAATATTATAAGGTATTTTTTGAATTTTTGAAATCATTTTAGTAAAATAGTGGGTAGGCACTATCTGTAACAAGTATATAACACCTTTGAGACGTCTATAACCTTAGTCTCTCCCGCGACCATGATTGCTGTAAAGCATTCGAAACGTCGCGTCAGGAACCAAAAATCAAAATAAATCCGCGAAATAATCCGAAAAGATATTTTATTTAAAATGTCAAATTATATCTTGTATTTTTTAGATAAGAAAAGACTAACAACTTGAATAAATACAAAAAAAAGTATAAGCATTGTAACCGACCAGAATTCGAACCCAGACACCTGTGATCGTGAATCTTGCATTTTAGCCGCTTGACCACGATGCTTATACCCGAGCGTGCTAAATTAGCGACCATATTTTGCAAGGAATAATAGGAAAGAAAACCGCATGAAAACTCGAAAACACGCGTTTTCCCAGACAAGACTAATCTAGATCCATTTTTTGCCCGGAAAACCCCCACGTACCAAATTCCAGCGATATCGTTAGAGCCGTTTCCGATATCGTCGGTATATATAAATAAATAAATAAACAAACAAACAAACAAACAAACAAACAAACAAACAAACAAACAAACAAACAAACAAACAAACAAACATACAAACAAAACAATAAATACACAAGAATTGAAGGTATTAGATATTAGTTTACAAATTATGTGAAAATATTGAGGCCTAGAGGTGGATAGTGGAATTCTTCGACGGCTTCTAGTAAATACTTTAAATATTATAATAGATATATTTTATAAGTTCAATATTTTAGAATTGGATCCTGATATAGAACCTGATTTTTAGAATTAGTACTAATAAATACGAGTTTTTAGTTTCTTTAACTTCAGTTAAAAATTAACATCAAACTAATTGAAATGGCTGAAAAGAATATTTCATTAAAGTACATTCTTCTACCAATTTGTTACTAAGACTACACTAAAAATTGAAATATAAAAACTTAAAAAAACAAGAAACACACTTCAAAAATTAAAAAATATATAAATACCGACTCTTAGACACTAGAAAGTAATAATATCCGAACGGGGTTTTTCATTTACTATAGATACCTAATCAGATATTTTCGAAGTCCTTGCCGGCCGGCAATACTTAAAGATATGATTATCAAATAGGTAAATATGACAAAGTATGAACACTAAAATATTATACGTACATTTGTGATGTATTTACTGGTACCGAATGTAATAGAACTAAGATAACATTTTTAACTGTAAAATCACAGATCATATAATACTATACGTAATATGAATGAAATATACGATAATCTTTATTTACATATAATTCGTGTTTTTAATGTCTTTTAATGATTTAATATAAAGCTAAAATTTATAAATATAGAATATTAAAAAAAACATTGTTATTATCTCTCTGTGCAGCATCGAGCTCAGCGTGCAGTGTAGCATTTGTTTCGCGGTGAGCAACGTCTTCCTTCTTTAGTAAAGAATGACAATCTTCTTTGTTGGCACGTTCAAGAAATTGTATTGCTACGCATTTAGTATGGAAATGCACTACAATGCAGCACAAAGAGATTTAAAGTAAGATCAGATAACAAAGTCAAATCTATAGTTATAATATTTTGGAAATTTCCAAAATATTATAACTGCAGATCCTAATTAGGATCAATTTTATTTGCTATTCTTCTATAGTTATCTATCCATCTACATTATTATGTATATGTGATATATCAAGATCAATGTTTAATATTGTTTTTATTGATTAGAAATTAAAAAAACTACGTTCAGAAGCAGACAATTTGCAGTCGACTGGGGCAGCAATATAAGATGTAACTTTTTTAAAAACAATGGGTTTGATTCCCGACAAGTCTTTTTTTAAATTATATAATACAGTTAGCTTTATCAAAATAGATCTTGCTACTCTTTAAACATTTTTACTCTTCTTTATAGTTCCATTTTATGCGGATTTTGCCATCCACGTCAACTTGTAAAATAACATATATATATAACTGTAATTTCCATATAAGTGCCCATGCTATCTGAACTGAATCAATAAAAACTGCGTGTTAAGATAGCGTGGACATTGGTAGTCAACTACAGGTCTTCAGTTCTACCCGATTTTTAGTATTTATTTTGTTGCTGGCTCTCTAGATTGTCCTGATATCATTTGCGACCAGCAACAACATCCATGACATACACAGCCATTTATCTTTGTACATGATGTTCTCCTGGCCGATTTCGGCTATGGCGGCCAATCTCATTGAGACTAGCCAACTGCGCAGGAGATATTATAGTGCACAAGTGCATTCTCTGTTCCTGTCACTCTCATACTCCGGTGGGACGACTGCTCGACACGATCAGTGAGAGTTAAGGCGCAGGACCGACGGCTTTACGTGCTCTCCGAGGCACGGGGGTGAAATACCGCCAACTTCCCAACTCCGGGCTGTTACTGAGACTTATTATACAGAAAGACTCAATAACTAAACTTGGCCCGACCCGGGACTCGAATCCAGGACCTCCGAGTGTGCAGCCGTACATGCTAGCCACTACACTACCAAGGCAGCTAATCTTTGTACATAATATATGTATGTATGTCTACATGCATACATAAGGAATGGGCTAAGACTTAAGTCTTAACATTTTCAGAGCACAATTCAGGGCATATTGCATAGATAGGAATATGCATTTGACATTTTGTAGGAACTTACTAATTAAATAGACCTATGTAATTTCTAAGTAAATAATAAACTAAGTAGTAATGTCCTCCTTTCCTTAGCGATTTTGGCCACCGCGGCCAATCTCAATAAGACTACCCATGTGCGACGGGGATATTATAAGGCATAATATTATTTAATCTAAAATAAAATTGATGTATTGTAAATGTGCACTTTTTAGAATAAATGATATATTTATTTATGTTTCATCTTTATATTAATTCAACTATACTAGTTGATTTACGGATAAATTATAAATCAACTGCATTAGCACGATAATTTCGTTCAAGAATACTCAATTAATATTTGGTATTCAAAAATAATATTTTTCCCCTTTTTTTAATTATTGGTCTATTTTTTAAAAGATTGATCCTTTTTATACCCAGTATAAAAAAACTTCTTTTTTTTTATTATTCGTCTTTTTTTTTAAATTGATATTTTTTATAACCAGTATAAAAGACTATTTATTTGTAAGTTTTGATTTTCGATTACGTGACAGGTCCGACTTGGTTAACGTAGGTTGAGAAGGCTAAGGGCCTTCTCGTTAGGTATTTTTTTTATTTCAAAAAAAGGGAGTTCTGGATCTTCGATTCTCATTTCTCTAACTTTTGGGGCCCAATAAGTAACTATCAAATACAATTTCTACTGCTCAAACATTTTTTGCATAGTTCTAAATAGATTAAAATAGCGATTAATTTGATTTATTTTATGCCTCGAAGAAAGGTCAATTATTAAAAAAGATGACCATTTCGACTTTTTGCTGTTTTTGCAAAATTAAAATGATTTAAATCCATGCCATATTATAATTATAATGCCCAAGTATTATAACACAAATACTATTCTCTTTTTCTATTCCTTTCATTTTGAAAGTTCAATGGTGAGAAATGAGGCCGGCGAAGGATGATGACCTAGGACTCGAAACCAGGACATACTGACAGACTGTCCTGGTTTCGAATCCCAGAAACTAACGAAAAAAGGAGTATTTCAATAAAAATATAATGCTATACTTTTAAAATTTAACGTGTGGTCATCCTACACAAAAATATATTTACCTCTATCTTAATAAATAATCACCTATAGGTACTAGATAGGGTTCCTAATTTTAGATAAAAAACGACATAAATATGGTAGAGAAATATGAAATGTACAACAGATACAGCAATGAAGCTTCTAGTAGTATTTCTCGCTTCAGTGTCATGTAATATTTATTTTTATAATATAATTGTTCATATTTATTTTAATTTTTGGTTGTCATTTCTTTTTCTTATCGAATAATTAAATCTTTGTTCTCTACGTTGTAAAAATAGTTTTATTTTACGTTGCCAACTCCGTGTGGCCTGCATAGTGGAACTACTACATAATGGTTAATGCTTAAAACTGTCTAACATACCATTTTGATTTCAGTGTGCTCTAGCAGTGCTATTCCCGCAGTGCCAGGGGACAATAGCCACTATATAGAAGGCGAGAGCAGGTACATTTGGATGCCAGATAATTATGGTAATCCTGTACTTGTAGACTTACAGGAACCAGTCGATGAAGCACTATTATCGCAAGCTAGAAATGGCGCCGAAAACCAATACTGGCTTTTTACCAGGTAAGTTTGTTAAGAGCTTAATATTATTTTGCTATTCCTTATTTCAATTACTCGGTGTTTTACTGTAATTAATTTATATTCTCAGCCTGTTGTCAACAGGTTGTAATATACGACATTTAAAAAATTTTTAATAACTTAAAATATTAGCTTTATTTAAATACAACCTACTAATGTAAATAAATTGTGGTATGTATTTATAATTTATGGTATCGGTATGGTAATAATAAGCAGCAGCGTAGCTAGTACATAATTTTCTAATGTTTATATTATTTTACAGACAAAACCCTACCAATCGCCAAGTACTAGTAAATGGGAATGCAAACTCAGTAACAGGCTCCAACTACCGTGCTGCCCGAGCTACGAAAGTAATTGTCCACGGGTGGAATAACAATGGCAACACTGAAATGAACCCTCTTATCACAGCTGCATTCCTTGCGGTCCAAGATGTTAATGTCATTGTGGTAGACTGGAACCGTCTTGCAAATGGAGCCTATACCACCGCAGTGCGTGGGGTCCCGGATGTTGGTGTACATCTAGGTTTATTCATTCAATGGCTTTTTAATAACTTCGGTGGAAATTACAATAGCCTTCACTTGGTCGGCTTTAGTTTAGGAGCTCATGTTGTGGGCAATGCCGGTCGTACTATTGGAGGACGTGCGGGACGTGTAACAGGTGATTATTTATTTAATAATTCTTATTTTTTTTTAAATAAACAAGGGTATATTTAGTAATATCACTACAAATATACAGGACAATAGTTTAAATATTTAATTTAATTGTAGCATTTTATTTTTAGGATTGGATCCTGCTGGTCCTCAATGGGGAGGAAACTCTCTTGCTTTAAATCGTAATTCTGGAATCTACGTCGAATCCATCCATACAGACGGACGTCTACTTGGTATAATGGATGCAATTTCAGACGCTGACTTCTATCCTAATGGTGGCAGAAATCCGCAACCAGGTTGTCTCATCAGCACTTGCTCACATGGCCGTGCTCCTCAATTGTTCGCGTCAAGTGTGAGAACAAATCATTTCATCGGAAGACGGTGTAATAATATTCATGAAGCAGAGTTAAGCACGTGTAACGGTGCCCAACATCGCATGGGTAACGGCGTAGTGGGTAAAACAGGGTATGTTGAATTATTAATTTATTACCTTGCGGGATTAAGATAGAATAATGAGATTTTGCAAACTTCCCTGCTACCAGATAGTAAAGAGACGCGCTTGTTGGGTGGCAATACCTGTAACCCAGTCGGGTTGTCGAAAAATAAAGCCTAATCCCGAAAAAGTTCTAGGCCGAAGTTTTATTTCACAAGCGTTTAAGGAAGTCGCTGGGAGTGTTAATTCAAAATTGAGACTGAATTTTTGATTTTAAGGAGGAATCGTTTTTCTTCAATAAATCGGCCATTTACAATTTCATACATTTGTTCATTATTCAATACTCTAGATTTTATTCGTTGGTTATTTTTTAAAGTAAAGGAGAAAAAACAGGGGAAAAGGTAGTTATTGTATTATCTCATTTATTATTGACCAAAGTTATTTATTTATGAAAACTTCGATCTTCACTATTTTGTCTGTAGACCCTGAAAATTTCTGTAGGTACAACTAAGCAAATAAATCTATACATATAATAGAATTGTAACTAAGCCGAATCTGTACATTAAATATTTTTTGGAAAATCTTATTGAAATAGACATTATTATCGATAGAGAGGCCGAATCTGTAGTTTTTAGAATTTTTGTCTGTCTATCTGACTGTCTGTCTGTTACCGCATCACAGAAAAATCACTGGAGGCATTTTGATAAAATGTAGTATGGTGATAGCGGGAAAATATCTCATTTCTGAGAAAAAATACCAAAAAAATTCAATCAATTTCAAAAAAACTACAAGTAGGAGTATACTTATATGTACCTTAAACCTAAAAATTTGGGTTTTGGTCATCTGAACGCGGGCCGGAGCCGCGGGCAGTGCTAGTACTACTATGTTCCTTCGTGAACTTTTTTTCATCTTTTTAGTTAGTTTTTATGCAGTCGGGTTTTTTATATCATATATTTATTTATTTCAATGAAGAAATCAGAAATGAGATAATTCAATAATTACAGTTCCCCCACTTTTTCCCCTTAACTCGAAAAATATCAATCGCACGAAAAATTTAACAAAAAATAAAATGTAGAGAATTGAATAATGAACAACTTTAGTTCTGATAATTTTTTCAAAAAGTTGAAAATGGCCATGTGTTGAGGAAAAACTATTCGCCCTTAAAATCGAGATGGCGGCTAACGCATGATGCATCGCTCAAAAGTCACGATTTTAAATTTACACTCCCAGTGACCCTCCCTAAAGGCTGGTGAAATAAAATATACTTTTGTACTAACATTTATCTATTAAGAAACTTATAATATACTAGCATTGTCCGCGGCTCCGCCCGCGTTCAGATGACCAAAAACCAAAATCTTAAGTTTTACATATTAGTATACTGTTACATTGCAGTTTTTGTATTTTTTCTTAGAAATGAGACATTTTCCCGCGGTAAAAAGTATCTTATATGTTGACCCGGATAGCCCGCTATCACCATACCAAATTTCTTCAAAATCCCTCCAGCGGTTTTCCTGTGATGCGGTAACAGACAGACTGACAAACAAAAATTCTAAAAAACTATAGATTCGGCCTCTGTATCGATAATAATTACTATTCCAATAAGATTTTCCAAAAAATATTTAATGTACAGATTCGGCTTAGTTACAATTTTATTATATGTATAGATTTACTAAACATTACCCTACCTAGCTTAAACATGCATGTACATTCAGTAAATTATCTGATTGAGAATAACATGACTGCCGAGATGACAGTATATTATAAAAACATAATATCATGTCAGCATTTGGTGAAGTTTAAGCAATAGGTAATGCAATAATCTATTATTATATACAATTATTTCCCTTAATATTGTATATTATTCGAATACTTAAAATATTCGGAGATTTTACTTCGAGAAATTATTTATAAACGGGATTTAGGTGGTATGATGGTTTCGTCGTGTAAGCTTACAAGCTATCTTTTGTAAAAGCCTGTCTATTGACATGTTTATTACATTTATTTTTAACAGATCTTCTTTCAATTTCTTCTTTCTGAAAGGCTTTCTATTTTGAACATCGCATTTAAAAGACGTGTCTTTTTTAAAATCTCGTATATAAAAATATATGTGATGATGATGTTCTCCTAGCCGATTCCGGCTACGTCGGCCAATATCATTGAGACTAGCCAACTGCGCAGGAGATATTTCAGTGCACAAGTGTACGCGCAGACACAAGTGCGCTCTCTATTCCTGTCACTCTCATACTCCGGTGGGACGACTACTCGATATAATACATACTTGACTAATGAATATTGAAGATAATAACATAAGCTTTAAAATAGTATTTAATTAAATTTATTTTGTTTTTCAGAGTGGGACTTTACGGATTACGGACTGGTAGCGTTTGGCCTTTCTAAAACTGATGGGAATACTGACTGCAATTTCGTGAAATACAAAATAAAACATTTTATAAATCGATATTTTCGTAATTCATGAATATAGAAATACGACTCGATTTTTCGTTTTATTTTTTAAAAGTCCTAAAAAAATCCAATACTTTTACTAACTTTGAAATCTTACTACTATATAAACGGGAAAGTTTGGATGGATGGAGGAGAGAATATTTGTTACTCAATCACGGTAGAACGCTTGAACGGATCTGGATGAAATTTAGCACAGTTACAGTTTATTATAGTCTGGAATAGCACATAGGCTACTTTTTATCCTGGAAAAATGTACGGTTGCCGTGGAATAGATTTGTTTTGATTTTCATTAGGGACGAACACGAGGGAAGCGAGTGTGAGCCGCTAGTATTGTATATATTTTTATCAAAATATGTTGTAAATATTCATCAAACTTCGAAATAACTACCCCAAGTTAAGTTCATAATATATTATTTTGGGGCATACTTTGTTTTATGATAAGTGATATAGCAAAAAAAGTACTAGTTGTATAAGTTTGAAGAAGTACTACCAACAACACTAAATAACAACAACTACAAATAAATCGTTTTATGCGGTTGAATACTCGCCTGCAAAAATAAAAGAACTGTGTTTTACACTTCATTGTTGGCAATTTTTGGTCACCTGACGTCACGTTTCGTTTTAATTAGTTTATAGAAAATCAATAGAAAGTAATTACCTACATTACCTACTACACGAAAACTTAAGTATGTAGGTATATCTACCTATACTTATTTGATAATTATATTTTTATGTATGTTGCGTCGAGCCACGAGTGACGACTTCATCGAGAGTGCGAGTGTGAGTTTGGTTTTAAACCGAATCGAATTGATTGTTTATATCGTTTGAAAACAATCAAAAAAATGTTTATTTACCAACACAGAGTTTTTATAACTTAGGTATGTAATACCTATATAGGTATTAGGTAGGTAAATGACCAACTAGAACTAATCCCGCTAAGTATATCAATATCAATATATGACATATAAAAACACAGTTTATAGGTACTCCGTCATATCCCTACCTCGGTAAAATCAAGAAAATGTAGTTATAATTAAGAAAACATAGTCATCAACACCAACCGTTTTAAATCGAAAAAAATGTACAATTTTCTTTTTTAAAACTTTTTTCTACAAGTCTACCTATGAAATGTATCAAATCAGGTTCAAGTCGAGGGTCTGGCCAAGTGTAGTTGGGTTTATCTGTCAAAGCAATTCTCGGTAGCATTCCAGAGTTGGGAAAATTTCGATGTTCAGCCCCTGTGCCTCGGAGAGGTACCAAAGGTATTTATATTGCGCCTTGTGTTTGGAAATAGCATTTATTTCAAAAAAAAATAATTATTAAGTACAAAATATGTGCGCATTACATATAATGCATACAATCTTCTAACTTACATCTAAATGATAGGGTCATCGATAAATAAGTCTTTCCTTAAACGATTTCTTTCATCAATAATAAAAAGACATTTCTTATTTACCTAATAAAACACACGTTAATAACGGTGTATTTTGGTCGTATTCGGTGGTCACCCCCAACACCCCCCCCCCCCTCCTACTCCCTCCACACTACGACAAGGTGAACGCACATTAGTAGGGGATCGTATACCACCTATCCTAACAAAACAAAGGATAGGATAAAGAGGCCACGACTATCCTCTGAACATCACTATGAATTAAGTACATTAAAATATATATTATATTACGTGTAAATTGTTTATTTAATAGAAGATAAATATTCAATAGTTTGTACATATGTAACAATTACAGATGAGAATATTTTCTTGTTTCATACTTTTTACGGCGTGATTTTTCAGAAGTAGTGGTTAAAGTGTTGACCTATCACACCGAAGTTCAGAATTTGAGCAATTCTTGTATATATGTATAAAGTATTTAAATTTATTTCGTGCATCTCGAAAACGCTCCTATGATTTGAATCAAATTTTGTATTTAGATACGGTTCTTTAAGTTTATCTAAACAAGTGTCTTTTCTGAAAAAACAATTTTCTTTATCTTTTCTGGAAAACGCCGACAGAGCTCGGTCGTCCAGGTACTAATCAATTAATGTCATATGTTCAAAGACAATAAGCCATTTTAAATAATATTTTCAATGTGGTCTTTTGCTTTTAGTCAGTTTGTGGATATTTAGGTTTGTGTTTAGAAATTCGCCGTAATAAAGATAGATATAATTTTGCCGTGGTCTGGATTATCTCTGAATAGAAATCAAGCCAGGCTTAGATGAGATATAGTTTGACAATTATTGTTAAAAATAGAAATGTAACAAAATATATATTAGAATGACATAATATGTATTACGATTCTATCATATAACGAATAAGACCACTTCAATATAATAATTTTAAAAAACTATTCTTGAACGATTTCAAATTCTCTACACAATTAGTTGACCCGCCAATACCGTATAAATAAAAATATAAATTGAAAATTATAATTTTTAATGTAGATAGTTTGACTTTCTAATATTTATGTGCGCACTGCCTTTCAAACCATACTATGTTTGGAATATTCATGCTAAAGAAATCAAAATATATTCTTTAGATAGAGCATTTATTTGTCTATAAATAAAAATAATAAATTAAACAAACCAAAAGTATATCTTTTTGCAACAAACAGTTAAAGAGCGAAAATCGGAATTCCTTGACTTGCCCCGTTTTGCGGGTAACTGTGCGCACTCCTAGGGGACAAGTAAACGCATATGTGGTAAATAAACACATTCCTTAGTGAAGCACACAAACAACTACAAAACATAGTTTTTTGTTTACAACATTTCTTTGTAATGTTCTTACTGTTCATTCAGTCTTATTTATAACTATCGCTTCGCTCGGGTTCGTCCCTAGGTTAATTCCCCATACAGACTTTCATCCCCATTTTCACCCCTTTAGGAAGGAAATAATATTAAATTATTCTATTACAATTATATTTATTATAATATATATACCATTTGCCAAGAACTAATCTATACATATAATAAAATTGTAACTAAGCTGAATTAGATATTTTTTGGTAAATCTTATTGAAAGAAACATTATAATTATCGACACAGAGGCCGAATCTATGGTTTTTAGAATTTTGTCTGTATGTCTGTTACCTCATCACAGAAAAACTACGTCATGTCAAAACTAGTTCATCACACACATAGTTTCACTCAAATGAACACTCACCTCGTCCACAATTCCTTCGAAGTTTTTAAAATATGAATATTATTATTAAAAAAAAAACAAATAAAAATATTTAATATATTTTTTATAATAATAAATATTATAACTTTGATTTTAACTTTGATATGATATTAGGCGTATTTTAACGTAGTAACAATAATTATAGCATATATTAACATTAATGTATATGAAATATATAATCTATGTATATATTATGCTTACTGTATTGTTGTGCTTGCGATATGACCCTATGAAAATATATACTTATAAATAAAATCGAATTGAATAATTTACTAAATAATCGATAAAATCGACTCATTTGTTTTAGATTTGTCTGTGTAATTTTTCTTATCACTTAATGCAAAAATTATTTAAATAGTATTGTTGTAATTACTAAGCTTGCTGTTTATTTAACAGGTAATTTTAATAAACATTTTATTAAAAGGTTGGGGCAATATATTATATACCCAATATACTCGTATGTATCAATTTGTATGAAAATATTGCATAAATCTATATGCACTCAAAATACCGTGAAACATTATAAGTGATAAAATATACCTAACAATGTAAATATTTAGTATACGTAGCTAAAATGGTTAATTGTATTTTTTTAATTAGTAAAAGAAGCTATAGCTTTTAAATTATAATCAGCCAGTAATTTCTTGATTGTGAAAATCATAAAACATTTAAATATTCAGCATTATAAGCTACCTTACCTTATCTTATAGAAATTACTTACGCATTCAACGCAATAGACCAAAAAAAGTAGGTTTTTTTTGGTCCAATTATTATTGGACACTGATTTTTCAATAATTATCTTTTCTTATCCTATAAGTGATATCGCAAACCTGAAAATTATGTTTTAAATAAAATATTAGACAATTCTAGATATTCCCAATTTAATAGTAGGTACGTAGTTCATTTCAACTACAAAAGAAGAATTCATTAGAAATAGTTATGAACTATGTAATAAATAAACAACAGTACACATTAAGGATCAATAAGGTTAACATATTATTATTTAAAATGTATTGTATCAGTATATAAAAGCATGTCTGCTACACGTACCTATGCACTAATTTAGTTTAAGCTTCATATGCCACTACTTGCTACTATATAAGAATACGAAGTCAAAATGAGAGCTGCGTGGTGTTTAGTTTTTATATCCATTGGAGTTGTTTGTGGAGTACTTGTTGAGGACGTAAGTAAAGTATATATATATATATATATATGTAAAGTATATATAAAAAATAAATAAAAATAAATAAATAAAAATATATATATATGTAAAGTATATATATATATATAAGCTACAATCTGCTGTCGCAATACTTATATGTTACACAGCAGAGTATTTTTACAAGTATACACAATTTTTCATTAGTTTCAGGTAGTTCTCATTCCTCAAGAAGCGGGAGCTGAAATCGCCAAAGTATCGTCGGATTGTGTTAAAAAAATGAATTTGGAGCCCGACATAATGGAGAGATATTTCGCCTGGGAATTAGAAGACTCTGAGACTAATAGAAAATATATATTCTGTCTTGAAAATAACTCGGGATATATGGATGACAATGGATACATTGTTAAAGATAAACTACTTCAAATTGTAGGACCACATGAAGCGAAAGTAGACGCCGTTGCTGAAGAATGTAATAAAGCCATATATAGTGACAAATATGAAGCAGTATTCCGTAGGGCAATGTGTTTCAAAGAAAAATCCGGGTTGGAGTTAAGAGTAGTATGATATTTTTATAATTTTTTTTTTATTTTTTTAAACAAAGGTTTCTGAATTATCCGTTATATGTTTATATTGGTGTGTTTACTTATGTATTAAAAAAATTAAAGTTAAAATTATTATGTTTTCTTTCATTTCAATTTAAATCTTTCAAGACACTGCTATACACCCCCGAAATCCCAATATGTATTCACATTCTCGTGGTTTGAGGGGCTCATTAGCATCCGGCAAAAAATCCGGCCGAGCGCGTAGCTAAGAAATGCACTGGGCGCCACCCAGTGAACACCGCCATGGAACACCGCACACCGAGGTGGGTTGCTCCTGGTACTTCACTGATAGCAAAGTGGACTGTTGGAGCAACACTATGGTTGTTGTCTGCTTCGGCAGACCTGCCGTCTCCGAGGCATTGTGTTTGAGTGTGTTAGCGATCCTGCGACGCCCTATTAAGACGGAGGAAGTTCTGTTGGATTTTAATAAGTAATACATGCTTTGCCAGTGAGTATTGCCATATAACCACGTATATGTGTTGCAGGTGGTATTACCTGAACACATTTCCCAATCAATGTACGCTTCTGCCCACAAACTATCACTATACAAAAAACAAACCAACAAACAAAAACACACTTTCACTATTTATAATTTATAACATTAGTAAGGAAGTAAAGATTTATCATGTAAAACTACATGCCCTTATCATTGGAATTTATCGAAATAATTAATATAATTCGTCCATGATCTATACATATAATAAAATTGTAAAAAATTATCATTTATTAATCTCCAGGTAAATTTCTAAGAAATCTATTGTTAACTGACATACCGGCGTGTCCGTGGTCGTGGAGGGAATATTATTTAGTATATATTATTAATTGCATAACAACTTCATTTTACCTCAGAAAATATAGAGTACCCACGGGATAAGGTACATAACTTGTATGAAATTATACTATTACAGGGAAGTCAAACCATATTTAAAATACATTTTTTCACAGAGGATCAAAGGATTATTATTAATTAGCTAATCACTTACTTTCTTACGTCATCGTAAATAAGATAATTTTTGGGGATAACCCAGAAATGGGCGTTATCTTATAATATTAAGTGAGCAATTTTTGTATATATATACATATTTAAATTTATTTGGTGTATGTCGAAAATGTCTCTAGCGATTTGGATCTTTCAATAATATTTTGCTTTTTAAATTTATCTTTACAGGTCTTTTCTGAAAAACCGCATTTTTTACAAAAAAAAAATATTTATATAAAACCGCCGAGCGAAGCTTTGTCGCCCAAGTACCTACTTCTATACATATTATAATAAAATTCTAATTGAGTCGAATCTATATATTAAATATTTTTAATGGGAAATTTTATTGAAATAGACATTATTGTCGATACAGAGGCCGAATCCATAGTTTTTAGAACTTTTATCTGTTTGTCTGTAACTAAAATAACTGGTTATCCGGGTCAATAAAGGATATTTTTACTTCGGAAAAATATCTCATCTCTGAGAAATCTATATTAAACGTTAATACGTAAGAGGGAACGAACCCGAGTGGAGCGAGGGTGAGTGAGAAAATAAACTATTAACACATTAAATTACCATATAAACTATTTTTTTGCACTAGAGTTCTATTATGGACATTACTATTACAGTTCGAATCTTAACAATGGAAAAAAAATAGATTTCTTCGCTTCCAGATGTGGGATCACAATAAAATGCTTATACATATTTGTTATTGGTGAACCTCATTATGAAACTATTTTAACCAAGTTAGATATTTTTGTTATTGAGTAGTGTTGTCTGAAAATTGAGGCATGTATTTTTTTTTAAACTAATAAGTAACCATTGTATCTATTTGCAATATTAAAAGGTTCTCTGTATTCACATAGGCAGCATTAAAATTCCTAAGAAAACTTCGTAGTTGAAACCTAATATTTACTGTTATTATTATATAAATAATAATAACGAAACATATAAAGTTCATTTACCGCACGCAAAGCCGGTAAACGACAAGTAGTATTTTATATATAAGCTTGAAAGATTAAACAGATTAGTTATCAACAAAATTATAATATAATTACCATTTTATAAAAATCACACACCAGGCCGTGTGTTTCATCCGTCAAATGGCTTGTTAGACATGTACAAAAACATGAAGAGCTTTCTCTTTATCTCTGCGTATTTAGCCAGTAAGAATAATAATTTTATTTATTCATAATTATATAATTTCATATTATGTATTCTGACTGTCTAAGATTTCTGCCTTAATTCATACAAGATTATATTCTCTGTCATTAAACAAACTCTTATAATCAGTCTAATATAAGAGAAAAAATACGAGCAAAATATTTATCATGGAGCTGCATTTTCTGACTTATTGTTCATAGTTTGTGCTGGCACTACTAAAACAGAACCAGAAGACTTCACACAACCTGATGATGAAAATTTGGTTCAAAAAGAATCATTAATTTATGAAAATTATCAAAATAAAATAATTGATAATATTCTGCAAACTAGTGACACCAACGAATATTGGCTATTCACTAGGTGAGTTTTTTTTTAATCATTTTTTAGTTTATTTTTTTTTACCTTTTAAAACTTGACAAAGTAAATATTTTTGTGTCAATTTAATTAGTTCTTTTGATTCTTCAGTTTGTGTGCTATTATATAATATATATTTTTATTCATAGGCAAAATCCAATAATACCCGAAATTATTGTCAAGGACGATCTTGTTTCCTTATGGAGATCCAACTATAATGGCAGCAAGCCGTTGAAAGTAATTGCCCACGGATGGACTTTTGATGGTCTTGCACCAGTTAACACAATGATCACAGCTGCTTATTTAGATACTGATGACGTCAACGTAATCGTTCTTGACTGGGGTAGAAGCGCCGAGGGAAGTTACTTAAACGCTTCTTTAAGAGTACCACGTGTAGGGCGCTATTTAGGAAACTTCTTGCAATGGTTGATCACTTTTGGAGGTGGTAGCTGGGACAATGTGCATCTCATCGGTTTTAGTCTAGGAGCACATGTAGTTGGTAATGCTGGACGACAATTAGGCGGTCAAGTTAGAAGAATTACAGGTTTGGACAATAGACTAACTCATACTATCTTTATTGTACGTAAATAAGTATTATAGTTAAACGTAAATGTTTATTTTTAGGACTAGACCCTGCTGGTCCGTTCTGGGGTAACTCTTTTGCATTGAACAAACGATCCGGCCAGTACGTAGAAGCTATACACACAAACATTTTATTCCGGGGAGTTATTGAACCTGTAGGACACACCGATTTTTATCCAAATGGTGGACTTATCCAGCCAAGCTGTGACACAAATACCTGTGCTCACAATCGAGCTTATGAATTATTTGCTTCTAGCGTACGAACAGATCATTTTGTTGGGAAAAAATGCTTAGATCTTAGACAAGCCCTTATAAACCAATGCAATGGCGAAATTTTAAATATGGGAAATGCAGATTTAACAAAAACGGGGTAAGTAAGGAAATGTTAGTAAGCATTGTATTAAAACGAAATGTATTTTCCAATCAAAATAAAAATACTAGTTTTTGCCTAAGGCAACGCTTGCGTGGCAGATACGTTAATAATATGGAGCCTATGTAATATGTGTATATTGATTCCGGCTACAAGTTTCTTCGAATATTTCATATTTCACTCAAATGCCTTGGGCCGGTAGGTCATGAAGGAATAACATATGTAAAACCTAAGAATTTGGTTTTTGGTCATCTGAACGCGGGCGGAGCCGCGAGCAATGCTAGTTGTATAATAATTGTAGAATATCGTACATACAATAGTAGCACAAAAATATAATGGTGTCACACTGACACAGTTTGGCCGCTGTCATTATATTTGAAGAAATGAAGTCACCATTTAAGATTTTTCAATGAAAAAAAAAATATTTCAAAAAAAATTCTATGTTATCATACAACTTTTAATATCCAACCATGTAATAACCTAATACAATAATAAAACTATACATGACGACAGCGTAATTAAAAAAAAAGTGTTTAATAGTAATGACATTAATTCCTTCTTGTTTCAGATACGGTATATATGGGTTATCTACAGGAAATAGTTGGCCCTATTAAAAAGAAAACAAGAAAGAAATAAGCTTATGCCAAATATATTAATTATCTCAACGTCTGATATAATAATTATAATAGACGAATAATAATTAGACGAATATAATGAACTCTACAATTTTTTTTCTTTTACGCTTATTAATATAGCTTGACCACATGTTTGGCTCAGTTTGTAGTGACCCTACTTGCTGCGCCAGCGGTCGCGGGTTCGAGTCCCGCTGGGGGCATTCGTTTGTGTGATGAGCACGAATGTTTATACTCCAGTCATGGGTGTTTATATTTATAATATGTATGTATTTAAAGTTATATATTATGTATAATGTATCAACTATCTGGTATCCATAGCACAAGCCTCGTAGCTTACCATGGAACTAGATGGCGTTGTATGTTAATGTCCTGACATATTTATATATTACTCTTGTACGGTTATGAGCGACCCGATCTCGCTTTGCCCAGGTACTGACTTTTCTTTTAACATTTCATCAAAACCGCTTTAAATAGTATTTTAAGAAATTTATTTACCGATATCGCCCTAGAATGATTCGAGAAGCCATAGAAATTAAAAAACATCCAAATTTCAATAGGGAAGATGGCTGGGTACCATCGTCATGGGATCCTGTTATTAATATAATAAAATCAAATAATAAATATAAACATAACAGACAGGTAGATGTAGTAAGTTCTTACTGTATAGATCAAAATGACAGCTTATCAGATTAATATTTTTCATTTCTCATTTGTAAAAGTATATAGTAATAGTGTTGCTTAGTAAGTTGTTTTTAAATAATAGCAAACTAAATTAAAATTATTATCCTTAATTAATTTTAACTTTTTAAATTACACATAGAACAATTATATGGCTTAAATAATTAATACTATATTTTATATTTTCTTTATGGTTATAAATATAATAATGGCAACACTAAATATATATTACTAATTAATATTTTTAAATTGTAATAATTATAAAAATAATAGCAAAAATTAAATAAATAATATTCCATATTAAATTATAATTAAAATTATAAAAATGTTTAAAGTTAAAAAAAATAATATTGTAATGTAATTGGTGCAATTTTCATTTTGTTAATTGTGGGTAAGGCTATCTGTAACTGTGTCCTTCAATTCTTTAATTAAAAATACAATTGAGATATTTATACCACCTAAAAAAATAAAAAAACAAACTTTACCCATTCTGGTATAGTAGAAATCTAATTAAAATGCTAAACGAAAAGAATAAAATAAGAGTAAAATTTATAAAATATACAAATACTATGGAATAGAATTACAAATCTTAAGAGAGCGTAGTGAAAGAAAGATTAACAATTGTTACAAGCGTTACTTATGTACTCTAGAGGACCTAATATCTAGAAGCTCTCATTATTTCTTCTCCCACATCAAAAGAAAGAGAGGCTTAGGAAGTTCATATCCTCACACAATAGAGCATGGTGATAGTAAAATTTCTGATGGGTTAGAAATTTGTAACATGTTTGCAACGTACTTTTCATCTGCGTATAAATAAGATCTTATGATACTCCCAATTTTTTTGATAAAGTTTGTAACGATTATTAAATAATATTAGTAAATACCGTGATGCTCTTGTCGTTTTTAAAATTAAAGAAAATGAGGTCTTCGCCAAACTACAAAAACTCAATACGTCTAAAAAAAAGGGTCCAGACAATGTCTCTCCACTATTTATAGTTAAATATGCACAAAATTTAGCGAAACCTCTAACTTTAATTTATAATAAGTCTATTGTGCCTGGTATTTTTTCTAATGATTGGAAGATCGCAAGGGTGGTCCCTGTTGCTAAAAATAACGATAACACACAAGTCCATAACTACGGGCTAATATCATTGTTTTGTGTTTTCGTGAAGGTTTTCGAGGCGCTGGTTTGTCCTTATATTCAGCATTATTTTCAGAAATATATAACAGAATCTCAACACGGATTTATTAGATCAAGATCTACTACATCAAACAATGTCATTTTTATTAAAAAAATATCGTACGCAATTGATTAAAAAAAACAGGTTAATCCTGTATATATGGATTTTAGTAGGGCTTTTGACACAGTTTCCCATAGAATTCTTTTCTATAAGTTGGCTTTATATGGCATTTCTGGCTCCCTACTGCAATAGTTTCAATCGTTCTTACCAAACCGATCGTTTTTTGTGGTGATAGGTAGGTACGAATCGGCAATCAAAACAGTAAAATCTGGTGTCCCCAAGGGATCTCATTTGGGGCCCACTCTTTTCAATATATTTATAAATGATATTGTCGATTGCTTTAAGAATTCTGCGCCTTTCATGTATGCCGACGACTTAAAGTTCACAAAAATTGTACAGATGTACAGCTCTTACAAGATGATATAAATAGGATCATGCAATGGTGTTCTAATAATAACATTCAAATAAATAATAAAAAGTGTTTTCACATCAAATTCACTAGAAAAGTTAATGTTTTACCTTCTGCTTATGTCTCTGATAATAGTATTCTACGTGAGGTTGCTGAAGGATTTAGGGGCCATTATTGATCGCAAATTAACGTTTACTCCGCACTACTACATCAAAAATTTTAGGTTTCGTTATACGCAACGGTAGAGAGTTTACAAAGATCAGGACTAAAATAATTCTGTATAACGTCTTAGTACGCAGCATTTTAGAATACTGCTATACCGTCTGGAGACCACATTATGCTACGCATATATTAAGAATTGAATGAATTTAAAAACGCTTTCTTCGACATCTTGCTGTTGCTTCGGGTACTTCCTTGATACTAAAAGAATATAAGGTTAGACTTAAGTACTTTAAAATAAATTCGCTTGAAGGCCGCCGAAATTTATTAGATCTAGTATTTTTATATAAAGTATTTAATAATCGAACTCACTGTCCAGAGCTATTTAGGCATTTTGAATTATATGCACCTTCAAGCCCAGAAAGGCTATTAATCTCCTCTCATACCCTCGTCGCTCCACAGTTATGGGTGCTAATTCTCTTATTCCAAGCATTTGCCTTTTATATAATAGCTTTAGTAACTTGGATATTTTTGACCACTCAATAGTCACATTTCGAAAATTAATAATAGAAGTACTAATTTATAAATTAATATAACTGTAATTAAGCACTAATTTAATTATAATAGTAATGTAGCATATAAGGTATTTAATTTAATGTTTATTGATTTTTTTATGCATTATAGTAAAAAAATTAAGTTATAATTCTAATAGTTTATAATCTAATTATTTTTACCGTCAATTATAACATTTAAGTTATGCATGTTGTGTTTACCTGTAAGTGGCTTTGCATTTTAGATTTGTATATATTATGTTGTTTCTTGTGTATGTATGAAATGTAAAGTTGTTAGTAACCTAATAAAGAGAAAAAAAATCAAGTATCGATCATCAAGCCCCAGCAAAAACCCAAAAAACACCTTAAAAAAATCTCGCTTTCGAAATAATTTGAAAGTTAAAAGAATAAGCGTTACCGAAAAATGATTCAAATACAAGCATAAAATTCTATGTAAGGAAGGTAATATACTAATAGACTTTTCTTGTTAATTTTAAAATAAAAACGAAAATTCTAAAATTATTCATTATTTTAAGTGCGATATTGAAAAAAAAATGTTGAATGCTTGAGGGCTTAAATTTTGATCTTTTTAATTTGATAGAGCATAAAGAAAAAGCATCCTAAAATAATGCAAAAATATTAACTTCGGCCAGGGTCCTAAAAGCGAAGGTGAAAAGTGAAGAAAAACCTACTAATATTATAAAGAGGTAGAGTTTGTTTGTTTGAACATGCTAATCTTAGGAACTACTGATCCGATTTGAAAAGTTTTTTTTTGCATTAGAAAGCTCGTTTATTGAGGAAGGCTATAGGATATATATAATATATATTTTAAATCTATAATTGTAATCTATCTATACCATACTAACCGTTAATTTTAATATTACTGTGCTTTTAATTTATTATTCTATAAAAATTCTGTAGTCTATCAGCTATCTGTCTGCCTTCTATTTACTGTTATAATAAACAAATTACAAAATGTAGTAAGTTTTTAATCCTACTGGTGAAAAGCATTCAAAGTAGTATAAAAATTATATTATATTTAATATAGGTGAAAATTATAGAACATCAAGTGTTGTTTTATTTTATTAACTTTTTGGGTATTAGCACAGATGGCATAAATACCTACTTACTAGTATAAAATTAATCCGTCCCGTACACAAATATTGGACGACCCAATTCTGGTTACTTTTTATCTAAATAATCTATAGGCAGCTTTAATCTTAAAAACTTTTGTACTATTTTATTACACAAATATATCATGTACTGTACATATTACATACATATATAAAAGTAAAGTTTAAATAAATTTCAGCGACTTTCATGGATCGTAACATTTCATGGAACGTATTTTATTGAGGAAAGCTATAGGCTACTTGTAATATATATTATATAGTCTATCTATTCCATACTAACCGTTAAAACGTACCTAGGGAAAAACTCGAGCGAAGCGAGGATGAGTCGCTAGTACTTTAATATTATTGTACTTTTAATTTACTATTCTATAAAAGATCTTTAGTCTGTCTGCCTTCTATTTACTGTTATTAATAAATAGTTTATAAAATGTAGTAAGTTTTTTTATCCTACTGGTGGCAATCAAAGTAGTAAAAAACTCTACCTATACATATAATAAAATTGTAACTAAGTCGAATCTGTACAATAAATATTTTTTGGAAAATCTTATTGAAATAAACATTATCATCGATCTTTACCGAATAATGTTACCGCATCACAGAAAAACCACTGCAGAGATTTTGATGAAATTTGGTATGATGATAGCTGGTTATCCGGGTCAACATATAGGATACTTTTTACCGCGGGAAAATATCTCATTTCTGAGAAAAAATACAAAAACTGCAATGTAAGAGTATTACTAATATGTAAAACCTAAGTTATTGGTCATATGAACGCGGGCGGAGCCGCGGGCAATGTTAGTATTTAATATAGAGGAAAATTATAGAAATCAAATGTTATATTTTTATTTCATTAATTATTTTGGTATTAGTACAAATAGCATAATACTGTACTTACTATTATAAAGTTAATCCGTCCCGTACACAAAAATTGGACGACCCAATTCTGGTTACTTTTTATTTAAATAAACTTTAATCCTAAGAACTTTTGAACTATTTTGTTACAAAAATGTATCATGTGTACATACGTATGTAAAAGCAAAGTTAAAATAAATTTCAGCGACTTTTATCGATCGTAACGTAAAAAAACTTTTGATTAACAGTATAATGTTAATCGAAGTAAACACTCATAAAATATAAGTGTTTATTCACGAAATCTTATAACTGCAATATTAAGTTAGAAGGCTGAATTTTTATTCTTTTAAAACTACGTTAACATATTAAATTTATATCAATTCTCGATAAAGCAGCAAAATGAAACCCAATTTTTGAATAAACATAAACAGCTAGTAATTGCTTAAATTTTATAATATAATATTACAATTTATAAATCAGTCCAATCTAATAAGCTTTAGATTAAAACTAAAACTATCAGTAAAAGATTTCATTAAAAATCCTATTAGTTTTAAGTATCCTGAAGCTATCTATGAAAGTAATTTTTATTGTACAATTTATAATCAGTCCAATCTAATTAGCTCTAGATTAAAACTATCAGTAAAACATTTAATTAAAAACTATTGGGTTTAAGTATCCTGAAGAGTAATTTTTCAACCGACTTCCTCAGAACTTCGTCATTTATTAACCGATTTGGACAATTTTTGCTTTGCTTGAAAGGATATATTTCCAGATTGGTCCGATTTAGATTTCAAAAAAAAATACCACCCCTAAGGGTGGAAAAACAGCTAATGATGAATTTAACCTACTTCTAATTGTCATATTGACTTGAAACTTTGCAAGTGTTTCTATTTCCGTTGATAGTACAGTGGTTCGGTATTGTTGACCTGATCTGATGGTTAGGCCAGAAGGTGGATAGGTGAAACTCTTCAACGACTAATAGTAGATACTTTGAGTTTGGGCTTATTTTGTTTGATTTGTCAAGCCTAACACGTTAGAATTCTTACTTTGCTACTACTGTCTACACTAAAAAGGGAAAAATAAAAACTTTTTAACAAAAAAATAAAAAACCGACTTCAAACAAAAGCACTAAAAAGTAAAAAATAACTGATTGGTAGTTTTCATTTACTATACACACCTAATCAAATAATTTCGAAGTCGGTGCTAGCCGATACAAAGCAAAGCACACCGATTTCGAAAATAAAACAAACCCCTAAAAACAAACCCCTGGTTTGTTTTTAGTAGTAGTAGTTTTTTAGTTCCTGTTTAGTTTGGTTTTAGCGGGTAGTACTGGCTTTTCTACACGGTGAGTCCCACATAACCACCTGTATACATACAGGTGGTATGTGTAAATGCATTTCGCAAATTTTAATTAAAAATAAAGAAAAAAAGGGACTGTCAGACAGACAGAAAAAAAGCACAAAATAGTTCTTTATGTCGGTAAATAGATAATATAAGCATTCAGTATTTAAAAAAATATTTCATAAATACGTTCTCTTAGAATATAGAGTAATGCCAAAAACATAAAAATGTGGTATGGTGATACTCATAAAAAATCGTAAAATTTATGACACTTATAACTGCGTAGCCTTTATTTTTGACACTCAAAATTAATCATTACACTTTACTATCAATCTAATATAATAATTACACTGATAAATGCTTAAGATAATACAGGGGGTATATAAATATATGATTCTGATGAGATCTTTATTGCAATCAGTGGTACTATCCCCCCAACAACAATGAGACTTCTAGTGATTTTATTCGCATCTGTAACAGGTTAGTATTTTTTTATTCGTTAAGATGGTGAGGCCAGAATGTGGTTAACAAAAGTCTTTAACGGCTACTAGTAAATACTATGAGTTTGGGCTTATTTTATTTATCAAGACTAATATTATAAAGAGGTAAAGTGTGTGAGTTTCTGACGTTGAAGGGGTAATCTCTGAATCTACTGAACCGATTTAGTAAGAAGATAATTTGAAACCCTGGGAAGGACATAGGATACTTTTTATCCCGGAAATCATCCCTAAAGGGGGTGAAATTGGGGATAAAAGTTTGTAGCAAGCTAGGGATGAACCCGAACGAAGCGAGGGTGAGTCGCTAGTATTTTGTTAGGCTCAATACGGAGCTCAATAAGAATTGGATTTTGGAGCCCTAATTTAACTTGTATTTTTTTTAATTTTTTTTTTTTTTTTTTTTTTAGTAGATAAAAGCGAGATTTTTTTGTTTTTTAGCCTTCATCGGCATCAAACTAACATAAATGCTGAAGAAAATATTTATTAAAATACTTTCTAATTAAGTATGTATATTCTATAGTAAATGTAAACCCCTTTCAGTTATTTTTTTTACTTTTTACTCTCTAGAAGCCGGTTTTAATTTATTACGTTATTTTTTTAATTCATACTCTTTAAAATAAACCTTAATTATTTTTAAAAATATTATAGTATGTTCGGGCAGTGCTATTCCTCTAGTACCAGGGGATAACAGTCACTACGTAGAGGGTGTGAGTCGCTACATCTGGATGCCTGATGGCAATGGTAACCCACATCTTGTAGATCTTCACGCCCCTGCAGATGAAGATTTCCTGGTGAGCAGAAATGGAGCTCTTAATGAATATTGGCTTTTCACCAGGTATAATATCACTAAATACATTATTATATTTCGCAATATCACATTTTAATTCATACAAAATGAATTTTCATTTTCAAACAAAATTCCCTACAGTTGAATTTATTTTTAGACAAAACCCCACCAACCACCAAGTACTGGTAAATGGAGACGCAAACTCAATCACCAACTCCAACTACAGAGGAGACCGACCAACCAAAGTCTTAGTGCATGGATGGAACAGTAACGGCAACACGAACATGAACCCTCTTATAACGTCAGCATTCCTTGCCGTCTCAGATGTCAATGTCATTATTCTTGATTGGAGAAGTTCTGCTTCAGGATTATACACCACCTCAGTACTTGCTGTTCCCGGTGTAGGTGTGCATCTCGCTAATTTCCTTACTTTCCTTTTCGACACTGCTGGGGGCGACTGGGGCAATGTTCACTTGATTGGCCACAGCTTGGGCGCTCACGTAGTTGGTAACGCAGGCCGCGCTGCTCCAACACTCCCTACTCGTGTGACTGGTTAGTATAATAAATAATTGCTAACAAAGTTATAATTTTTATAATTTAATATTTGTGAAACTTTATATCATGTTTATTTTGTTTATTTATATCATTCTTGTTATGTAGGCCTCGACCCCGCTGGACCTCAATGGGGAGGAAATTCAAACGCTTTGAACCGCAACTCGGGTGTGTACGTTGAGTCTATCCACACGGATGGTGGTCTACTCGGTATCATGGATCCTATTTCCCACGGCGACTTTTATCCCAATGGAGGTAGAAATCGTCAACCAGGATGCTTAACTAGTTTGTGCTCTCACAGTCGCGCACCAGAATTATTTGCTTCCTCTGTTGCGACAAACCACTTAGTTGCAAGACTTTGTAATAGTTTTAGTGAAGCTGAAAACGTTCAATGTTCGGGAGCCGCACTTCACCTTGGAAACGGTGACCTAAATAAACGAGGGTATGTAAAATTTATTATAGTTATAGTATCAACAAAATTCTTTATTGATTTAAAAGCATTTGTATTGCATCTTTGTTTTATTATGATGTTTTTGTTGTGTTGGTATTTATGTCATCGTGCGTATAAATACAGTTTGTGATTCCTACGAGTATTTCAGTCCTTTCACTCGTAGTGTAGAGTAATTACACGCCGTAATATTTTATCTTTCCTAATTTAGAAATATTAACGTTTAATTACAATAAAAAAACTGTCTATTTCGAATATAATAAATTTAAAAAATATATTATTTTCAGGCAAGGACTTTATGGACTGACTACTGGAAGCTCGTGGCCTTTTTAAGAAATTAATTATTGTTTTAATTAAGGATATCATTATTTAAATACTTTAATTAAAATAAATGGTTTAATACTAAAGCTAGATATATATATATTTACTAGCGACTCACCCTCGTTCCGCTCGCATTCGTTCCTACTTATCTTTTATTTTTGGTATAGATTTCTCAGTGATGAGATATTTTCCCGTAATAAAAAGTATCCTATATGTTGACCCGGATAACCAGCTATCATCATACCAAATTTCATGAAAATCCCTCCAGTGGTTTTCCGTGATGCGGTAACAGACAGACAAACAGACAGACAGACAGAAATTCTAAAAACAATAGATTCGGCCTCTGAATCGATGTATATGATGAATAATGTCTGGTTCAATAAGATTTTCCAAAAAATATTTAATGTACAGATTCGGCTTAGTTATCTATTTTCTTATCGTTTCTTTGCACTTTCTCTTTCTGTCCCGCTACTTAACACTATTTCCCACATACATGGGTTGACTGGAACAGATCTCTTGTAGAGATAAGTCATCACTATCACCCCGTTTTCATCCACTGCTGGACATAAGCCTCTCCTAGAGTACGCCACTGAGTTCGATCTTCTACTAACGTAGTCTAAGACGACCTCCACCCAACTGGTGGACATTGTAGGTTGTGAATATTTACATGAATATATTAGGTAACTTTTTTTGATAATTTTTAAATTAGAAATGCTAGAGTACTTGTGAGTAAAATTAACTAAATAAATATAATCAACGTTAGTATAAGAAAAAAGTAAGTTGACGTGATCTAAACTAAGATAAAAAGAAAATTGAAAGCATGACAAATAAATAATGTCTGAACTCTGATATAATAATCATAATATTAGACGAATATAATGAACTCGACAAACTTTTTTCTTGTACGCTTATTAATATATCTTATATATTATTATTGTACGGTTATAAGCGATCTGTTCTCGCAGTATTATAAGAAATTTACCTTGATTAAAATTTAAAATCACATATAAAATGTTATAGAGTTACAAAATTCTTTCTCAAAATAGGTTACAGAAATACTTATTCCTGAAAATTAGTTTCGCATTTCATTGTATCATCATTCAATTAATTAAAGTACCTATAAAGTGAGCAATGATTCATAAAATTCTACGTAAGAAAGGTAATATATACACTAATAGACTCTTCTTGTTAATTTTAAAATAAAAACGAAAATTTTAAAATTATTCATTATTTTAAGTGCGATATTAAAAAAAAATGTTGAATATTGAGGCCTTATATTTTGATCTTTTTGATTTGATAGAGTTTAAAGCATCCTGAAATAATACAAAAATATAAACTTCGGCCAGGGTCCTAAAAGCGAAGGTGAAAAGTGAAGAAAAACGGTGCAAAAGTGTTAGAACATCTATCTATACCTACTAATATCTGTATTATAAAGAGGCAGAGTTTGTTTGTTAGAACATGCTAATCTTAGGAATTACTAATCCCATTTTAAAAGTTCTTTTTTGCATTAGATAGCCCGTTTATTGAGGAAGGCTATAGGATTTATATAATATACATTATATAGTCTATGTATACCATACTAACCGTTAATTTTAATATTATTGTACTTTTAATTTATTATTCTATAAAAATTCTGTAGTCTATCAGCTATCTGTCTGCCTTCTATTTACTGTTATAATAAACAAATTACAAAATGTAGTAAGTTTTTTAATCCTACTGGTATGGTACTGGTGGCATTCAAAGCAGTAAAAAAATATTTATTCAATATAGATGAAAATTGTAGAACATTAATGCCCGATTTCACCAACAACCCATAAGCTACCACCTACGTATGGGATCCCTAGCTTAAAACTACCTTACACTAGCCCCTAAATTAAATTTCGTTTTACGATCATCTTTAAGCCCATATTTCGAGCACCTAAATTTAGGGGGCTTTTAATATTTAGGTGACCCCTAACTGTCGGTGAAACAGAAACTGTCCCCTAACAGCCCCCTAACCATGCTTAGGGGATCCCTTAAACTTAGGTGACGTTGGTGAAATCGGGCATAAGTCTTAATTTATAAACTTTTTTGGTACTAGCACTAGGGCTTTCATCCCGGGAATCTCGGTCTCGAAAATATCGAGACTCTCGACGATTTTTTCGAGTTTCGAGACTCGAGACTTCTGCCGCCAGTCCCGGAAATAACGAGACTTTCGAGACATAAGTCAAATAATTAAGATTATTCAAAAATGTACCAAATCACCAGTATTTTTTTATTCCATTTACGTGGTAGCACTGTAAAGTGAAACTTAGGATAAGACCACAGAAGGAATAACTAAACCATGGCTATATAACTATTTAATATTTATCCCTTAATTTTGTAATAAAATCAGACCCTCTCTGTCTTAAAGTATGTACATTAAATACTCTTTGTTTTTACGTGCTTACTGTAAAAATGAAAAAAAAACTCATAAATATTAGATTCTTACTATGAAATTGGCGTTTTGTCGAACTGGCTACTTTGATCTCAAATATCTATCGTTTGGTTAGGAATTCTAAATTCTTTATATATTCCAAATATTCCAAATTATATATATTCCAAATTCTGTATATATCGTTTGGTTAGGAATTCCAAATTCTTTATTTCAAATTTAGTCTTGTGTTTTTGTTTTACGAATTTAATTATTGTTAATTTTACTTGTATTGAGTTTGTAAAAGTATGCTTAATAAAGTACTTTATTTAAATACCTTCTATCGACTACCTAACTGCCCAGCCTATGAGTATGAAACCATTTTTGGAGTAGTCTCGAGTCTCGTTTTTCCCGGGAATTTCGAGACAACACCGAGTCTCGATTTTTTTCCCGGGACTCGTAAATATAACGAGACTGAAAGCCTTAATTAGCACAGATGGCATATATACTTACTAGTATAAAATTAGTCCGTCCCGTACACAAAAATCGGACTACCCTATTCGGGTTACTTTTTATCTAACTATAGGCAGCTTTAATCCTAAAAACTTTTAACTCAGATTTAGTAACAGATTGATTATAAATGTTTTATTAAGAATATTTATTTACAAAAAATAGTAATAGAAAAAATATTAGGTACTTTATAATTATGCTTTTAGGTAGATACTTGAATAATAAATAATTAAATTAGGTAATATGATTATAAAGCTAAAGTTTTGTTTTGATTTCTTCAATTTGAAAATCTCTTTACTTTCTTAGATTTACGCGAATATTTGACATTTTAAATAAAACTATCTTTTCGGATTTTAGATGTCTCTAAGGTATTATATAGTTGTTATACCTTAGAGACATCTAACACCTCAGTCTCTCCCGTGACCATGATTGCTGTAAAGCATTCGAAACGTCGGGAAACAAAAATGCAAATAAATCCGCGACAAAATCCGAAAAGATAGTTTTATTTAAAAATTGAAAAACTCTTTTTACATTTTAAAATCCATTTATAGAAATATAAATACGATCATTAGAATTAGATATAACAACAATACGTGGGGAAAACCACGAAAAAACAAAATTTATCAAAAAAGATAAAACTAATTCAAGCTTTATCTATTAAAGATGATAATCGGGAGTTATAACATAACAAGTAATAACTTTGATTTTTTACAACTTTCATTTGGACGAATAAATAAAAATATGCATAAAATTAAAAAATATATTGTGATCTTGAGAAATTCTAAGATATTATAGTAATAGTGTGCAGCACTACATACACACCTACAAAAATTAATAAAAAAAAATATTTGAAAATAATAGCTGTGCGGATAAATTCAATGCGGCTTCAATATCATCATAATTACTTACTTGTTATAAGGACTTCCCGTACTTTTTCTTATGCAATTACTAAAAAGAATTTAACAAAAATTATTAAGATGTCTTCCTTTATATTCGCTTAAATTTAATATTAACTTTAACAATGCACTTTTTCTGGTTTGAAATGTTTAATAGTATTAATACTAAGTGAAATATCTATGAAATAAAGCTTTTATGACAAAGAGAATAAGGAAGAATTTGTTATAACAGTAGTAGGTACAATTATCAACGAGCTGTAATGAATTAATTAATAGTAGGAGACCCGATCTATTTGGTGGACCCCTCAATCTTTTTCAAATCTGATAAAACATATTAACAAACACGACACAGGGGGTTTGTTATCTTCCCCCCAACGTACGTTCACCTTGTCGTGGAGGAGGGGCTCATTAGCGTCCGGCAAACCAGCCGGGCGCGATGCCAAGAAACGCACCGTAAAAAGGCATTTCCCAAATTAAAAAATAAAAATAAAAAATTGTCACCAAAAATTAGCTCCAGGCTATTTTTAATTAGTGTTATTCAACTTTTCTCCTCACACACGACATTCTCTTTCTCTTGACTTTTCGAATCTTCATTCTTTTTTTGACTTTATCGTAGACAGACAGATAGAAAAAAAATCTCAAAATAGTTCTTTATGTCGGTAAATAGATAATACTTTAAGTATTAAAAAGAAAATACTTCATAAACACGTCCTCTTAGAATATACAGTAATGTCAGAAACAGAAAAATGTGATCGTCATAAAAAATCGAAAAATTTAAGAAATGAATAACTGCATAGCCTTTATTTTCGACACCCAAAATTAATTATTACATTTTAAACAAACCTGTCTTCACGGATTTTTTTGCGAATTTATTTAGATTTTTGGTTCCCGACGTTTCGAATGCTTTATAGCAATTACGGTCATGGGAGGACTGAGGTGTTAGAGGTCTTAAAGGTATTATATTGTTGTCATTGACAGGCTACCACAAAATAAATCGCGCGTAAATCTAAGAAAGTATTAATCATTACACTTTACTATCAATCTAATATAATAATTACACTGATAAATGCTTAAGATAATACAGGGGGTATATAAATATATGATTCTGATGAGATCTTTATTGCAATCAGTGGTACTATCCCCCCAACAACAATGAGACTTCTAGTGATTTTATTCGCATCTGTAACAGGTCAGTATTTTTTATTCGTTAATATGGTGAGGCCAGAAGATGGTTAACAGAAGACTTCAACGGCTACTAGTAAATACTTTGAGTTTTCGCTTAATTCATTTATTTTGATAAGCTCAATACGAAGCTCAATAAGAATTGGATTTTGAAGGCCGATTTTAAGTATTTAATATTATATATTTTTTTTAGATAAAAGCGAGTTTTTTTAGTTTTTTAGTCTTTATTGGCATCAAACTATACATAAATGCTGAAGAGAATATTCATTAAAATAATTCCTTTGCTACTAAAGTGTTAGATTTACTTTCTTTTGCATCGGCTGGCACCGGCTTCGAAAATATCTAATTAAGTATTTATGTATATTCTATAGTAAATGTAAATATAAACAACCCGTTTCAGTTCTTTTTTTTTACTTTTTACAGTCTAGAAGCCGGTTTTCATTTATTACGTTATCTTTTTTTATTCATACTCTTTAAAATAAACCTTAATTATTTTTAAAAACATTATAGTGTGTTCGGGCAGTGCTATTCCTCTAATACCAGGGGATAACAGTCACTACGTAGAGGGTGTGAGTCGCTACATCTGGATGCCTGATGGCAATGGTAGCCCACATCTTGTAGATCTTCACGCTCCTGCAGATGAAGATTTCCTGGTGAGCAGAAATGGAGCTCTTAATGAATATTGGCTTTTCACCAGGTATAATATCACTAAATACATTATCATATTTTGCAATATCGCATTTCAATTCTTACAAAGTATAATTGGTATAGTTGAATTTGTTTTTAGACAAAACCCCACAAGCCGCCAAGTACTGGTAAATGGAAACGCAAACTCAATCCATAACTCCAACTACAGAGGAGACCGACCAACCAAAGTCGTAGTGCATGGATGGAACAGTGACGGCAACACGAACATGAACCCTCTTATAACGTCAGCATTCCTTGCCGTCTCAGATGTCAATGTCATTATTCTTGATTGGAGAAGTACTGCTTCAGGATTGTACACCACCTCAGTACTTGCTGTTCCCGGTGTAGGTGTGCATCTCGCTAATTTCCTTACTTTCCTTTTCAACACCGCTGGGGGCAACTGGGGCAATGTTCACTTGATTGGCCACAGCTTGGGCGCTCACGTAGTTGGAAACGCAGGCCGCGCGGCTCCAACACGCCCTACTCGTGTGACTGGTTAGTATAATAACTACTTGCTAACAACGTCATAATTTTTATAATTTAATATTTGTGAAACATTATTTACCTATATCATTCTTATTATCTAGGCCTCGACCCTGCTGGACCTCAATGGGGAGGAAATGCAAACGCTTTGAACCGCAACTCGGGTGTGTACGTTGAGTCTATCCACACGGATGGTGGTCTACTCGGTATCATGGATCCTATTTCCGACGCTGACTTTTATCCCAATGGAGGTAGAAATCGTCAACCCGGATGCGCAACTAGTGTGTGCTCTCACAGTCGCGCACCAGAATTATTTGCTTCCTCTGTTAGGACAAACCACTTAATTGGAAGACTTTGTAATAATTTTAGTGAAGCTGAAAACGTTCGATGTTCGGGAGCCGCACTTCACCTTGGAAACGGCAACTTAAATAAACGAGGGTATGAAAGATTTATTATTTTTATAGTATCAACAAAATTCTTTATTGTTTTTAAAGTATTGGCATTGCATCTTTGTTTTATTGTGTTTAAAAATATTTATGTCATCGTGCGTATAAATACAGTTTGTGATTACTACGAGTATTTCGCTCCCTTCACTCGAAGTGTAGAGATTTTACACACCGTAATATATTATCATTCGTAATTTATGTATTTAAAAATAAATTAATTATAAATAGTTACGTTTAAATACAATAAAGAACTGTCTATGTCTTATATAATAAATTAAAATAATTATTATTTTCAGGCAAGGACTTTATGGACTAACTACTGGAAGCTCGTGGCCTTTTTAAGAAATTAATTATTGTTTTAATTAAGGATATCATTATTTAAATACTATTATTAAAATAAATGTTTTAATACTAAAGCTAGACCAGAGATTTGAACCCGCTTCACTAGGTTTCCCAAACGAGCGCGTTTCACATGGTTGTCACTGCCTTTTAAATCTATAAATATTATATTATGATGATGATGTTCTCCTAGCCGATTCCGGCTACGGCGGCCAATCTTATTGAGATTAGCCAACTGCGCAGGAGATATTATAGTGCTCAGCCGTTCATGCTAGCCACTACACCACCGAGGCAGTTATTATATTATATTCTACTAGCGGACCCGACAGACGTTGTCCTGTCTACACGTCTTTAATTTGAAAATTTCAAACATTTTTTAATAATTTTTTTGATGAAAATTATTATTCAAATTGTGAATCTAAACCATTCCCAGATCCCCTTGAACACACACAAAAAATTTCATCAAAATCGGTCCAGTCGTTTGAGAGAAGTTCAGTGACATACACACTCACAGAAGAATTATATATATAAAGATATTGCACTAAAACAAGTACTAATAAAATACATAGAAATGACGCGGACAAAGGTGGACTTATCTCTATAAGAGATCTGTTCCAGTCAACCCATGTATGTGGGAAATAGTGTTAAGTAGCGGGACAAAAGAGAAAGCGCAAAGAAACGATAAGAAAATATATAACTAAGCCGAATCTGTACATTAAATATTTTTTGGAAAATGTTATTGAAATAGACATTATTATCGATACAGAAGCCGAATCTACAGTTTTTAGAATTTTTGTCTGTCTGTCTGTTACCATAACACAGAAAAACTACTGGAGGGATTTTGATATGGTATGATCATAACTGGTTATCCGGGTCAACAAATAGGATACTCTTTACCACGGGTAAATGTAATCATTTTTAAAAAGATCTCATTTCTGAGAAAAAAAACAAAAACTGGTTAGAATAAAACCACGATGATACTATAAACATTTTAGCAAAATTAATTAATTTACTAAATATGGCAAACTCTATTGAAAAAGCTTATCTTTAAAAAAAATTAATAGCGCAATTTTATGTATAAAAATAACTCCAAAAATATATTCTTCGCTCGGGTTCATCCCTAGCTTGCTTCCTTAAACAAACTTTCATCCCCATTTTCACCCCTTGCTTGTGACGTCGCGTTGTAGGTGGTCTGGAGACTACTGAACCAATTTAGATGAAATTTGGTAAGAAAATAGTTTGAGACCCTGGGAAGGATATAGGATACTTTTTATCCCTGAAATCATTCCTTAATGGGGTGAAAATGGGGATTAAAGTTTGTATGGGGAATCAACTTAGGGACGAACTCGAGCGAAGCTAGAGTGAGTCGCTAGTATGTAATAAAAATAAAAAAATAAAAACAAGTTCACGAAGAAAATATATCGATTCGAGGAGGAACGATACATACGAGTATGTACATTGTATGATAATAATAATTATTATGAGTGTATATTAAGAGATACACACATGCTATTACAGACTTTCCTGTAGGCCTTTTTAGTGCCTACAATTTTTTAGTACATTATTTTGATGTTTGATTTCTAAAGGTAAATCTTGCGACGCTGGCTAAAGGCAGCGTTAGCCATGAAAGCGTATGTAAACTGTGTCGGCCGACCGATTATAGTGTTTGCCCGTGGGAATGAGAGATTTTCCTATATTAAAAGGTATTATATCTTGATGACCTGAGTAATAAGTTATTATTACACAAAATTGAATTAAAATCCACTCACTACTTTTTGGGTGAAAAGCACACGGATACAGACAAATAGACATACAAATATACATATAAAGATAAAAATTTCAGCAACTATTGTTTTGAGGCCTATATTCTGTACACAATACGTAATAATCATCATTTTTGAAAAGAGATTCATCTTTAATACTTCTGTCGTGAGGATTTGAGATTTATCAACTCGTATGTATTGTCTTGGGTGATTCTGACTCTGTTCACAGACCGCGTATTTTGTATTGCCAACATGCTTCACATCAGCTATATTATGTTCCGTGACCCGAGTTCTAATAGATCTCTTGTTTTGTCCAACGTAGGAGAGCCCACAATCATGCTTGTATCCTCTTACATCTTTTTTTATTTATTTATTGGGTCTACCAGCGATTTTACATAAATTTAATATTTCTTAAATTATTTACAATTTACATTACATGCACAGGGTATGTAAAATCATTTAAAGATAAACGCTACATGTTATTTCGCTTTAATTAATCAATAAATCTAAGTGAGTTAAAAACAGAAACAAACCATAACCAAAAACAAACATAAAAACTTTTTAACGAAAAAATAAAAACAGACTTTAAACAAAAGCACTAAAAAGTAAAAAATAACTGATTGGTAGTTTTAATTTACTATACATACCTAATCAAATATTTTCGAAATCGGTGTGCTTTGCTTTGTATGGGCTGGCACCGATTTCAAAAATATTGGATTAGGTATGTATTTAATAGGTAGGCTTTAATTACTTAGCCAAGTACTTAGAAGTAGGTTAAATTATTCATTAGCTATTTTTCCATCCTTAGGGGTGGTATTTTTTTTTTGCAAATTTAAATGGGACCAATCTGGAAGTATACACACTTTCAAACAACACAAAAATTGTCCAAATCGGTTAATAAATGACGGAGTTTTGATATAACAAACGCAAAAAAAATACAGTCGAATTGAGAACCTTCTCCTTTCTGAAGTCGGTTGAAAAATAATACAAAAGTAATTACCAAATTATTTTACCAAAAAGCCTGCTAAATCTTATCAATTTAAACAGTTTTAAAAGATAATTGAAATAAATAATTAAGTAGTGTTTTAGTGCAAATTACAACTAGATTTAACAGTAATCATAATTTAACTCAACTAAATATATATCTTGCAAAGAGATGTAGTACATGTCTGGTAAAAACTTATTGTCTTCACTTGAAGTAAGTTTTAATTATAGCATGCTTTGGGATGCAGCAATCCAAGTTATTAGTACGCCAGAAAATTTTGACGCCAAATCCATTCACTTTGCTACTCAGTTTTCGTTTTTTTAATCTTTAATTTTCGAGAGCGAACTCAAGCTGTAACTATAAAAGGATTTTGCTCCTCATTAGTGCCAGGCACATCAGGTTTTCCTCAAGGCTCTCATCTCGGGCCTCTTCTTTTGAATATCCTCATTTTAAATTAATTTTTCTGAAGTTTTATTATACGCTGACGACATGAAGATCTTAACTGCTGTCAATAAAAGTGACGATTATCAATTATTACAAAGTGATCTTGATAGGTTGTGTCGATTTTATAATAGTAATGATCTTATTCTTAATATTAAAAAATGTAAAGTTATAAGCTTTTCACGTAAGACCAATATTGTCAAATACGATTACACCTTGAATAATAATTTAATTAAACGTGTTACCGAGGTGAGGGATTTGGGTGTATATCTTGATCATAAACTCACTTTTTCTAGTCATATAGACCACATTGTTAGTAAGGCACATCGCATGCTTGGCTTTATACTCAGAATAGCAAAAGATTTTCGTACTACTCTAATTATTCTATATAATGCCTATGTCCGTTCTATCCTTGATTATGCTTCTTTCCTTTAGAATCCAAAGTACAGTAAATATATAAATAGAATTGAAAACATCCAGGTTAAATTTAACAAGCATTTATTATTTAGATCAAAAATCTACAATCAGGTATTTCCTAATGTACTTAGTCTCCCTATTGAATCTCCGACGCCAAAGGGATGAAATTTTTCTATTTAAAATTATCAGAAATCATATGCATTCACCATTTCTATTAAGTAATATTTGTTTACGACGTTCTCGTCCGCAATCACGTAATATGTCATTATTCTATCTACCTAGAAAAGCAACTCATTATGTACGTAATAGCTTTTTATACCGTTCTTGCAAATTACATAATGAAATTTTTTATGACTGCCTCGGTGGTGTAGTGGCTAGCAAGTACGGCTGCACATCCAGAGGTCCTGGGTTCGAGACCCGGGTCGGGCCAAGTTTAGTTATTGAGTCTTTCTGTATAGTAAGTCTCAGTAACAGCCCGGAGTTGGGAAGTTGGCGGTGTTTCACCCCCGTGCCTCGGAGAGCATGTAAAGCCGTTGGTCCTGCACCTTAACTCTCACCGGTCGTGTCGAGTGGTCGTCCCACCGGAATATGAGAGTGATAGGAATAGAGAGTGCACTTGTGTCTGCGCGTACACTTGTGCACTATAATATCTCCTGCGCAGTTGGCTAATCTCAATGAGATTGGCCGCCGTAGCCGGAATCGGCCAGGAGAACATCATCATCATCATCATCATTTTATGACATAGATTTATTTTCCCTTTCTATAAATAAGTTCAAAATTTTAACTAGAAGTGTCTGTTCGTAAACGTTTCCCTGTTCTTGTTATTTACTTTAAGTTTTAATAAGCTAACATGCATTATAACCTTAAGAATTTGTACACTGTGAAGACTTAATTGGTGTAGGTTTTTTTTTATTCTTTTTGTTTATATGTAATCTAAATACAGTTTTTCTTCCAAATAAATAAATAAGTGTCAAAGACAAATAGTGTGTTAAAAATAAATATATGCACAATTATTTTGTTAATAGGTAAAAAGTATAAAGTATTTATTATTATCTTGCAAAATGATTTATCAGATAATGAGTCACAAAATCAATAGCAAAAGATATTTTTACAAAAATTGTATTGATCACGCTTTCGATTATTATTATTGATATTGAAGTAATTATGATGAGATTAATTCCTTTGATCTATACGTCACAAAAATAACTACCGCAGGTAAACCGATTAAAGATAATCATGTTATTAAATCGTAACCCAACCTGATAATATCCTGATTAAAGAAAAAAACTCATAATCATTTTTATCAATGAAACACTAACGACTTCACTTACGTGAGTCCCTAAGTTCCCCTTCCTCCCTCGCTCCTCTCGCCAACGTACGTTAACCTTGTCGTGGGGGATGGACGAGGCCCCATTAACCACCGGCAAACCAGCCGAACGCATGCGCCAAGAAACGCACTGAGAGGCGGCCCACCCAGGTGAGCGGTGTGTCTGATAACGGAGTGGACCGTTGGAGCAACCCCAATACATACACATACAAACTATCTCAATTATAGTAGTCCGACGAAAATATGTAACAGTTTTTTTTATTATTTCTGCAATTGTCCGTAAATTTCGTAAAGGAATGCTTTAGAATTAGACCAGGGTAGAAGCCTTTAAAAATAATAAAAAGTGAAGAAAAAAAAATAGTAGGATGCAACCCATTAGAAAAGGAGGGGAATATTATAAAAATGAAAGGAAAAATAATTTACGGGCGATCTGAGGTCGGGAAGGGGGTGGGGGGGGAGCTTTTAAGGATAAAAAACGGTTTTTCTCGATTTCCGGCAAAACTAAAAGTCCTATCGAAAAAAATCAAATGGCAAAGTTGTAGGTAATAAAAAGATCTAAAACTTTTGTATTTACATTTTTTTCACATAACCTCAAAATTTATGTGAAAAATTCAAAAAACCAAGTTTTTGGTTTTTTATTTTTATCTTTTACAAAAATGTTTTTGTTTTAACGAAATTTGGTGAAACCTTACCTTTTTATGTCTCAAATACGCTGTAATTTATTTGATTAAAAATATTTATTTTTTCACCTTATTTTGAATTAATATCGAAAAAACACCCTAATTTTCAATCGAAAATTCACCCGTCAAAATATCAGCTTTTTTCAAAAAGTTGGTATGTTGTATAAATATATGAAAAATATGTATAGTATAGATTTTTAATATATTTATAATATATTTTTTATACATTTTGACATTTATTTCTTTAATATATTTTTTTCATGGGGGTATACTCACGGTAAAATAGTGAAGGCATTATTAATTCGATTTTGTCTTTTCAGATTATCAGTATGGATGAATCTGTTTGTATCATCTGCAATAAGGCAGATGATAAGCAAGTGTATGAAATAAAAAAGGTTTTTTTTGTTTTTTGCATTTTCTCAGAAGATTTACTATAGTAACATATATTTTTTTTCACCATCGGAAAGTAGAGATTTCAACGAACAGAAAACATACCAACTTTTTGAAAAAAGCTGATATTTTGACGGGTGAATTTTCGATTGAAAATTAGGGTGTTTTTTCGATATTAATTCAAAATAAGGTGAAAAAATAAATATTTTTAATCAAATAAATTACAGCGTATTTGAGACATAAAAAGGTAAGTTTTCACCAAATTTCGTTAAAACAAAAACATTTTTGTAAAAGATAAAAATAAAAAACCAAAAACTTGGTTTTTTGAATTTTTCACATAAATTTCGAGGTTATGTGAAAAAAGTGTAAATACAAAAGTTTTAGATCTTTTTATTACCTACAACTTTGCCATTTGATTTTTTTCGATAGGACTTTTAGTTTTGCCGGAAATCGAGAAAAACCGTTTTTTACCCTTAAAAGCTCCCCCCACCCCCTTCCCGACCTCAGATCGCCCGTAAATTATTTTTGCTTTCATTTTTATAATATTCCCCTCCTTTTCTAATGGGTTGCATCCTACTATTATTTTTTTTGGTTTCACAAATTATCGACTCTGGTCTAAATGGAAATAAAGCTGTTCTTAATATAATATTTACTTTACCAACTTAAATTAAAGTTAATCGGCTACCACTTTGATCTAGTAGCTAATATGTATGTAAGATACGGAAATGCCGCTGTACCTCGGTAGGTAAATAGAAGTACTAAAAGCCGTCAATAGTCGTCCCATCGGAGTTTGAGAGTAAAAGAAATAAAAAGCAAGTGTACTTTTTATTTCTTATTTAATCTTGTTTACACATACATACATACATACACTTGTATTCTATAATATCTCCTGCGCGTACGACTAGTCTCAATAAAATTGGCCACCATAACCGGAACCGGACAATAATATTGTTACTACTTGTATAAATATTTTAAGATGGACGTTAATTAAAATTTTCAACATTTTTTCAAAAAAAAATAACAGCTTTTGTTTCTTTTAGTTTATTTGTTTTACAAATTTTTTTTTCTTGTTTTCTTCTTTTCAACCAATGAATGAATTTATTCTTTTCAACCGACTTCTTTAAAAACGGAGGAGATTCTCAATTCGACTGTATTTTTTTATGTTTGTTACCTCAGAACTACGTTATTTATTAATCGATTTGGACATTTTTTTGAAAAAAAATCACTCGTAAAGGCGTTAAAATAGCTAATGAAAATTTTACCTAATTCTAATTGTCACATTGACTGGAAACTTTGCAGGTGTTTCTATTTCCGTTGATAGTGCAGTGGCTCGGTATCACCGACCTCATCTGATATTAAGGCCAGAAGGTGGATAGGTAGAACTCTTCAACGGCTAATAGTAGACACTTTGAGTTTGGGCTTATTTTGTTTGATTTGACAAGCCTAATACGTTAGAATTGGATTTTAGAGCCAAAATATAAAGTCTTTCCTATATAATTTCAATTGTTACTTTCTTTAATACATTTAATTAATAAAAATAAGTACGAGGAATGAAAGTTACCACGAAATTAAAAAAAACGTTATTTTATCTTTGCTATCAATAAAAAGTAGAAATAAAAATATTCCGTAAAATTCATCCTCCATAATATTTTACAAGTGATTTTTATAAGTTTCCCGGCCGGTAGAATCATCCTTATCCGTTAAAGTCTAATTCAAAATATTTTATTCAGCATTGAATTATTACAATATTTTACTGAATGTCATGAGTCTACTACGAGTTCGGAAAGAAGAAACCTCAGACCTGAGAAGAACTGGCGAAAGAAACTCAGTGGGACTAATATTAACTCGTTATCTTTTTTTTTAAAGTTAAATTATAATTTACAATATTTCTATCAAGTTGAAGTAGCCTGGAGGCGATCATTTCATTCCCAAGACGTACCATCTTCTATAAAATCATTTATTGTATATATAATAATAGCCAAATAACAATGTTTTTGAATTAGGCGAAAGAAGCCTTTTTAACATGTCTAGACCACGGAAGGTAGGGAGAACGGCGCACCAAAATACCGGCACTCCTCTCCCGCCGCGGCCTACACCTCCACCGGTTACGGTCCTGCGACCGCAGTCCCGCAACCGGCACCCATCATCCGGTTGTGGGACCAAGCGGTCCCACCCCCAGTGGCCGCAACGCCTTCGACTCGAGACCTAGACGAGCGGCCCCACCCAAGCCATTTGGTCCGCGCCGGATTTCTCCGGTACCACCCGCCGCCCTAAGCGGGTGGCATTCCCCTATCCGCCACCTGGGGACGCGCCCGGTAGGAGTTGGCTTCTCCCCTAGGATTACAAGGAGCAACCTTGTATGCATGTTATGCATGTCACACTTCTTGGGAAATTCGTGTACATTTTTACGAACATACATAATATTTTCGTACACGTACTGAGAAGCAACAGTCAATATTTTTATTTCTTTAAGCTTATCTCTTAATGACACTCTAGGACCTAAACTATAAATTGCACGAATAGCTCTTTTCTGCAGCACAAAAATCGTATTAATATCAGCTGCCTTTCCTCATAGTAAGATACCTTATATGTCATACTATGAAAATAACTAAAATATACTATGCGAGCTGTATCTACATCAGTAAGAAGTCTTATTTTTTACCGCGAACGCTGCAGAGCTGAGTCTATTCGCTGGCCCCTCAATATGGCACCTCTGGAATTTAGAATCTATGATAATACCTAGAAATTTAGTGAGCTCTACAGGTTTTAACACTACACCACTTAATATTAAACCATTATCAACAAGTTTAACATTACACCAAGTCCTGTACTCATTGCACCTGATTTACCCGACATATTATAAAGATTTCTGACATTTACTATACTCCCTCTTCCCTTATGCATGTTCCTGACAAAACCTCTTTTGTACCCTTTATTTTTTTTTTGTTAAGTAATAACTGCATAACAACGTTTGAGTCATCAAAGACCTAAGTATCTCTCGTATAGCATTCAAAACGTCGGGAACCAAAAATCAAAATAAAAATAAGTATCCGAAAAGATCGTTTTATTTTAAAATGTAAAATATTTGCATAAGTATTTCCTATGTTTATGCGAATATTTCACATTTTTAGTATGATTGTATTTTAAAAATTACACTGATAAGTACTTATGATAATACAGATTGTATATAAATATGGAATCTTCATTACAATCTGTTGTACCATTCCAACGACAATGAGATTAATAGTGATTTTATGCACTTCAGTAGCAGGTAAGTATTTTTAGTTCAATTATTTAATCCAAACTCTTGAAAATATAAGATAAATTCATTAAAAATTATCACAGTGTGTTTGGGCAGTGCAATTCCTCGAATACCAGGGGATAACAGTCACTATGTAGAGGGCGAAAGCCGCTACATCTGGATGCCTGATGGCAATGGTAACCCTCATCTAGTAGATCTTCACGCTCCTGCAGATGAAGATTTTCTGGTGAACAGAAATGGAGCTCGTAATGAATATTGGCTTTTCACCAGGTATATTATTACGAAATACGTTACATTATTTTGCAATATTGTATTTTAATTCATACGAAATTTAATCGCTATTGTTGAATTTGTTTTTAGACAAAACCCCACAAGCCGCCAAGTACTAGTAAATGGAAACGCAAACTCAATTCATAACTCCAACTACAGAGGAAACCGACCAACCAAAGTCGTAGTGCATGGATGGAACAGTGACGGCAACACGAACATGAACCCTCTTATAACGTCAGCATTCCTTGCCGTCTCAGATGTCAATGTCATTATTCTTGACTGGAGAAGTTCTGCTTCAGGATTATATACCACCTCAGTACGTGCTGTTCCCGATGTAGGTGTACATCTCGCTAATTTCCTTACTTTCCTTTTCAACACCGCTGGGGGCAACTGGGGCAATGTTCACTTGATTGGCCACAGCTTGGGCGCTCACGTAGTTGGAAACGCAGGCCGCGCGGCTCCAACACGCCCTACTCGTGTGACTGGTTAGTTTAATAACTACTTACTAAGAACGTTATAACTTTTATAATTTTATATTTGTGAAACTTTATATCATGTTTTTTTTGTTTATTTATATCATTCTTGTTATGTAGGCCTCGACCCCGCTGGACCTCAATGGGGAGGAAATTCAAACGCTTTGAACCGCAACTCGGGTGTGTACGTTGAGTCTATCCACACGGATGGTGGTCTACTCGGTATCATGGATCCTATTTCCCACGGTGACTTTTATCCCAATGGTGGTAGAAACCGTCAACCCGGATGCACAACTAGTTTGTGCTCTCACAGTCGCGCACCAGAATTATTTGCTTCCTCTGTTAGGACAAACCACTTAGTTGGAAGACTTTGTAATAATTTTTGGGAAGCTGAAAACGTTCAATGTTCGGGAGCCGCACTTAACCTTGGAAACGGCAACTTAAATAAACGAGGGTATGTAAAATTTATAATTAGTTATTAATCAATAATAATTATTATACTATCAATAACTTATTGTCGTAAAAGTTTTGGAACGAAGTTCCATAACGCGGCTTGCGGTAGGAGTTGGCAGGTACCCCCCGAACGTGCGTTCACCTTGTCGTGGTGGGACCTTGGAGCAACCCCATGGTTGTGGTGGTCTGCTTTGGCAGACCTGCCGTCGGGGCGTCGTAGTTGAATGCGTAAGCGATCCTGCGACACCCCATTATGACGGGGGAAGGTTTTGTTGGGTTTAGTGGGTAGTACTGGCTGTATTACGCCGGTGAGTCCCACACGTCGTGCGTAAATGCATTTCCCAACGTTAAAAAAAAAAGGAGTTGGCAGGTAGAAATCGTCACGTAACAAAAAAATATATTTATGCTTTATTATTTTTTCAATATTCAATATTCAAAATATTTTATTCAGTATTAAATTATTACAATTCTTTACTGAACGTCATGAGTCTACTACTAAGAGCACCCCATGTGACGTTATCACAAGAACCGCTCTTTGACGCATTTGTATATTAATTATATACTACATAATGAGCACTCCTTGAGGTTCGTAGTCCTCTAGTACTCGTGACAAAAGTACCAGGCGACCATAAGTATTGAATGTACGTTGTAATAAATTCGTCTGCACTCTGTGCACGCCTTTCTACGATAAGCTACATGTACAATGTACGTTGCTCGATGTCTATGCTACCCTGGTACTCGGTACAATGTGGCAAGAGCTAATTAATATATGAGCCAAGGGCAGACAGCGAAAGAAACTTCGTTCCTACTGGGTGTCCCATGACACAGACCGTATTTTTTTATTGTTTTGTTATTTTTTAAAAGGTTGTGGTCTCATCGCGTGCTTAAATACAGTTCGTCAAATAAGTTGACGCATAGAGTTAAGAGTTGTAGCTATCTTACACAAATTATTATTTATTGAAATCAAAACAGAACTTGACATTATTGTGTTCGAACATACAAATTTATATAGTACTAGCAAAACCCGCGGCTTCGTTCGCGCTGAAACTACAAAAAAGACTATAATGGTAGGTTTCATACAAACTTTCATCCGCTATTTTACCCCCTTACGGGATGAATTTCGAAAAATGCTAAAGCACGTATTTATTTAATTGTATTGATACCAAGCATTAATACCAAGATTCAAGTAATTCTGATCATAAATATTTTTTGGGTTATATTAAAACGTATTTTCCCGTTGGAATGAGATGATCTCCCGCAATAAAAAGTAGCCTATGTCACTCTCCAGCTCTCCAACTATTTTCACACCAAAAATCACGCCAATCCATCATCCGTTTCGACGTGAAAAAAAAGAGAAAAAAACAAACAAACAAATAAACAAACACACTGTCACATTTATAATATTAGTATGGATAGATACCAAATATGTAAATAAAATAAACAAACTGCGTTACGCATAAATTAATAGATTATCTGTATCTGAAATTATAAATAAAATATTTTATTTTCAGGCAAGGACTGTATGGACTAAGAACAGGGAGCGCGTGGCCTTTTTAAGAAAATAATACGATAAGACGACAACAACAAATTAAGTTATGAATAAAGCAATTTTTATTTAAATATTATAATTGAATAAAAGTATAATACTAAAAAAGTTATGATTTTTTTCGTGCATACTGTTTCACTTACATATTAATACATACGACAAATATTTTATAATTATCGTAAAATATTACAATAAAATATTTAATACAATAATTATTGAAGATTTATTCATTATATGATGAACAAGTGATAATAAAACTAAAAAACCCAATAATAAATATTAGTGTACACAAAAAGTTAATGTACCTACACAATGAAATTCAAAGAGTATAATCAAGGTAATCGAAAGTTATGAGACCCATTCTATTTCTATAGATTTCATAATATGCTATCGATTTCTGATTCAGCTGCTTTTAATTATTTTTCCTTGATTTAAAAAAATATTATACATTATGTTACGAACGGTTATGATCAAGGAAAACATCGTGAGAAAACATACATGTCTGAGAGAACTTAGTAAGTTTTTGAAAGACACGTAAAGGCTGAATACAATACAACAAATACACTGTGTAAGATAATGTTATTTAGTGTCATTTATCACTATATTTGAAATTTTTGTCGTTGTCTTTTAAACCCTTCTTTTTACTACGTCACTCGAAGAGGCGAAATTTTTTTCCTTCGCCTTTTTCTACTCGTTACTCGTTCCTTATTATTAGTAGACTTGTTGATATCATAGTACATTTGTCAATAAGTTTAAAATGTGTTGAAAACAGGTAGAAGGAATTTTGGACGTCTTGTCTGATTCTTAGTTATTCCTGCGTAAATGAAAAAAAAACCAAAACTATTATTATTAATTTTATTAATTTATATAACCATAGCAACCTTTGCTTTGAGTAGCTAAAATTTTGATTAGCAAAATTATTGATAACATTTTTAACGGAGCGAGCGAAGGATTTTTGCTTTAAGTCTGACAAAATTTGTTTTCCTCTGTCAGTTTGTTGGTGCTCCTTTACAGGTCGTATTTTTCAACCAATCTGGACGAAACTTGGTATACAGATTTTACGACTTTATAGATTTTTTTTTGCGTTTGGGATGTTTGCGCTCGGGGATCTACTGTTAGCAATACTACTAGTTTAAATTGTGAGGTATGTTGGTACCATTACTTACTTTTACTATTTTGAATTATTGTATAACTAGCAGAACCCGAAGCTACGCTAAAACGCTACGGGCTAAAACTATAAAAAATACTCTAAAAAGGTAGTTTTCGTACAAACTTTCATCCCCTATGGGATACCTCTTATGGGATGAATTTCTAAAAATAGTAAAACACGTGTTTATTTAACTGTACTTAAGAGCATTAATACCAAGTTTCAAATATATCTGATCATAAATAATTTTTTGGGTTGTATTATAAAGTATTTTCTCGTGGGAAGGAGACCATCTCCCGCGGTAAAAAGTAGCATATGTCACTCTCCAGTTTGTTTCTTCTTTCACGTCAAAAAGAAGGACAAACAAACACACTTTCACATTTATAATATTAAGTATGGATTTTGTTGGCAGACGACATCTCTTATACCTTCGTCAATTGTTGTAATAAAAAGAGAGCCTCTCACTTATTATTTATTTATTGCAGATTCTTGATAATTATACTTAAGAACTAAATATATATTTTAAGTAAATATTCTTCTTTCCTTCACCAAAAATATCTTTTATTTTATTCAGTGTCGACCCGAAAAATTCCAGTCCTAAAAATAAAAGACCAACTTTAAAATTATTGTTTTAAAGAGAATAAAAGCGCAAATAAAAGAACCTTTTTTTCACCTGAGCTATTTTCGTTAAGGCATAAGAAATAACGTGCCAGTCCTCAGAAAATCATATGCAATCTTATGTCGCAAACTGAGGTCTTTTTAAACATATAATTAGCTTTATTTATTTCATTTTTATGCTAATTATAGTTTTATAAAAACTAATCTTTCATTAATTTTTATAGAAAAAAAGTTTTTCTTCATATTATTTTACAGTACTTTAAAAATACTTTATTGTACAATAACGAGTTTTTTTTACTTTTTCGAGTCCACGAGTCCCTGCCAGGTAGCTAAATAACACCATTAATAGATAGCTTATGGAAACTTAAAACTAATGGAGAAGAGAAAACAGTCTTATTTCTATAATTTCTATAAATTACATAAGTACAGAGATTAGGTAGTTAATATTTATTGGTTATTAAATAAAAACTTCTTATATTGCAACAACTGTAAAATTCCTTACTTATGGTTAGCGGGCAAGAGTCAAGGCAAACATATTACACAATAGAGTATAACTACGCATCTAAAAGATAAGCCACACTTATTTTAATACAAATATTGTTACCCTGACTTATTCATGTCATTATTTCCCATCGGATAAAGACTCCCTTTACATACACCTTTCTTCGCTTCTTTTAAGCTATCGCATTCATTTGCATATAAATGATTATTTTTCACAGACTCCGCCATGTACTCGTAACCCTTGCTATGAGAGCACAAGTTGACCCAGCAACCGGGCATGCGTGAGCCGCCATTGGGATAGAAGTCGGCGTGGCCGCAAGGTTCCTTGTAGCCATATAAATTGCTTGTGTGTATTACTTCAACATATTGAGCATCTGTCTCTTTTAAACGGTTGTTATCTCTTTTCCACAGTGGTCCAGCGGGATCTAATGCTATAGTCATTGCAACAAAATAATATATGTATATCGAAATATATAATATATAGTTTTGATTTTATTTATTTGCAATTAAAATATATTTTAACCCAGTCATAAATTTTGTATATATTATTTTTTCATAGGAAAAATATGTGCACCGGACGGAACAATTTGGTGGTTCAAGATCAAAGTCGTTATTCAATTTTGTAAATTAAAAAATATAATCAAAAAATCTTGTTATTACTATAATATTAACAAACTTTGCAAAAACAGACTTGCAATACAAATATTGAAAATGGTCATAAAACAGTATTTAGGAATGTATTGTAATTATTTCAGACCGTAGAAGTAGATGAAATATTACCTGTTAACCTTCTAATTAAGGACCCAGTGTGACGACCTGCATTTCCTGCAATGTGTCCTCCTAGGCTAAACCCAACGAGATGCATGTTATTATAGGAGGCTCCTAAAGAAGCCAGCCATTGGATGAACAGGCCTAGTCCTTTTCCTAGATTTACAACTCCGTATTTAGCAGTTAAGTAATTTCGATTGGCCAGCTCGCTCCAATCGAAAACTATAACATTGACGTCATCGGCTTCTAAAAATGCTGAAAGGAAGCTGAAAATTTAACCTTTTTAGACTTGAAAGCATCTTAAAAATAGTAATATAAGTTATTTTCTTTTTTATTTGACCGCGACAAAAAACCGTATGAATTTTTTACCTTCTGTTAATAATTGGTTCATTTCATTGTCTCCACTTCCAAGCCAACCATGAATTAGAAATACTATTGTTTTATTCAAATTGAAGTGAGAGTGTAAAAGAATTTCGGATTCTTCATGGACAAGAACTTCTGCTTCAATAGGATTAGATCTGCCGAATTTGACACTTTTTAATAACGAAATTCCACCTTTAGAAAGAATTTCAAATTTGATTTAAGTCAGATTATTTATTTATTAATAACAAGAGTTTGGGTTTGCATGTGCGTGTGTGTGCGCATAGTGTGCGTATGTGTGTAGGGGTGCGTGCGTGAGTGCGTAATCGCGCGGCGTGCGTGCATGCGTGCTGGAGAATTTCACGAACTGTACACGGTGTACATGTGTCTGATAAATAATGTAGCTTACTAAGAATATATCATATTTAAATGATTATACCGTGTGTACAACCAGTAACCGTGGTTATTTGGTTGACGGGCAAACTCTGCGATTGCATTCTCATCAACAGGTTCGGTTGTATCAACTAGATGAAGCAAATCATCCCCATCGCCAGGAAATAAAAAGAATCGGTCCCCTTCATTATATATATTTTCCATAATAATTCGAGCAGAACTTACTAAAAAGTATAAATATAAAATTTATACTTTTATTTCATTATTAATTACAATTTTTATACTTACGCAATTTGTCTCACCTGATATAAATATGGAAAAAAAAAGCAACGAACTCATATTAACAAAATACTCGGTCACTATTGATGTAGACATCAAAATTACTAATATCTATCTCCTTTAAGCTCTCGAAAATATATTTTATCTTTTGATTACTTAGATAACATAAACTGTAACTGTTAAAATATTAACTTTAAGTATTTAATAAGAACCAATGTTTATTATTCCGTCAATAATGGTTTAATTTTTTTTAAATTGCAAAGAATCTAGATTTTAAGATTTCTATCGTTTTAAGCCGTCTTCTTGCCGATAATTATTTAACCTTTTAAAGAAATAATCGATTTTGAATAGATTAGATTTTTCACAATAAAAATAGTGTTTCCAATAAACATAGTTTTCCCAATAAAGTTTTTCCCAATAAAAAATTCATTCCTAATAAAGATAGTGATGTACTTATTTCCCGTTCAATAAAAAAGTAAAGAAAAAGCAATTGATTAGCATTTAAATAATAATATACTTTTTAAAGCATACGCTTTCTGATGTTAACTACTAGTTCATTAATCGCTGTAAGCCTCTTGACACAGTTTCTGAATTGTTTGGAGGCCAATTCATTATAGCTAAAGATTAACTGTAATCAATTATTAGATAGATAATCCATACTTCCATACTAATATTATAAATGTGAAAGTGTGTTTGTTTGTTTGTCCTTCTTTTGAAATGGATTGACGGATTAGCATGATTTTTTGTGTGGAGATAATTTGAAGGGCTATATATATATATATATATATATATATATATATATATATATATATATATATATATATATATATATATATATATATATATATATATATATAGATATATATAGATATATATATATATATATATATATATATATATATATATATATATGATACTTTTTACCGTGGCAGATTGTCTCATTCCCAAGGGAAAACACGCTATAATACAAGCAAAAAATATTTATGATCAGAATTACTTGAAACTTGTTACTAATGCTCTTCAATACAATTTAGAGTATTACCAGTTTAGAGTATTTTTTGGGTGCTTTAACGCGAGGGAAGCCGCGAGTTCTGCTAGTATATTATAATACCAATAAAATTAGTAAAACCAATGGATTAATAAGTCATTTTTATAGAACAGCTCGACTGTATATGATATATGATAAATTAGTGGAACTATTCAATTTGCATTTTTTTTCTTCTCTGTGTGGTACTATTAGACCACAGAAAACAGAAAAAAGCAATTTAAGTATTTCTCACCAATTTTCCAGACATTTTTTCCCATTTTTCCCCTTATTGGAACTATCAAAAACATTTTTAAAAAGATATTTGCTTTTCGAACAGCATTTAATTTTTGTTATCTAGGTTTTTTGAAAAAGAAAGTTTCGTGTAATTTTTCAATGTATTTATTTATTTTTATCTTATTTACATTTATTAAATTATAATATGGTCATTTACCAAATTGCTACGTCGCTGACATTTTCAAATCCATGTTATGAGGTATAACCTGTAAAAACAAAAGATTTGATTATTTTAAATTTGATATTTCATTTCACTGGACTCTATTTAAATACACATTTCGCCTTTTAGGACTTATATTTTTAAAATATTTACATTTTTTGTATTTACTTAAACACCTTATATAATGTATACTTCGTAGCGAACATAGCTGAAATAAAAAACTACTTTTAGAATCAAAGTTACCTTATTTTTTCGAAGAAGCCATGGTCTTAGAAATGGTGCAAATAGTCTGAGTTCATATTGTTTTTTTGAGGAAGACCTTAAACTGACTAAACAGGCTACTGTAACAGTGACCATACATCCGAAAGCTGTTAACCATAGATAGGAAATTCTATACAGAAATGGCACTTCCCTAAAATATAAATAGTGATGTTATTTTAATTTCATTTTAATTAACATTAATAAATAATAATAAATATTAAACGTGTGCAATCTATTTTATTGAACATAGCTCTAAATTGGATATTTAATTACCGAACAGGATTTAACATGAGACAATAATGTATAGGTATAAATAAAATTGAAGTGTCTGTTTGTAATGTCAAAATAACAGCCTTTTACTAAATACATATGAAATTATATAGATACGTTGTTTATAAGAAAAATAATTTTTAAATTTTTGTCTGTCTGTCTATTTATTCCGGCTTATCTCCGAAGCGGTTGGACCGATTTTGACGGGACTTTCACTAGCAGATAGCTGATATTATAAGAAGCCACTTTTATTCTAGAAAATGAATTAGGGTTCCGCTTAAAAAAAATATAACGTACCTAGGGACGCAACCGAGCGAAGCGAAGGTGAATCGTTAGTTATTTAAAATTAAAAAAAAAACAAATTTCGGGAATGTTCGAAAAATTATTTAAATCAATTGTACCTAGAGATAATATATTTTTATTATTTAAGACTAAAAGTCATAAAGTACATATAGGGGATAATTGATACATGTTCATCATGCGTATAAATAATACTTATACCTATTTTTTTTAAATACTATGTTATTATTTAGATTTTGTCTTTTTAATTGGTCATTTATTTCATTATTTTATGTTCTGTGAGGCTAATAATCAAAATATGATAAAAAACTGATAATGCTAGTGACAAACATTAAATATCAAATCACGCCATTCTCTTTGAAGGAAATAATAAGGTACTTCTTATTGAAATGAAAGTAACAGATAAGTAATTAATTATCGATTTATTTGATTAATGAATGTTCATATACGTATCTATAAATTACTCTGCGAACTTGGGATTTGAATTTCAAAAGAATTCATAAAATATTGTTTCTCATAAGAATTAAAGTAAGCCGCTATATAGGTATTTTACTACATGTTACAACAAGCAATCAATTATTTGAGTAAATAAAATAAGATATTTTTGAGGGGGATCAGACATTAAGTAGCAATTATGAGGCACAGATCCAATTTACGCTGTTTGTAAGTCAAGGTAAGCATATCTGAGAGGTCTAGACTTTGTCCTGCTATATTATTACGTTAGTGTGAACCAAACATAATATGTACAATATGTGCCTATATTAGATTTGTATTATGGCAGCATTGTCTTTTTGTAATCTTCTTCTTCTTTCTTCTTCTTATAAGAAAATACAAGGGATTTATTTCGTAATAAAGACCTAGTTTTTAAATTTTATTTCATGTAACAAAGTGTAATCATATACACGATTGTGTATTAAATGGACAAAATAAATATGTATATTTTAAAAGCTGTTCAGTACTGTGCTTGTTAAGTGAAAAAAAATTTGCGCGCCTTCGTCTTAAAAGAAGCGGTAAGACCCTTTTTTTAAGCCAAAAGCTTAAAATGTAAAAGCAAAAGCATTTCAGACACGAATAAAATTATTAATTTGAGTATACCCTTCGGTATGTCCATTTTGTGTTGGCACAAAAGTGTAGGAACAGTTGAATGTGTATCTTTCTTTTTCGTTAAAGGTTAATAATCCTTGCGCTTGCACTAGCTGGGAATGAACCGCGACCCACCACGCACACAGCAAACCCACAATCCCACCACTTAGTGCACTCTGAAAAAAATATCAAAAATCCCAACGATTTAAGTACTTTTACCAGTTCTTCTTTAATCCAAGCTTTTGGATTATTTCTCTAATGACCATATCGGAAGAAACGTAGAGAACCAAAAGTCAAAATAAATCCACAAAAAATGCGAAAGGATATTAGTTATTTTTCGATTTGATTTCACAAAAATCTTAATTTATATGTATATATTTTAATCATAAGAAACGCAGTAAAACTTTCACAAAACCAATATAAATTATATAATTTTATAACTAAAATACGTACGGTGCCATCAATAAAAGGTAGAAGTAGTCCCATAAGGAATATCCCGGAGAGTGATCCCATGGATGCGGAGGATAAGCTCATAGTTAGCTGCAATACCGATCCTAATTTTTCCACCACAAACACTAACGCTAAAACAATAATATGTAAATATAAGCCTTTAACAACCTCGTTGATCTAGTGGCTAGAATGTACGGTTCCAAGCCAAGAGGTCCTGGGTTCGATTCCTGGGCTTGGGCCTAGATAGCTACTGGGTTTTTCTGTCACAAAATATTCAGTATTGGGAACTTGGTAGTGTTTCATTCCCGTGCCGAGACAGAGAACGCAGAGCAGTAATGAGAGAGTTAAAAGAATAGAATGTGTACTGCTATCTACGCGTACAATTGTCTAGTTTGTTTGTATGTGTATGTATGTCACATCACGCTATATCGGCTGACCGGATTTAGATGAAATTTAGTAGATACATAGATATATTGAAAGGATAGACCTGGAGTAAACATTGGCTACTATGTTTACTCCTATCGAAAGCCCCGAGTGAAGTGTAGGTTGCTAAAAATAATAATTAATAAAGTTTATATTAGAATTGAACATTTATGTAATTTTTTCTTACCAACACAAATACAGCCAAGAACAACAACCACCAATCTCACAAGTATTTGAGTTTGTTTCTGACTCAGCTTTCTTAAAAATGGTTTCCAAAAATCTTCCAAAACGACTGCTGCCATTGAATTTAGTCCAGTAGATAATGAGCTAAAATGTAATAATAAAAATAAATTATATAGAATTGTAAAAATTTTCAAGTTAGACAACAAATAAATGTAATTAAGGAAGAAAATTTTAAAATATTTTTTTAACGGCCCTCCGTGAAAGTCCCGTAAAAATGGGAAAAATCTGGTTCTTTTACGTCAAATCATATCAATCAAATCTTATTCTTTTAGGGGTATTGTTTCTTTGTAATTTTGAAAGGTAATTCTTTAAAGAGCTTGAAGATATACGAGGAACAATTGATCTACGGAAGAGGATATTTTACACTAATTCACATTTCCCCTTTTCACCCTTTTGAATTTGAATTATTTATTTACTACCTTGGTGGTCTAGCTGCTAGCATGAACAACTGCAGAATGAGTCCTGGGTTCGAATCCCGGTTTGAATTATCATCCCACCAGAGTATTAGAGAGACAAGAATAGCACTTGTATTCGCGCACATACTTGTGCTCTATAATGTCTCCTGCGCACTTTGCTGGTATAAGTGAAATTGGCCGCCATGAACGAAATTACTTTATCATATTATTTTCGTACACTTTATTATATTATTTATTTATGTACAGTCAAGTTTACCTCAAAGCCGCACTAAACACTCCAGCCACGAATATCCCGGGCATACCTCTCCACTCTGCTTCACACACGTCCATCACTAGTAACGGTAGCAATTGATCCTTAGCTAATGCAAGCTTAGAGTTTAACGGATCGCATTCGTAATAACGAGCATACGCTAAAAGTCCGCTATAACTGCAAATAAGTACTATAAACACTAGACCACATAAAAATCCCCATACTGCCCTGAAAATAAAACCATTTTTAATTTTATAAATAAATATTTTAAAACATTAAAAAAACAATCTAAACATAAACTATATATTATTCAAAATTATGTATTATATACAATTATTTTAATATTTTCAATTGTATAAACAACTTATTTAACTTGTACTTTGTACTTATGATAACGTCACATTATGGACTGCCCTTAGCTCATAATATCTGGTGAAAATAATTGTCACGAGCACTAGGGGACCACAAACCTCAAGGAATGGTCTTTATATACTAATAGAGGTATGTAGGGTCCAATCATAAGAGCATACAAACTGTTCCTCAACAACTTATAATGACGTCACACGGGGTGCTCTTTAAGTAAATATATTCTTTATTGCACATTAAAAAACATAAATTACAATTTACAAATATTAATCCCTCCACGACCGCGGACACGCCAACGTTACAGTTAACAATATGTAGATTTCTTAGAAATTTAATTAATTTCTTAGAAATTCATCTGGAGGTGTTAAGAGAAAATTGAAGGCTAAGGTGGACCTATCTCTAAAAGAGATCTCTTCCAGTCAACCTAGGGGGTGAAAAAGATTGTCATTTAGTGGAGCAGAAAAGTGCAAGGTATTATGGAAATGAAGTAAAAAAAAGAAATCACAGTAGACATAAAAATTACATGTAGACTTAGTATAATAAATAACACAAACATAGAAGTATATAAAATACATACATAATAATTATAATTATAATATCAGCGTTTTACCTACCAATAAAACGCTTATTAAGCGATAGCCTTATTTGAAGCCTATATTAAATATTTGAGAGAAGCTAACTTGATTTCCGGTAACGCGTCAGTTTTTTCTCGAATTCTCATTGGTCGTCCCCCACCATTTTAGTTCCCTCGTTGTACACCAGGTAGCGCTGCGCTCAGAAGATGGCTAGTGTCAGCGCCTTGCTTCATTGGATCTCAAATATATATATATGAAAATTTTCACCAGGCAGAATTGATATAATAGGCTTCAAATAAGGCTATCGCTTAATAAGCGTTTTATTGGTAGGTAAAACGCTGATATTAAGCTTTGAACCGTTATTTGAAGCCTATATTAAATATTTGAGATCTGTCTGTTATCGCCTGGTGTACATGAAAAGCCAATGTGATACTTTGTTAAACCAATTGGGATAATTTTTAAAATTACCAACAGCAGTTAAACAAATAGTAAGTGAAGTGAAATGTGACATAAGTTAAATGAGGAACAACCATGTATTTTTATGAATTTATTGTAAATAAATGAACTTTAATTACCACATACTTTATGATATAATCATTCCTATGTAGTACTAATCACAATTTGATAAAAAATAATCACGATAAATTAACATGAACTGTCCAAATAAAAACTTTAATTCATGTCTAGCAACAGATATATTAAACTAATCAAAAAATCTATAATAAAAAATAAACTCAAATTTCAAGCAATGTTTAAAATCAATCAGGCACAGGAGTAAATAATTGTAATACACCTTTAGAGCTAGACGGTAATGAAGAACTTTGAATTTCTCTGCAGTAATATTTTTAGAAAAGTATTTCCTGATCTCCAATTCCCTCGTGCAAGTATGTCATCTAACGGACAATTTTGGATCCAATTTTTTGAAGCGACTGCGGGTCGACAACTACCTGGGCTAGCTTTGATACCTGCTTGACATAAAATCTTCTTAACCCCATTACCAATATTAGTACTCGAAGCTTCTTTTGGTTGACCACAAATTGTTAAGAATAAGCTAGTCTTTTTACAGATTGCACGTCTAGACTGAGACAACTCAATAACTTTCTGTATCCAAAAATATGGGTCTAGGGATTGATTATCTTTGTTTCTATAAATACGCCATCCTGACTGTCTATTACATACCGTGTCAGTTTTGGACCCAAATTTAGGCCAGAAAATTATTGATTCGTCCTTTAACAAGCAATTGTTGTCTTCAATATCCAGTAATGTAAGATCATGTACACGACGGCCAGAGCACAATAATAATAACACAGCTGCACGCGCAGAACATTCAAATAAATTATTCGTGTTTGGCAAATTATTTTGTAACCAATCTGTCAGTACATCTGTATCCCATATTGGAGCCTTTGGTTTTATTATTATTGACAGATTGACTATTACAAATAGCTTTCAAAGCTTCTTTTACCAACACATGTAAACTCAAACGGGATTCTGTATTAGGGTTGCATAAAACTGAAACAGCAGATTTATAGACTAAAATTGTTTTATACGCCAGTCCTTGTACTTGGTGTAGGTCTATAAGATACCTAGCAAAGTCCGCTCCAGTGGGTTGACTGATGGAGACAAAGTTCGCCTTCGCCCACGCGCACCATTTTTGCCATGCTACTTTATAGATAGTTAAAGTAGAATTCCGCCAACTTTTCTGTAAAAATTGTCTCTGCCTATCCGACCAACCTGTTAGATATTCCGTCCACCCCCACATCTCCATACCTCCAAATACATGTCTGGTGTCAGTGGAGGTGGCCGATTAGTTACTGTGTCGATCAGAACTAGTCCCAAGTTCCGTATTGTGAAAGGAGGATTCAGAGCGCGACTCTTCAAGTCTGGTCGCCAAAATACCTTGGTCCATCTCGGTGCTACAACCAAATATATTCCCGTTGCCGAGTTGAAGGAGAGGAGGCGGGAATACCCATGCTAGTGAGAAGTGCCATTCCTGACTGAACGCGTCGTACAGATGTGCCTGCCGGTCTCTCACGTCCAGCGTACCGTAAACTGGGACAACGTGAGCTGTCGCTGATGCAAACAGGTCTATTACTGGAAGGCCCCATCTCGCAAAAATTATGAACGTAATTGTGGGTAGAAGGTGCCATTCTGGCGGACGAATTGAACGTGACAACCGATCCGCTTCTCCGTTGTAGCGGCCTGGAATGTAATGGGCTTCTACGTGAATATTGAACCGATCCAATTAAGTGAAAATCTTGTATGTAATTTCCATCAAAGGCCCCGACTTTGTACCCCCTTCGTTTCGCAAGTACGCAACAACTGTGCGGTTGTCGCTCTGTATTAGCATCGAAGATCCCACAAGGTGCGGACAATGATCTTTTAATGCGTACCACACAGCCCGCATTTCTCTTTGATTGGGATGTAAACGCCCTTCCTCTAGCGTCCATTGGCCCGACAACCTCAGACTGTTCAGCTGAGCTCCCCATCCTACTTCTGAGGCGTCTGTAACCAGGTAATTCGAAATGGGAGGGAAATGAAGGAGCGAGGGCCGAGTCAGGTTGAGTTTCCACCAATCCAACTCTTTCAAGGCAGCGGTTGGTATCGGAAATTGCAGCCGAGGATTGCAACGCAGTAACTGCTGGCAATGTTTCAGGAGAGCTCGATGATGTAAGCGTCCCCTGTACACTGGAAAACTGGCAAAATTTATTGACCCCACTAAGCTTTGAATTTCTTTTAGATTGGCCCTTTTTCTTTTTAACATTGTCAAAATCTTTGTTAGAAGATCCCCGCACTTCTTTATCGGTAAACTTTTTAGATTTGCATGAGTATCCCAAACAATTCCCAGATATTGTACATTGGTTTGTGGTACTAGGACAGACTTTTGGAAGTTTATTTGCCAACCTAGTTTCTGTAGAATGCTCAGAGCATCCCGAACTTGTTGCTTTAGGAACAGAGGATCTTGGCAAGCTAATAGATAGTCGTCTAGGTACACCACAGTTCGAATGCCTTTCCCCCGAAGAACTTGTGCCACCCAATTCGTAAGAGATGCGAAAATTTTTGGTGCACATGCTAGGCCGAAAGGTAGACACGTCATTTGCCATAGATGACCTTTGTAAATAACTCTGAGAAAGCATCGATGTGCTTTGGACACAGGTAGGTGGAAGTAGGCATTGGACAAATCTATCTTGGCTAACCAATCCCCTGGTTGCAAAAAGTTCACTATTTTGTGCGCATTTATGAGCCTGAATTTGTCCACAAACACATAATTGTTTAGGCTTTTTAAATTGAATATTGGATGCATGGATCGTCGTCCTTCGGTATTAGAAATATTTGTGACACAAAACTGGGGCTGAGCGGAGTCGGCTCTATGACCCCCATTTTCATTAATTGGTCTATAATTAAGTCCATGTCTTTCGATACTGGAGTTTGAAAACGATGGGAGACTAGGTCTGGTATTACTAATGGAGGCCTGGCTAAAAATGGGATGCGAAAATTCTGTATAATCTTTATTAGCCCTAGAGGCGCTTGTAGGTATTTCCAATGTTCCAGGAATTCCGGTAAGCGACCCGCGCGGAATGGGGCAGAGTCAATATTTTCTTTTTGATCGACGTGATCCTGACTGAACAGATTGTTTATTTGATCCCCTACCTGCGTTTGAGTACATCTCTGAATTTTGAAAATTTTGTGATCCTGGCCTTTGACGAAAGGGCCTTAATTGTTGCAGCTGATTTGATCTAAAGGTAGGGCGGACGTATTCTCGTCCTTGACTATTAACATTAAAAGTATTCCAGGCACCTTGGAAAGGTGGCCTATTTATATAATCAAATTGAGGATAGTAACAATTAACTGCACTAGGCATTCTCATTGCATGACTAGGTGTGACCTGAGTCTGCTGATGGGGCTGTGCTTGCGCAGCAGCTTTATTTTGTGTCGGCGCTCGGAGCTGCCAGAAAACTTTAGACATACCCCCAGATTTTTCGATAGCAGTAGTGAAAGATTCCTTATTAAAAAGATTCTCACTAGTGGGAGGGATTTTACGGAAACTTGACTTCAAAAAACTATCTTTTACTGAACGCAAAATATTATCACGCCTTTGTTGTACTAATTCAGCTCTGTGACCACAAGCTAACTGTAAAACATCGCTACTAATTTTTTGAAAATTTCCTTTTATAAATAATTCATTCACTTTTTCATGCAGTGATTTAGCAGTGATATTATTACCTGAGAAACTTGCCCACTCAATTAAAGCTGTAAAAGCGCTCTGTGCGGCTTCATTTTGCATAATAAGAGCCTGTGTAATGGCAGCGAAACCCCGCTCAATAAGCGCAAGAGATGAATATTTATCATATGATTTGATTTCTTCATTAGTGTCTAAATATGTAAAACCCGGAGCAGAACAGTACTGCTTTTGCACTTCTGCATAGCGTACGTTGTTCCAATCTTCAGTATCAAAATGTTGTATTGAATTAATTAACTTTACGCGAGCCTGAGAAGACTTTTGTATTGTTGGTTCTTTCAACACAGTATTCAGAGAAAAATTGAAACTAACGGGCAATTCAGAAGTCTGCACTGGCTCCTGCGTACAATTCTCACGGGTATATAGTTCACCACTAACATCTGCACTAATATCTGAATCAATATCTATGTTTTGTCCTTGGTCAGGCACGTAAGCACTAGAGTGACATGTAGGTTGAAAAGCAACGCTACTGTTCGCAATATAATTTTGTATACCACTTACTTGTTGAGCCAAATAATGTATGGTTTCTTCAAGACGTTTTCTCCTTTTTTCACTGCGCTCCTTTGAGCCTGAAAGCTTCCGTTTTCGCTGTGTTTGGCAAGGAGCAGGCGTGGTTGGCAGGGCACTTGACTTGGCCCGTTGCGGCTCCTGCTCATGAACCTCCACTGCCACCGTTTCCACGTTATGGGAACTCGAGCAAGAAGAGGAATCAGATAATTCGGAAGAATCTTCACTTATACTTAAAGGAAAACGAAATTATTTAAAAAACAAAATAAAATAAATACCGAACGATAAAATCGTTTAAAATATATAATATTTAAAAATATACTTATAATATACCATATCCAAAATATAAGTGTTATAAACTCACTTGTAGATTTGAGACACGACCGACTGTTACGGAAAACAAATCGCCAATGAAGCAAGGCGCTGACACTAGCCATCTTCTGAGCGCAGCGCTACCTGGTGTACAACGAGGGAACTAAAATGGTGGGGGACGACCAATGAGAATTCGAGAAAAAACTGACGCGTTACCGGAAATCAAGTTAGCTTCTCTCAAATATTTAATATAGGCTTCAAATAACGGTTCAAAGCTTAATACATATATTTTATACCATACAATACACATACATACAATACATATAATTACTTATTAAAATATAATGTTGATGACTGTTATGTTACTTCAGATAGAATATGTTATTTTAGTCGCTATTTAAAAGATGCAGTGGAGGGACTTTCCTGAATAAGTTTAGGAAGTTTGTTCCACAGTAGAGGAGCGTGTATCGAAAACGACTTAAGTCCAAAGCCTTAAGCTGGTTTACACTTTGGCACGTCAAGCATTGATGTGACGCAAGAACGTTTAGTGCGTGTGTAAGTGGGAAGCTAATTCGGGTACGAAGATAAAAGAAAGGCATTAGGATCGTGGAGAATATTAAATGAAGAGTGTGGACAGGGTGTGCATATCACGGCAAAGGCGAATTGGCGGCCATTTAAGTTGAGCACGAAAATCAGAAATATGATCATACTTTCGCAAGTAGATGAAGCGTATTACAAAAATTTTGAAGGTGCTCTAGTTTTGTCTAAAGAATTACATAGACGGAGTACGCCAAAATAAAGGTCAAAGTCAAATTTCTTTAAAGAATAAGGGAAATTTTATATATGTACTAGCGGCTACTAAAAATATAATATAATAAAAAAAAAAACTACACTAATAAAAATCTATTAGTTCCCACGGGAACCGTTCATTTTTCCCGGATGAAAAGTAACCGGTTGTTTGACCGGCAATATAAGGTATCAGAATGTTAAATTTTACTAAATTAGGTGCATAAGTTGTATAAGTTATAATAGTTTTTTAACTATCCCACGGGAACATTATATTTTCCGGGATAAAAAATATCTAAGACGTTGTCCGGGGATATAAGGTACCACCATGCAAAATTTCATTTAAATCGGTCCAATAGATTCGGAGATTAGCCCGTACAAACAGACAAACAGACAAACAATATCACACGGGAACGCAGTCGAACGGGATAAAAAGTATCCTATGTCCGTCCGTCTCTGGGTTCTAAGCTACCTCCCCGCCAATTTTCAGCCAAATCGGTTCAGCCGTTCTGGAGTTATAAATAGTGTAACTAACACGACTTTCTTTTATATATATAGATTAGAAAAATTAACATACAATTCTTGTATTATATTTTATTTTGTATTTTTTAAGCATTAGTTGTATTTCCATTGAAATAGAGATAGCAGTTTAATTCTATGATACTCTGTCTATATTATTCCTTAGTCCGTATTCGTATCTTAGCGTAGTAAATAGTTTAAAGAGAAAAATCAATCAACCTTATCGACATCTTTAAATCTGATAGCGCGAGGAATCTTTGCATCATAGATTGATTAGTTGCTATATTGCCGATCCAATAAAACATGGATCCTATTGTCACCGACCATATGGAATGGCGCTCTGTCAAATCTAAAGCAAAACTAAAAATTCATACAAACAAATTATTAAATTTTACAGTTCGTTTAAATATCGCATAAAAAACAATAAATCTATGTAAAACAATGTATGTAATGAATCTGTATAAATATTATATTTTTGTACCAAATAGGTAATATTGAATTAAAAAATACTTCAAAATTTTTTCTTATTACATATACCTTGGGAATTCTATTCTATTGGTTTCCCAATTTCTTGCAATTACTTCGTCTAGACCTCCGACTATAATAGTTCCTTTAACTATGACCAATATAATAGCCCCAATCATAACAATTGTCTGTATTACATCGGTCCATACAACTGCTTTGAGACCTCCCTAAAATATTAATAATTTATTTTTATAAAATACTTGTGTAGTAACTATGTACAAATGTATATAATATAATGTTTTAAATAAAACTATCTTTTCACCTTTATTGTGGATTTATTATGATTTTTGGACGACGTTTCAAATACGACGACGTTTTGAATACGTGCTTTACAGCAATCATGGTCACGGAAGGCACACGAGAGAGCGATAAAATCCAAAAGTATAGTTTTAATAAATATAAGAAAGTATTATATTATATGTAGTTAATTGTCGTGATTTTAGCATAGATGTGGTTAATGGCTTAGAAACAGGCAATTTTTTATCAAAATATAAACGGGAAACCAAAATTAAAAATTTTGTTACTACTTCCTACATAGTTATATTTTAAATTCGTAAGTTTGTGCAGAAGTATGTAAGAGAGGTAAATAAAGAGTAACTGAGCGAATATAACTGCGCAAAAGAAGGTAATCTTTACTTACCACACATGTATAAAAGATGCAAACGATACACACCAGAGGCGATACAATATGTATATTTATACCGGTCACTAGAAAAACAAATACGTTTTTTTACTAAATATTCTTTGAAATATATTATTATAACTGTAATTAAAGTTATCAAAAATATTTAAAATACCTTGATTAAAAGCTAACGCTGGAACATAAATAACTATAGGAAGCCAAGCCATCTATAAGAAAAACAAACGAAGTAAAACTTATAAATAGCACAAACAGAATAAAATACTAAAGAGGGCTATTTATTATTACCACCTTACCAAATAAACGCTGAAAATTACAGATCCAAATAATCTTGTCCTTTTATCGTAACGCAGTTCTAAGTACTAAAACAGAAAATATATCATAGATACAATATTGCTAGGTTACTTTTTACACATATTATATTGTAGATACTATCATACCTCATAAACAGATGTAAGTTGTAATTCATATAATACCGGAATAAAAGTATACGATATTACAATGGACATCAACAAAGCCCCTATATGAGAAAAAACATACGCTGTCCCATAGATATACAGCTCTGTTGGTATTCCTAATAATGATATACCTGAAATGAAGCTGTGTTCAAAACGAAAACACATTAGTTATTCAAAACTTTTATTTAGTGTAGTTTAGTATAGGAAGTTTAGGTCAAAACTATTTAACATGTTCTCTTTATATAAAACCATAGAAAATTGAGAGAGATGTTATGATTAATTTATTAAATTATAATAAACTTACCTAGCTACTAGAGAAAAACACACTGGGACTATTTTCATATTCCTACCTCCCATCAAGTAATCTTGAGTGGAATTTTGCTTTTTTACAAATCCAAAATAAACACCTATTCCACCACACACTGATAACATCACCACAAAAATTGAATAATCTACCCATGAAAAATATTGAAACGACTTTCGAACGTCCGAAACATCTCTTTCCATTTCATACATGTTTCGATTATTTAATAATATAATATTATTAATGTTTTTTTTAATATATTTTAATATTAGTTCATGTACAATACGTATTTCATGACCTCTGATTTGTAACTGTTGGAACGAAGACGCCAATTTAACAATTGCCGCCTACGATTTTCCCCGAGGCTATTTCATCTTTATTAAGCATATCCTGTACGATAAAAATATATCCCTTCAATATTAAATAAAAGCCAAGTTCGGTGATACATTTTTGGGAGGTATTAATTAATATCCAGTAAAAGCTTTAAGATCAAAAACTTCGCCAAGTTCATTGAATTTCCTTGAATCGTAATATGCAATTAAAATAATATGCATTTTTTTAATTTCATAACTTTTCATACTACTATTTATAATATACATATAACATTAGGATATTTTTCGACACAATAGACATTAATTGAATTATATCAAATAAACATTAAAAAAATTATATTTCTGTGCAAAAATGTTCATCATTACGTCAAAAAATTGGTCATATCATAATAAAAGTAGGCTTAGGCTTTTTTGTTTTATCGTATTTTATTAGATAAAAAAAAACTAAACACTTGAATAAATACAAAAAAAAACAAAAGTAAAAACTTTGTATTCAACCGGGATTCGAACCCTGTGATTGTCAATCTTGCGCCTTGGCCGCTTAACCACAATGCTAATTTCCGAGTGTGCGATATTAGAGACTATATTTTACGTGGAAAATGCGAAAGAAAACCGCGTGAAAAGTCAAAAACACGTGTTTTCCCAGACATAAGACTATTTTGATCGATTTTTCGCCCCCGAAAGCCCCCACGTACCAAATTTCAGCGAATTCGTTAGAGCCGTTTTCGAGATTGCCGGTATAAGTAAATAAATATACAAGAATTGCTCGTTTAAATTTATATGTAATGTATAATGTATGAATTCATGTAAAACAAAATTGGAAAACATGTATAGAATACTAGCGGCACCCGCAATTTCGCTCGCGCTAAAACTACAAAAAAACACTCTAAAAAGGTAGGTTTCATACAAAACTTTCATCCTTCGTATTTTACCCCCTTATGGAATGAATTTCGATTGGCTAAAAAAATTATTTATTTAATTGTATTGAAAAGCATTAACGTCAAGTTTCAAGTAATCTGAACATAAATAATTTTTTGGGTTGTATTATAACATATTTTTCCGTGGGAATGAGTTAATCTCCCGCGGTAAAAAGAAGCCTATGTCACTCTCCAGCCATTCGACTATCTCTACACAAAAAATTACAATCACAAACAAACAAACAAAGAAACACTTTCACATTTATAATATTAATAGTATGGACGTTTTATACACGTTGTATAGCACATACTTAGTGAGCATGGCCCTTTCCAACTCTTGCAAGCAAAGACCCTTGTAAGAGTCTGAAAGTTTTTTTTAATAATGCAAAACGATAATTTTTTTAGGCATATGTTACCCAGCGGCATCATTTTTGACTTCTTCATGTAATTCAACCTTCGAATAGTGAATTATAGCCACTAGCGACTCACCCTCGCACCGCTCGGGTTGGTCCTTAGTTAAGTTTTAACGTTTAGTATAAATTTCTCATAACCGAGATATTTTCCCGCAGTAAAAAGGTTCCTACACGTTGACCCGGAAAACCAGCTATCATCATACCTTTCATAAAAATCTGTCAAATGGTTTTCTAGTGATGGGCTCCCAGACAGACAAACAAAAATTCTATAAACTATAGATTCGGCCTCTGTATGAATGACAATGACTATTTCAATAAGATTTTCCAAAAATATCAAGACAAGCGGTAACGTGTCCTGCCAAGTTTAAGCCAAAGGAACTGGCGACGCAGCACCGTGTGTATATTTTACACGAACCATTTGGAGCCACTTTTTACCTCGTAATAACTCAGAATCTATTTAACGTAAACTCTTGAAATTTGGTTCATTTACTAAATCCTATTAGATTAACTAGAACGAACGAACTTCATAAATACAGCGCAAACACTTATTGAGATATTAATGTCTAAAAATCGGCATTTTTATCACTGATTGACATATAGTAGTAAAACCTAAACCCCTTCCAGATGACTTAAAAAGTTGGAATTTGGTGTCCAGGTGGGTCATCATGTGCATACATAGGGAAAAAACCGAAAACAGTAATTTTTAAAATTAAAAAAAATATATAACCTTGCGCCTTTCAATACATAATAGCAATACCTTAACACCAAGTGCCTTTTGAAATATAATAGCAATAGCAATCATAGTAATAGCAAAAACTTTTTCTTTCTCAGGAGAAAAGGTTCCATGATGATTAAATAACATTTTCCTATTCCGCCTTATCCACTAACGAATAATCGGAAAATTATGGAAAAAAAGATTGAATTTACATGTCGTTTTGGAATTATAAATATTAATAGTTTCTTTACAAAAAGTCATGTTATCAAATCAAAAACATAAATGTGAAAATGGAAGCCATGTTCAATATTAAGAATATATGTACGTGGTTGTCAACTTCACCGACAAAAGAATTGAGATCCAAATAAGTGCCAAGTTCTGTAGATAATCCTGATTTTTTTCATAATAACATAGAATAGTCTAAAATAAATTCAAAACACAATTTCTTGTTTTTTTCTACTACTTTTTGCTATTTATTGATCGCCTTTTTCGTACGAACTCTACGTGGACGGCCAGATCTTTTTCTGTCACAAACATAAGTTTTCATTGTACCTATCAATAGCCCGATATACAAACATTTGACTAATACCAAGCGTATGGAGTTTTAAAAATTGTATTTGACTCCATACCTACTTCGTGTAATGAATCACAGCGATTCGGTTCTCTTTATCATCCCACTCCATTTTAATATCACAAAATATTTTACAATGCATTGGCGCGAAAATGAGAAAACACAATGAACAATCATATAAAAATGACAGATTCTAAATTCAAATGTAATATTTTGTTTATTTTTAATTGTAACAATATTTATGGCCAGGCTATAATAAGATTTGCAATTGTTACAGTGAATCTTTATTTTTTTTATTGAATTTAATAATGATTTCATTAATACTGGACTATTTAATTTGGTAATACATTTTCAGGAGAAAATAAAAATCATTATATATTAGGATAATATAAATATAATAAATAATCTTATAGCAACTTCTTAACGAGATCTTCATTTTCGTTCCTCGCATTCAATAATTGGTTTCATACTTATTGAGGTAGATTTCATGTGATGATTCTGAAATGTAAAATTTCTCTAAAAATTCATAATGGTAATTACCAAAATTCCTTTTTAATTAAATCTTAATCTATGTATAAAACTTTGAAGCAAAAATTAAAGTTTTAATTATTGCAGATAAACAACTAGCTTTAGTAAAACTCTTTTTCCAAAAGATCGGAATTTAACTTCTAAACCTATAATCTATCTGTATGTTCTCCTTACTCAAGATAGAAGTTGGACTAATTCATTTTTTTTATTTTTGATGGAGTTATCCCACAAATTATACTCCACCAAGAAATACTAAAGAAAAACGAAATTCTAAAAAACACCTTTAAATATTTCTGAACTCCTAATATTTCTAAATATTTATAAAAAATCACATACAAACTTATTGCATATACCTAAATACTTATGCTTACATAATCTTCATTTTTAAATTAAAACCCTAGAAAAACCTTAAAAGTAGAGCCTTTTAAAATGTAATAAAGCATATTATATCACTTCAAAACGAGCAACTACATATCTCGTAAACTATACACATTTACGACGAATTCCAAATTTAAATAAAAAATTTAGACATTATGTGACCAAACTCATTTAAAAATATATTATTGAGCCTATTTGTTATTCGCTTACAAAATACTTTGCAGATATAGAATACAGAATATGTGGGACAAATTTCTAGTTGGGTCTCATATAGGATAAGTAGTATTGCAATATTGTAAACAAATATTATTTCAAAAAAGCACTCTTGAGTTTCTCGCCGGCTCTTCTTAGTAAACGTGCCTTCTGAGCTAGTGGTTCATTCCTCTCGGACTTACATATGGACATTTAATGTTTTTAAAAGGCAAAAATTAACGATTCAAAAATACCTGTAAAAGTCTATTTAAATAGAATATATGTATTTAGATTTTGACTAACCTTATCATTATAAGCCCGTATAAAGGGCTCATCAGTAGGGTGAGGTGGTTCTTTGTACATTCGTCTAACAAAGGGTGTGAGAAGTTTAGGTGCAGGTGGTACGTGAGTCGCACCCATCAGCCGTCTCACCCAAGACACAAACACACCAACTAGTATAGTCACTAACATACCCACGAGGGTGTACCACATGTATGAGACGTGCAAAATTGGATGTACTCCCGAACTGTAATAAAAAACATAATGTTATTTATTTTTCACTCCAAAGTTCTTTTTAATATATTTTTTTTCTAACACCACAGTATTTTAACAATAATATTATTTATAAAATGATGAAACCGCACATATACACAAACAAGATTTATTTAGACATCAATTCATCAAATTTAAACTCAAATAAACAATTAACTCAATTCCCTTGTTAATAGTATATTTAAAAAATATATATGCAATATTACTTTTCAAGACTACAATAGAAAGAAACCTACGTAACTTCTTTACAGGCTTAATATGACGTCGAATTGCGGAAACAAGCCCGTTTTATACCATACCATACCATACCATACAGGCTTAATATCAAAATGCCTCCTAATTGATTCTAGCAGCAAGAAATAAAAAACAAACATTTAGCTTTGTTACATAAGTAAAAACTATTCCATGCCTAAAACAATTTCACCCACACTTACCTTTCAGTTTCAACATTGTGTTGCGTCTCCACGATAGTGTAATTGTATGAGCATCCTTCGACAGTGAGCGGCTTGTGTGGGTGCGGCATGAGGCCGCGCGCGACCGCTAGCTGCGCGGAGAGACACCACCACGCCATGCATGCGAGCCCGGTACCTCCGCCCGCGAGGGCCCCCTTAACACGACGGTATTCATAGTGATGATGGTGATAGTGATGATGGTGATGATGATGATGATGGTAGTTCATCGAAGAATTGTATGTATGGATGTTATCAGTGCGTAGTGAGTGCGGCAGTGGAAGGAAACTGCGTGATGACAATGATGATAACGGTGATAAAGATGGCGATGATTATTTGTTAGTGATTGTGTTATTTATGATGATAGTTTATGATGGTAATTTAACTAGTATATTGTTAATTATTTATGATAGTGATAGTGATATATGGTGTAGTGACAACGATTATGATGTTATGATGGTTATTACTCGTCGAGCGTAAGTAAAGTCTTTTTGATTGACTCGACTTACTAGGCAAGAAATTGCAGATTCAAATTCGTGAATATATATTGTAACAAAAATGTCCATAAAAATAATTGCAATACGTTAGTTTTGGAAAACACATAAAAATGTTGTTAATGTGAAAAAAATATCCACAACTTTTAATTTAATAACTAATAAATGAACTATAATATAGCCTTAGTTTTTTTCAGTTAACTTTTAATAAAATAAAAAATATAATACATACACATTAGTATCTATTTATATATCTATTCAGCCCTTTTTAACGTCCCACTGCTAAGGACGGGCCTCCCTTCAATAAGAGGGGGATCAGGCCATAGTCCACCGCGCTGGCCAAGTGCAGGTTGGCGGACTTCACATGTCTTTCGAAAACTTGTTAGGTTCTCTCAGACATGCAGGTTCCCTCACGATGTTTTCCTTTACCGTTAATCAATTGGTAATCATGTTGAATATGATTCGCACAGAAAATATCAGAGGTGCGAGACCCAGGATTTGAACCCGTTTCACTCGGTTTCCCAAGCGAGCGCATTACCACTGGGCTACCTTTTAGCATAAATGAACAATAATATAAATAAATAAAATCACTATTACCATAGCATCAACCCATGGCATAAGAATCCCCATAGTGAACACCCCAAGCTGTGGCCCCATCGTCATAGCTTCCAACGTCATTGTTAGCTGTAAAATTGTACCCATTTTCTCAACAATGAACACTAGACCTGAAAACAATTAAAGTATCTTCGAGCGAACAATTCAAAGCGAGCGAAACCTACAAAACTAGCCATATATATCAAACTAAACTGAAGAATCTCATCTTCACTCATCATACATACTACTTATGGATTATGTAAAATATATAAATAATCGATTTGTAGCTGTTACATTGATAATAATGTTATTTATGTATTTTATATATTAATTTAATGTGAAATCTATACATTTATACATATAAATAAAATGGGAGTGTTAATTTATAATTTCAAAATAACTACCTATATTTATTCAAGTAGTGTTATTTACATGATAGCAGTACCTAAGCAACCCTAATTTTTGTTTGTCTATTTGTTGGTCTTTTGGCTAAACCGATTGTAATGGGACTTTAACTTTCAAGATTAGAATGAAATTCTATAATAATTTCTTATAGATGTAAATGCTAATTAGCTAAAAAATAAAAAAAATCCAGCGCGTAAGATTTTTCAGTGAAAAAAGAAATGATATCCAAATACCAAGCTGCTGTTATAAATAATCGTACATCCTGTATCTACTTTACTTAAAAATGTTATCAAAAATATGTATGTAATAAAATGTGAATCAATGATCATTTAGCATGAGCGAAGCGAGGGTAAGTCGCTTGATATAAAATAAACGGTTTTTTGTCGATGAGAGACTAGGTTTACCATTAAAATTTGTTTCAATATTCAAAAAAAATTATGAATTCACAAAACCCTTTTTTTATATTTGTAGCGGATTCAACACGAAAAACAACATAGGAAAATGGCGAGATTTTTGAAAGACTTCTAATACGTTTATTTTGATACTTCTACTGCAAATAAGGATTTCGTGTGAAACCTTATATACCGGATTCTAGAAATGAGAGAAAAACATAAAAATCACATTCAAGTTTCGCTCAAAATATCATTAAATATAAGTTAAAATTAAATTAAATTATCGCTGCTCAAAATTAACTTATATAGATACCAAACAATTTTCTAAAAGGTCAGCTTTGCATACTACACTTTTTTTCTATTAGAATATTGAATTACAAAAATTTTCTCCGAAACCAATTTTCACATGAAAAAATGAAATTATATACTTTATTCGAATACCTAAACTATTACTAGCGACTCACCTTCGCTCGGCTCGGTATGTTTTACGTTTCGTTTGCTTGTTACGTTTTAATATTTAGTATAGATTTCTCAGAGATAAGACATTTTCCTGTAGTAAAATGTATGTGGTTTTCTTGTGGTGCATTCCCAGACAGACAGACAAAAAATCCAAAAACTATACTTTCGACCTCTGTATCGATAACAAATGACTATTTCAATAAGATTTTCCAAAAAATATTTTTTTTACAGATTCGACTCAGTTAGAATTTTATTATATGTGTTGATTTTAGAGTATAGATTATAAATTGTAATCTATACATACATATAATAAAATTCTGAGTCGAATCTGTACAATAAATATTTTTTAGAAAACCTTAGCGTTTTTGTCATTGTCACTGACACAAATTAGCAAATCGTTTTGTTTAATTAAAACAGTTACTACTTAGTTGTGAGTTACTCATATGTATGAAACTAAAATCTGAAGACTTACCTAAACACACAGTTCCCAAAAGTACAACAACACTTCTTAACAGCCAATTCGTCTGCCTTTCTGTTAACCGGCGTTTGTAAAATGGTTTGTAGAAATCCTCCAACACAACCGCTGACATTGAATTTAAACTCGTCGATAAAGAACTAAAAACATTATACTTTCTTAGATTTAAACGAATATTTGACATTTTAAATAAAACTATTTTTTCGGTTTATTTCGCGGATTATTTCAGACACTTGTCTGTAACAACTATATAATGCCTTTGAGACGTCTAAAACCTTAGTCTTTCCCGTGACCATGATTACTGTAAAGCATTCGAAACGTCGGGAACCAAAAATCCAAATAAATCCGCGAAATAATCAGAAAAGATAGTTTTATTTAAAATGTCAAATATTCGCGTAAATCTAAGAAAGTATTAAGATATTACATAAAAAAAAACATGTTTTAACAAAAAATATTTAAGGTTTTATCAAAAATTGTAATTATTTATTATAACTAAAAAATATAGCAATATACACTAATTAAATATTTAGTATATAATATTATCTATGATACGTATATATCGTACGATACCCGTTTAGCCCTATTTAGTATTAAGTATTGACTTACCTCAAAGCCGCACTAAAGATGCCAGCAATAAAGACTCCAGGTAAGCCGGGGATGTCCCCCAAGACGTCCATAACTAACAATGGCAGTAATTGATCTTTCGCCTTTGCTAACTAAAATAATAAATACGTATTATATTTAATACATACGAGTATTATTAAGATTTACATAATATATATTAAAACACACAACTCTCTGTCTGTAAAAGGAATGCAGCTAACTTCATCATGTCGCTTTTTGACTGTCGGTGTGCGCACGCATCGTAAAAATTTTACTCTCATATTTTTTTCCAAACGCACTGAAAGAAGTATAACTTCAAAAGACGTGTAGACAAAGAAAACATTTTACAAGTACATAATAAAAATCAAACTCAACAAAATTTGCCCTGTCACTACAATTGTAAAGGAATTTAACTATATCCATACTAATACAATATGGAAATGTGAAAGTGAGTCTGTCTGCTTGTTACGTTTTCCCGTTTAAACCGCTGAACAGATTTCGATGAAATTTGGTAAGGACTTAGACTGCTTTATGACGACGGACATAGGCATCTGCAACCTATATATCATACAAAAGAATCCGCGGCAAAAGTATATAATAGTTTCCAATACAATAAAATAGTCTATACAAATATTATAAAGAGGTAAAGTTTGTGAGTTTGTGACGTTGTAGGGGGTAATCTCTGGATTTACTGAACCGATTTAGATGAAATTTGATAAGAAGATAGTTTCAGACCCTGGGAAGGACATAGGATACTGTTATCCCGGAAATCAACCCTTAAGGGGGTAAAAAACTTAATGGCAGTTTGTATGGGGAATCAAACTAGGGACGAATCCGAGCGAAGCGAGGGTGAGTCGATACTCGCTAATAACAAAGAAATATATTCACACACCTTAGTTTGTAAAGGATCGCAGTCGTGGTACCGTGCATAAATAAGGAGTCCACAATACAAACAGAAACAGTACACTATTGATATTCCGATGCAGAACAAAACCACTGCCCTACAAAATAATTTTGATACAATATAAATAGTTGAATTAACAAGAAATAGATAAATTTACCTATAGATTTGTCTTATTTTTAACAAATTTCTTAAAGAATTTTTTTATAATTTTGTTTATATTTTGATTTCTATACAAAATTGTGAGACGTTAAAGAAAGATTTTCTTAATATAATACCAATCTAAAAAAAGGATTTTTTAACCTTTAATTCCTATTGGAGTAAAACACAATATTTTATGGTTATTGGCTAAAGTACACTACTACGACATACTAATTTGAAATTTTATCACGCTATTAAAGTAATAATTATTTTCAAAATATAATAAATATTTTTCTAAAGCTATTAATTACTCATCTTAATCATTCATTCACAGAATCTAATAATTTGCGGACGCCATTCTTTCATCTCAATATAAGAGTCGAGGAAAGTACATAAAAGTGACTAAATCAGTAACGACTGTATTAAATATACATTTACATATACAAATTAGAATAGGTAATTAAAATAAGTATAATTTCATTTTGAAACTGATATACTTACCACTTAGCGCCCCGCAGAGTGGGTAGCGCCAAGTATCGTTGGACCATGGTCTGGTTGACGGCGTTAGCTTGTAACCAGTATATGAGACCTCCGATAACAAGGTTCCATATCGTATGGCGAGCTGTTGGTAATGGGTCCCAGCTGAGGAGAAAACCGTGTAAAATTCCATTCTTGATATCTTGAATTAGTCGGAGATGTAATTATTAGAAACCCTAGATGCCCTTCGCATTTGTAATATTACCAAAGTTCTCACATGATATGATTTTTTACACTTAAAACAAAATATAGGACCTATATACGAGGTAGGTTTATAAATTATATTAAGTATATAGTTTTATAAGTTATTTTATATACATACGTATATTTTTTTCTTGTGAACATTTAATTTTAAATTTTCCTGTCTATATTATTATGCATGCCGTGTTTATTATTGTATATAAAGATTGTGAAACAATTTCGACAATATTATATATATATATATATATATATATATATATATATATATATATATATATATATGGGTGATTCTTCAAAATTTGGTTAACTTGGTGTTAGCAGCAATTTTCACATATTTATATCTATTTTATTGAATATTTGCAACTACTAAGCAATATTATAAAGTTCATGTAATTTGGTCACTCACTTTGATTTATATCACAATATTTTTTATTTCCGAAAATCGCTTCTTTCTACTCCAAATATCAGGCCCTAGCCATGTAAGATCTCCCAAATTTAGCAAGCATTTCATTGTTATTGTAATTCTCTAAATCATACTTTGATTTAACTCGACTTAAACACGTTTACTATTACATTATTAACCTAGTCATTGTGATTTAATTTTTAATAACAATAACTTTTATCATATTATTTCAAGTTAAAAAGTGTAAGCGTTAAAGAATATCAGTCCCTAGCTATTTGCGAAATTCGAAAATACGCGGCATCTAAGCGTATGGCGTTTTTCAAAACTTACTCAAGCCAAAGCATCGATGTGAAGTTAAATGTAAACACGACTAATGCCGCATCAGCTATTTCGTTTTTACTGCAGTCGCCGACTTTGTTACGGAAACACGTGCTGTGCCAGTCAAACTCTCAGTCCCTAGGTAAGTCGTTTCAAAGATAGTTAATTAATAATTGATCTCATTACTTATTGTAAATTTGAGCTTTGTCTGCCTTGTTATTTTGATCACCTGCTGGTTGTAATGTTCATTTTAAATAATAGGTTATTTTTGATTTTGCTTTAATTCGTCAGTCCCTAGACCATCAGGCCCTCGTCGTAAAAGTGATTAGGGCCTGATGGCACACCTAGGGACTGACGGTCATACTGCGTGATCCATGGTTTTAATAATAAAATATATATATTTGTTGTAGAATATGGCACCTAAAAAGAAAACATTACTTTCCAAAGGGGAACTCGCCAAAAAAAGTGTGAACAGGCAAAGAGACATTTGGAAAAAATTAAAAAGACCCTATTTTGCTAGCAGAGTACAAAGAATAAGAACGACATAAATATCCAAAGAAAAAAGAAAAAGGACAAAGGAAATGTGTCAAGGACATGACACCGCGTGAGCATAGAAGAACCACGAAACAGAAGACTAAAACGTAAAATGACAAAAAATAAGAAAGCACTTACACCAAAAAGTAAAATTGAAGCCATGGCTAACGAGCCTAATCAAAAAGCTGAATTGATAAATGGCACAGAATTTCAAATAAATGAGAATGATATCGCTGACGTGCCTTACGAAGAATGTTTTAGAATAACTGCCAGTTCCTAACCTAATAGGGTGGAACCGTGTTTCACAAATTTAAGAAACATGTTGTCGCTTACGAAAAGTAGAACAAATAAATAGTGATGTGATAGTATTTGTGATTAATTAGAGAAAGAGTGATTATTACGTTCAAATGATAATTTTGTTACTTAGAAAACTGATTTTTAAAGTATTGTTAATTATTTAAAGATTTTTAGTTTGTAAGTACTAAACTCAACGTACAGTTTATAAAAGAAAGCTTATGATTGTAACTTTTCAGTTTACTCAGATTTTATAAATTTTGTTTACTGAAGAGATAAGTAGGTAATAATAAGTTTCACTAATATAAAAAATAGCTTGTCAAGGTAACATAAAATTGATTGTCTACTTCAGTACATTGAATATTTTTGAGTATGATACTAAATTTAAGATTGTAGGAAGACAATTCTACTTGTTATATAAAATATCTTATATTTTGACTGTTTGTTACAATAATTAGAATTAAAAATTTAAATTTAAATTGTTAAAGTTAATTTTGCTATAAACATTAACCGTCTTTGGCGTCAGTCCTTATCATGTTTCGTCAGTCCCTAGATAACTGATTTCAAAAAAACTTGAATTTCTCTTAAAATACATTGTAAAGTGACTGGCCCCTTTAGATGCAACAAAGTAAATATTATATCCACAGTATAGAATCAGAAATTTACTGATAACCATCTAAAAAGACCTTTGTCAAAATTAGGCCATAAGTTAACCAAATTTTGAAGAATCACCCATATCTATTTTATGTCTATTAGTGAAAACCGTAGGAAATTTCGTATAGTAGTTTCGAATATTAGCCCGAACAAACACTAACTCAGCGGGGGACTTTAATTTAACAAATATTATTATGTAGTAAAGTTAAAAACTTGAATGAAAACATTGGAGAAATGAATGGTAAACTTTTTGGATAAGATAGAATGTAACGACATAATATAGGCTTGTGTATGGATAGTCTTTTCTTTTTCTTATTGGCCTGACCCAAGACTCGAATTCAAAACTTCCGCATTTAACTATACATCAATTAAGCAATTCAGTTAACTGAATTAAAAAACAAACCAAAAGTATAACCAATGCAAACATATCCCAACCGATAATCAAATCCCCGACCTCGGATAATAACATAACTTCCAACAGAATTAATATCTTTCGTTTATTGGTAAATATTATATGAAAATTTTTCATTTACATCTTTATATTCTTACTTGGGTGCCTCAATTCGTCTACTATCCATATTCCTCTGCCATACCACCCCGAAGCCGCCGACGTCAATAGTACCCTTTATTGCCACTAAAGCCATAGCACCCACCATAGATGTCATTTGAATGACATCCGTCCATACCACAGCTTGTAAACCACCCTTAAAATTTATATATATATATATATATATATATATATATATATATATATATATATATATATAATAAAAAAAAATCATGATTAGACCATACTGTCTGTATGTTAAAATAGTTAACTAAGTGAAAATATTACTCTACAGACTACATCTTTTAAAACAAGTTATGACAATGAATATTCAAATCATATATTATTGTTGCATATTTGGAACTAAACCAACAGCTATAAGAATTTTGTTATCTTTTAACCATACTATTTTAATTTGATTCGCATTCGATTCATTATCGAATTAATATCGATAATAATAAAAAATAATAGCGAAAAAAAACAGGGTACCTATATCTAAATAGGTTATATTTAGATATACCATGTCTTTTTTCGCACTCCTATACAAATCAAGATATAAATGCAGATATGACCAAATCGCAAGCTAAAACTATTAAATTATGTACTTAATAAAATCGATACTTACCGCACTAGTGTAAAATATACAAACTAAGCAAACAATGGGCGTTATTACGTGTATATCCACTCCAGTCACTGAAAATTATATATTAGAATTCAGTATTAATTCGTTTAATTCCTAATTTTATCGTTAGGTAATATTATACATAAATCCTTACCTACCTTGATTAAAAGCCAAAGCCGGCACATATATGACTATCGGTAACCAGCACACCTTAAAAAATAATTTAAACACAGTTAAAAGCGCAATATTTATAACAAACGACTTACGTGCCCATATACGTTTTAATTTTTTAGAGCGGAACCCTAATTTTTTTTTTCTAAAATAAAAGTAGCCTAAGTTACTCATTATAAAATCAGCCATCTGCCAGTGAAAGTCGTATCAAAATTAGTTCAGCCGTTTCGAAAATCAGCCGGAATAAACAGAAAGACAGACAGACAAACAAAAAATTTAAAAATTGTGTTTTTCTAGTATGTAAGTATATAACTCAATGTGCATTTAGTATAAAACTGTTATTTTGACATTATAAACAGATACTTAAATTTTATTTATCTATATAGATAAATATATTATTTATTTCTCAATGTGATGAAATGTGAATACTAACCAACGTAAAAGTGAAAAGTATGGACCCGAATAACCGCACTTTGTTGTCAAATCTCAGCGATAAGTACTGAAAATGTAGAGATTTTTTGTGTTATTAATAACTTTACTTTAAAGTCATTCTTATTTTCTTGTTTTATATGTATATTCCATGAACGAATTAACCACGTATATTCATAAAAACGTATGTTTCGTAATTTTTTTATAATTGCAGTATAATTCCATAAGAAAGCTAAGCTTATTCCAGGTACCAAAATTTCCAATCCAATTAGGGATAAACAAGTGAACTAACCTAGTGAACACTTAAAAATCCATGCTAATATTATAATAACATATACTAGCGATATTATAAAGAGGTAAAGTTTGTGAGTTTGTGAGATTGTGAGTTTGTGACGTTGTAGGGGTAAGTAATCTCTGGATCTACTGAACCGATTTAGATGAAATTTGGTAAGAAGATAGTTTCAGACCCTGGGAAGGACATAGGATACTTTTTATCCCGGAAATTATCCCTTAAGGAGTGAAAATGGGGATGAAAGTTTGTATGGGGAATCGAGCTAGGGACGAACCCGAGCGAAACGAGGGTGAGTCGCTAGTAATAACATATTAAGGTTTAACCTTATATGCGCAACCTGAAATATGCACTCATATCTAAATTATTATTATTTATTCTTAAATCATTGGTTAAAATCACTAAATATTCTTTCTCGTGCTATCCTACCAATTAGCATGGAAAAATATTACAAATTTTTGTCGCATCGCAATATGTACCTACCATGCAATTTATAATTGTTTTATCATATTATTTACCTCATAATTAGATGTTATTTTAAGTTCATGGAAAACTGGTAGGTAAACCTGTGTCATAACAATAGTCATGAGTATAATACCACCTATAATATAGGCGTATTGGGTCCCATACATGTACACCTCGGTTGGAGATCCAAGCAATGTTATTCCCGATACAAAACTAAAATTATTAAAGTAAATGTAAATTACTATTTTAAATTAAAACAAAACACATTAAAACAGCACTATGACTTAAGTCGGACCGCCATTAAACGATGGGATCAATAAATTAACTCAAAAAAATTGAATGAAAATACTTTATTTTATATCTGACGAGAGATATCTCATAGTTTTGGAGGTGTTTTAGTTCCAAATATATAGGATATGATTACGCTAAATTGAATTTTACGCATGCTGATATTTCTTTCTTTATACTTACCTTGCTACTAATGACATAGAAACTGGAAAAACCTTCATATTTCTACCTCCAAGGAGATAGTCATTTTGTGTAGTTTGTTTCTTAATAAATCCCCAATATACACCAACAAAAGCACTAATTGCTAACATAAACACAAATACGATATAATCTATCCAGGAAAACTTTTGCGTTTGATATATTATCATATCAGAGACATCAGTCTCTAACTCATTCATTTTGATGGTCCTATATGAGAGGTTTCGCCTCGACTCTACTATCTACTGGCTATACGAGTAGCACTATAAGCTGAGATACAAATTCAATCTGTTACAATGAAACAATTACGATAACTCGCAATTTAAAAGAGGATGTTGCGAGAGCCCCTCCAATATAGTTACCAGTACTGAATCGGGAACTGACTAATACCTACATATTTTAAACTTCAAGGTTGGATTAACAATGTATTGGTTTAGGAGTCTCGTGTTAATAGTTTAGGGGGGCGCTCATTAAAATCAAACATTTTAAAAGTCAAATATATTTACGTAATTACTACCCAATGATAACGATAAAGAAATTTCGTAATAGGTAACGAACAGGTGCTATAAAACTTACCCCTTTTATCAGCAACTATAATAATAGTGAAAAGTTTCTTACCAATAAAATGGTACATGAAGAAGGGCAAAACACGGACCATAATAAAAATTATAAATATTTTATAATATAGGTAAAATATATTTTTTTAATATTATTTAACTAGGTACTCAATAATTTGTAAGATTGCTTAATTTTTTATTCGTACTTTTTACGATTTAACTCTTCGACATACTTAATTATAATTTTACGACGTAATTAAATTATAACAGACCTATGTATATTTGTTATCTTTAATTTTTATTGTCCAAATTGTTCCTAATGACATCTTTCTGTAAAATATTGTATTTTAAATCTATACTTATTATAAAAATAAGTCCCCCGGCCGCGTCTTTCTGTCCTCCTGTCTGTCCTCCTGTCTGTCTGTACGCGATAAACTCGAAAACTACTGAACGGATTTTTATACGGTTTTCAACAATAGAAAGAGTAATTCTTGAGGAAGGTTTAGGTATATAATTTATTATGCTTTTATGTAAATTAGCTGAAATACGGCGACAAATGTTGAAGAGGTCGCAAAAAATCTCGCCAAATGGGAACTTTCCACGCGAACGCCGCGTAAACTAGCAAAGATACAGTTAAGTAATGTACTAGAGAATTCAAAATCTATAAAAATGCTACAAAAAAGTCCGCGATAGCATATCTCTATCTCTTACGGTTGACTTACAATAACCACTTTTATGTTAACATTTTTAATTAAAAACATTACGTTATTTTCAAAGTTATTTTCTTTAGTTCGGTATTAATCCTTATCCAAATGAATATTTTAGTTAGCTTAGTCATTTAATGCAGATTAAAATTGCTCTTTACACTAAATCAATCAGATGAATAGTTTTTGAGATATCGTTGTTAGAAGTAATTAGTAGCGAAACATTTTTAATGCTTGGCGAGCATTGAGATGCCTACGGCGAGTCCATCCCCTCTGCCCCGCATCGCTCGACCGCCTGCTCAAGCTATATAAACCGGGCGATGTAGCGCGCGATCCTAGGATACTTTTTACCGCGGGAAAATATCTTATTTCTGAGGAAAAATACAAAAACTGCAATGTAAGAGTATACTAATATGTAACACCTAAGAATTTAGTTTTTGGTCATCTGAACGCGGGCGGAGCCGCGGGCAATGCTAGTACTAAATAAAAATATTATATGGAACATTTGTAATCGTCAAGTCCTAAAACTTTTAAAATTTTCTTGGCGCGCTTATATATAACTATAAGTCATAGACAATATTTAAAACTTGTTTCACAATGTCGTCGTCAAACGTCACAAGCAAAACATAGTTCATCATTAATAATCATAAAAATTATTTATGCGATTCTTTTAAATTAATAATAATTATAAGAAGTATAACTTCAAAAATATTCACCTGTAGATGATTTGCCACTTTCTGTAAAATGGTCTCCACATATCCTTAAATATAAAGATTGTGATTTCGCCACTTCTAGTCGTCTTTAACCCTCAATTTCTTCAGGTTTTTGTCTTTTGAGAATAAATGATAGCCATTTTCTTTGCATCTTTTCACTGCACAATCATTTCATTATGATAAAATGTTAAATAAAATGAAAAAATCCATCCACGCCATAGAGCTTTACTAATATACTGAGGATCATAGTGATTACGTCATCTAGCGGAAGAAAATGGCAAAATTCTCGCCCCCATAAACATTGTGACATATTATGTAGAAAATCTGTAAGTGTAATCTGTATAATCTGTGAATTAGAATATAAATTATAAACATTAAACATTTATACAAATAATTTGATGTGATTTATATTTTATTTTGAATTTCATAAATTAATGAAATGGCTGGCCTTTTATTAAGTGCTACAGAAAAAGTGTATATATTACACGGTGTTCAGGTAAACAATAAACTTTGTATATTTTAGGTTACTTAAAAGTTGAAAGTTTCTTTTTGAATAACTGACTTTAAAGTACTAAAACTTTTACATTTTTAGGATGATTATCGGTCTGACGGAAGAACAAATATTGACTACAGACCTATGGAACTTGAAACAGACGTAGTTAGTCATGCTAGCGGTTCAGCAAGACTTCGCCTTGCAAATACCGATATCCTCGTTGGTGTGAAAACTGAGATAGACTCGCCAAAACCTGATAAGCCAAATTTAGGGAAAATCGAATTTTTCGTAGATTGGTATTTCATTTTAAATGTTGTTACAATTTAAAATATTTTGAAAAAAAAATAAATAATAATGTACTAATTTATATATTTTAGTTCAGCAAATGCTACTCCCGAATTTGAAGGTCGAGGGGGAGAGCAACTTGCCAACAGTATTTCAAATATGATGCAGAGAGCTTATCATTCTTCAGATGCTTTCAATTTGAAGCAACTGTGTATATTTGAGGGAAAACAATGCTGGAAACTTTATGTTGATATTTTGGTAAATAACATTATGGTAATGAAATAGTATCAAACACCAATTAATTAGTAATATAAACTATTATATTATATCTATCCCAATCTTCAAATAACTAAATGAATGCTTTCAACATGTTATAAATGTCCATAAATCTAGATTTTAGAATGTGGAGGCAATCTCTGTGATGCAGTGTCATTGGCAGTGAAAGCTGCATTATTCAACACAAGGATACCATTCGTTAAAGCTGCTCTTATGGATGGAGGAAATGTAGATCTGCAGCTATCCGATGACCCATATGACAGTAAACTATTGGATGTTGGAACTGCACCTTTGCTTGTAAGATTTAACATAATATAAATAATTTTTTTTTAACTAAAATGGTACACAGTTTATATGGAACCAGTCTTAAAGTACAAGACCTTTTTATAAAAAGACTAGCGGCTTACCCTCACTTCGCTCGGGTTCGCTCTAGAAAAACAAAAGCAAATGTATCCCTCGGGAACCGTATATTTTTCCGGGATAAAAAGTAGCCTGTGTTATACCAGACTATAATCTATCTCTGTGCCAAACGTCGTCCAGATCCATTCAGCCATTCTGGCGTGAAAGAGTACAAGTATACATTCTTACAAACTTTCTATATTATAATATTAGTAGGATTATTTTATAATATTAGTAGGATTTTAAATGTTTATTTTATCAATGGCGAAGATATTGTGTGACACACACAAAAATGAAAATCACATATACCTTAGCATATTAGTATATATAATGATCACAGGTAGTTTTAAAAAAAAATTACATAAATGTGCTTGAACAGTTCTTATGCTTAAGTTTAGAAGTTTTTAAGCATTATTGCTAATACATTACCTATAGATAATTTAAAGTAGAAATAATACTGAATTTCAGGTAACATTATGCAAAATAGGTGACAAATGTGTAGTAGATCCATCTGCAGAGGAAGAAAGTTGTAGTGTAATATCACTTATTGTAGGGGTCACTGGGAACCCTACATATTATAGTAGTGAAACAAAACCTGCTGATGTCAAATGTAAATGTAGCACTATTGGGATGAATGGCCCAGGAAGTGTGGCCCCAGAGACATTTAAAGAAGCTATTAATCAAGGAATGTAAGTATTTGGTGAAATGAAAAAAATTAATAAAGATTCTGTTTAGATATTTTATTAACACCTCCAGGTAAATTTCTAAGAAATTAATTAAATTTAAAAAAAATCTATTGTTAACTGTAACATCGGCGTGTCCACGGACGGTCATGGAGGGATTAAAATGCACACAATGTATACAGATAAATAAAATTGAGGTATCTGTTTGTAATGTCAACATAATTTTAGTAAATGCATATGAAAAAAAAAAACCGAGAAACTCAATGGTAAGGGTTAATACATGTATTATTTAATGTTATTTATTTCCAGCATTGCAGCAAAGTGTCTAGATGAAGCTCTAGGTAAAACACTTATACGGGAACGAAGAGAATGTGATACTTTCAAAAAGAACTCATATGGATTTCTTAAATAAACTATACATTTTAAACTTACTTTTACTTCTTGAAAATGTTATATTTTTTTTACATTTTCAGTATTTTTCAATATAAATTATTTTCTATCCAGTAAGCATGGAACTCACAACTCACTTTGACTAAATGTGAAGTATCAGGACACTAATAAGAATGAGGAAAAATAAAATAGAAATTTGTCATTAAACCTTTATTGAAATGAATACTTTGCACTAATGATACATCAATGATACTTATATCACAATCCAAATATCACCACCTCTATTAAAGAATAAACTTTATGTCAACTATGAAAGACAATATTTCAAATACTAAAGCCAATTAATATGGAATGTTTTTATTATTATTATTTTCACAAGATAATGAAATCATTAAACACTGTTGAATAATAGATATTACCAACACCATAAAAATAAACTGTACCTGCATATAAGGGTACATTTAAAAGAACGATTAATATATTTCAAAAGGCAAGTATAGCTCTAAAATCTATGAATATACTTTTTATTTTGCCTAAAATCATAGCTGCTAACTAAATTTTTAAAAAGTCGTTTTATTTATTTAGAAGAAAAAACTAGCTATAACTATATAGCTTTTTGAAACTAACAACAACGACATCCTAACCAGAATAATAAGATTATAAGAATATTTAAAGCATCACAAACATTAATACCAGTTACAGCTTTATTTTTGAATATTTTTTAAGTTAGCAATATATAACTTTGTCAATGATTATACCAAGTCTCAGACTAAAAGAAAATCATTAATTAAAATCTAATTTCCCTGTGCCCATAGTATTTAAGGCCGCAATCGGAAACCTATACTCATTTTCATTCTTCTTTATATTTTTCTTTTAATCTGAGATTGGTTTGTAAAATGTAAGCTTTCTACTTCTTAGGATTGACAGGTGTAAGTAAGTCAAGAACTGCGGCGATATTTCCATTCTTGCTTTCTAAGAGCTGTGTGAGCCATCCACCCTCGTTGGTGAAGCCCATGGCCATCATCTGCTCGATTGCTACATCAATGTGGACTACTGGAATAAATCAAGAAAAATAATATAACTTCATTTTCAATTCAATTAAATATATTGAGACATAGTCATTAACACACAGCACCATCTAGTTCCATGGTAAGCTACGAGGCTTGTGTTATGGATACCAGATAGTTAATACACTACACATATAACTTTAAATACATACATATTATAAATATAAACTCCCATGACTGGAGTACAAACAGTCATGCTCATCACACAAAGGAATGCCTCCAGCGGGACTCAAACCAGCAACCGCTGGTACAGCATGTCACTACAAACTGAGCCAAACGTGTTGTTCAAATAAAGAATGTAAAAGTCATACATTAATATTGGTGGTATTACCAAAGCGGCGATGTGGTAACTAATCCTTGACGAATTGCACAAAAACATACAACATAATGTATAGTCGCTTCGCTTGGATGCATCTCAAGGTGACCTCTGTTTTTATAATATTAAATACATAAAGCGCCAGTTTTTGGCAAAACTTATTTCCAGCACTAGCCTATGTGATAAAAACATACTTACAAATTTTCCTACTTGTCATTAAATATACATTTAAACTCTGTGAAAAATTATTTTAAAATAATCTTTTTTTTTTAATGAAAATAAATGATAATGCTAATTCGTGATAAGCAATTATATCGATAACCTACTTGTTTTTTGTTTTAATATGACTCGCAGGCATTTATTAGTCACATATCTGCATTAATATACAATTATCTTTAGATAGTAAGTAAAATATTAATTTACATGTAATATAACAGAAGTATGTTTTGTCTGATCTGACACGGTCTCAGCTGAAATTTTAATATCCTATTTTAACAAGAAAGGGCTTTTATGAAATTCATTCTCGTATTGATGGCGAAGGTTTTGTAGAGAACTGTCATGTGGCAATTTAATAATTATAAGATTAAAAATAGAAAAAGATTTCTAGAATAAAAATAAATAAGTTTGTATGTCTTTATGTACTGTTACTAATAAAATTTTCCAAAATGTGTCGCTGATTATATGTATATAACACTAATGCCCTACCCTCGTCCGAGAGCGACCCTACATGCCTATGTAAACAAAATATTGGTGTGTTACTCTAGATAAAGTCTACTTTTGTGCTAAATTCCATCGAAATCTGTCCATCATTAAAATGTGAGAAAGTAATTCACACACAAACACTTGTGACTGTCTTAATTTGTTTTTTTTTAACAATGTAATATAAATTAACCTTTAATTTCTACTATAGCATTTATTGTATTATATATTTATTGTATTATAATGTACTTCAATTTTATATATATTTATATATAAAATTGAAGTACATTTTTTTTTGTTTGCACTTATCTCTGGAAATTTCCATTGTTCAATTTTTCATATTTATAAATACTCATAAAAAATAAATTATACAAGGGGAACCATGGGCAAAAACTATATGTAATTTTAAACTCACATGGATGACGCTTCCTTGGTTCCTTATTATCTGCAGGAGCAGAAGGGGCTGCTGTATTAGAAGCTTGAGAATCTCCCGCTCCCTGTGGCTGTGGCTGAGTGGGAATGGTTGATTTCTCCTCCTCTTTAGGATTCAATACTAAATATTAACAATTTTGTTAATGACTATAATGTTTAATGAGCACAAGAGCATATTATAGCATGTTGATGATTTATGATTCAGCATTTTTTATCAATAAAGCCAACGTGTTACTAATAAATGCAGGAAACATTAATATGTATTTGTTTCTGATTAAACAAAATTAGAACACTGTACACAAACAAATTCATACATACCTAGCGACTCACCCTCGCTTCGCTCGGGTTCGTCCCTAGGTATATTTTAATTTTCTTGAGCGAAACCCTAATTCTTTTACTGAAATAAAAGTAGCCTAAGTTACTCCTTATAACATCAACTATCTGCCAGTGAAAGTCCAGTCAAAATCGGCCCAGTCGTTTCGGATTAGTCCGAACAGACAGACAAACATTTTAAAAATTGTGTTTTTGTTATAAATACCGTATTTAATTCCATATGCATTTAGTAAAAAGCTGTTATTTTGACATTACAGACACTTCAATTTTATTTATCTGTATAGATAAAACAATCTGAATCTAGAACATTTATTCAAACTTCATTTTAAAGTCAAACTTACATAATATATACTTCCACTTTAATATTGGATGTTTGAAATTAAGATATATTATGATTTTAAACCAACATCAAAGAAGAAGGTACTTTTTGTGCATACAGTATGATATTGGGTATCTACACCGATTTACACGATCCTTTGTAAATGAATAGAATAAGCCTCAAAATTTCACAACTAAAAGTCGACTTGTTGTAAAATAGATGTACTTTCTTATATAAAAGTAATAATATATCAGTAATTTTAAACAACAACATACAAATTACAATGACGCAATCTGTGATTCACATGTCAAGTGACCTGGCAACCTCACGAGACTTTATTTTTTATTTTAATTCTGCCAATTCATTACAATATTTTCTAGTAATTTGATATAACACATATTAGTTTTTAAGTTTCATCCACGTTTTTAATAAACGTATTTTATTAAATGAGCAATTCTTACATATATGTACATATATATTTATTTCCTGTATCTCAGAAACGGCTTTAACGATTTGGATCAAATTGTGTTTAGAAGGTTTTTCTTTTCAAAATTCTGTCTTTATAGGTATCTTTTTCGAAAAACGCGAAGGTCGGTCGCCCAGGTACTATGATTATAAGCAAGCAGACATTTGATGACGAATATGGATAATCAAAATCATAAACAACTTACCAGCTGTTGACATATTCAGAGGTGGATAAATGTTTTGCTGTTCAGAAATATTCATGCGCGCTTGGAACTCCTTAGGCAGATTGAACCCAATAGCTGGTGCTTCGTTTGAGTCAACCTTTGTGTCTTGTAAATCTAGAAAACAAAATTATGAAATTATACTTACATATGTTATAAAAGCCTACAATATAATAATAAATAATTTGGTCAATACAAAAATTTCTTATTAGTGATATTTTAGTGAGGTCCCCAATTGTCGATATTATTTGTTATTTATGAAGATTAACAAGAACAATCAATTCCATACCTTTTTCTTTATTAATTACAGTCCATCCATCGACTTTGTCCTTCTCTATTTCAGGAGTTGGCTCTCTTTTAGATTCCTCTGACGATGATGATGATGAAGAAGCCTCTGATTGTGTGTTCTCTGTATCTTCTGGCACCGCTCTATCCCCCTGACCCATTTCCACATCCATATTAGTTGGCTTTTGAGGCTCAGATTGGGTATTTGTAGCAGAAGTAGATGGCTTATGCAGACCACCATTCAAATAGGCACTCAGCAGTTTCTGAATGTTTTGAATATCTACATTCTCTGCAATGATGGGGCATTGCTGTTGTTGAGTACTTGATTGTTCCTTATTGGGATTTGGATTGTTGGGATCAGCTTGAGCTTTTGATTCTTGAGGATTATCAGATTTTTCTGTTTCAATATTGACATCTCCAGCGAGGTTTGCAAATTCATTCATGTAATTAGCAAAGGTTTCCAGCCAGGTCGTGCGAGTGCGTCGATGGTGTTCGCGATCACCACTGTGGTGGCGATGACCATGGCCATGACCATGGCCGTGGCTATGTCCATGACGTTTCCTCTCGCTGCTTCGTTCTCGTCGTTGTTTCTTGTGTTTCTCATCAATGGTACTTAATACAGTTTTCAGGAAGTGATGAGACCTCTTAATGGCTGCTTTAATGACAGTATGCTGTGAAGAGAAAAATTTGTTAAAGTTATATTTTCTGATTTATGATAATTTAGAGATCATGGTAATTGTAAACAACCAGTGAACAATATCCATAAATATCTTTCATTTTAGAATTTTCCATCATCCTATGTCTGGCTTTGTTGTCTACATTTTTTACTTGGAATACAGTATTAAATTATGACATTTGATATAAAATAATGTACAACAAAGAACAAAAAAGTAAATACAATAAAAATAATTATTTTATATCACAATTGAGATTAGGTTAACTTAGTTTTAATAGAAATGTTATCTTTTGGAATGAGTCACAAGTAATGAAGTGGAAACAATAAACCTTTAATAATAATAATAATTGTAATTAATGACCACTATGTATGTATAGAGTATAGACCTTCATATCTCCTTCATTTAGTAAACAGACCTACTTATACAGAAATTATAGCTTAATGGTAATATGATAAGGGCCTTGAAACTATTTGACATTTAAAAAAAATATATATTTAAAAAAACTGATTTAAATTCATAGAAAGAATTTTGAAAACAACAATACTACCTCTATAATCTTCAATGATATTGCAATTGTTTTTAATTTCTGAAAAATACTTTTTGAAAGCTACTCAATGGATTTTTGTATAACTTGGAAATATGAGAGATTCTTGATTCACTACTTTATAACACCTTTTATTACTTACTGGCATATTAGGCATGGGCACCCTGACCATGCAATGCTCAGGATGCAAGCCCGCACCTTCACATTTTGAGCACAAGTCATAATCATCGCATGTTGTACACTTGTACCTGAATCCCACCACAGGCGATTCACATCCATCACACACTACACCACAATGTGGCATAGGCATAGTTGATGATGAGCATGCTGTATAAAAGATTATAATGATTAATACAAGTAAATTTTTTTTAATAGGAAATGGTCATAAACCATATGGTAATACTTTATCATAGTAAAAATAAATTCTTTTGACAATTTTAAACACTAAATACAGTCATAAAAAACTTTATAATAAATTTGCTTGTCATGAGTCTTATTGTCTATGTATTTCATCATACTGTACTTACCATTATTAGTGACGGCAGTTAACACTATATCACACTCATCATCTTGAGGCTTTTTATCCTTACAGTAGATATGGAGTTTCATTAGGTTTTGGGCCTGCATGGCCACTAATGCAATCATAACTTCATTATCAGATGATATGGTAACATCATCACCTTCCTCATCTATAAATAATAAAAAGAATAATTATAACAATAAAGGAGAAATTAAACTGTCTATTTTTATTATATTCACCACAATATTTACATTAACATTATTGTAATGATGTTTTGTTTATTTCAAACAAGAGGGTTAGCAATAAAGAATACAACATTTACCTTTCCATGAGACATTGTAGTACTTATTTTTCAAGCCAGGGAATGCTTCTTGTAATTTGGCATTTAAATAATGGAAGCTGGTTACAACACTCTTTTCAATTCCAAATCTTCTTACTTCAGGTTTTTCATTTTCATTCCAATAAGTGAAAACTTTAAATGGTACTAGATCCTCCATATCTAAAATAATAAAGTTACTTTAGAAAATAAGTCTGAAAAATATAACTTTCAAAAGTTAATTTGAAGTTGAGACTTGAGAGGCCATTTTGTCGTGTGAAAATATTGAACAATGCACTAGCACACTAAACACCATTTATTACAGGCACAAAAATGCGTCAAGCCGGTTATATATTAAATCTAAATTAGAATTTTGAGTTGCTTTTGGAACCATGTTTTGATCTTGTACATATTTAAAATTATGAAATGAAAATTAATTGCATTTTATAATGTTCTTTATGATTTATATCATTTTAAATAACTTACTTATAGTTTATATTTCTCCACACAAAATTAAACAGCTTCACGTTCAAGCAGATACAATATTCCAAAGTGAATGTTTGTTATTGCGCAGCGTTCTACTATTTATAGAAACAACAAAATGAATCATCACTCATCGAAGCTTGGAGAAAACAAAATAATATGGTGCAATATAAAGCGGCTCTGTCAAATTGAAATTGTCAATGTCATCCAACAGCGAGCTACACGTCATAGGTAAATGTTATATCTATGGCACCTTTTTATCCATACTAATATTATAAATGTTAGAGTGTGTTTGTTTGTTTGTCCTCCTTTCACGTCGAAACGGAGCCAGGGATTGGCGTGATTTTTTGTGTGGAGATAGTTGGAGGGCTGGAGAGTGATATAGGCTACTTTTTACTGCGGGAGTTTACCTAATTCCTACGGGAAAACACTTTATAATACAATCCAAAATTTTTGATCAGAATTACTTGAATCTTGGTATTTATGCTCTTCAATAAGATTGAATATGTTTTAGCATTTTTCGAAATTCATCCTTCAAGGGGGTAAAATAGAGGATGAAAGATTGTATGAAACTACCTTTTTAGAGATTTTTTTGTAGTTTTAGCGCGAGCGAAGCCGTAGTCTCTGCTAGTAATACAATAAATAAGTCGAGAGATGTCGTGGGACAGGCAAACCGGTGGGAGTATGCATGCATGTATGCCAATACGCCTGCAAAAAGTAGAGTGCAAATGAATTTCTTACAACATAAACTCCTAACAGTTATGATCATCTGGTAACGGGCTGGTGTTTAAAATGACATGTTCAATTGGGATGTTCTTAGTAAAAAACAAGCCAATTTCTAAAAAAGAAGCACAATTACCCTTGCTTCGCTCAGGTTCTTAGGTGCGTTATCTATACATACATAATAAAATTGTAACTAAGCCGAATCTGTATATTAAATATTTTTTGAAAAATCTTGTTGAAATAGATATTATTATCGATACAGAGGCCGAATCTATAGTTTTTAGAATTTTTGTTTGTCTGTCTGTGACCGCATCACTGAAAAACCGCTGGTGGGGTTTTGATGAAACTTTGTATGATGATAGCTGGTTATCCGGGTCAACATATAGGATACTTTTTATTGCGATAAAATATCTCATCTCTGACAAATCTATACTAAACGTTAAAACGTAAGTAATGGCGAACCCGAGCAGATCGAGGGTGAGCCGCTAGTCAGGCTCTTAAATCCAATTCTAAAGTATTTCAAGCTCAAAGTAATTACTAGTAGCCATTGAAAAGTTCCACTATTCAACTTTTGGCCTCACCATCAGATCAGCTCGATGATACCAATTAACTATATTATCATCAGAAATGCAAAAACTTGCTATGTTTCAAGTCGATAGGTACGATAATAAATTATTTACAATTTCATGATATTTTCTCGAAAACAGTAAACTCTGTGTCAAAAATTACGGGACCACCTAGGGACCTATTTATAGGCCACCCCCCGAGCAAATGACCTTCAAAGTTCAACAAAAGGCTCCTTCCTTACCTCTAAAAAAGATCTTAATAAATACTATGCATCTATGGAATAACAGTTAAAACAATATTACGCGTGTTATAAAATATAGACCATAAAATTTATAGAGGCGGTAGTTATTTTTCACCGGTTAACCGAAACCGAAATATTTTATTATATTTATAATATTTTATATTTAGTAAATCGGTTAGAATCATTTCAATCACACACAAAATGACTATATTTTTTATTTATAATTTCTAGAATATTTTTTTTATTTTCATGAAATTAAGGGAATTTAATCTTTTAAGAAATTTAAAAAGAAGAGAAATTCAAAATAAAAAACGAAGAAAAAGTAAAAAACAAAGTATTTTGCTAATAACTTTTTGTTCGAAGTTATTGTAAAAAGTAAAATTTATAAAAGTTTTAGATTTTTACTAGACCTACAACTTTTGTACAAACCATTTTGTACCATTTCTGGGGGTAGCTGGGCATCGGGGGCATTTTACGAATTCCTATTCTTTATATAGCTGCTAACATTTTAAAATCATAAACTTCAGGTTTTCAATAACTTTTTTTCTCTTAAAAATAAAGTCTCCGATTGGTCTAATAGAAGACTTACTATTTACTAATCACAAAATAAAAGTTGTTGAAAGTTAATGAAGTTTCCTAGGTATTGAGAAAAATAGTAATTAACAATGTTGACGAGAAAGACTACATAAGTAGTATGGTTAATATTCAATAAAATTATAAAATTCAGTTTTAAAACACATAAAAACAACACATTTAATTAGAACACATTTAATCTGATCAATTTTACTGTTTATGACAAACAAAATTTGTACAAAACACAAAAATATAGTTTTTAAATAGAAACAATTTTTATTGTAATTCCTATTTTTAAAGCGAAAAATAAATAATAAACACTCTTTACTTACAAATTACATAAATGTATACTATGTTTCAGGTATATTAAAATAATTAGTTTTACTAATCTTGATGTTGCTTTTCAAGGCCATTTTTGCTGTTTTCTGCAAACTTCAATGGCCCACCAAGTTGTACAGTTTCAGGAATACATAGTTCTTCATTGAGTTTTTTCGCTAAGAAATATATTTCAGCCAAAGCAATGACTAATGCGCACATGACACCTAGAAGCAACCTGAATCCAAAGTCCAAGTTCCCAACCATCCATTCCACTCCTCTGAATCCAAAAAGAAACCCAGCAAATATTGAAATTATAAACTGTCCAATAGCTATGAGTTGGCGGTTCATTTGTTTCACTGAAAACAAAATAAATTATAAGACAAAATAATACATTAATTTATATAAAAATATAAATGTTGCTTTTTTATAACTGCCTTTGCAAAATCATTGTATGTTCACTGATTATTTTGGAGTTCTGACACTTGAAAGTTTTAGGTGGAAACATTATTATGCTATCGATTTTATTGTATTTCACCATTAGAAGGCACTGCATCTTGTACTCAGTTTAACCAATTGCCATTAATAAATTAGAAATTTTAAAAACCCCAGACCATCTTGGACAGATTTTTATCAGCTAAGAACACTCCCAACTAATTCACCTTTCAAACAAAAAAGCAATGTCAAAATCGGTTCATCTGTTCGGGAGCTACGATGCCACACATAGACACGTCAAACTTAAAACACCCCATCTTTTTTAGTTTGGGGGTTCAAAATAGACATTTGTATTCATTGATTGTGAATATTTTAGTGTAGATGTAGAGATTTAATAGACAAAGGCTTTTGTAAAACATAAATTAATACCTACATTGATATGAAATACTATCTTCAGGAAATCTCATTCTTACATTATCAACACCTTTTGTCATTTTTCTATACTCTCGAGCTTCTTGCTGTGATCTCAATTTGACACATCTTGCCTCTAAGACTGGGTTCCTCTTAATCATTTCATTTTTTGGAACTTCAATATGAGCATCTGCTAGAAGAGTATGTAGGTATGGAGTGTCTTTGTCACCATTAGATCTCTTAAGCTGAAGATAATCATATAGCCAGTTTAAATCAGCTCTAACAAGAAAAACTTCATCTTTATGTTTTTCGTTACTGTCTTCCTTCAAATTTTCTTTTTCATGGTTTTTATCATTTTTTGCAGATGTTTTAGATATATCATCCTTATCTTCTTTATTTATGCTTTCCTTCGAAAAGTCATTTACATGATTATCAGTGTCTTTTTCGGCTGATGCATTAGAAATATTAATTTTATCACCTTCATTTGTACTTCCATTTGAAAGATCTCTTACATGATTGTTAATGTCTTCTTCAGCAGATGCTTTGGAAATTTTATCTTTATTTATGCTTTCCTTTGAAAGACCTTTTACGTGGTCATTAATATCTTTTTCAGCAGATACTTTCAAAATATTATCGTTATCTTCATATTTTGGAATATCCTTACATGTACTGGTTTTATCACTTTCATAAAACAATTTTTCAATTTTTTTTAGTTTCTCTATATCAGATGTTGTAAGAAATATTGGTTTTTGATTATCAATACTGTAACTTTTAGATGTTCCTTTGCCACCTTTTACTATTTGTAATATATTGTGGGGTAAGTTGTCTGATAAGGGTACAGTTTTTAAAAATTCAAGTAGTTTTTGATTGGGATAGATTTTTAAATGTGTATCAACAAGAGAACCTTTAAGATCCATTGTTAGTTGTTAGTAATATTCAATTTGTGATTTAAGTCAGCGTACAAGTCTCTTAACTCTTCTTCTTTTTCTTCAAATGTATTGTCAATCCTTTGGCACCTAAAGTTCATATCATCAATGAACTGATCCCAATCCTTCTGTCTTCTTTCACGATTTTCAGCCACTTTTTGTTTATATGCCTGAAAATTTAAACTTTTATTAACTTATACAAACAAATCAAATAATTTAATAATGTATAAATGTTATAGGGAAAACCACATAAGTATATTTTTTAAAACAAACATTACTTTTTGAACTTCTAAATATTCTTTTTCAATCTCCTCAGACAGTTTTAATGCTTGATTTAATTTTTCTCCTAAGACAGGTAAAGCAGTATTAGAAGATTTAATTATTTTTTCCACCTGAGTATCCTTTATATCTGTAAGATTCTCTAGAATAGCAAACAAGTTTTCTACTTCTCTGTCACCACGCTTTTCCTGAAAATGAATTTCGGTTCTTCAGTACAATGTCTAAATTTAGACAACAATTATAAATAAAAAAAAATAAGATAATTATTTGTAATAAGTAAATAGTAAAATAAGTTTGTGATAGAGCATTTTGTATAGTAACATGTTTTTTATTAATCTTTTGTAACAAACAAATTTTTCCTGTTAAAGTATTGTTTAAATTACCTATATATACCTTTTATATGAAAATTATAATATACATAGTTACCTCAAATTCTTTCAGCATGAACTTTATTTCACCATTAAGAAATGGACGGTGGTCAAACAACCTCGACCAAACTTGACTAATTTCTAAAACAAATGAATTTATAATATTATGTTCAATTCAACGAAAATGAAAATATAAAATTGACCTACATAATTGTATATAAATTGATGCTTAAATGGTTTTTAAAGAATTTCTGTCAGAAACTTTAGTTATAAAAATTATAATAGTTTAGTAACTTTAGAGAGTGCTGGGAATTAAAATTGATAAATAATAAATATTAAACTCACTGTAAAATCTTACCTCGTGACAGTTCCGTCATTATCAAATATCAACTTTAAAAGTATCTTGTCTATGGTCAGTTACTGACTCAGTATGGTGGTTTGATATTTATTGTACCAAAGTAACGAATCAAAAAACAAATAACAACTAATAATTTTATTTTGTAAGTAGGATGTAGGACCTGAAGTAACATTTAAAAAAATAATTAAATTTATCAACATTGCAAACCAATCACTAGGATTAGCACAGGTCGCAGGTTATTTATTAGACAGGATACATCTCTGCCATGCCAACGGATTCGTGGACATAATCTATTATCTAATTAAATTATTTATATATTTTTTGTAAACTATAAATGGATGGATTTCATAATGTTATAATGTCCACCTTATGTCGATAACATAAAATATGTAGAGAATCTGCCGTAGAGACAGAATTTTAATATTTCAATTAAAGTAATTAATTATTTAAAAAAGTAATGAAAATAGTTTTTTGAATTTGTTTTCGATTTTTTTTTACTTTTTCAGTTTAATCATTCAATGTAGTTGTCTATGACATAAAATTCATTCTTCTTGTCAATTACAATTTCATTCAGTTAAATCTCACATTCAATTATTATTAGTTTATTCATTCATGACCGCTGGGATGGATGTGTATGTTTGCTACTGATGCGAATTGTTATTATTTGCGCAGAAGTGATTTGTGGTAACAATATGTGTTCAATTGGTCGCGAGTTTCGTTTTAGATAACTTTTATCGGTAAATCGTGTACAAAGCTTTAAACGAATGTGATTCTAGACATTGTTATAGTGCAGTTAAATATTGTGGTCATCATGCCGGGTCTTATTGGTATCGGTGAATTTATTGACGAAACTCGAGAGGATTACAGTTCACCAACTACATCTACATTTGTTTCGCGTATGCCACAATGCCGGCAAACTATAAACGCCTTAGAAGAGGTAATTTGAAAAACATTTTCGAATTACTAATATATTGTAGTGCATATATGTTCAGATCCTCGAATTAATTTTTAAATAATAATAATAATAATAGGTACACGGTCATGAAGTTTTTTTTTCTAGACTGTGTGTGATTTTACTGTAAGTCATTTTACATGATTTTTTAAGTGTAGCCTTCAACTGTGGTACCTAACTATATTAGTATTAGATGATAATATGTTTGCAGATTGCTTAAACTTGTATCTACGTCACTTTTAAGATTTAAATTAAAGTAGTTAGTGATTAGATAATACTATAAATCGTTTATGATTAAATGGGTCTTTTATATTATTGCTTTAACTAAGTAGTACAAAATTAGGAAAACTAGCAAATAATAATAGCATGTGATTTAAAATATGAAATTTATAACTGTATATTATTTAATATTAAACTGAAATAAATTAGACTACAATTGCCGTTTGTTATATAATTATATATGTAATATATTAAAGTAATTATAATATAGCATAGCTGACCTGTTAAACTTAGCAATTAATACATAAATTTTATAAAGAGCTTGCTAGTGTTTACACCATATTATATGTAATATTGTTTACATCATCACTAACCTACACAAAATATTGACTCCTTTGTATAAAATGGAAACATATAGCTTGCTTTATGCTTAAGTTTTTGGTTTTTATATTTATAACCTATGGATACTAGAATTATACAGTTTTATGTTGACTCTTTCATTCAGTTTATTGCTTGACATTTAAACTAACTAAGTACTTTGGATTTTAATTAACATCCAAATGTTTTCTGTTTTTTATTTACAGATTTTTAAATTGTTATAAACTATTTGAGCCAGATCAGACTTTGATTTACAGATAAAATAATATAAATAAACTACAGCTCAGGAATCCTGTAAATTAAATAATTATGCTTATCAAATCAACCATTCATCATCCATATATACATATATATCTTTTTTATTAAATTACAAAGCAGTTTTTTTTAAATTAATATTTAGTAAGAGAACTGTATAAATTCTGATATTTTTCATAACAATTAACAAATACTAAATTACATGCATCTACAAATTTAGTATTTTTACTTAAGTAAAGGATAAGTGTATAAATCCAAAAAAATTAGATTGACAGGTGAAATTTCATTTGTGATACAAAACAGCTGATCTTTAGGTACATACCATGCAGCTTTTAAGGGGTAGGTCCAATGTTACCGTTAATGTCAAATAACCCCATTAAACGGGTTTTCAAGGTGAGAAAAAATATTTTTATATTTTTCTTTGTAACAAGCATTTTTACTTCATAGTACTGCATCATCATTCTGTACAAATTATTGTCAAAGCATAGCAAATTATCTCTTAAGTGGTCCAAAGCTACCCAGAATGGCCTTACTATATGTTGTTTCATTAAAATTCCATTACCAGCACTCTTTTTCGTGTTTGTACTTTCATTCTTGTCTCTTTTCATTACCTATACATATAATAAAATTCTGAGTCGAATCTGTACATTAAATATTTTTTGGAAAATCTTATTGAAATAGTCATTATTATCGATACAGATCCCGAATCTATAGTTTTTAGAATGTCTATCTGTCTGTGACCGCATCAAGAGAAAACCACTTGACAGATTTTGATGAAATTTGGTATGATGATAGCTGGTTATCTGGGTTAACATATAGGATACTTTTTACTGCGGGAAAATATCTCATCTTTGAGAAATCTATTCTAAACGTTAAAATGTACCTAGGGACGTACCCGAGCAGAGTCTCTAGTCACTAATAAAAGTCTTTTTAAAGCTTGTGAAGATTAGCCATGGCAAATTATAGTACCTATATAGAAATAAATACTAATAATATATTTATAATGTTAAATTATCTTTGAGAAGTGTTTGGGATGTTTTATATGCGTATGCTATATGTAATATGCATTATAGGGATCATATTTAGTGAGTGATGGCTAAATAGGATTAAGAACGCGATTAAATCTGAAGAAGCATTTAGTACCCAAAAAATAAAAAAAGTGTGTTTATTTTTTGGCGTTTCAAATGTCAATGTCGTACTCCTTACATATTTTGAGTTTCTAAATTCTTATAATAAACTTTCAAACGAAGTCTTTAAAACAAAAGTCTAACATTAAATAAAAATAAGTTTGTAAAAACATGTTTTAGGTAGTTCACCTTTATATTAACTACACGTAATCTACACACTATACATTTTAGATGCCACTAAAATCTGTATTGTAAATTAATCAGGTCAACAACATCTGAGTCATAAGTAATTGAATATGTGGTTATGCACTTTCGAAGTTAGCCATCGTATGTTAGTGGAACCATGTCCATTGTGAGCAAGCCTTATTCTTTCTCACTTATCATATACAATAATTTGTGAACTTTTGTCCTTGATAGCTTGCAAATACATATTTTTTCTCAGAAATGACATATTTTCTTGTACAAGTATCCTATATCATGTTGACCTGGCTAACCAGCTATCACCATACCAAATTTCATCAAAATCCCTCCAGTGGTTTTTATGTGATGCAGTAACAGACAGACAAAAATTCTAAAAACTTTAGATTCAATAAGATTTTCCAAGAAATATTTAATGTGCAGATTCGGCTTTGTAACAATTTTATTATATGTATAGATTTCTAAATTCTAAGTGATATGTTTACGAAAAAAACCATGTAGTTATTAATTTTTTTTTCCACCCCCATTTGACTTGATATTACATACAAATACAGTTTGTCAAATTTCTTATCTGGTTATAGTTATATTAAACATTTTTTTTTCATACACGTTTCTTAGTGTCGCGTCGCCTTCTGACGCCGCACTGCGTCTTATACTGTATACCTCAGTCAGAGCTGTACTACGACAAACTTTCGTTTGAAAATTTACAACATTTACAATAAAAATTATTTACCCAAAAAAGAATTACAAGCTACTTTACACAAAGGTTAAAAATTTTCTTATCAGTTTATTAAATATATGTATTACGTATAAATTATATTATGATATGAAAGTATAATATTATATTTAGTATAACTTTATAATATATTTTTCACTAAATCAAAATTTCTGTTTATAAAAAATACCTTAATAACATTTCTAATGCACCTGAGATGATGACATGTTTACTGTAGGAAAGTCAAACGCACAATGTGAAAATTTTATGCATATAAAATAGTTTTGGACCTAGTAATAAAAGGATGGATACCTTGAATTAAAACTTAAGTACCAAATTAGATCTTTGCGAAATAGCAGATGCGTAATATGTATTAATAATTATGAATATAAGCGAAATATCAAAACCCACATAATCATATTTTTTTAAGCAAAATTTCCTTAATACAATTTCACCGGCGAGTAGTGTAGGATAGGAACAGTCGACAAGAGCTAAGTTTTATTTTGAGAAAATTAATGAAAAATTGAATTTAAATATCAAAATAATCCGAAGATATTTACTAATCAATAGATTATAAAGTTAGCACGATTATAACGTTATCATTTATAGCAATGCAAACATCAGAAAATCCTAAAATTACAAATGTTAGGGCGAATGATTTTTTTAATAAATCCATTAGTCTGGACATTTACATACATATAAAGTTGGCCATGATTAATATTATTAATATTTAAGTCGTATATAGAGTACATACATTTTAAGAAAAACAAATATCCAAGGCTTAGGCGGTGAATTATGATTTTTATAAAGTACTAGCGGCTCACCGTCGCTTCGCTCGGGTTGGTCGCTAGGTATTTTGTTAATAATATTAACAAATATTGACATTAATATTTATACGATAGTAACGTCACTCAATTGTTTGCCTTCCCGGAACCTCTAGACTAACACTTAAACTTTATGGTATGGTATTAAAGTTCAAATTGATTTTTTAGTATTATTACGAATCTTTTGTATGGGAGTGTAGAAAAGTGTTGTTTTTAGACTTTTTCAGGCAATTTTTAAAATTTTTCTCTACGTAAGAACCATCCTCGTACTTCAAGGAATAACCTATAAAAAGAATTAGCGAAATCGGTTCAACTGCTCTCGAGATTAATAAGTATACAGAAAGTACTGCGTGGATTTATGGTAAATGCGATGGGCAACGGCTGCATTGTAAGTTTGAAGACGTGGAAAAAACGTAAACAAATACTTGCCTAGAATGTATTGATTATATTATTACAGCACTAAAACATAATTCGCGTAAATTATACGGTATGTATTGTAAGTGCTATAATAAGATTACAGATGTTTTTTAACAATCTTTGCTGACATAAATTAAACACTTGCATGAAATATTTCTTCATAGATATGACGAAGAATTTCAATATAATCGTTGGCTCACTATTACAAGGTTCTATGTTAAATGTACATACAATATGTATACAATACAATGCGCCCCAAAATCTAAATAAGTTTTATTCAAATAAACTTTTAAAGAGACTTTTGAACCGACAATTTGGTCATTTTAAATTACTATCTTTCTCATTATCCCTAACTAGCGACTTGCCCTCTCTTCGCTCGGTTGCGTCCCTAGGTACGTTTTTTTTTTTGAGCAGAATCATAATTCTTTTTTTTTAATATTTCTTCGTAGATATGACGAAGAATTTCAATATATGTAAGTATAATAAAATAAAAGTAGCATATTATTAAGTTACTCCTTATAAAATCAGCTGTCAGTGAAAGTTCCGTCAAAATGTTTACAGCCGTTTCAGAGATTAAAGTGTGTTTTTTCTTATAAGTAGGTACCTTACATAATTTCATATTCATTTAATAAAAAGCTTTTATGTTGACATTACAAACAGACACTTCAATTTTATTTATCTGTATAGGTACTTATATTAATAAAAACAATCAAATATTAATTTAAATAGTTAATAACCAACAGATTTTTTATAAAACGTATGTGAAAGGGTTTAGTATTCACTTGTGTTTAGTGGCTCACGTGATCTTATTGGGACCAGTTCGACCCAGATCGAAATCTTGTTTCAAGTTTTCTTTTACTTTCTAACAACGTTTCTGAACAAAATTTAAGTAACTTTCGTTTTGCTGTCTATAATATCAATAAATATATGTATAAATACATCTATTTAGATTATTGGCACCACAAATGTTATTTAAAAGATTTCATAGTTCGTAATACATATACCTACTTGGCTAGTAAAAACTATATTATATAGATACATATAATGTAAATAAATATTCGCATAAAACTGTCTTTATTGTAACTAAATGTACAATAACATATCTGACATCTGACATTGTGTATAGTCGACTTGATTAAAATGAAACAACATACATAATTTACATAAATATATGTATTATACATATATTGTATATGTAAATTATAAAAAGTAAAAACATCGTGTAGAGAGTCGTCCTCGAATGCTTGATGACTGCTGGGGTTACAAGGTCAACCGCTTTCGCTATCGAATTTATACGAACATACAACACTTAATCCATTTCCATATTTCATAAGCGCTGTGAAAATCTCGGCTCAAGTCAAGTACAAAGGTCACGGATGCTAAGTTCACTAATTGGCGTGAATGAGCGTTCACTGTGTTATGATTCATGGGTATCGCAATGTTATGCACATTAGTGATTTTTAGTGTGAAATACGTAAGTTGATGTTGTTTAAAATACATATTCAACAAGTTTAAATGGAATGTTTAAAAAAAGTTTCAATAAATACCGAGATTTACCGCGTACCGGTGTACTCTTAGGAGCAACATCTGGTAAATTAATGCTTAGGCAGCAGCTGTTTTTTGTAACAACAAAAACAGAAAACTTTGGAATAAATTAAATCATAGATTTTGTGATACTATGTACTTTTATTGAAATCATAGTGTAAACGTAAACTACAGCGTTGTGTTTTTTTTATTTTTATTTCTATATTTTTTGCATGAAATTTGTTCATAACATTTTGCTGCCTGAGAAGCATTGCTATAAAAATATATTTCCCACAATGCCCACAAAAGAGTTAGAAAATTAAAAATTTTACCTTTGAGTTTTTGATTAGTACCTAATTGGTAAGTTAATTTTTCGGCACATAATAACAGAAGCCTAATAAAATATAACTCATCATTGAATATCCTAAAAAAGTTATAATAATCACATATTATGTAATTTAAAAAAAATCTGGGCATTTTATTTTAACTTCATCATTAAAACTGAACGAATGCAGAAGAGAGTAGTAAAACGTTGTATGAGGGAGTTAAAATAAAAGTTTAATATTTCTCGAAACGACGACAGTTCAGAAGAGTTGTTTTCATATTATATGTGAGTCGGAAAAATAAAATATCTACTGATGATGGCTGTGACTGAAATTTAATTTTTGAGTGGTTTGCCCGTTTGTAACGAGACGAGAATATATTCAAATTATGAAATTTATACTCAATAATGTTATAATGTTTGTTTACATTTTACTGTGCAATTGCTGCCTCGATGGTGTAGTGGCAAGCATGTTCGGCTGCAGATTCCCCGGATCCTGGGTTCGAGTCCCGGGTCAGGCCAAATTTAATTACTGAGTTTTCTATTATGATTATATAATATATAAAGATTCTTAGTAGAAGTTGGCGGTGTTACACCCCCGTGCACGTATAGCCGCCCGTCGGTCCTGCGTATTACTTTCACGTGTTATGTCAAAGTATTGTTCCATCGGGTTTTGAGAATAAAAGGAATAGAGTGCACTAATTTTATTTGCGCGCACACTTGTGCACTATAATATATCTTGCATAGTTGACTAGTCTCAGTGAGATTGGCCGCCGTGGCCGAAATTGGTCAGGAGGAGGCACTACAGTAAGGTAATAAATAAGTTATATATGAAACTAACCATAATGCTTATTGAAAAACTCGTGATTTCGATACCCGTGTTAAGGAGGAAAAAAAGTAAATTATGTTAATAATGTTCTACTAAACACAAAAGTAATCTACACACGCTAGGTAGTAGGCTATTTTATACGGACTCATTCACTGATCCTTAGACCCTTTTTATTTACTCGATATTCAAAGGTATCTATCTATATAGGTACTTTAAAAGTGTAAAAAATAAAGATGGCAAATTACATCATTTACCTCCCTAAAATATGAAGTTTAGTAAGTAAGGAGAATCGTTTACATATTATGTAATTAGATTTAGAAACATAGTCATATAAAATACAAAAGGAATACAAGTGATTTACTCGAAAATATATTCTCTTATGTAAATAGATATAAGAATTGTCATTGTTTAACTTAAATTCAAGTAATCTTATGTAATGCGATTAAATTTTTATTTGTTTATTTCCTGCAATAAAATTAAGTATATAAGTAGTAACTTTATTGGTACACTAATGAAAGTAAGTTACAGGTAAGTTAAGTTTCATATTTTCTACCTAGTTGACTTAAAGTTTTTCTCATATTAATTACAGTTGGAATATCTTGTTTTGATAAAATAAATAACACGTTCGATTACCGTTGTATCAAAGTGTGTCATGCTTCTGACTAAACTATCGATCTCACCGGATATCGCAGATTGAATCTTCTCACAGGGCAAAAGTTTATAATGACCGTAATGGGTGCAAACGTTTGTCCTAAGTTAAATAACGCGTGTAATTAGAAACTACATTTTTTTTTAATAATGGCATATAGTTGCGTTAACAGACGCAATCCATTCTGCCAGTGTCACGTTTTGTGAGGAAGACACGAATGAGATTGAGCGGTAATTTTGAAATTTGGTAACTTTATCTTAGTATGTATTTGTATTATTATAATGTCGCATTGACAATAATGCCACTTCACATTTACACGGTTCCCATGTCAACGTTTTCGTGGACAGTTTTGTAGTAGGTTTGGACTATGGACGTTATTACATGATGTTTTGATTCCAACTTCAAAGAAGAAAGAGGGAGAAGGAGGAGAAGAAATTGTTGGTTATATTGGAATAGTAGTAGTTAACACGTTTGTAAACGGAGAGTAGATGTGATGTCGCTTCGCTTTTTCTTAGCTATCACATTATCTTCCTTGTTTACATATTATATCATGTACATACCTATATAACAATTATTACTTGGTCATAGTTGTAAATTATATATGTTTTTGTGTTTGGAGAATGTGGGATGTAATAAAATGCAGTTGGTACTACAATTTTAATAATATTCGTATGCTTGAGAACACTTCGGAATTCAACGGAACTTTTATTAATTCAATAGTATTATTATTTTATTCAGTCAAGTATTACAAAGATACAACTGGAATACACAGTTTTTTACGCGCTTACATATGAACAAAAATAAAAATACACAGAGTAGTAGTACTATGTACTACATGTCTTATAGGTATATTGTAACATAATTTTGCGTTATCTCTCTATCGAGTTATAATTCGCTGTTATATAATATATGTATATAAAATCTAAGTAAATAATAAATTTGTAAATAAATATAAATATTATGAATGTTAATGTTTGTCAATATGTATGGATGTTTGTTACTCTCACGCCAGAAAAGCTGAACGGATCTGGATGAAATTTGGCACAGAGATAGATTATAGTCTGGAATAATACCTATATAGGCTACTTTTTATTCCAGAAAAATATAGGTACGGTTCCCGAGGGATAGATTTGTTTTTTTTTTTGGGATAGATTTGTTTTTTTTTTTAGAGCGAAGTAAAGGTGAGCCGCTAGTTAATAATATAATAAGACACAATATATAATTGTAGGTCTGAAAATCGATTGATCAGAAAATAAAAACGACAACTGAGCACTCCATATAAAATGAATCTAAAGTAATTTCTTTGACTAAAGTTGAGTAGTGTTCATTTTTTTGAATTCAGTTATTAAAATTTAGGGGTTCTGTTAGATCATTTTTAGGAACGACAGATGTTTGGAGGTCCCTCATTGAATAACTCGTGGATCCCATTGAAAACAGTTCGTTGAGAATGACCGTATCGTTAAAAATAGGGTCAGGGGCTCGCTATAAGAGGACTTTTCATTGCATGGAAAAAAATATTGCAATTTTGTAAAAAATAGTCATATAACTTACATATGTTATTTCACTTATGATGACTTTCATATTTTGTATGTATAGCATTATATTTTTATTTATTTATACTTATTACGAAATGTAATTTATATATACCTTTGTTTATATAAAATCTATATACATATTACATATATAAAAATCAATTGCTGTTCGTTAGTTTCGCTTAAACTCAAAAACAGCTTGACCGATTTGAATAATTCTATTTTTGTTTTGTTGAGGGTGTGTCAGGGGTGGTTTAAGTACAAAAAAAATGGAAAAATCCAAAAGAACAGGTGGAAAATCGAAAAGTTCAGAACTGTTTATTTTGTATGGGAATCACTAACTGTTAAAACGTAGCTAGGGGCTAAAGACGAACGAAGCAAAGATGAGTCGCTAGTAGTAGGTATATAAAAGACATATATTAAAGTAATTTGTTTTAAATCTTTCTTTCAGACCCTGGATTTCGACCGCGATGGCCTAACGAAACTCAAAAAGGCGATAAAAGCTATTCACAATTCTGGAAATGGTAAGATTCTAAACAAACACAAAGATATTCATATTACATTTAAGTATTGATAATATATACATAAGTTACATGCACCCTATACGTTCTTAAGAAAAACCATGTCTAGAGCATGTAAGATAAATTTTTACGGTTTATTTTAGTCTCAGTTGGTACGACGAACTAAGTTATTATTAAGATACGGTACGGCACCGTCGCAGTATTCAAATGCCAGTGAGATAAAAACAGCTCACTTAATGAAACCGTTTTAGATTTTAGGATTTTAGGTTCACGTTCCTTCAAACGACACGACACGAAGCTTATCCGAAAATAGATGTCGAGGAAGTGTTATGAATAGAAAATATATGTAAATACGACGGCCTATGGAAGAGATTTTTAATTTTTTTTTGTCACAGAAATTGTAAAATATTGAGTAGCTTTTATTTACTTTAAATATTATTATTTACCTTAAAATATACAAGCATCTAACAATTTATTTCATACTAGCATTGCCCGCGGCTCCGCCTGCGTTCAGATGACCGAACACCAAATTCTTAGGTTTCACAGATTAGTATACTCTTACTCGTACATTGCAGTTTTTCTCAGAAATGAGATATTTTCCCGCGATAAAAAGTATCCTATATGTTGACCCGGATAACCAGCTATCACCATACCAAATTTCATCTAAATCCCTCCAGTGCTTTTTCTGTAATGCGGTAACAGACAGACAGACAGGCAGACAAACATAGATTCGGCCTCTGTATCGATAATAATGTCTATTTCAATAAGATTTTTCAAAAAATATTTAATGTACAGATTCGGCTTAGTTACAATTTTATTATATGTATGAATTTGTTTGAAACATACAATATGAAATACATATATATGTATATTATGTCATTTCAAATTATTTGTGTCTAACTAATGAAAAAAAAAATCAAATTTATCCCACGGAAACAGTATTTTTCCGGGATAAAAAGTAGTCTTTGTGCTATCCCAGACTATAATCTATCTCTGTGCCAAATTTCATCCAGATTCGTTCAGCCGTTCTGGCGTGATTGAGTAACAAACATCCATCTAAACTTCCGCATTTAATATTAAAATTAATAATGGGATTATTAACTGTAGTCTAAATAATATGTATCTTACGTACATATACTTTTCAGGAAAGTATTTACGATGGAATTTGTTAAAAGTATCTGTCTGGTATATTATTTCTTTGTTATTAAATTGATTGAAATCTTATGGAGAATTGAGTCACATCGCAATAAAGCAACAAACTCAACGAGGTGATAGAGTCGCTTTTTGTTCGAGTTGATTACTTATAATTACGATGTGTTTTCACTTAAAAAATAAACCCGTTAATTGATGAAAGTAATGTAGGGGCAGTGTGGATACAGTAATCAAAACGAAAATATAACTTTCGTTTTTATGCCAAGTCCAAAGCGTTTAGATACGGAGTTTATTGACTTCGCAATACCATCGCGTGCTGAGGTTTGTTTACTGCGTCTGAGCTGAGCTCCGAACTGGTTGTACGAGTTTGGATTGAGCTTAGCCGCAGCTGGCAAGGTCGGGCGCACGCGCCTGCAAAAACAGTCAAACAACCACCGGCATTCCTGCACAATGATGTGGTGTTTAAAGAAGAATAACAATTATGTTTAAGAAAAAAAATGTGCTTGCCTTTGCTTATAATATGATGATCCAATCCTATATCGGTTATGGATTAATGTTGGAAACATTCCAAGGATATATGTACATAAGTGGTTTTCCTTCATTTTTGCATTATCTTGATGTATAGTAATAACAAATTAAGAATTATGGATAATGGTATTTGTTTATCAATGATCGATATTGATTTCGTTTTTATTTCGTACGAAGAAATTTCGTATTAATTAATTTATTATTATTCATACCGAGGTATATGTTAGTATTGCATAGTATTTTTTTTCTAATCTAGTTACATTTAATTATCTTGTTACGCGCTCTTCTTAATTTTTAAATATTAAAATATTATTATGTAATAAACTAGCAATAGCTTATACATGAAGGTTTTTATCACATCTTTATTCATATTATGGCCTTTTCATGTTTGTAAAAGTTTGTGAAGTTTCGTTCAGTCCATACAAAGTAAGTAGTGAAATGACTCTATGAGCCTAGCGGAGAAATTGAAAGGCGTTAGGCTCAAGTATCGTCATTTAATATTCAGAAAGCGTCGATAAGATAGAACCAGCAAATGTGGGCCTCGACACGGATCACCGTCATCGTATCTGTTTGCTCCCACTTGTAAGAGTTTTATATATATATACATAGGCAAATATAAACATATATGCGTATTTGAATTATCGTTCCAGATTTAAGATTTAATGAATATATTTTTTTGTACCTTTTAAACTCATAATTAAATTAAAATGAACGTACTTTTAAATGAACACGTTTAAATTAAATTAGATGCACGACCGTAAAAGGGTTAATTATTTGAACCCTTAAATCGTGTATATATTCGGAATTTCACTTCATTGTCGACCTCTCCATGAGAACTGGGTAATCTGGCTATGTTCTAATTAAATGTCCGACACAGACTAGAGTAACTGCCACTTTATCAAGTTGTACTACATGTTACCGTTACACAGTAGAACTAAGCTGGGAGCTATAATATAATAAAACCCCTATCTTAGTTTAAACTCTATGGACATAACAATTAATGCGTAACTCGCAGTTGTAATCTCTCCTTTTTTTGTATAACTGTTACTGAGAATGTATTGGGGTAAAATAAATAAAATATAATGTGTTTATAGGAAATTTTTAAAATGTATTGCAAATTTTAGCGATTGTATTTTTTTTGTTATCCAGCTCATGTGGATAACGAGATGTATTTGTCACGGGCATTGGAGCGGTTAGGAGAGAATGCACTCAGCAAATATTCAGAGCCTGACATCGGCGCTGCATTTTTCAAATTTGCAGTGGTCACCAAGGAGCTGTCAGCACTCATGAAGACTCTGGTTAGTTTTGTTTTATCTGTTTCCTGTGTATTAGTTACATAAAGGTTTAATTTACTACTTTATTGTGACACTAATTAAGTAAATACGTAAGCATTTGCTCAAGTAGTGCTCGTTGCCTGTTAAATTTGCATATTTATTTTCAATAATTTCAAATCGTAACATACACTGGCACGGCCTAGTTTAAGCTTGTTTGCACATAAAACATTAACTGTTACAGAACGTCAGCCGACATTAAAATTCATGAAATTTTAAGAACTCATTTTATACTAGCATTGCCCGCGGCTCCGCTCGCGTTCAGATGACCAAAAACCAAATTCTTAGGTTTTACATATTAGTATCTATACTCTTACATTACAGTTTTTGTATTTTTTCTCAGGAATTAGATAATTTTCCGCGGTAAAAAGTATTCCATATGTTGACCCGGATAATCAGCTATGACCATACCAAATTTCATCAAAATCCGTCCTGTAGTTTTTCTGTGATGCGGTAACAGACAGACAGACAAAAAATCTAAAAACTATAGATTCGGCCTTTGTATCGATAATAATGTATATTTCAATAAGATTTTCCAAAAAAATATTTGATTACAGATTTGACTCAGTTAGAATTTTATATGTATAGATTAAGCCTCAGTATAGGTACTAAGCGTTCTTATATAAAGTACTTTACTATTAATTGCTTGGAAAGGGAGCTAGAGTAGATTGAAGTAAACTCGTTTGCGAGGAGGAAAAGCGTGTCGCTTAATAAGAAAAATGTTTAATCCTATAAAGTTTTTTTTTGTTGCATCTTGCACAGGTTTAAAAACTTTGTTAATAAACTCTTTTGGGTTTAAAATTTATTATACCTAGATTCTTTATCAACATTTCGTACGTAAAAAAAGACGTAATGATTTGTAAATTCTCAGGTTTTAAAAATATATTATTTAATACGAATAATTTTGAAAGATAACACATGAAATACCTATCGATCTTTCCGGGGATATTATACGAGTCGTGTAGAGGTTTTCTATCATGTAGTGTTATATATTTTAATACAGTATTCTAATAAAATTTTAAATCAGCTAATCGTAATTGTTAACGCTTCTAAAGTGAAAACTGAGAATTAATGAGCTGTTAGAAAAAAGATTCCGTACGATGATAGTCTGCGACTTATCGCGGGCAAGGTGCGTGGGCGCACAAATTGTACTCGTAAATAGGTCAGGGTAGATGTTAGTGTTAGTCGACCCTGTAATGTTGCCGGGCGAGATGATACGGCATCAATTAGATCATCGCCGCTTTTTTATCTTGGCTTTTCCTACTGCGAAACATTGACAATGATATGTTCGATTGAAGAGTAAAACGTTAAACGACCGACCTTCGTCAGGCGGTGGTGTAGGTATCTGGTATAGTCTGATTGACATTCGTGCTAGAAATAATTGCGAATTATTTTTCCCACGGGATAATTTTTTTATTAATCTACAAATACCAGTTGATGGAATAGTATTTCGAGTCACAGTACTAATCATAAATGGAGAGCAGAGGGAGCAGCTACTATATTATTATTATTTTTAATGTTGAAAAATGCATCATACCGCCTGTAGATATGTAGGTGGTTATGTGGGATTCTCCGGATATAAAAGCCTACTAAAACCCAACAAAACCTCCCCGGTCTTAATGGCACGTCGCAGGATCACTTACGCACTCAACCAAAACACCCCAAAGGCAGGCCTGCCGAAGCAGACCACCACAACCATGGGATTGCTCCAACAGTCCACTCTGCCGTCAGAGACATACCAGGAGCAAACCGCATGTATACCGCCCACCGAGTGGACCATCTCCTAGTGCATTTCTTGGCTTCGCGCCCGGCTGAACTACTGCCGGATGCTGATGACACCTCCCTCAACCCCCTCCCACCACCACGACAAGGTGAACGCACGTTGAGGGGGACCTACTTTATTATCATAATTTAACCTGTTACTTCCTATCTAAATATTTTATAAAACACAAGTCTAGACCAACTACCGCGTAGTAATTAAGAGTCATTTTTAATAGAAAGACATTGCACCATTATCTACAAGCCACATTATAAGCCTGTTGGAGTAAGCTATTTGTCTTATATATCGTGACTAAACGAGGTTACGTCTTATAAAGAAAGTAATACAGTAGTAATTATTTGTACTATCTTCGTTTGCGTTCAAACAAGAAATTATTGAAATTATACTTTAACTTGAAAATTTATGAGCCTCAATAAATATAAAGTGCCATAAGTAGGTAGTACCAATGGCCTATGGATAAATACTGTCTATGATTATATATTAATCATTTACATGTATAAAATGATAAACTTGTATATAGTGATAAACATACATAATATACTATCAAAGAGTCGCCATGTTATATAGTATAGGATATTTTATTTTCTTATGAGTCTATACATGAAATGAGATTGGTGAGGACAACCTTGTTCCATTTCTGCTCTCGCAAGTCTAAGCGACCCTTGGAAACTGCGCAGAATCCTCGCCCTGCCCTTGACACGGCGCAATCCTTTGTCCTTCTGGCTGCTCACTCTTGCTACAAGTCTACGTCGTTACTATATACGAGTAACTGAGATAATATCATTCAAGTGTATCAATACATATATTTTAAATAAATATATGTATATACGATTTATACTAAGAATTATGATCACAGAATGCTGCGTAATTTTAGGAATTTATTTTTATAAAGAGCAGTTAATTAAAATTCAATGAAACAAGTTATCTACGTATGTTATGACGGTCTCAGCAGTCTAAAGTTAGGTATTATCGTTCTTAACTACAAAGTAGGTACATTTTATATTATATTCTAGCTAGAACTTCTCATAGAAGTAAGAGGTATAGTCAACAATTTGTCGTACCATATTACTCAATAATAACTCTAGTATGTCACGTTTCGCATGAGAGGACAAGGCGTTTTCCGCTCCGTTTCCTTCTCTTTCTGTGTCGCGCATAATTTTATGAAAAATATGGCTTTAAATTTAGTAACGTAGTGTCTTTTCGTTTGCATGATCTCTATAAAGTTACTTTATGTTTACACTTTTAGATAATTTTGACTTACGAAATCACGACAATCGTCTATCCCGATTTCCAATTAAATTCCCATCACTAGGTGATTTAATTTTTTCCGTTCGCAAATTCAAGTTCACATTTATACTTCGGCGCGAAGACAATTTTATATTTTATTCCCTCTTTCAGTTTTCTATTAGTGAAAATCATTTGAAAATTCCTATTATTAGTTTCTATTGCTTCGAAAATACAAAATCTTTAGCGGAGGACATTGATTTATAATATGTAGTGATATTAATTTGACTTTAATTATTTACCTATTATTATACCACAATGTACAAAAGACATTTTCTTTCTACATCAGTCAAGTGTAGAACCAACGATGAACGAAGATCTCCTCACAAGTAATTTACATACAATAGTAGAGAATAAAGCACGCGCGTGCTCTCAATTAGAGCAGTGTTCATAGTTACATTATCTTTTTACTGTGTTGAATACATTCGCATAAAGATACAGAATAGTATTACACGCTCTTACATAATAAAAAAATTTTTTATTATTTCATAGGAAACGTGTAATTTGATTACATTTGTCGCTATTACATATCTTTGCATTTTATTTCATATTCTTATTATTATTATCTATTGGGATAATATGCAACGCACCACGTATTATAAATATATATAAAAACTTTAGGTATATTGTGATATTGTGACTTATGTTTTACTAGCGACTCACCCTCGCTCCGCTCGGGTTCGTCCCTACTTTTAACGTTTAGTAGGTATAGATTTCTCAGAGATGAGACATTTTCCCGCAGTAAAAAGTATCCTATATGTTGACCCGGACAACCAGCTACCATCATACCAAATTTCATCAGAATCCCTCTAGTGGTTTTTCAGTGATGCTGTCACAGACAGACAGACAGACAAAAATTTTTAAAAACTGTAGATTCGGTCTCTGTAACGATAATAATGACTATTTCAATAAGATTTAAAAAAAAAATATTTAATGTACAGATTCCACTGAGTAAAAATTTTATTATATGTATAGATTAAATTAAAATAAAAATAAAAACTTGTATAATAGAAAATAAGATTGCCTACATGTGAGATGAATTGCACTTAGAGACGGCGGAAAGCAAAGTCGTTATGCCAAACAAAATACAACATACATATGATTTTTTCTAGTAATCGAGCGTGTTTACGACGTGTTACAATGAAAATGGCGTGAGGCATTGTGTCGTAGCTATTCTAAGATTGCCGCTAGATAAATTTTATTATCGTTGCGCTATAACGATTTTGAAACAGAAACTAAACGTATTTCATAAACAAAATTAAAATACAAATTTTACATTGAATTGTTAATGTGCGAAAGTCATTTATAATTTAAAGATTGTTTGCAATTTAAGTTAAGAGTAAAGAGAGCTTAAAAAGATAGACCTACTTATTCAATTTGGATCTGTTTGACTGATTGAACTTCCGAACTTTTCGAAACAATTTTACTATTAGTATTTTATTAAATTAACGTGATATATGTAATATATGTTTCAAATGTTTGTTTCTAAAATTATAATTTTTTTATTAAAAAACCTAAATATAAAACACGTTGTGCCTTTGTTTCTCAGTAAGTTACCCTTTAGAAACAATCATTACGATTAAAAAATTTCACTTGTAAAAGCGAGCGCCACTTGACATAATTTTTTCACTGGCTTTCATAATATTTTTTATTATTTTCTTCATTATGAAGTATAGTTTAATATTAAACTTCTATTTTTTTATTTTAAAATATGAAGAAGAAAATGTAATTTTAAGTTTTGCTCTACCCTGAAAGAACTACATCTTCTTTCAGTACGAACTAAGAAATCGATATTGAGGGCGGCTTATTAATAAAATGCTATAAATCGATACTGTTTTACAGCACAGCTAACATGTCAGCCATTTCCCACCTAGTTTCTAATTTTTCTCGAAACTATTTTTATCCTAGCCTGTTGTTACGTCGTTATTAAATACTTTTGTTGTAGTTAACCTTTAAAGACTGATCACATGATTTGTTTATCATAATTTTGTTTTGATAATTCTGACAGTGTTTTGAAATATTTTGCAGGTATTTTATTGTTGTTCAGTAAAAAATAGTTTAATGTTATATATATTTCAAGTCACCTTAATTATGTACTGATTCAATTTTTATAAGAAAATACAAGATTGAGCTCAAACAGTGATAAATATACAAACTTTTATTTGCTCTACTAATAGATCAACGAAAACAATACTATGCAACAATTTTGCATCTATACAATTCCTATCATAGATAATTATTTTATTATTTTTAAATCAAAAGAAAATTATGGCTAACTATATATAAGGAAAAAATAAATTACTAGGAGGTTGCGTTATATGTTACCTCCATGAACGAATTAGGGGTTAATTCGTTCATGGTTACCTCTTAATAATTCCATCAAATGAAGTAGACGAGACATGTTAACAACAATTTCCTTATGGCATATTAATTAGCAGAGTGTTCAATGGCCTACGACAATGTTCAGGAAGGGTTTCAATGTGACAAGTTGACAACCCCTTTGTTCCTATGGCCCTCTCATTGTCTGTCGGTGGCGCGTTCGCTCCATTGATTACACAATTACCCTCGCTTCAAGTATTCGTTTTGTTGAAGCTATATACTTTGCTAATTATGCATTTATTTATTTAACAACGAGAGCGGTTTGATTAAATTTCTTTATTTAAAAGTCCGTGTACTGTGTGCAGTTTTTTATGATTCTATTTTTACGGGTTTTTGAGCGAAGTAGAAATTATTATCGAACTTTGCGTGTCAGGGTCGAATTTATTATTTATATTAGCTCTCGTGCCTAGGTATCAAATGTACGAAAACATTAAAATTGCTCAACTGCCATCGCTATTCAGCACACAACGTTTGCCGCCTATTCGGCCGGTGCATTTGTAACCAAGTGGAACATTCTAACAAAATGTGAAGTAACTTAGTGTATCGTTGTAGTTCAAGCTGACGCCGACGCTCGACACTCGCGGAATGCAGATGTTTTGCAACTAATATGCGTACAGATTTTCGATGTGTACTTTATGTGTTATAATTTAATATATAATGATTTTTATGCCTTGTTCGTGTCATCTTTAATAAAAACAACAAACAAAAATTGTGTCAATAATAAAATATTGTGAATATTGTTTATTGCTTACGTCTACTTACTGTCTCTGTGCATAATGCATATTCTTGTGTATTTAGTCCACATTTACTAAACTTGGCATCTAATTAAAAAATAAAATCTTTAAAATTTTTTTTATTCTAAGTACCTAGTAGGTTGGTTTTTGGTTAGTAGGTAGTTTAGCATGTACGGCTGCACACCCGGAGGTCCTGGGTTTGAGTCCCGGTTCGGGCCAAGTTTAGTTATTGAGTCTTCCTGTATAGTAAGTCTCAATAACAGCCCGGAGTTGGGAAGTTGGCGGTGTTTCACCCCCGTGCCTCGGAGAGCACGTAAAGCCGTCGGTCCTGCGCCTTAACTCTCACCGGTCGTGTCGAGTGGTCGTCCCACCGGAGTATGAGAGTGATAGGAATAGAGAGTGCACTTGTGTCTGCGCGTACACTTGAGCACTATAATATCTCCTGCGCAGTTGGCTAATCTCATTGAGATTGGCCGCCGTGGCCGGAATCGGCTAGGAGAACATCACCTAGTAGGTATGCTATTAATAGTGAATTAGTGACAATGTTAATATAATTGATATATCTCATAAATACAATTTGTTAATGTCATAATGGTAGATTAATGGGTTTGACGGTTAATTACATTCATACAATGGTAATGTTTTATATACAATAAACTAGTTGTAATATATCAATATTACGTTGAAGATCTTTCATCAATCTAATATTGAATGACCATAAACAATTGCCTACAGATGCAGAACATAAACAACATAGTGATGTTTCCTATCGACAGTCTTCTGAAAGGTGATCTCAGAGGGGTTAAAGGCGATCTCAAGAGACCTTTCGATAAAGCGTCTAAAGACTACGAGTCCAAGTACCTGAAACTAGAGAAAGAGAAAAAATCACAAGCAAAAGAAGCCGGTCTAATACGTAGTGAAGTTACACCTGCCGAAATTGCTGATGAAATGGAAAAAGAACGTAGATTATTTCAGTTGCAGATGTGTGAGGTGAGAAGTCATAATATTGAATTAGAAATACTCGTAGATATTATTATTTTAATTTTAATTAATGTGACTAGACAAATTTTACTTTTTTAACCACCTTGTTATTAAATAGACTTTTAACTCAAAAACTGTACCGATTTTAAAGTAATCTTAAAAATAATTAGTTTATCCACACACTTTGGGAATACACATTTTTTTTTGGAATTAAAATAGAAACATCCATTAGTTGTAGCGTGTACATTCAAAAAAGGACGATTAAAGTCATTTTACAATACACGAAGATATTGCTTAATATGCACAAAGTGTCAAATATATACGAATAGGAAACCTCCCATGTACCTATATCTTTTTTAAAACCGGTTAAAATAGTAAAAATGGCCTCATATACATACCTATTTAAGAAGCAGGTGACTCGATTTACGTGTGTATATTGTATAGTGTGTAGATTTATAATAGTTATTTTTTTCTCAGAGAATATAAAATTTTTATTGAAAATTGTCAAAGCCATTGTTTGGCTTCATCTTCCCGAACCACCAAATAAAAAAAACTTTTATCTTTAGAACCGATCCATTGCTATGTGTTTTTTTTTCATATTTTTATCGTTTGGAGAAAATATAAATTTTCAGTACTTCCTTGGTCTCGATAATGAATAGCTTTGGCATTCGGCCTAATAGCAGTTAAGCTCCGTGTCCGTGTCTGTCTGTGGTGGTGAACCCGAACTTAATATAACTGTTTAATTAAATGAATAATCGTAATAAAATTTTGAACCTTCATTAATATTTAAAACAGTATCCGATTATATTATTTAATAATTCTTTTAGCAAATATAGTATTTTGAAAAAAAAAGATACTTTCACTTTTTACTTTATTTAAAAGTAAAAGAAATCTGTATTATATATTATATATGTACATATCGTAATAGTGTCGCATATTTAGCATATTTTTTTATTTCTCAACACAAAGGCTGTATATTCACTAAACACTTCTTTGTTAAAACTTCATTGGATAGCACTATTGTTGTCAATATTCGTCGACGACGATGAATTTTTGACCAAACCTTAAGTAATATCTTAGCAATACCATCAACACCATTTGTTCGTATAATTAAGGTATGTAAGTTTTAGATACAATGGCTGGCTATGTGACCGACAAAAATAATATTTTTCTTTGTTCTTTATCGCTTTGTTCCTTTAATATGTAAAAACATAGTATTATATAGAATTTATTGCAAGGTCACTTTATGTAATCTTGAAATTTATCTCTGCCGATAATCGCATTTAATGCAAAACAGTGAAAGATTGAGCAAATAAAGCCATTTGGTGAATTTGGTTGAAATAAAAGATTTTAAAACATGTAGATACGTGTATGTCTAATATGTAATATTTTAATAATAACTAACACTAAAAGTTGGCACGAATTTTTAGTTTTTTTTTAAACGTGAAGTCATGTGCTTATTGCTTAACAAAATTGCTACTTAGGACGCGTGTGTGTAATGTGACGCATGAATAATAACGGAACATGGCTCGTCATATTATGTTAAGATGCAAAGGCTTTTTATATATTATACATAATATTATTGTTTACATTAGCTATGCAGTAATAAAAGATAAACTAATAAAATAGACTATATTATAGTGTCAACAAACGCGTACAGTAGAGTTCATAGGCAATCGACAATGACATTGCTTCATAATTTACAGTTAGTTATTTTGATAACGTCTTTGAATTGTTTGTGGGCCGTCTGTTAATAATGAGGTATGTTAGTTCCGTGCCAATCGAAATCTTCGAGCGTTTACACTCAAAAAAAAAACAAAAATTTATGTCAAGTTATCTGGAATTAAAACAATGAACCAAATTTCAAGCTGCAATCTGTTGGCACTTGCGAAATCCACGCTGTCGGTCTGTAATGCCAAATGTCTGTTCGTCGCTTATCTATGGATGTTAAACTATGCGAGTATGTAAAACGTTCGCGGGCACGCTATTGCACAACTGCCTGCCTGAAATTGATTGCCGCCGCTACAGCATAAACGATGCATTTCGACTTTATTTATTTTGATAACGATTCACTTTATGGGTAATGCGATAAGAGATGAAAATAACATCATCATATATCGTACGTACACTCTGATGTTAATTTCAACGTTTATTTTATATTTTGTAAAACATGGATTGAAGGTATTTTTTATTTATTGTAAGTTTATAGTTCATGGGCCAGAGATTTCTGACATTGCCTATTTATCGAATGGAGTGTTCAACTGTAGAGCTAGAGGCAAAGCTGAAAGCATGTTCTAGTAGTGCAGAGTACGGTTACCTTTTGGATTTACCTGGTGTGACGATGTTTCGCTCTACTAAGTCCATTTCCTGATGAGATTTGTTATTAAAAACGTTTTTGAAGCATTCAAATTTTTAGTTTTTTATTATTAAATTTATTATAAAGCAACTATACCTTATTATTATTAGATACTTTTTATACTTTCTGATTTTGAATTTGTTTGTGAAACTTTTTTTTTTATTAATTTGAGTTATGCCCACAAAAGTAATAATTCTCTTGAACATTGTGGTCGGTGCGGTAAATAATGCAAGAAAGACCGAGATGTTTTAGCCAGTGCGGTACTGTAGCGTCAGGTCATCGACCGGCCTTGCGCGACACAGGGCCGCTGCCGAGCCGTCTTGACCCTCGCTTTGTTCAGTGTTCAGCGAGAACACTGCTGGTTTTGGTGTTAGACCAACCAACCCACACATTTGCATATTTGGTTAGCTATTTTGAACAATGTTTCTATTGGCTACCGTGTTACTTTAGAGCTAATAGTTTAGTGCCTTAAGTTTTATCATAATTTAGTTCTATCGTTTTAAAATTGGATAACATGTAACGTTAGCAGAAATGAATGTCGACAAAACAGATGATTGTGTATTATTATAGCATATACAGCAGGCCAGACGCCAAGACAGTTGTGCAAGGTCGTGTTTCGTATTATTATTGCACAACTTTGAAGTGTAAATCGGGATCCACTATGGTACACGCGCGTACGCGTGCGTCATCAGATATAATTTTAGCTACGGAAGGGCGAATAATTTGTGTGTTTCCACAGTATGATTCCTACTCGAGTTGATCCCGACGCGTGATCATACCCTGATGCGGTAATAAGCCCACGCGCAGCTTTGGCGTCTCCCTGTCTGTTGTACTACTGGCTACGTTCCATGTGTAAAAATTGTTACAGTACCTGATAAAGTTCAACGAAATCAAGACAAAAAAAGGGATCGAGTTACTACAGCACCTGGTGGAGTATTATCACGCACAAACTAACTATTTTCAAGATGGTTTAAAAACAATCGAACACTTTGGCGTTTACGTTGCGGATCTCAGTGTACAATTGCAGAAAATACGACAGCAGCAAGACGACGAGCGACGAAGGCTCCTAGAGCTCAGGAATATGTTACGAGCCGCCACACCACAGGATAGAGAAGTAAGATTATAAATAAAAACTATTACGAGTACTATGCAAATTTATTTAAACGTTTCAAGTTGTTGTAATGTAATGCTATTAATGTATTTAAGATAAGTAGATTATATGCTTTAAGAATCCTTTCAAATGTTAATGCTTGTTCAGTTTTCACAGCCTACGATAACTAACTGTCCAACAAGGTGAAGGTTTCACTAAGCTGTTCTTTTTTTATTAAGCTCTTTATCTTTTTTTTTATTGCGTTGTTCATGGAATTATCGATTACTATTGAGACTCGTGTAATATGTTGTTGCGAATTACAAGATAAGTTTTCTAAGTGCTTAAGACTTTTTCTTAGCCGTGTATTATTTAATAAAATTGGACATTCTCTTTAGGAGTAACTAGTATGAAGTTGTTGTCATAGCTAGACTATTGTACTGTTCTGGAATTAAACCTGAGACCTCCGACGCGGCCGTAGGCATCAGTAAAGCATGTCACACGGTCATATGTCCGCCGACGCTGAACAAGTTATAATAATAATTTATATGTGACTTATAATAATTATTCATAGCATACACATAATAATTATCGCACCTTATTAGGCAGCGTCGGCAGTGGGTGGTTATTCTCTTCACCAATTGCAAGGCGATAAACAGCATGGCGTGACGAGAAGTGGATACCTTCTCAAGAAATCAGAAGGCAAAGTTAGAAGGGTTTGGCAAAAGAGAAGATGCAGGGTCACAGCCGAAGGTTTTTTAGATATTTTTCACGCAGATGAAAACAAAACACCGGCCAGAGTTAATTTATTAACGTGTCAAATTAAAGTTGCCTCAGATGACAAGAGAGCCTTCGATCTAGTCTCATGTAAGTTATTTTATTAAATTTGTCGTATATCGTAAGTTAATACGTCATTTTGAATATTACTCTAAAGTTTATGGCGATATTTTATATCTTTTAGTTTCTTCTCTATATTGTTGGTTTCTCGATTCACGCATATATTTACCTAAAAATAGTTAATGTATTGATAGTACGATAGATATAGTTATTACAAACAAAAATGTTATTTAAATTAAAAAAAACAGTAAACTGTTCCTCTAATGTGCGCTTTTGTAGAATGAATATCACCTACATTTTTTTGCTTATTTCGTTTGTACATTCAAGAACGGCCCACGCTTTTTACGTAGACGTGGGCTCCGCTAGAGATCGTTCTATCCCATTGACCTTTGCCAAATTAAACTATAATAGATGTTTTATTTCAAAGATCCTATATAAAATAAAATATAAAAAATAAAGGAGTTTAGCTTTGTTAAAAACATGTTTGTATGACAATGGCGACTTTACTAGAGGTAGGGGGGGTTTATTCCCGCGCTGGGTTAAGTTTTATAACAGTGTTTTTTTAGTGCATTTTTCAAATTACTTGGGGTCAGCCCCTATTACTCGTCATTTCATCATTCACCCCTTTCTCTTTTATGTCTTGTCTCACACATTCTATTCATCTTTTCTTCGTCTTCCTCTACCTCTCTATCCATCTTCATTCATTTCCATCACTTTTCTTTCTTACATACATATATGCGATTTACGCCTCCTTTACTACATAATACAAAAATATATACCTTCTCTTTTTGACGTTGGCTAAAAATGCTCGGCTTTAAGCACCTCTGTTTATTCTACAAAGGAAAGTGTAAAGATGAAAAAGATGGATGAAGGTTATTTTGTAAAAGTCTAACCACTCTACGCATTTCTTAATTTGAATAATATTACACTTTTAGTAGTTTGTTTCTTTTATTATATATTTATCGTCACGTTTTTTCGGTGCGACAAGTAGATATATTACGATAAATGAACTGCAATAGATAAGTAATGAGATTCTTCAGCGGGCGTGTTATGTAAAGATAAGTGTGAACAAATACGATTAGTTATGTAATATTTTTATATTTTAAACCACATGATATTTTATGGGTAGCAACATCGGTTCGCAACGTTGATTGAAAATGCAATTGACATGATTTCGATCTGCAATGTTGCTGCGAACATTAATTTTAGTGGGATGAGTTTATGTCATTAACTTGAGGTTATACTGGTTGAGTATAACTTAGTTTAATGAAAATAAATTTTGCTACCATTTCTCAACGTTCAGGAAGACCTCGTTTATTTGAAATGAAATACTCTTCAGTTGATGGAAACTTAGAGATGTATCTAATGATGAACTCTTCTATAAATGTTAATAGCAAGCACATTTGTTTTGCCGACTGGTTTTTTTTTTATTGATAGGTTATGATGGTTTTTTGCCATACTAACATAATCGCTCTTTTTTACTGTTTTGGGGATTCAATTTGTAGTTGTCAAAATTATAGCTCGTTAATTTTAGCTGTTTGGTTTAGTCATTGATAAATTAATCAGAACAAGCTGATAATGTTGACGCTTGTAATAATGTTTACGGTTATAAACATTTCAAATGGTTACTGTAAAAAATTGATAATATTTTTTTGTTGTCTTCAATATTTGTGTGGCCTCGAAAATTTCATTCATAAATATTTGATTTGGAATTTAATAATATATGAAAACTTTTATTCAAAATCGGAAAAGACTGATTATAGTAACTATTAGTTGCAAAGAGGTTGTAATTAGAAATGTACTGACGATCATTTTTAATTAATATTGTTATTATAATATGTCATTCCTCACGTGATTTTCAGATAATCGTACATACCATTTCCAAGCGGAAGACGAAAATGAACAGCGAGCTTGGACGTCAGTGCTAATTAATTGTAAAGAAGGGGCATTAATGAGGGCGTTTCATCAACAAGCCGGAGAAAGTAACGACACAGGACACTCGTTGTTGGATCTGCAAAGGTCCATAATACGAGCGGTCCGATCGTTACCCGGTAACCAAGTGTGTGCCGACTGCGGTTCTACTAATGGTGAGTTCAATTCAATTATAAGCAAATTTACGTGTTTTTTGAAGTAAAACTTCGTTAGAATAGTTGTGATTTGAAACTCGATGAAACGAAAATGCGACACTAGATAGAGATAAACACATAAATAAATATATAGGATTAGGCCGGCTAGAGAATGAGATAGAATACATTACACGCTATTATGAATAATTGTTGCCATGGTAACCGTTGTTATTGTCTGACAAATGGTATATAATATTATATTCTTTCCCTATATGATAAATATATGATTTTATAGAAATAAATATATGATTGTAATATGCCTAATATGTCTTATTTAATATTTCATTATTGATTTGTTTTAATTTAATTGCCATATTAGCTAAATAAGTTTTACTTCCACCGCGCGTAAAGGTTACACGCACCCATTTTTTTAAATAAAATGTGCGTAATATGTATTTCATAGGGCGGTGAATTGTGTGTACACGCAAATATGAACATAGTGGTAGTGAACTCGTTCGGAAAACAGAAACAGTGAAGCGTGTTCAAACCTCAGATTTCGTGCACATCTGAGATTTTCCTGTGCGATTTGTGAATTATTTTTAAAATGATTATTGACTAATACGGTGAAAGAAAGTATTTATTAAATAATTTCCCAAATATATATGAAGTCCGCCAACCCCCTTTTGGCTGATGTGATGATAGCTTGATTTTCCTCGCATTGAATATAAATATAAACAATAAAAATATTATACTAATGAACCTTAATTAGTATAATATTTTTATTATGACTTGAGTTTTGTCAACAATATTGTGCAAGTTTGGCGTCCATGTCAAACGTGCTAGGCTTTTTACCGTTGACATCGTTTCGACAACAAAACTTACTCGAGATTTGAGTCCCTTTTATGTTTTGTGTATTGCTGGCTTACTTTTTAATTAGAAGAAAATAATTTATAATAAAATTTACTTTACATGATTTAACGCAACATTATTTTTGAAAGACATGACATGACGTAACATGAAAGAATGTTCGTTTTAAGAAGAGTACAACAAAGGTAAACGGCTTATCATACTTTGTCAGTCTAAACGTAAGCTCTATTATAATCTCTTAAATTACAGCGCTTAAAACGCTAACATTCTCGTAATTACGGCAATCATGGCAGTAATGTAATGTTTGTATGATATCTGCGAACCAATTACATAAATGATTGGTAGATTTGAAAAGTGTAATTTATTCCGTTTGCAATTTTGCTTTATAACGGCTTTGTTTAAAAAATCACTTTAATATTCTATTTTTCATGAACTTTAAAAAAAATATTTGTCTATGATTCCGTAATACACAAAAATTATAATTCTGCTAAAATAATTACAGTAAAAATAATTATACTATGTCGACCTCCTTTTTTAAGTAAAAAGTCCAGTGCAACCGGTTAAAATGCAAATGCGGAAAATGCTTAGTGGCAGCCTCATTCATTCAATATGAAGTGGAATAGTGTTATAGCATTATAGATATGCTTATACAAAACCTACAAAACTGAATTACTGTTTGAATTGTTAAAGATACGTCATTGTCCGTAACAGAACAAATGCCTTTCTTCAAACGGCTTTCTAAAGAATTCAGTTGAAAAGGTGGATGTTCACTGTGAAAAGTTTCATGGTTAGTTTTATTTTATTATGTACAGATTCGTAATAAACTACAACTTTATTATTTCTTTATGTACAATATTGATATATAGACATTTAGATATTCGAGGTTAATGTCACATTTTAAACCTTTTTAGTCGTTATGACTTCATTTTTTTCTTATCCATAATATAATTATCAAAAATATACCCTACTACCTACTACTTAAATACAATAAAGATAAATAATAAGCTATAAACAAAGACATGAAATTAATATCATAAAATTAAAAGACAACTTGTAGCGGATGTTCACGTAACTCAGATACACAGACCGTACTTCCGCCGCCCGGATTCTTCCTTATTCCAGGTCAGAGAGCCCGTTTTAATGATATAAAAGCAAATTATAAAATGTTAACTTACTTTGACTATTCTTGTACTTTTTGACCGACTTCGCAAAAGGAAGAGGCACTCAAATAATATTTTTAATGAATAGGCTATAACAAGGTGGTCCCAAGTAAATTTGAAAAAAGTTCTACGCCTAATGTTATAATAGTTACAATTAAAGTAATTTTGAAGCCACGGTACTTTCTATTTACTAAATAATAATTTCAATTTTGCTAGACCTATTTTGTTAATGGCCCCTTTTTGTAGACCTAAATAATGATGTCGGTCATTTTGTTCGTGTAAATGCCGCATTTATAATATTAACAACTTCTGATACATACTGATGATGCTGATACATACTAACAATTTAAACATAAAAATAGGCTGCTGGTGGCTAATATGAAAGCCAGAGACAAATATCGAAGTCGAACGGAAATTGAGTCTAGCTCGATGAACGTTATTTCGTTACTTTGTTGAAGAGCGGATTCAAGAGAGGGGTGAATGTGAAGCTAGACGAGTAAATTGGATTTCATATGATAGGTCTATTTTTTAAAGAATTTATCTCGTCATCGTATTGAGCCGGAGGGGAATTTAATTACAATTTAGGGCATAATTATTTGATTTACCGCGTAACTGTTATTAGCCGCTATTTATTATATAATTTGGATGATTATGTTATTGTGGAAGGGTGTTTAGTTAGAAAATTTTAAATAAATAGTTGAATATTTATATATGTATTGACAATGGCACGGCAATGCATATTGAACATCGAAAGTATAAAAAAGTAATTTAGATATTAACAAAAGACATTGTTTATTTAAAAGTTGTGCATATTAAGTATGGTAATAAGTGTGCACGTATTGTACGTAATTTAAAAATTTGTGTACATCTATCTATGCTTACTATAATATCTCATATTAGTCTAACATTTTGGGGAGTTGTCGGCCGTGTCGCTTGAGACGTTTGATTATAATCTATACTAATATTATTAATGTGAAAGTGTGTTTGTTTGTTATTCTTTCACGCCAAAACGGCTTGGCGGATTGGCGTGATTTTTTGTGTGGATATAATTGGAGGGCTGGAGAGTGACATAGGCATTTTTAACCATAGGAGATTATTTAATTCCTTCAGGAACACACGTTATAATATAATCCATAAAAATATTTATAATTAGTATTACTTGAAACTTGATACTAATGCTCTTCAATGAAATTAAATAAATACGTGTTTTAGCATTTTTCGAAATTTATCCTATAAGGGGGTAAAATAGGGGATGAAAGTTTGTATGAAACTATGTACTTTTTTATAGATTTTTTTGTAGTTTTAGCGCGAGCGAAGCCGCGGGTTCTGCTAGTATATTATCATCGACTTACATATTTGTAATATATCAGAAAAAAGTTAAAAAGATTTCAGCAGTGACAATGTCACACAAAGATTTTGGTAGTATACGAGTAATAGTATAGGTATGTCAATATAAAATTAAAAACTGGTTAATCATCTATACTGATATATAAAGAGTTTGTTTTGTTTGTTTAAATAATTGTTAATCTCTACAATTACTTACCAGTACCTACCATTTGGAAAAAAAATAACATTTATTATTTTTTAGAAACATATTGTAGGCTTTCTACCATTTTCTACCATCGTACCATAGGAGATAAGAAATTTAATAAAATACGTTGGTGGAACATCGAGCAAAATTACTTAATTTATATTATTAAACTATATCGATAAGTATTACATAAGTGACCGCTGACCTTGACAAGCTATTAGTATTTTCAGTAACAATAGGAAGTTCACTTCCTTCTATACATTGATAAAAGTGTTTACTATGTTCACGTAGTAGGTAATAAATAGTTTACTAAGGATGGCGTCACGACACCTCAATATTATACCAGAGCATTTCATTTAGACGAGATACATTTTTTTTAAATTTAAGTTAGAAGTAGGTATGTAAAGTTAAGTTTAAAATATAGTATTTTATTCTTTAGAAACTGGAACACTTGAAATTACAGACTCTCGCACGAGGAACATTGTTTTGTTTTTTATTATCTGTAACACTAGGTATGTTCCTATTTTATATTAAAAATAGTAGGTATATTCCATTGTAGACGTAATTCATATTCGTTTTCGTAAACTATAAAAATAAATTACTATTTGCACATTTTATTCAATGTTTTATTTAATTAAATATTTTTCCTCTATTGAGTAAATGTTATGTTTGTCCTAGACCGTCTTTTTGTATAAGTGGCAAATGGAATTGGTGTTAATTGCCGATAAATGTGTATTGTTTCTATCAAGTAATCGTGATACTAACTCATCAGTTTCGTAATTTACTCCATTGTTCTAACGAGGCGCTTAGTTTTTATGATTTTATTCATGATTTAACGATACATTTATAGACTACTCAATCTTTCTTAACAGCTTTAAGCACGATTTTACTCAGAAACGCCAAGTCGATGTTCCCATTTTTTCGTACAAACCTTTTTAGCTATATTTCACCCCTAGAGCCATTATTTTTGATAAATTTCATTTATTATTCAATAATTTATAATATTACATGCCTATATATCTTCGGGGTTAAAAGAATTATTAAATAATACCAAATCCAGTTAGGCGTGTTGCAGAAGAAACTTAGCAGAGTGCGCGGAAGAGAGAGAGAGACGGCATATTTAATTGACAATTTCTTTCGTTACAATACGTTTTTTACTTTGGGGTATGAAAATGTGAATAAAATAATATTATCTATATCATTCTGTTGACTAATACAAACATACGCCCCTTTGGAAGATTAAATTAGCAACATTCTGCTAATGAGCAGATGAGAGGACAGGAAAAATATTTATCTTGAATACTTAATCATAATGGAATGTAGCGTAGCATATAAACAAACACAAGTCAAAAACAACAAAAAATACACCTGCAACAGGCTGTGCTTTGGGTGTGTTTTTGTTGTTTTTTAATATATTTCTTTTTAATATTAAAGGTAAATTTTCAAAAATGTTTATTATTTGTAGATCCAACTTGGTTATCCACAAATTTCGGCGTCATCGTGTGTATCGAATGCTCAGGAAGCCATCGAGAATTGGGTGTTCATATATCAAGGATTCAATCGTTGACCCTGGACAAATTAAGCACCTCTCAGTTGCTCCTCGCTAGGCATATGGGAAACCAGTTGTTCAATGAAGTCATGGAAAATACTCTCGATGAAAGGGATAAACTCACTCCAGAAAGCACTATGTAAGTAAACGATTCTAATGACAAGATTCTTTTTCAGTTTTGGATACCTTATATTTAATAAATATTTGTTAAATTTAAATTTTTAGATTACTTAAAATGACAGAGTTCTGTGGAGTATAGTAAGTTAAATATTTTGTAACGCCTGTGTGGCGTTGGAATATACATAAAGAAACGGAGTACTTCCGCAATGTCTCAATCCGTTGAATCATGTTTTTCCGTATTCTAAGTGTTTTGTCATATTTATTTATAAAAACGTGTGCTAATTTAATTATAAATTGTAGGTTTTTTTGTTAATTTTACATTGTTTTTAGCATCCACGTAAAAGTTTTATTAAAATATGTAATAACTAATAACCTTTTAAAGTTGGCCAACAGATATACCCAATATTGTTACATATATCAATAATATATTACCATAGCAAAAAAAATAATAATCATGTAATAAAAAAATTAAGGCTATATAAAATATTAGTTTTTATCTGTCTCTTTCATAAAAAATCAAGATAAAAAAAAGACGAAGCGTAAATGGCTTTTTAAATTACATCCATCATATATTTTATTCTCATGAAATTAAAAATTTATGTTAAATTCAGTTCAGTCTGATGGCATCAGATGGCAGAGACTTGAAAATTCGATTAAAATTTCGACGCGAAGAGACATAAGAATAAAACAAGTTAAAAAGCTTCTAATTAATATTCGTAAAACAATTGCTTCCAGGGAAGAAAGGCTACGGTTCATAAGGGAGAAGTACGTGTATAGGACGTGGGCGGCGCAGACGTGCAGGGACGCGGCGGAACGGCTGTCTGAAGTAGAGCATGCGGTTAATAATGGCCACTTGCAGAACTTGCTTCAAGCTTATGCAGAAGGGGCTGACTTGGGCTCGTCACTGCCTAGTTCGGTTAGTACTGTGAGCATTAGGTTTGTGTTAGTAGGCGAAAGGACATAGGTATCTTCTTAATGCAATGGGGTACTAGTTCACCAATGGGCTCAAAGACATGTAATTTAGCCATTAGCGACTTACCCTTGCTTCGCTTCGGTGCGTCTCTAGCTAAGCGGATTTCCTTCACAGTTCATGGGTTTTAATTTTTTACGCGGTACCCTAATTCTTTTTCTAAAATAAAAATTGCCTAAGTTAGTCCTTATCGAATCTGCCAATAGAGTATCGTCAAAATTGATTCAGCCATTTCACAAATAAGTTGAACAAACACAGAGATAAAAAAAAAAATGTTTTTTTCTTATAAGCACTAGTTATTTATCTGTATAGATGTTATCCTCTCAGTATTTTTAAGCGCTAAACTTGCCTCACTTTACCTTCCAAGCGACTATTATTTTTTTTTATTTAGCGACATTAAGTGGACATATGTATTTAACCATAATTAAAATATTTTAATTTAATTATTTTCAGGATTGTGGCGAAACAGCACTCCATCTGGCGATATCGCGTGAACTCGGCGACGGTTCGTGTCTGCACATTGTCGATTTTCTAGTCCAAAACGGTGGTTCGCAGCTCCTCGACAAGGCGACAGTATCCGGCATGACCGCGCTGCACCTGTGTGCGGCCATCGACCGCACCGAGCCCATGAAGCTGCTGCTCAAGGCGGGTGCGGACACGACCTTGAAAGATACTAATGGAAGGACGGCTTTGCAGATCGCGAGGCAACTGGGACACCATGCGTGTCAAGAGCTGGTGAGTCATTGGATGAATTAGTTTTTTTTTCACAATTTAGTTACAATAAAGTACATTTTCGTATAGATTTCTCAGAAGTTAGATATTTTCCCGCAGTAAAAAGTTTTCTATATGTTGACGCGGATAACCAGCTATCATCATACCGAGTTTCATCAAAATCTGTCCAGTGGTTTTCTCGTAATGCGGTCATAGACAAACAGACTATAATTCTAAAAACTATAGATTCGACCTCTGTATCGATATTAATGACTATTTCAATAAGATTTTCCAAAAAATATTTATTGTGCAGATTCGGCTTACTTACAGTTTTATTATACGTATAGATAGATTTTGCTTTGTTATTACCCCTTGCATGTCATGTAAGTTAAAATGGTGATCTAGTCACTAAAAATGAACAATGAAAAGTAATTTATAAAATATGTTTTATCATAAACACACATATTAAATTAAAAAGAAATTAATAAATAGAATAACTTTTAGGCTCGTAAAATTGTGTCACTAATACTATAATTTATTATATTACAAATTGTTAAATTTTGTATTTTTATGTTATAAAAACATATTATGTTGTTTTAGCTGGAAAGTGTCGACAAAAGAGAAAAGAGTATTTACGAAAATATAAACATCGATTGGAATTTGTCACACGATGACGGTTCCACAGATTTCTCAGATGACGACACAGTTATCGATGAAAGAGTAAGTTAATTTACAGTGTAAATAAGAAAATCTAATATATGAAATTCTCGTGTCACAGTGTTTGTAACAAAACTCTTCCGAAACGGCTGGACCGATTTTAATGAAATTTTGTGTGTATATTCAGTAGGTCTGAGAATACGACTTGAATTATTTTATTTTATGATAAGGGTGGTCCTTCCCAAAAAACTTTTTTTATTTTTTGGACAACATATTTTTTTTTATGATTCGACATTAAAAAATATATACAAACCTAAATTTTCAGTGTATATAGTAGTAACTTTTTTACTTTTTTTAATTAATATCACTATATCTCATTTAGAAAATAAATCAACACCATTTATTTCCAGCAAAACGGCAGCGTGACACCAGAGAAGAAGTGTCCCAGGTCGCGGCCACCATCTTATGCGGGTACGTGCGGTGGTGGAGGGGTGGTCGGGGGCGGGGGCGGGGGCGTGGTCGGCGGCGGGGGGGAGTCGCCGGTGCTGCGCTCGCGCTCGTCCACGTGCGACTCGCTGCACCACGCGCCGCCCACGCCGACCACGTTGCCTAGGAAACCTAATGTTTGTGAGTGTGCGCTTTGTATATAGCTCAGTGTGGATGAGTCTGCTAAGGATGGACTATAACTGCTGTGATCTATTTTTTTTTGAAGTTATACTTCTTTTGGCACGTTTGGAAATTAATGTGAACATACAGTCAACAAGCGACATGATGAAGTTAGCTGCATTCCTTTTACAAGCAGTGTTGTGACATACGCGATGAAATCTTTAGCTATTTTTGTTCTGTTGCGCCATAGAAATATACTTACGTACGTACGTAAATAACTTCATACGAACGTACAGAAGTAAACACACATTTTTTTATTTAGTTAATAACTAAATATTTTAAATATGCATGATGTTTATTTATTATGAGTTATAAACCTTTTCTTGCTCTTTAGTTGAGTAGTAAATATTTTTAAAATGTATAGGCTGCGTGCGTGAAATATGCAGCCCTTTTTAACGCCCGACTGCTCGGCGCGAGCTTTCCTTTAATACAAGGAGAACCAGCTTGTAGTTCAAATATAAAGACATGTGAAGTCCGCCAACCTGCACTTGGCCAACGTGGTGGACTATGGCCCGATTCTCCTTGAGTTTTCGATAGTGCGTATATCTATTCTAATATTATAAAGAGGAAAAATTTGTTTTTTTTGTGTGTTTGTTTTTACCGAATAGACTCCAAAACTACTGAACCGATTTAAATGAAATTTGGTAAGAAGATAGTTTGAGACCCTGGGAAGGACGTAGGATAGTTTTTATCCCGGAAATCGTCCTTTAAGGGGGTGAAAATGGGTTTCTATGTTTGTATGGGGAATGGGCAACGTATGTAGATTATATTTATAGTATGGTAGTATATTTGGTGACTTTATTGGTAGGGGATGGTAATATACAGTTATAATTAGTGAAATGTAAGTAAAATAATTCTTCATGCATATATAATATTAATAGTTTCACAAATAATTATCTTAATTCATTTTATTTGGCAATACTACTGCTTATGCTTCGTTTTGCTATTTGGTATTGTAAATTAATTAAATAAATGGGTACACTTTGTAAAAAAAGGGTTCTCCTAACAAATTATAATGTATAGGAATGTATCGCAATAAATAATGAAAAAGTTTATGCACATAACACTCTAGCACATGAACAAATTTTATGCAATAAATCACGATAATCGACAATACACTTTCACATTTATAGCTTATTATGTAGCGGTATGATCAGCTGTTTTATTTACAAAACGAATTGTTTGAATGTCAATTTGATCCATACTATTATTATAAATGTGAAAGTTTGTTTGTTTGTCCTTCTTTCACGTCGAAACGGATGAACGGATAGACGGATGGGCGTGATTTTTTGTGTGTAGATTGGAGGGCTGGAGACTGACATAGGCTACTTTTTACTGCGGGAGATTATGTAATTCCCACGGGTAAACACGTTATAAAACAATCCAAAAAAATATTTATGATCAGAATTACTTGAAACTTGGTATTGCTCTTCAATAAAATTAATTAAATACGTATTTTAGCATTCTTCGAAATTCATCATGTGTGACATAGGGGATGAAAATTTGTATGACACACTACCTTTTTAGACATTTTTTTGTAGTTTTAGCGCGGGCGAAGCCGTGGGTTTTGCTAGTTTTTATATAAATTGCACTTTAAGTACTTTATATTATTATTATGTTAATATTATTATACATATTATAGATACAAACATTTACTTTTTTTTATCGATTTAAATAAATAGCATTTGTTTAGGTGTGTTCCAAAGTTACAATGTTGGTTCTGATCGTGTCGGTCCACTAGACCACCGCAGTTACTGTTCACACAATATGTACATTAATAAATAAGTTTTCTTATTCCATTCACAGATAACACACACACACACACAGTGACACGGTTGGCTCAGTTTGTAGAGACCCTACTCGCTGTGCCAGCGGTTGGGTTCGAGTCCCGCTGGGGACATTCATTTGTGTGATGAGCACGAATGTTTGTTCTCCAGTCATGGTTGTTTATATTTATAATATGGATGTATTTAAAATTATATAATACGTGTAGTCAACTGTCTGGTATCCATAATACAAGCCTCGTAGCTTACCATGGAACTAGATGGTGGTGTGTGTTAATGTCCTAACATATTTGTTTATTTATTCACAGATAACATAGGCAGCCTGAAGAAGCGTGCGGCGCCGCTGCCGCCGGGCGTGGCGGCGCCGCTCCCGCGCTCCACGCCCTCGCCCTCGGCGGACTCCACTCGCTCCATACATGGTGTGTTGTGTTTACTTGTTAATCTTTGTACGTATGTATATATTACTGAACTCTTTCTCAACGGATGGACTTATTTTGATGAATTTTTTTGTGTATATTTGAGTGGGCACCTGGTTGATTTAGATACACACCATAGGTAAGACAAACACTGACACAGTAAAAAATAATTCAATTTTTTAGGATTTTTGGCATATTAAAACATATAACCCCGAAAATTTCATTAAAATCGGCCCAGCCGTTTAGGAGTTCTGTGACATACACACGTATAGAAAAAACATTTATATTATATTCGGACAGGATAATGTCTGTCGATATATAAATTCATGTATGGAAATTTCACTTATAAATGTTATCAAATATAATTAACATTCAAAATTAATAAACATATCTGTAGGGATAAATTTTCTTATAGCCTGCAATAAATTTAGACTGGTTTGGTTAGATTTGGATGAAAATTAGTATACAGGTAAGTCTATCTGAAAGATTAATAACTTAAGTTACTGTTAGGTCCCGAGTAAAGCGAGAATAAATCATTATATAAAAAATTAAAGAGTGCGTGCATGAACGTGTGTATACTCGCAAGAAGTAAAATTTCTGTAGGTTATCGGTACTCTTTATGAAATTCAATTTCTGTTTTAAATAATTAGGATAGGTGAGATACTAGAAAAACGCATTTAAGGCATATTACAAACATATATTTATAGAATATCATTTAAGGAAAGAATATAATATTATATATAATTTGTCAGACAATAACAACGGTTACCATGGCAACAAACATTCGCCTCGTACACTTATAATGTGTAATATTATAAAACAAAAATAAATGTAATCCATGGCAACCGTACTTTTTTCTGGGATAAAAAGTAACCTATGTGTTATTCTGATGATTATATTGCTCATAGCAATATTATTGCAAAGTTTCATCAAAATCCATTCAGTAGTTTTTGCTTGAAAGAGTAACAATCATATATATATATATACACACTCACAAACTTTCACATTTATTATATTAGTTTAACTACCTCGGTGGTGTAGTGGCTAGCATGTACGGCTGCACACCCGGAGGTCCTGGGTTCGAGTCCCGGGTCGGGCCAAGTTTAGTTATTGAGTCTTCTTGTATAGTAAGTCTCAGTAACAGCCCGGAGTTGGGAAGTTGGCGGTGTTTCACCCCCGTGCCTCGGAGAGCACGTAAAGCCGTCGGTCCTGCGCCTTAACTCTCACCGGTCGTGTCGAGTGGTCGTCCCACCGGAGTATGAGAGTGATAGGAATAGAGAGTGCACGTTGTGTCTGCGTGTACACTTGAGCACTATAATATCTCCTGCGCAGTTGGCTAATATCATTGAGATTGGCGGCCGTGGCCGGAATCGGCTAGGAGAACATCATCATCATCATCAGTTTATTGATATATCATCTGTCAGACAATAACAACGGTTACTCTGGCAACAAACTTATGTACATTTTTCCATAACGCATTCACCAGCTTACCCCCATGTCAAGCTTGCGTAAAGAAATGTCACTTCAATAATCGGCAATGAATGTCAGGTGTGCCGCTGGGCGCGGCGGGCGCGGCGGGCGCGGCGGGCGCGGCCAGGCCCCGGCCGCAGCAGCAGCCGCCGCCCACGCCGCCGCCCGCGCTGCACAACGGCGCGCACCGCGACGAACCCACGCCCCCGCCGAGAAAGGTAACTTGCTGTTCATTCATTCATTATATATTATTTTTTATTTTTATGTTATATTCTCCATTTTACTTTTTTTTATTGACCCACTTCAATTGTAAGAGGCGGTGGTCGATTCGGAATCTTCGCTAATTGTGATCGATTTTCATAATTATTTTTCAATTCATAAATTACCTGTAAACCAATAGTTCCATATGAATTCCAAAAAAAATCCGCTACCGCTAAAACTCTTGGAAGTCATTAGTGTTATAAGGAAAGGAAACGTTTTCGTCTCAGAACGTAGTGTGCTCCGAAGCTGGTAATAGTTTTCATTATTACTAATATTATACCGTAATGATAGGGAATGTGCGTGATTACAAAAAAATGTTTATACAATAGTTAACATCGTTATGTAATTGTAAAAAAATATCCAATCCCGAAAAACTAAAATTTATTATAAATTTAGTTTTTTAATATATTTTTTTTAAATATCATACCGATATGGATACTTTACACGCTCGCCATTCCGCGCGCTCTTCGTGACATCACAGATATACACAGAGAAATGACGAATCAATTTGTAGCAAAATTGCTAATTAGCTCTGTTATGATAATACTTTGACGTCATATACGGTCTGACCAATGGCGTGCGATTCAACTACTTTTTATTTCTCAACTATATTTGCACTTTTAAATAATTATTTTCTTAATCAAAAAGAAATTATATTAAAAAAACATACAGTCGAATTGAAAACCTCCTCCTTTTTGAAGTCGGTTGTTGAAAATATTGATATATGCTTAATTCGAAAGCAATAAAAAGTATAAAAAAATATTTCACCTTTATTTAAATCACATGCATATTCCTTAATATGGAGGTTTCTCAATTTGGGTAAATATTTTTATTTTGGTGTATGCTGGGTAATATCTTCGGCCATTTTGATGAGATATGATTATTTAATCTCATATATTGTTGTAGAGCATCGTGATTCATTGTATATTAAACTGCCAAATATAATTCAGAAATTCAAAGTATAATATGTAGTACTTTAGATCGATAGACGAGCATATGTATATATTATACATATAAACATTTTTAATTGAGTAATTTCGAGCATGGCATTTAAAAAAATTCGTTAAAATTGAATACGTTATTTAATTATTCTAGTGCTCCAGTGCTTAATAAACTATTTTTTACTTATATCAAGTGATAATAAAAAATATTTTCTTGTGTATAAGAAAATTAATTTAAAATGATGACTCTTTTTTTTTAAATAGAGGATTTTAATATTGGATATATGAAGTTGTATAAAAAAGTATGTCCGACTTTACAATTCAGGAATTTTAGGAGGTTACCCGTACGTACTCGTAGCGTAAGTCGACAACGAATAAGAGATAATTTTATATGTAAAAGGTTATGATGACACCTTAAATATATAGTATACTAAATACTAACCTGAGAAATAGTACAGGATTTATTTGTTTTTGCTTCAGAAGAAAAATAGATTGCACCTGGAAAATGCAGTGAAAGGGAAACTGAAAAGGGTAAAGGACTGAGAAAGCTTTAGTGTAATAACTCGCTTACCCTTGTTTACGTCCTATACACGATTTGTATATTTTTGTGTACCGTCCGTTTATATTGTCAAGAGAATATCGATAAATATTTTAAATTATTTCTATTATTTTTTTTAATTAATGCGTAAATTCGAGATGTTTTAAGAACAAAACTTACATTTTTAGAAACTGTATATTTTATACTATGGCCTAATTTCGATAATATTTGGATTTGGAATTGGTATTTAATAATTAATCGAAATTACTTATCATCTAAAAATAAGCTTAAAATTCTTAATACAACGAAGCATATATCACAAAAGTAGTGTTTTGTGAGTGGCATCTCGTTCATTATGGCATCTCGTTACACTCTTCACTAGTTATGGGTTGGCCAAATGTTTATGCTATTTTAATTTGTTTAGTAATACAGTAGTTTATTAAGCTAATTTATGAAGACTATTAGATAAACGTTTGGAACCCTGAGTACCCTTATATTAAAAAAAAATCAAGAAATTTGGCATAAAATACAAAAAATGTATCTTTTCTATCATCGATGAAGTCTCTTGACAATAATTACCTTGGGGTTTTCTGAAATTGGCATACGTAATCGATTTGTATGCTCATTTTGTCAATAATACAATTTATATATGCATGAATTTTTATCTATATTCAAAAGCTTTCTTCAGTATTAGTTCATCAAATTAAAGATTTTAAAATAGATTTTGTTAGAGTAGAAAATTATGTAATTAAGTATATAGACCGTAATGTACATAATAGAGTTCTAACAAATATTTTTATGTTTTATAAGATTGACAAATAACATGCACATTTTTTGATATTTTCAGATTGGACTAACAATTATTATATATAAGAATTGCATGATTAATATGTGCAAAATAAAAAGAAATATATTGCAATTTTATTTTAATATTGATCAAAGAGGTTTTTAACTTGACCATCACCATAATAAATCTTTTTAGTTTCTTTTAGATTGCTTTAAACCAACTTATGGTCAGTCAAAAACTATTATTGTCACAAACTGCTTTTATACAATTCGCAGAGCGTAATCAATAGTAATAGCGTAACATATATAGCAACGGCCATTTTGTGTATTACCAAAAGTGAAAAAAACATTTTTTTTTTACTTTAATTATAAGAAACAATTTAACTAGACGATGAAAATAAATCATAATCTTAATTTAAAGAATATTCTTTTATTTTTTTGTCATGTTAAATTATAACTTATAACATGTTTGTTCCCTTTTGATAGTACACATAGCGATAGATAGAAGTTAGACGATCAAAATGAACAATATATACTTAACTGGTAATACTGAACATGTCATATTGCAGGAATGTTCTAGTCAAGACTCGTCGTTAGAGCTGTGCGACATATCGGACGCGCTGGACGACAGCCGCCTGCAGTCGGCGCTGTCGTGCGACAGCTCGCGGTCGCGCGAGCGCTCGCGCCGCAGCGACAGTCGCTCGCTGGACGTGTCGGACGCCTCCAGCGTGCACTCCAGATCGCCTTCCACATCTATCACCATGGTATATTATTTAGCTATCACTATTGTATTTTGTTTACATTTAAGATACATTTTCAAGTAGATGCCGAAATCATAAAAAGTAGCGAAGAGGCCAATTTCGATAAATGAAATTGTATTTATCAGGAATTACGATTCTAAATTTCTTAGAACTTTTGTATTTTTCTTTGCAATCCACGAACTTTAAGATACTTTGCTGCCAAAAGAGTGAATTTAAACATGTCCAAAATGTCTGGTCATATTGTGTTCAGTCCAAATGACCTAAAATTACACTCGAGCACCCGTGCTAACAAATTTAACATATTCTAAAGTTTTAAGAATTAAAATACATACGAGCCAAAATAAAATTATTAACAAACAGCCAATAAGATTTAATTTCTTTAATGATTTCCAGATGGGAGGCGGCATGCGACGGTGTCGTGCGTTGTACGACTGCTCCGCGGACAACGAGGACGAGCTGTCCTTCCGGGAGGGCGAGATCATCGTCGTCATCAACGAGCGCACCGAGGACGACAACTGGATGGAAGGCCAGGTGGAAGGCACCGCGCGGCGAGGCATGTTCCCCGTCTCTTTCGTACACATGCTACCCGACTAAGATGAAAGAGACGCACATACATCTGTCACCTCAGTTTGATTCAGCGACGAACTTCCACGACGATCGAACCGTTTTTTGTATTCGCGTTGCTTGATTAAGCAGACGGTTATACACATGCTTCCCGACTAAGATGAAAGAGACGCACATATGTATATCTGTCACCTCAGTTTGATTCAGCGACGAACTTTCACAACGATCATCGAATCGTCGTATAAATTCGCGTTGCTTGGTTAATTAGACTGTTAATATCTTATCGGTCCATATCCGACGAGTCAACAAATACGTGTTCATAGAAACTTCCTCGATGATTTAGCTTTAAAGCCATCGTCTTTTTGGTAAGTTGAACTACTTCGATTAGAATCTAGAAACTTCGATCGCATCTTAGTCTTACTATAATCTTTTATTATACCATCTTTTGAAAAGGTTATAGGTGAGTGGAAAGTATTAAGTAGATTTTATTGAATTTCTCGTTGTATATTTAAATTATATAATATATAGAACACAATATATAATATTACCACGATATCTCAGGGCAGAGTAAAAAATGGAACACAATATTTGGCCTAAGCTTCAGCATTCATTTGGAGAGCTATGAGCTTATTTACTCTAGCATTTTGTATATGAATATTGATATGAGTTCAAAGAATGCACACTGTTCGGTTGTTGCGAGACGAGACGCCCGCGGCCGCGCCCCGACGAATTACTTTAATGTGATATCATCTGCACAAACATTGTTTTTATACAAAAGTTTTAATACTTCGTACATTTTTAACGTGACATTTTGGAATATTTTATCATCTATTTATACGATTTTAAACAATTTAAAAGTGTTTTATTAGATAATTTAACAAGTCTCAAGCACTTATTATTATTATTATTATTACAAGTATTAGAATATCATTATGATTACTGCTTTAGTATTATGAACAATGACACCAATATAAGTAAGAATTGCCATTAGCAACTCCGTCCCGATACGGATTTTTACTTGAATTTTGTTTATTTAAACATTTTTTCGATTTGTAACAATTTCTAAACGGCTATAATAATGTTCAAAAAGTGCTCAAATTGAAGCAATAGCTATAAAAGGGGCAAACGAAATGTCGATATAATATATATATGTATATTTAAAATTCGATATTAATGTTTGTGTAGAAGTTTAATTACGTCTTTCGACTGTAAAGCTCAGAGAGTGATTTGCCAAAAATTATATTAAATGTGATCTTTATAGTTGGAGTAATATATATATATGTATTTTGAACGACTCAAACTCTTGGACCAGTGACCGTTTGTTGTGTAGCTGTTCTTGTAGTTAATGTCTTAGATTGTTGGTACATGTTTCTTAGAGATTGTGTTTTGTATGGATACTATGAGTGTTCGAAATCATTGGTACATCAATCATCAACATACAACTCGTGTGATCCGAACACTTTTGTAGGAAGCAATATGAAATTGTAGCACACTCAAATATTTCAAGTAGTATTGACTTGTCTACGTATCAAATGAACGGACCATAAATATGTAGGTGACTTAGTTTTTAAGTGTTGCCATTGCTTTACATGCTACTTCTAACGCTTGTAGTATCCATTTAAACGCGGATTTTGAATCTTGTTATAAATGTTAAATTTTATCACTTCACAGAGTAAATAGCCGCAGTTACAGATGCATCTTTCTCTTGTATAAAGTTATGCGATATATCGCTTTACACACAGATGGAAGGGTGTTCGTTTATTACGTAATTTATATAAATCTTACTATAATTTAAATTAAGAGAAATATTTATAAAAAATCCTATTCTAAATAAGGATAAAAAATGATTTTACCTGTTAACTTTTCAGTATCTTACGTAATAAAAGAATAACTCTTTCTTTATATATAATTGTGATACATATAACGTACCACACATTCCCTTGTAATTATTTAGCTTGTGTGTATATTAAGTTGAAAAAGTCCTATAATATTTATAGCATTAAGAAGCATTCATTGTAATAGTTACCTTCATTAACGCGCGTTGCCATAAACCTAGTATTATAAAATATTTACACGAATTATTATTTTTCATTAATTACTAGCGACTCACCCTGCCTCTGTTCGGGTTCGTCCCTGGTTACCTTATAACGTTTAGTATAGATTTCTCAGAGATGGGATATTTTCCCGCAGTAAAAAGTATCCTATGTGTTGATCTAGATAACATCTGGATAATCATCATATTAAATTTCATCAAAATCTGTCCAGTGGTTTTCTCGTTATGCGTTCCCAGACAGACAGAGAAACAAAAATTCTAAAAACCATAGATTTGGCTTCTGTATCGATAATAACGACTATTTCAATAAGATTTCCCAAAAAACATTTCATGTACAAACTACTCAAAATCAGAAAGAGTTTTATAATATGTATAGATTAATACACACGTCATCGAGAAACCCAAACATTTTATTCCAATATAAAAATTATTCGAGTTTACGTTATGCAGATTATTATGTTGTAAATAAACATTTCAATAATGTTTCCTTCAAAGATCATTATAGCTTCATAATTTATTTTTAGTATGTATGTGCTCAAAATATTAGCGCGTTGAGTATTTGCTGTCCTTGTATTTAATTGACTGTATTTATTTAGCCATTGTAAATTTTGTGATGAAATATTTTAATGCCATTTTAGATTTATCATAAAAGATCATTTGTTAATAATTTAATACAAAGTTAGACTAAAGTCGTAGTTTGTTTCGTGTATTTATAAGAAATTTAAAAAGAATTTTAAAATACCATCGGTTTTAGTACGACTTTGTAGTAAATTATATATGATCCAGTATGTTACTTTATTAAAAATGTATGTAACCAAATGATGCTATAGTGTAAGATGTTTTATTCTCTAATGTAGTATATTAAATGGAGTTGTAGTTGAAATAGTTTTTTCTATTGTGTATTATCTGAATGAAAATCTGTATGAATTTATCAATACATCATTTCGATGTTAATTTTGGTATTATTTGAATTTATATCCACCATTCCCATCATAATTTCCTATTGATTCTATATTTATCATCTTATTCCGATTTAATTCGATATTGTAGGTAAGTATAAAAGACAGGACAAATCCTATACTCATCATCCGAAAAGAAACAATGCAGAGACATCTTAGAGTATAAAATATCGAATATAGCGCAGTTATATTTAGTAGAAATATTTATGAAATGTAGGTTTTATTATTGAAGACATATTGAATTCTAAAATGAATCACAGATGACAATACTATCTATGTATATATTTTATATTAGTCATTAATATTATAAATGCGGAAGTTTCGATGGATGTTTGTTACTTAATCACGCCAGAATGGCTGAACGGATCTAGATGAAATTTGGCACAGGGATAGATTATATTCCGGAAAAATGTACGGTTCCCGTGGGATAGATTTCTATTACTAAAAAGATTTATTAACTATAAATGCTTATTTCATTCGCATTCAAAAATTTATTTTTTATTAAAATAGAAGTCGGTACATAAAAGAATTACAAATTGCATATCTTTAAAGTATATTATTTATTAAAATATAAAATGTCTAAAAATCGTATGCGTCATTAAATTATTAAATGAATTAAAAAAAATATATAAAATGACATTGACAGCTGAGGCGTGAGGCTGACAACTGACAAGTGACATTATGACGAGCATCTAAAATGTAGATTTTGTAAATATTTATTTTTAAACCTTAATAGTAATACAAAAATACAAATATTTATTGATATAAATATTATTTTTACCGGCACAAATTCAGGATTGGGGACTTTGCCCCTAGCGGAGTGGGTGGTATTTCTGGATAAGGGACGTGATAGGGAGTCGAAATGTTAAATAAAAATTGTCCGCGAACGTATGAGTAAAAAGTTATTGAGACTTAAAGTTACAACATTTCCATACATTTTCATATATTTCTTTACCACCATTCGGAGTGGGTGGTATTTTTAGATAGGGGAGGTGACAGAGAGTCAAAATATATTAAAAATATTTGGAGGAAACGTACGAGTAAAAAGTTATTGAGACTTACAAGTTATAACATATCTAACACATTTCCATACATTTCTTTACCTAAATAAGTGATTACAACAGATAAACATACCTTTAACGAATAGTACGCATCCTTTTTTATGTACATTACACATTTTCACAACAATTAATGCTTTATTGTATTTAATATTTTAATAATTTCACAACACAAACAAAACGATCTTACATTTTGACAAAAGCAAAACTGACACTTTGTTTTATATTACCGCTTAAATGACAACAGATTATATTTGATTATTTTTGCTTTTTCTGTTGGTAAAATATTAATATTAATAAATAAATAAATAAAAAGAAAAATATTATTTTCATTTCATAAATACATTTATGATTTTTTATCTGATTTATGTAAAATATATTGTTTTACAATTGTACATTTAGTAAAAAAAAATCATTTTTTTATCTGTGAATATTTTTCAGTATTATTGGCGGGTGTTCTTAAAATACCGCGAAGTTTCATAATTTGTTACTCTGTACCCTGTATTCAATTATTATTTTCCATTAGTTATTAGTTTTTGTTAATTTTTATATGCTTTCATTTCTTGTTTTTGTTTTAATATTATTTTTATAGTTTTAAGTGTTCATAGTGTTAGTGTAAACAATTTATAAACGTGAGTAGACTATTTTTAAAATCTAAATGTATTATTTACTTTTGGTTTTTATTTTGCGACATCGTGGTTAGTTTAAGACATAGGTTATTTATTTATTATTCGTCATATCTTGGTTAGGTTAGGTTAGAACATTTAAGATTATTTATTTATTATTCCTCATATCTGGGTTAGGTTAGGTTAGAACATTTAAGATTATTTATTTATTATTCCTCATATCTGGGTTAGGTTAGGTTAGAACATTTAAGATTATTTATTTATTATTCCTCATATCTTGGTTAGGTTAGGTTAGAACAGTTGCCACAACGCACGAGCCGAGCGAGCGAAGCGAGCGTGCCGCGGTAGCGGCCGGCGAGTGCCATAAATGACTAGAAAACTAGAAAATTCGAATTTCACGCAAAGTACAAATAAAGACAATCATCTGGAGATTATTTTGACAATTGAAAGTGACGTTTTGACTCCAAGTGTCTAAATGGTAGTAATGTCAAAATAATGTATGGAAATGTTGTAACTTTAAGTCTCAATAAATTTTTACTCATATGTTCGCGGACAATTTTTATTTAACATTTCGACTTCCTATCACGTCCCATATCCAGAAATACCACCCACTCCGCTAGGGGCAGAGTCCCCAATCCTAAATCGCAGCCTTTTTACCTTTATTATACTTAATATAAGATGTAGTTAAGAATAATTCGTAATGTTCGATCGCTTTACATATTTTTTTAACAAATTACATATTATCAAGTATTATCGCAATAAAAATTAAAACAAAGTATACCTATCACAGAGCAAAGTCAAAGTTATAAGCTGATAAAGTTGCTCTTGCTAGTTGCTACACAACACAAAGTGTTTTAACATGGTTTCACGGAAAAGAGTATTTGACTTACTTCGAACTATAAATGTTGCCTCGTAAGTTCTTCAAAGTTTTAGTTTTTAATGAAATGACAAAGAATACAAAAATATATATATTATTATTACGATCTATTGGCTTAAATATTTTTATTTGTATTGCGACCTAAAGCAAAATAAAAGATAACAGCTGATACCCTTGCTAGGAAAAGTAATAATTTCAGCATTTATTTAACATAGTATAAAAGTTTTAGTATATAATGAAAAGAAATGATGTAAAGCATACATTAGTTTAAACAATAATAGCAAGTTGATCCCTTATTTTTATTTGATTTGCAACCTAAAAGTCACCTGTATGTCTCTATTCTAGCATAGATGGTATAGTAGTTATTTTAATTGATTAATTTATTTTAGGTGTCAGTGCCCAGCACACAGTCATAGAGGGAATTTTCAAGTTACACATAATACTCCTTCTAAAGATTATGCATTTGAGGTAAGTATATAATATATTATCTTATCTCTCACTGCTTTATCAGTGGTGCACTAAGTTATACTTAAGCTTATGGGCAAACTAAATATATAGTCAAAAACAAATAACATAATTTTCAAATTACATCTATACTTGTTATACTGAACTGCCTTTGCTTGTCTATTGGTTAGTTTGTATGGCTCTATATCCTGAGTTCCTAGGTTTGAGTTCCATGTTGGACCCAGTATAGTTATTTGGTACTGCAAAGGAATTCTTAGTAATAAAGATCCTCTGGCTCCTCCATCGATCTCAATGGTCAAGTTGTATTATCATCCCACCAAACTTTTTGAGTAAAGAAATAGAAAAGACTACTTTTATTGAAATTAGCGGCCATTACTGTAATAAACCAGGAGGACATTATTGTTATTTTTATTCTTTGTTTCAACTTTGCAGTATATAGCATTTATTTTAAGCTAACAAACAGTTTTGTTTGAAATATACGTATATACTTGTGAAATTAAATTCAGAAACTAAATAGTTGAATATAGTTATAATGTGTAACATACCAAAATCATGATTCTCATCATATTTTTGGTTATTGACCAGAAAAGTATATAAAAAGTGTGTTTTTTGTGTATTTCACACATTTTTCTGTAAATTCTAAATTTTTTTTGTAAAAAGTAAGATATTTTTTTTTATAAAGATGTTATACTTCAAATGTGGTCATATTAATTTTGAGAAAAAATCTGCTACAAAATGATTAGTTTTACAAGTTATTTTAAAATTGGTTTATTTTTCTAGTCAAAAAGTAATTATATTCATTGCAGATAAAATGCTCTACTGTAAGGTATGGCTTAGGTGTTACGAGAGAAGTTGGTCAGGATTTAGTTAATCTTGGAGCAAAAAATGTGTGTGTCATGACAGATGCTAACGTTGTTTCTCTGAGCCCAATGAAAGCTGTTCTTGATTCCCTTACCAAGAATGGAGTTAATTACAAAGTGTATGACAGGGTTAGAGTTGAACCTACAGACTCAAGGTAACTCTATTTATTAACTGAATTATTTATTATACTTTTAAGTTATTATTTTATATTTCAATACTGATTATTTGATAGGGCTTGTTTGTTTAGAATATATATTAACATCTTAAAGCTTTCAAGTCTTTATTGATTAATTTAAATTAAAAAAAATATTACATTTATATTAAGACATTAATTAAATAAAATTATAACAAAACATTTTTCCTCAATAGTATATTTAAATATTAGTATTTGAACTGAGTAAAATATTTTTCTAATTATTTTCAACTCGAGTGAGATTTTTTGTTTTTTTATTATAACTCTTGAGTTGTAAGAGTCATCTTGAGAGAGGTAAATATAATGTAACAATTTACTGTGTTCATTAAAACGATAACCGAAAACATTAATGTTAATTAAAATTTGCGAACATTATTCCAGCTTTAAAGACGCGATAAAATTCGCAAAAGATGGTAATTTCGACAGTTTCGTGGCAATTGGTGGGGGCTCGGTAATGGATACGTGTAAAGCAGCCAATTTGTACTATTGCGATCCGAACGCGGAATTCCTTGATTATGTAAACCAGCCCGTGGGCAAAGGAAAACCGGTTACAGTGCAACTGAAACCTTTGATCGCAAGTACGTTAAGTGTCCATATTGTGTTCAAGTTCATATAAATTTATTCACACTTGTGACTTGTTTTAATACATTTCATTACAGCGGTGTAAAAACACAAAATTATTTAAAGTTTAAGACATGTATCGTGACGTAATAGAGCTGATTATTGTTATTATGTTAGACTTCTTACCACATTATACAATATTTTATTATTATTGTTAGAGTTCAGATGGTTTTTGGTAATGCCTACTTGATGTTGCTCATAGGATCGATGACTGGACGAGGAAGGGTATAACCACAGATCCTTTGTGCATTACGTCCTTGTGTAAATATAAAACATAAAATGGGTTTTGCAATTGCACGTGGATAGTCAAATATTGCACATAAAATACTCAAAGGAGTCTCTGAGTTGATTTCTAAGGAAACTTCCAGATTTTGCTAAAAATCCATTCATATGTACTTCAGTAATTGACCATTAATATGAAAATTTAAAAGGCTTTAATGGAAATTTTATAAATATATATTGTTTCTCCACAGTTCCGACTACAAGTGGGACAGGTAGCGAAACAACTGGCATGAGCATATTCGACTTTGAAGAAATAAAAGCCAAGACTGGCATATCTCATTCGGCCTTACGTCCAATGCTGGCTTTAATAGACCCTTTACACACTCTAACAGTGCCTCGTAATGTCGCCATATTTTCTGGCTTCGATATATTTTGTCACGCTCTGGAGAGCTTTACAGCGATACCATACACAGAGAGGGGACCAGCACCGGAAAATCCGGCGTTACGACCAGTTTACCAAGGAAGCAATCCTATATCTGATGTTTGGGCTAGATTTTGTTTGCAAGTGAGATATTTATTTATACTTCATCCTCCCTTACATATTTTCAATCTAGGTGCTTGCTTCGGCTTTTCCTCTTACAGTAGTGCCAAAGTTTGTACGGGATACAATACTGACACCATTGTGGGTACATTTTAAAAATATTTGTTTTCGTGGTTACCTGTTAGAGATCATAATAGGAATATTCTCGTAAGCCAATGGATTTATTACAATATTAACTGGCTCGATAGATTGTTCTTTCCTTAATATAAAATAACTAGCTTGCTTCCCAATACAAACTTTCATCGCCATTTTCACCCCCTTAAGGAATGATTTCCAGGATAAAAGTATCCTATGTGCTTCCTAGGGTCTCAAACTATCTTCTTATCAAATTTCATCTAAATCGGTTCAGTAGATCCAGACATTACCCCTACAACGTCACAAACTCACAATCTCACAAACTTTACCTCTTTATAATATTAGTACCTATAGATGATCAACTTTTTATCCGTGACTCCGCTGGAGCTGTTCACTAGCACTTAAAATTTAAACTACAAGCTACTTGCAGTCTTTCCAGCTTACTTAGTACCTAACCTTTTTGTTCTAAGAGTTACTCGTAGCGTGATACGAATAACCTGTAAAATGTAGTACGATTTTTTCAAACGTTTGTAAAGATAGGTTGGTATTGATTTATAATTGTAATTAAACAAAATATATGAAGCCATGATTATATTGTGTAGATTTTCAATCTTAAAAGATTAGTCATGGGGCAGTACCTAATTACCACGTTAATTTTATATTTACTTCTAAGTAAATTTTATAAAAATATTATTTTTAAAGAAAAAACAAATGGCTATTTACTATTTATTTAAACTGGGAAAACCAAATTATGAATCAGAGTTTATCAAAAACATATTTTTGCTCAATATTATTTCATATCAAGTACTTTAAATATCCATACAGTAGGAGTTTGCCTATAATAATGACGGAATTTCCGCCAAATACTTAAAAGGGATCAAAAATGGTCATCGTCATGGCGAATAGTTTCGAAGTTAAAATGGTGTAGTTAAAATGTCAGCTTATTTACAGTTAAATGCCCGATAACTAAAAAGCTGTTTCCCGACTTTCAATATCCATAAAGGCAAAACCTATGACAGTCGGGAGTCGTCGCGCACGATGCACCTGTCTAGACGCGTACGTTAAAGAACTGCTTAAAACCAGGATAATAATAATCTGTCAATTTATAAGGTTCTTCGCAAATACTTTGCCCGATCAGTGGACAACCCAGACGATATCGAGGCTCGGTCGAACATGCACCTGGCGGCCACGATGGCGGGCGTGGGCATCGGCAACGCGGGCGTGCACCTCTGCCACGGCCTCGCCTATCCCATCGCTGGGAACGTGAAGCAGTATGCGCCGGAAGATTATGGGTTGGTAGTAGTTTAAAATGAAACTATTTTCTTTTACAAGTGAGCGTGGATTGTATAAAGCGACTCTCGTTAGGCAAAAACAATCAAAAATCTTTGGTATATTAATTTTAATTTCACAATCCAATAACAATATTGCATCCAATACAAAGGACTAGCTAGCCAGTTGAGTTAGATCAGTGATAATGATTAATTAAGCGTTGCAGTTGCAAAGAGTCTGTTACTTGTATTTAAATAAAATAGGCGGCTAGCTTTAGTTAATGTTATTCTCTCTATCTCTCTCTATAACGTGTTACAGTTCAGACCCAATCATACCACATGGTCTAGCAGTGACGGTAACTGCCCCAGCCGTATTCCGCTTTACTTCAGCGAGTGACCCTGAGAAGCATCTAGAAGCCGCACAACTCTTAGGCTCCGATATTACTGGCAAGAAGCAAGAAGACTCAGGCGAAGTACTGGCAGATATCATCATAAAGTATATGGACCGGTTGGGCATGGAGAATGGACTGTCAGCTTTTGGTTACACCAGGGAAGATATCCCCAGTTTGGTTAAAGGAGCTTTGCCTCAAGTAAGTATAAGTGCTGAGATAATAATTGATATCTCGTCTTGCAAGGAACAGTATTGTAACTCAGTGTAGTGACTTTAGGTAGGTATTATGGATTTAAAAACATAAGAGAAATTAGCGGCTCACCCTTGCTCCGTTCGGGTTCGTGCCTGGTTACGTTTTAACGTTTAGATACATTTATCAGAGATGAGATATTTTGCTGCAGTAAAAAGTATATATGTTGACCCGGATAACCAGCTATCATCATACCTCATCAAAATCTGTCCAGTGGTTTTCTCGTGATGCGTTCCCAGAGAGACGAAAATTCTAAAAACTATAGATTTGGCCTCTGTATCGATAACAATGACTATTTCAATAAGATTTTCAAAAAAATACTTAATGTACAGATTTGACTCAGAATTTTATTATATTATGTACAAATTAATGTCTATTTTTTATATACTCTCTTTATGGAGTTACAACTTTTCTCCTTACAGTTGTTGACTTTATATATCTTTAATAATATTTGAATAATATAGCTAATAAAAATGCAGTGTTTATTTTTTTTTAAAGAATATTTTTAGGTACTTATTTTCCTTTTAAATTACTTCTTTCTATTGCTTTAGGTTTATATGTGCTTTTAATGTTCATTGAAATTCATTTTAAATATTTATTTAATAAGTTAATGTATCATTTCAAAATTGCATTTTTAACTTATTGTGAGAGATTTATGATTGAGTACTTTTTTATATTTCCAGCATCGCTTGCTGAAGATTGCTCCAGTACCTCAATCTGAAGAAGACCTGTCGAAACTATTAGAGGACTCGTTGACTATATACTAATGTTATAAATTAAAATAATTTTTGTTGTTATTGTTACCAATTTATTTACTGTTATCAATAAAAGAATATAACAATTAAGGTTTAATTTTTATTAATTTTAAGTACATAAAATAATACCTATCAACTAATTTGTATAATATATAATTATGTATATCTTACATTAATTTGTTGTAATTTGACTTCAATTTGTTACTTCCACTAAAATTATAAGAACAGCGCTAGATTTTAAGACTCGGAAGGTTCATTCGGGAAAATCTGAAGGCACTTAATGCTCAATGTTCGATATGTAGACGGGGTTTGACTAGCGCTTATGTCTATCACTTACTGCTTAAATAGAAGTTAAGACAGTTAATGTGTTTACAACGATTATTTGTACCGTAAATTACACCGCCTCGGGAACGATATTGCTGTGGTGGAATGGGCTGCTCTCGTAAGACATGTTGGATGCCTTCACGGTGACGTTATGTAGAGGCGCGTAACGGTTTAATTTGGGTGTGGTAGGGCCGGTCAAGTCCTCTGACAACTGCTGGTATACAAGCCCGCAATCCTTCTTTGTACGCCCTGCATGACTCATGGCGGCGATAATGGCACTGTTGTAGCGTATCTGCTTGTTCCGCCTGTTACAGACGATCATCACTACTTTAGCGATCGCGAGCAAAAGTAGCAATGCGCCAAGAATAGCAATCAAAATTGGCCACAAGTAGTCATAGTGACCGTGCTCTGAATCTATAACGGTCGCTTTAACATACATCTCTGGTTCGAGATCGTCGTACATATTATCATTCTCTAAGAGTTTAATGTCTATTTTCACATTGTTACTTTGGGATTTGTCAATTGGTTTAGAGGAGGGAGTTGATGATATTTCGATTAATTTAACTTTGAGATCAACATTGTCGTCATCTTCGTCGTATTCCTCGCCCGATTCATCTTCGTCTTCTTCTTCTTCTTCACTGTCCTCTTGGTGATCATCATCGTCTGCGTCAGAGTTGTCATCATCATTAAATTGGTCAGTATTGTTATTAATCATTTTAGTGTCGTCAGCGATCTTACCGTCGTCTAAGGTATCTTTCAAGTCAAAGTTGCCTTCAGCATCCGTGTCAATTCTTTCCCATATTTCTTCATCAGACACTGATGGCAGGGGTTCTACAGGATGTGAGATAGGTGTACCACATGTCTTACGAGTAAGGAACTCCCAACTATAAGAACCATCCTCTTCCTTGGCATCAGTAGCTAAGTTTGCGATGCTGGCGGTGTTTGCGTTAGGAGATATTTTGTGATTGCTCAACCAGGTCATGAGGTTTTCAAATTCACGACTGCAAGCTAATAAGTTGTTAGTAATATCAAGAGAACGTAGTTTTTTAAGGGTATCCAATTCGGTTTGTTTAATTTCAGTAATGTGGTTATGCGACACATTTAGGAAACTAAGATTATTGAGAAGAGTTGCCGACTGGTTCTTTTCTGCTTTCCATAGAGCTGTAAGTTCCGCATGACTCATATCTAGCCATGTGAGCATTGGTGTGTAAACGAACACTTCAGCGGATAATACTTTCAAAGGATTACCTTGAAGGTTTAGTTTACCAAGATCCTTGTTTTGCTCAAAAACTTTAGCATCTAGTGTGGTTAACAAATTATAAGATAGATTAATTTCAATAAGTTTTGGGCTTCTAGAAAAGACTCGGCTACTTATAGATTTAATTTTGTTACCAGATAGATTAATTTGAGAAAGTGCAGTAAATGTCTTCAATGAATCATCATAGATTTCTTCAAGCCCACAGTTAGATGCGTCGAACAGATAAATGTTAAATTGTTCAGCAGAACAGTTAAATCCTTTGGCGGGTAAATGTTTTAGTCGAGGATTGTTAGAAATTTTAAAGATGTCTAATTCTATGTTTTCTTTGATAAGAATGCTCGAAATCAAGTCCAAATCGTTATATGAAAGGTCTAAGTAGTTAAGTTCGACTAACTTATGGAAGGCTTGATTGTGAATCTTTTCAATATTATTTCCGCTGAGGTTAAGATTAGCGATGTATGTCATGCCATTAAACATGGAGGGTCCAACAAATTTAATATTAGTTTGTCCGGCGTTTAATGTTAGTAGATCAGAAATTTGTAGCCCGTAGACAGAGTCAATAGGGTTTCTTTGAATGTGAAGGGTAGCCAGTTCAGTGTTCTCAGAAAATATGTCTTCAGGGAGTGATTTAAGATTATTATCACTTAAGTCCAGCTCTTCTAAATCAAGAAGAGTTCTAAATGTATCCGCCTCCATATCTGATAAATTATTTCCAGCAAGGTTTAGATACATGACGCCAGGCATATTCTTAACGGTATTGGAAGTAATATATTGCATGTTACAATATGAAATATCAAACTCCTGTACTGATGAGGCATTCAGGAAGTATTCATTAGAACCAGGTGCGGGGAATTTAAGTGGATTATTTGAAAGGGTCAAAAGCAAGAGCTTTTTGTTATGCGCAAAAGTTTCAGGATGAATGCTCTTAAGTTTGTTGTTAGATAAATTAACAGCATATAATTCGTGAAGACCGTGGAAAGCGTTGGCTCCTATGGAAGTAATAGTGCTGTTTACTATTTTAATTGTTGCAATTTGATGAAGACCTAATTTTTTGAAAATAAAGTCATCCAGTTGTATTTCAGTTTCAGCGTTGTCAATAACGAGATCCGTGATATCATCGCCGAATTTTTGAGTTCCCATTTCTAGACGGTTGCACTTCGCTGTTCTGTATCCCTGAGATACAGTGCATATGCAATCCCTGGGACAAGGCCTGTCCTCGTTGAATAATACCTCTTGGTCATCTGCGGAGTCGTAATCTTCATATTGAAACAGGAAGTTGTCGGAGTCCTTGTTATCTTTCTTTGCAGTTTTGTTAACTGGCTCTGAGATTGCAAGCGCACACACTGCCAGGAGCAGTATTAACTCCCGGGACTTAGCCCCCATGTCGTAGCGAACTCTGAAATGAAAAAAAGGTTATATTAAAAAAAATACATTTACGATTATAACAAATGAGTTCAAGTACAAGGTCACTAATACATAAGAGAAAAAACAAATATTATATTGACTATAGATCCACAAACAGATGTTTAGCATATTATAACATAGGTAAAGCAAATAAAAGTAATTATAAAATCAAACATCTTAAAACAAGTAGATGGACATTTTAACTTCCAATAGAGTCGTCTTGTATGAAGGAATACGAATCTATACTAATATTATAAAGAGGCAGAGTTTATTTGTGTTTGTTTGTTTGAACGCGATAATCTCAGAAACTATTAATCAAATTTCAGAATTTTGTTTGCAATAGATAGCCCGTTTATTGAAAAAGGCTATATCATATAAAATATAGTCTTATTTATTCCATACTAACCGTTAAAACTTAAGTCGACAAACCCGAGTGAAGAAGGGTGAGTCGCTTGTATAAAATATGTAAGTATTAGAAATCCGCAACCTTATTCGTATGTTTAATATTGCTCTATAAATTTTAAGTAGGTATGAAACATGTGTGTTGCAAAACAGATGTCGGTCATATTGTTTTCATGAAATCTTATACGCGTATCTACTACAGCTAGGTACATCTGCTAGCATATCATCGCTTTATACACAATTGAGGTTCTAAGGTTATCTTTCAATTTGCTTATAGTGTATAGGTAGTTACTTTTTATAGTTTCGTACTCGAATGGTCGTCATAGGTAGCCAATGGAATATTTCTAGAATATATGTAAATGTGTTAACATGGCGGATACCATGGAAAGTAAAAAAAAATAAATGCCCGATTTCACCAACGTCACCTAAGTTTCAGGGATCCTCTAAGCATGGTTAGGGGGCTGTTAGGGGACAGTTTCTGTTTCACCGACAGTTAGGGGTCACCTAAATGTTAAAAGGCCCCCTAAATTTAGGTGCTCGAAATATGGGCTTAAAGACGATCGTAAAACGAAATTTAATTTAGGAGCTAGTTTAGGGGACTTTTAGGATAGGGATCCCATACGTAGGTGGTGGCTTATGGGTTGTTGGTGAAATCGGGCAAAAGAGTTTCAATAAAAGAAACACGTTTTAGCATGATACGAGTGAGTGGTAAATTTAAAATAGGACAAAATATTAAAAAAAAGCGTATGGGTTAGACTAAAAGAGGGTTGAATCCATGTTTCATGTGAAAATTGGTTGAACCATGTAGCAATTAGAGTTTTCTTAGTTAACGACTTTGTAACTTATAATGTAAATAAGTTGGTATGTACATTGTACATGTGGGGTACGGAACTCTAGGCATGCGAGTTCCACTTGTACTCGACCGATTTTCTTGTTTCGAAATATTTTACGCATAGGTAAATAACATGAAAGGAAAAAAACATTAGATAGGTACTATATTAAATAAATATATCTACATTTTGTATATACTAACTACTAATATAACTATGAAAGGCATAAGTAAGACATGAGCCATAATTATCTCAAAAGGCAAGTACCGCTGGGTATAAATTATAAGTGGTCTTATGACAAGATACTCTAGTTAAAGTGTTCTATTAAAAGCGACGGCGTTATCTTTATTTGCATAATAATTAATTTGTATTATCAATGTCTTGGAACATACCTATTCTTAATAACAAACATTTTTTGTGAAATTTAACCTTTGTTACTTATATGAAAGTAAATTAGGAGAATTGTCATTGATAATAATATGTACATATTAAATTGATAACCCGTTGGTGACGTAGTCACATATAGTATGATGACGTCAGTCCCAGGGTATAGAATAGGTATCATATATAAAACTGTTTATTTTGACGTTATATCTTGAGAGCAAATATCATATTTGTATGTATTAACGGTCTAATTCCTTAGTTTAATACGATTCAAGATATGTTGTTTACATCAGCATCTCATATATTTTTTATTAAGAATGGTACACGTAGACTTATTATATACTAGCGACTTCCCCTCGATTAGCTCTATATGTTATCGTGGACTTTTCTGTAGGCTTTTTTAAGACCTACAATTTCTAGTACATATGTATATTGTTTTGATGTATTTCTTAAATACTAGCCGGCGTTAGTCTTTCTCGTTTATCGCTCTTTTTTTGGGAAAAAGTGTATCAAAATTAGTTTTGTGGTTCTACCATAAGTCGAAATAAGCGGAGAAACATTGTGTTTTCCCGTGGGAATGAGAGATTTCCCTGTAGTAAAAGATGCACTAAACGCTGACCCTAGTAATAAGTTATCACTACATAAAATTTAGTTAAAATTAGTTTTGTACTTTTTGCGTGAAAAGCAAACATATACAAAAAGTTTAACAACTACGCTTTTCGGGTCAATATTCTATACACAATACGTATCAATTATAGATTTTTGACTATTTTATATTATATATAGGTATAGATATAAATTATTTAAAAAAAAAGTGTTAAGGCAAATATCTCAAGCTATAGCTGACCCTATTTTAAAATGGATTGAAATTTAATATTACTTATATGTATATATGTACCGGCTATGATAGAAAGTTGTAACACTTTCACATCGCCCGTTCACAATACGGTGCAACAAAGCCGAAGCTTTGTCACGCTGACAAGGATTATCGAATTAAAATCTTTCTAAAATAGAACCATTGTGTATAAATAGCTATATATATATATACTTAATGGTGAACAGTAGAGTTTTGTCACAAAACCGAAACAAAGAACTGACGGTGTATACTTAACTAAACAATCTCCTCGCGCTAGCAATATCGTAGAGCTCAAGATAAGATTAGATAACCGGTCTCAGAGAAATGTTCCATAGACTAAGCTAAATATTAATTTCTTGTTTCTATTTAGTTACAGAATCTTCTAATATACTTTTATATACTTTAGCTGGTTTAGGAGAATACAAATTATAAAAGTTATATAGTAGAGTTCAATATGCCTGTAACTAGCTTACACACGCTCATTAACCGACTTCCAAAAAGGAGGAGGTTCTCAATTCGTTCGAATCTTTGTTTTTTTTTTATATATGTTCACCGATTACTCGAAGATGCCTGAATCGATTTGAATTTTTTTTTGTTTCGAAGGGTATAGTTCCCAGGTCACACTTAAATTTTATCGAATTGGTCGAGCGGTTTCTTAAAAAAATCAACAAATAAATTATTTTTTTTAATTTTAGAGGTAGGATCATATAATATGTACCTCTCTTTACTGTGATAGAAATTTTCTATGAGGATTTTCTTTACAACATGATTTACGATTACGATTAATATTTACAACTTTATCCATTGTCTCAATACGAAACATTTGCAAGGTTATATATTATATTACATTATGGTTTAAAAGAAATTACTTTAAAAACAATTTTGTGCATAATTTTGTTTATGATGATGTTTTATAAAAAAAATTTGCATTTTATTATATCTAATACAATATTTATGTAAATATATTAAAAGCTTAAAATATTCGCACTGCGCTGTCTACTGCGCTAAATATAATTTAATTTGCAAATATTTTTAATAATTTTAGTGGTGAGACATCGCATATTGTTTATGCTATAAATTAAATGTATAGCAGGCAGGTGTGAACGAAATGTGTTTCCATACAAGCGGGCACATCTGTTAACAACGTATGCCAACTAATGTGCAAGGTGGAAACCAAATTGTGACCTTATAATGCAATGGAATTTTCAACACGTATCAGTTTGTACTTATATTTTTTACATATATGTATTTAATTATTAAATGTCACGAGCTTATAGCTGGTAAATAGAGAGTGTAATTGAAGAAAAAGTGTATTGTATTAGCATTTTCTTGTTATTTTTACCATAACCGGTAAATAGTGTAGAATAATTTAATGTAATTAACAAATGTTAGTAAATACTTGGAGGTATAAGTTTTGATTGCCCATTTTGCTGCAAATAGATACAACACCTATCCAGTATCATCTCTAGCACCATCAATCCTGCTTATACATGACTCGTGAATGTTGCCAATTACAGCATAGGCCATAAGGGCTTATTTATAGAAATAGATTAAATTACGTATGGTAATAAAATCGAAGCAGTTTAATACGAATGAAACTAAAAGCAAACGCAAAGCTGAGCGCGTAGAATACTAATCCATCTATTAAAACAAATGATTTATTTTGCATACAATACTTGAGCCTACATTGACGAGGCGTGCAAAAATGCGGATCGTCACGCTACTGCCGCCGGATAGATGACCGATATATTGCAGTTTATAATCTTTCCGACCTTATTTGCATAGTTTAATGCGTCAATAAAACATAAACCAAACCATTTCGTCTAAACTCTAAACAAAACTTAGGGCGGATTCCAACAAGTTAAAATAAGTTCTTTCCCGAGTAATTTCTGGCTTAAAAAATTAGTGTAAGTAAAGGAAAATGGAATAATGTGAACTTAAATCAAATTACCGTAAGACTGATTATTGTTAAATTAGCTCTTAGGTTATGAGTGTGTACTGCGTATTCATAGATGGCACTATTTACACTTATGATACCTGTCTACCTGCTTTAAAAACAGTTAAAATCAATGAAATTTATTTAATTAGATGCAAAGTATTTTTTTATATTCAATCTAGTTTTTTACATATGTTTATGAAAAAAAAAAACAGTTTACGGGTCAGCGCTATCTATCCTACATTTAAGCAAACAAAAATATAATTAAGGGCCTTAATTATATTGGCTGGGATATCTGTACTAGTATTAAGTATAGTATGCCACCTGTGGTGTGGCAGAACATGATTGTAGTGACCCAGAGTAAATTATAACTCACATAATAATTAAGTCAATAAAATAATTGTCCATTTTATTCATATTTGGAACATTTTAATTACAGATGAACTAAGCTATAATTAGTACCTACTGTGTATTACCAAATGCCACATAAATATAACTTCTTTAAAACGCTATAATATTCAATGTTTTTCCTTTACTGATGAGTACAATATGTTTTTATTTGAATGTAAGGATAACTATTAAATTTATTTAACACCTTGTATATACCTACGAGTATAATGTACTTAGTAAATCGTATGCACATATCAACTATCAAGTCACCTCCAAGATTGCATCGCGTCATAGTGTGCCATTTCGCAATGCGAATATTGGCTGTACATTGTTATAATTGACTAAATATATGTATTGTCTCATGGCCACCATATTATCTACACTATACAATTACTATTATAAAGAGGTAAGATTTGTATTTTTGTATGTTTGTAACGTATTCGTTAAGAGAGTAGTTGTCGTTTATTAACTCAAAAACTACTGGACAGATTTAGATGTGTGGTACGAAGATAGTTCAAAGATCAAGAAGAAGAGAAATTCTCAAGATCCTGGGAAAGGACAAAGGATATTTTTTTTATTCCGGAAATCATCACTTAAGGGGTGAAAATGGGGAAAAAGTTTGTATGGGGGATCAACCTAGGGGCGAACCCGAGCGAAGCGAGGGTGAGTCGCTAGTATGGTATAAATTCATGTATAAATACTTAATGTTATATAACGTACGCTGACAAGCATGTTTGTAGAGACAAAATAAGAACATATCATTTTAAATCAAAGTATCTTTTAAGAAAGTATTTGAATATGTCGTCATGATATTTACTATAGGTATGTCTCTTAGCGAAGGCTTAAAAGATATAGTTAGAACTGCATGAAGGTGTGATATTGAGCATGTGGTTGGCCATAACAACGGCATCGGCAATATTTCGTAAGCACTCTTGTTTCTAACGAAATTATATTTTCTACTTCTACAGCACTAGGTCGTAGTATTTGTTTTTCTCGTTAATTTGTTAATTATTGTTAAATGAAATATTTATATATAATGTAAGTATAATATTTGGTGAAACGAACCTCTTTCCTCGTTCAGCCTCCCAGTTACTCTGTTAATAGAGACCTGTAAAACAAAAAACATATTATGTTTATTTGATTATTTAACATGAAACTGTCCAAACCAGAGCAACATATATCCTAAATTCTATAGGTAAAGCTTTATTTATATGAAATCGTAAATTAATATGTACATATTCTATATTTTATTTAAAACTTCAACGTTCGCGCTGTTCGAAGTGCAGCATATTGTAATAACGGTGTTTATGTAAAGCCGTCTGGTGAGTCACATATTATATTCACATAATAAGTTTTTGGTTATATTTTGTTAGAACTGCATATACTATAACTATACACTGATCTCGTTTAAATTAAACTGCAATAAAATAATTAACAGTATCTATAAATAGTGAAAAAACTATTAAGTGACGTGGTCGAGCAGACGCTGACTCAGTGGTCAAATTTTCTATATATCAGTTTAGTGGTTCAGATGGTTGCAATTTTTATAGATGTCCCTTATTATTTTTCTTTACCAGACTGCAAGGAAAGGGTTATGTTTTTCGCGCCTATCTTTGTATGTTTGTTTGTAATATTCTTTATTCCCTCATATCTTCCAAACCACTCGATGGATTTCTTTAATTAAGGTATCGTTAGATTCGTCTCATTAGTCCAAGCGTTCTTAGATAGGTGACATAAAAAATTAAATATAGGGGCTGCTAGATTCCATAATGTGAAAAAGAAAAAAAAATGAAAATTAAAGAACTATGTCATGTGGGGTATCATTAAATAGGTATTTAAAAATCATTTTTAGGTTTCTTTCATCATTTTCCATTTTAAATAACAGTTTAGGACATATGACGATTTAATGTTGGTTAACAACCATTCTCGCTAATTTTCCTACTTAAAAATACTTAAAAAGCTGTAAATAAATAAATATATTATAAAAAAAATAACTCGACTGCATATAAGCTAACTAAAAGGATGAAAACAAGTTCACGATGTAAATAGTATTATGCAGTCGGAGACATACATACGTTTCATCCTTGCCGCAAGATGTGCATACTCGTATGTACGTTAGTTTTTATGCAGTCGGTTTTTTTTTATAATAGCGTATGGATGTACTTTACAGTGTATGTGAACATAAACTTTAGTTATCGATGTGCATAGGCGTGGTTGCCCAACAACTGGAACTGCTATGACTGGTTCCAGTCCTGTAGTCACGAGTTGTGTATAATTGTAATTGTGAACTAATTGCATCACAATGTTAGATTTATGAATCTTTCGAATTATAGATTTGAATTATAATGCTTATTTTAATGTATTTAATCACCAAAATGTACCGAATATGAATTTCTTAAGATATATCAAAATTTTTAGCGTATGAAAAGTATCTATTTGTAATATTTGAGTACTTATTTGAATACGACTGGCTGGCCTCTAATTTAGTACGGCGGTCCCAAATTACATAATTTTTAAGTCGACCATATCTTATCGAATATTACAGTTATATGACATCAACGTACAAAATTATAGTTGGTAGGATTGCCTTGAATGTAAAAGAAGGTCGTTAAAATTATCCGCCTTTTGAATACTAATACGATAGATGCTAAAGTTGCTAATGGCAATCGGTGTCGTATTACGCCAAAAGGTATAGCCAAACTGGCAACATTTGATTAATGCTATTTAGATTTTAGACTACACAAATGTCTTCTAACACAAAGATAAAAAATACATTAAAATCAAAGTCCTCTATATCGTATCAAAAGGGTAGGATTTTTTTACAAATTCACTACCATCTACACTCAAGTTCTCGAGTACTATCTATTAGATACTGTCTGTAACAGCTATATTATAATCAAAACAAATCAAAAACCTTAGTCTCGTCTTTGACCATGTCTGTAAATAACCCGTAATGTAAACCCGTAAATGCCATGCGTGACGTTTATTCTAATTTCACACGATTCTTAATGAAATATGAAATAAAACTGCGACAAAATCGGAAAAAATACTCTCATTTAAAATATCAAATATTCGCGTAAATCTAAGAAATTATAATGTGAGCTCGCAAAATATGCCTCTCAAATATTCGTGTTTGTTATTACTAGAGTTTAGAATTGTTACAATCAAACGTATTATTAGATATATGAAGTTAGCATAAAATATAAAGATAGACTGAGTTAAGTAAAATGAACTAACTAGTCCATAAAGAAACCGCGACGGCCTTGCGCTCTATAGACATCTCCGCGTATTTTTACCGTCTCGCTAAGCGCATCTTTTGTATCCTAACAATGGACCACAGTACAAAATTGCGGTTCTAAGACGTGGAAGTAGAAATGAATGACGTATTTAAATGCATTATTATCTCAAAACTAGAGTTTTAAACACTTAAGATATTGTGTCATTCAAAGGCAACAAAGAAGAAAATTGGGATTTTTCATAGTAAAATATAAAACTGAGTGTTTAATAGTTGGCTTTTTAAAATAAATGGTAACTTATATCAATCATTGAAAATCTTGTGTACCAACTGATAAGCAAAGTCTCAATCAAACTGAGTTGCGTAAACAAATCAGGGGTGAACGTTTGAATAAGACAATAGACGAAGTACATTCTAGAAACCCATCAGATAAGTATGAATCTTATATCGAGATAAATGATACTTTGTCATAATATGTCAAGTAAACATTATGATTAGATTATGGGAAAATTTGAATTTATTTACATACCTACCTAGAGATATTATAAAATGTGTATCGATCAACGTACATACATACATATCTGTATATGTAACAAGCCAGCAAAAATAAATCGACTTTATGAATACATCAAAGAAATATTTTTGAGCATTTACAAATTGTATTGAAATAAATAATAAACGTGTCGGATTCGCGTTGAGGAGAATTTCGAGAAAATTAAAATAATTTGAACACTAATTATAGGGTTTTTATAGGCTATAATTATCTGGACAGTGTGTGATGGAACTATGGTTGTATTTACATCTTTATTGTTTAATATCTTTTAAGCTATAAATATTATCTATACATATAATAAAATTCTAAGTCGAATCTGTACATCAAATATTTTTTTGGAAAATCTAATTGAAATAGACATTATTATCGATACAGAGGCCGAATATATAGTTTTTAGAATTTTTGTCTGTCTGTCTATCTGTCTGTCTGTTACCGCATAACAGAAAAACCACGAGGGATTTTCATGAAATTTGGTATGATGATAGCTGGTTATCCCGGTCAATATATAAGATACTTTTTACCGCGGGAAAATGCCTCATTTCTGAGAAAAAATACAAAAACTGCAATGTAAGAGTATACTAATATATAAAACCTAAGAATTTGCTTTTTGGTCATCTGAACGCGGGCGGAGCCGCTGGCAATGCTAGTTATTATAAAAATTCTATACATACTGATGTCCTACATAATGAGTCCCTTCATTACACACATGCATTATGATTTTCGTGTTCTAGTTTGTACCTTAAAATTTAACACTACTAGTATTATGTGATCTGTGACTCTACAATTCCTTTTTTTAATTTACGACTTCAATGTAATTAACCACCAGATTATAGAGAAAAGGTATTACTTCTAGAAGTAAAGAGTGATCCTAAAAAGATCAGTTCTTCGTAGTATGTAAAAATTCTCAAAAATAATAAATTATATAAAGATGTGTAGTAGCATGAATCAGAAACATATGTACTTCGAACAATGATGTCATATAGATTTTAGCAACAATGAATTCAAAAGTACAAGCACATGTAGTAGGTATTTTAGCTTGAAAAGACATGTCTAATTTTATTACAAATACTATATTAAATAAGCTTTTAAAATGGATTTATTAAGACATTATTTATATAATACTACTAGCATTGCCCGCGGCTCCGCCCGCGTTCAGATGACCAAAAACCAAATTCTTAGGCTTTACATATTAGTTATACTCTTACAATGAAGGTTTTGTATTTTTTCTCAGAAATGAGATATTTTCCCGCGGTAAAAAGTATCCTATATGTTGACCCGGATAACCAGCTATTACCATACCAAATTTCATCAAAATCCCTTCAGTGGATTTTCAGTGATGCGGTAACAGACAGACAAAAATTCTAAAAACTATAGATTCGGCCTATGTATCCATAATAATGTTTATTTCAATAAGATTTTCCAAAAAATATTTAATGTACAGATTCGACTTAGTTACAATTTTATTATATGTATAGATTGGAAAAGAGACAATATTAATATGATTGTTGCGTTGAGAGATAAGTGTAGAACGTCTTTACATCGAAATAGCACGCCTGAGCCATGCTTAATATGTACATGTTATGACAGTTGTCAACGTACGATACTCAATGCCAAGAATAGTTAATGGTAAATTGCCGTAAGGAGGAAAGAGAGGTGACACATAAAAAAGGGGAAAAAATATAAAAAAATAATGATATTTCAAACGTAAATTGAGAGTGACGCACATAAGAGACATAGGATATTATCTTCTATGGTAGGTACGGTTTGCTAAGAAATCTACTTCTTAGTAGTTATATAGTAAGTTTGTGTAAAAATTATACACAATACCATGGATTTTTTTGTTTTCAACGCTTGTTTACAATACCTTTGTCTACCGTATTATAGAATGTGTGTGTATATACTATAGGTATACTTAAAAGTTATTATAATAAGTTATAACCTTATACATATATACTTAAAGGTTGTTTACATATTCTTTACGATAAACAAGTAAGCTATTTATAATTTTATCGAGCAAATGATGTCCAATAGAAAGAATTAAAATTGAAACCCGCAACATAAATATTTCTCCGTGCTTTTTTATCATTGTTTCATCAACAGTCTGAATTTAAATTTGACTTCATTTGATTTATAGCTATATATTTTTTATGTATACACATTATTAAATGATGCAAGCAAACCCGTGATTCATCGCCAGTACGCTTCAAAATGGCTTATCTATTATTATTTTTGTGGTTTTCATAATGGGAATTTAATAACTTAATATTTGTTAATAAACGTGTTAGTAGACAGATGATGCTTATTGTATGATTTATAATTTATATATAATGGGATTTGATTTACTTTAAGAAAGGTGGTTATCAATTCAAGTAGGTATATGTAAACAAAGGCAATAGTAGCCCAGTGGTAAGAAACGCGCTTGTTTGAGAAATCAAGTGAAGCGAGTTGAAATCCCAGGTGTCGCTCTGATATTTTCATGTGCGAATAGTTTTCAAGATGATTACCATTTGTTTTATGATAAAAGAAAACATGGTGAGAAAACCTGCATGTCTAAGAGAACCTAACATCTTCCATGTGAACCCGCACTTGGCCAGGGTGGCGGTATAATCTGATTCCCCTCGTGTTGAACGGGCCTTCCGCCCGTGTCCGGCAGTGACGTTAAAAAGGGCTGAGTACAATATGCATTTGTTTACCTATGTCTTTATTTTATGCGATTTGAGGTAGATTTAAACGAATATTAGTGTGTTTTTTAATAAATATGTTATAAGTTATACATATAATATGCCTAATATGGACAATAGACATTAGACCTTTCCCATATAACTTATAACTGAAAATTTCCGGCATGGATGAAATTATTTTTAAATTTGGCTTTATTGATGTGACTACCGGTTTGATCGGTTTGTTGGCAATTGTTTGAGGTTGCGGAAGTGAACTGTCACTGTTAGTTGTCTAGACCACTAGACGTTTAGACCTATGTGTAGCATTTCAATTTGAACTTAAACTCTACATACGTAGAGTTTTGGGTTAAAGTAAACACCATGTATACAATTTTGGCTTTTTACTTATGCTATTACTCCCGCTTTGCTATGTGAGTCATCTATACTTTAAACGGAGCAAAATGTAAGATAATAAAATTCACGGTGTTCGCTTTCTAGCACACCTGTTTATGGCTGTTAATAGTTTTTTTTTCCCAGTGGTAATGCTATATGTAGTTTTTCGGCTTTATCAAATTACAGACAGACCACCTGGCAGTGCAAGTATAATTAATTATGTATATTTTAAATTTAATTGCCTTGTTTTGTGGTTTTTTTGATAAATTATGTGACGACTAAATACCTATACCTTTTTATATATGATATATTTTAGTCAGTTCATTTTATTATACTAAATTTTATTTAAAGATTTTATTTTCCAATCAATAAGGTGAAATAAAATGATACGTATTGTACTTAAAAGAATATATGTATATCGTTCTTTTAAACTAAGTACGGAGAGAAAAAATCCAAAGTTATAAATTATAACCAATTATTAAATCATATATAGGGAAAACAGTATGTTTGTAGGAAACCCAAATATTTGACGTCAATGAAACTTGATTTACATAATGATTAATTATCCAACTTCCCCACAAGCGACTTCTTAGTTATGACATACAGCATATCATAATATATTGATTACATATTGAAATATACTTTTACGTATAATGTCTGCAAGATGTTAAAGAGGAAATCTATACTCCTATTATAAAGAGGAAAGATTTGTATGTTTATATCGAATAAACTTAAAAACTACTGGACCGATTCAGGTGAAATTTGGTAAGAAGATAGTTTGAGACATTAGGATATTTTTATTCCGGAAATCATCCCTTAAGGGATTGAAAATGGGGATGAAATTTGTATATGAAGGTACAAAAAAGATAAATTAAAAAAAAAAAACGATTAAAATTTGTTAATAACTACCTACTTACATAATTCTTTAAAATTTATAGATAACTATCACAATTGTTTATCTTGTTGTGACCCACTTATCGCATCCTTGTTCTTAATTTCCATGAAAAACGAATGATGGCTTGTGAAAATATCGATAAAAACTACATGAGTTCGTCAGGTGTTTGCGTTGCACTAGACAAACCAGTTCCGTCACAGCCTCCCACCCACACATGCAGTTGTAATGGACACTCATTATTTGCGAGAATGAAGACGTGTTTGACTGTCTGTACATCTCGCTCACATCATCCGTCTTGACATCGGAGTTAATATATTATATTTCATGCAGATTAAGTGCTCTTAAATGATTTAAGCACTAGAAACTTCCCTTATAATGAACTAAAGTCTTAAAAATTAAAAACAATTGAATTTGAATACGAGGCATGCTGTGTTTTATTTTAAATATGTATATTAATAATATTTGTAAGCGATGTTTTTTAAATCATATTACAAAAAGATCGCCATATACCCACTATTTCTGGTCGTCTAATCGGGAGTTCCGAAATATAACTAGTTTGTTTACCAGTTATAATTTCTATTCGCCGTTATAAGTTCACTAAAACGATAATTTAAGTAAGTAAAGTTATTTCACTATAAATTGATCAATCTTTTTCGATAAAATTTAATCTTTAGCAGGTACAAGAGCATACTGCCTATATATGGAAAGCATAACGCAACTCTGTCACGTAGTTTTAAAGTAATCGTTGTCATAAGGAAAAATGTGTAACGAATTTATAACTTTTTTTAATGTCGTCTGAAAATTGTATATTACCTAAGACTCTAAAAACAATCACACTCGTATATTATTTATGACAGAGGAGTACGAACTCTAGCAAAAGTCAGGCGTTCGACTTGGCTTGGTTTAAATTATTTATTTACTAGCAGAACCCGCGGCTTTGCTCGCGCTAAAACTACAAAAAAAATCTCTAAAAAGTAGTTTAGTGTAGTTTCGTATAAACTTTCATCCCCTATTATACCCCATATAGCATGAATTTCGAAAAATGCTAAAACACGTATATAATTAATTTTATTGAAGAGCATTAATACCAAATTTCAAGTAATTCTGATCATAAATATTTTTTTGAATTGTATTATAACGTTTTTCCCGTGGGAATTAGATAATCTTCCGCGGTAAAAAGTAGCTTCACTCTCCAGCTATCCAACTATCCCCACACAAAAATCACGCCAATCCGTCACTCCGTTTCGACGTGAAAGAAAGACAAACAAACAAACACACTTTCACATTTATAATATTAAAGTATGGAAGTATCGATTTTTATAACCTTTTTGACAAATAGTTTATTCTACTAAGCAATGTTTAAAAAGTAAAGTGACCTTGGCTAGCTCTATCTAAAGTTAGCATATCTTTAAAACGATACGTGTTAGTAAATAAAATATAACTAGTTTATCCAATATCGTAGAGTTTTGGCACCAAAAGCGAAAATAAGCTACGAAAATATTTACAAAATGGATATTTTTAAAACAAAATACCTACTAATATTTCAAAATATGAGCTGAAATTAACATTTTGGGTTTAGATTTTCCAATGCGTGTTTAGTGTTTACATGTGTATTAAGGTCATAACTCGTAACCTGATTGAATTACTTTATTTATGAGCACAAAAATTGTAACCACAGAGGCGTTATTAACAAAGTTGTGACACAAATAACAAGGGTATTTCCAATATACAAGTAATTTCGTATGGAAGCGCCGCATTCCTGATAAAGAACAAGGTAAAAAACCGAGTCATTAACATTTCCACCTTAGAAGCCTACAGCTTACCTACGTCATACAATCTTTTCCTGCTTTATCATTAATATCTCTGTAAAGTTCTACGAAATTGCTTACAAAAGGTAGTAAAGTTTCCTTGCTCAATGATAGATATAGGTATATATGAATGTATGTATATCCGCCAATTTTGCTATTTATGTTAAACCACAATGTTTCATTATGGCTATAAATGGCGTGACACCATAAATCGCGGGGCATGAAGCACATTGTACACCATGCCATAGGTCTTTTTCAAAGGCGAACGGGACATTGACCTAATTCAAATAGGTTAACTGTATGGCAAATGTTAAATTAAACTTTACGACGCAGGTCAATAAAGATTGACGTAGAATCTATTCAGCCTAAGGCATAGATAGCTTATATACATTTATGTTACATAGATGATGTAACGCAGCTTAAGATAGGTTGATGCAATATGCAATGTATATTTTAAATTGCTAATTTTCACGAACAACGTCGCACACGATTAAAAATAATAAACACACGCTAAGTACCTGAATAAAAAGAAATGGAATTAATAATATCTCCTTAGTCCTTAATATAGTTTGTTCATGTTGAAAATTTGGACTCAAAAAATTAACATTTTTGAAGAAATCAAGGCTTATCATAGCCGGCTGTAGGCCTATCTGCTTACGCCTGCCTGTTGTACGTAATATGTTAAGTTTGTAATTTTAAGTTGAGAGTTTAAGGAGGTAATGTATAGAGAATAGATACCACTATATAATCTTTTAAGTAAATCTATAAGCTGTAACTGTGAAAAAAAATCATACGAGTACGAATCATGTACTATGATCTCTAGCGATTGAACTTATATATAGCTTAGTGAAAGTGATTGAATAAAAAGGTAAGAAGGGTTACGCTTACAAGCTAAAGGGGTTCTAGATGACCTCTGGAATTAGTGTTTATTATAATTGATACATCATTACATGAAGAAAGTCAGGTGGAAAGCCAAGTATTTTTAAGATGGGACATATGACGGCTTTTTGACGTAAGAATTGGAAGCAAAAAAGCAGATTAGAAATATATTTATGATTTATCCAACTTTATACTACTTGTTTCAAAATCGGATTATTATATAATTTTAAGACAATAAGGTATTTTTAACATAAATTCTATGGAGCTAACTTTTTCATATGTACACGCTATGAATAATGTATAACCCATGGTAGATAGTGTGAAGGATGCCGATTAGGCAGCATGACGCGCGTACGCAGTGTTTAGACTGGGCGCCGTATGAGGTCGACTCGCGGTGGGTGGCGTCTCACGGTTACGCCAATAGCTTTATTTAGTTTCGTTTTTTTGGTAAATGTGGGATATTGATTCTTAAAAGATACGCAAAAACATCAAATAATACCGTTTTGTCATCTATAAGCTACTACTTCGTAATAAGGTCAAGTTTTAAAAACTTTAATGATAATTTTTTTTGTATCACGTTATCTATACATATAATAAAAAACTAACTCGAACCTGTACATTAAATATTTTTTGGAAAATCTAATTGAAATAGACATTATTATCGATACAGAGTCCGAATCTATAGTTTTTAGAATTTTTGTCTGTCTGTCTGTTACCGCATCACGAGAAAACCACTGGACAGATTTTGATGAAATTTGGTATAATGATAGCTGGTTATCCAGGTCAACATATAGGATACTTTTTACCGCGGGAAAATGTCTCATTTCCGAGAAGAAATACAAAAACCGCAATGTAGGAGTTTACTAATATGTAAAATACTAAGAATTTGGTTTTTGGTCATCTGAACGCGGGCGGAGCCGCGGGCAATGCTAGTATTCAATAATATTTGCAAGAATTAGTGAAAATATAAATGTTTTAAAAGAGTTTTTTAAACGCATTAAAAATTATACATAGCAATAAAAACACTGTCAAAATACTGAACTATAGAGATAATGCACAATATTTATTTGAATTGTTAGATATGTATGTTTAACCCATTTACCATCAAAGCAGCGTTTCGAAAAATAAGTTGGGTTTTCAAAAGTTTACTATCGTTTATTACCCCGGGACTTGATGCAATGGTAAATTAAAAGGAAGTAAGAAAGCTAAGTGTTATTTAAAACAGTGAAGGCCGATTCAATGTACCTAGTTTATACCTTCATTTCTGTAAAAAGAAATTTACTGCAAATAATATAAGGTACATTTTTGAAACGTCTTTAAAAGAAAGAATAATGTTGAGGAAATTGAAAGGAATCTTCCAAGGCAAAGTAAAAATTATTGTTTTTTCCCCTATTGCGAGAGAATTGCAAAAATGTAGCCTTACTTGTGTTCGCCTTTGACATCGCCCGTGTTTACTATTTATTAAAATCTACTAAACATGACTTATATAGGAACAAGTACCCATAAAATACAAAAAAAAACAAATACAAATAGAGATTACGTAGATAATTCAGGCTTCAAATCAACTCCACTGATTAGTGTATTAGAGATATTTAATTTCCCTATCAATATATTTCTTCGCCGTACTTTGTAATTATGTTAAAATGATTCGCAGATAAAAATCTCAAACTTGTGAGCAAACGCGTTACCAATAAAGTACGTACCTTAGCAAAAAGTTTACCTAATGCAAAAAAATTGATTTTTTTTGTCATCAGTGTTTTCTACCAAATTTACAAGAAAACCAGTTGAATCAAGAGTGAAATGATGAAGTAAATGATGTATTAAAGCAGAATGGATAGAAAATTTAAGAGAAATTAATTGCGATATGATACAAAATATCTACTTATAAAGTGTCTAACTGAAAAGTATAGATAATTATGATAGCATATCTTATTAAGTTCATACTTTAGTATGTAGATACATCTTACAAATATTCAATTGAGTGGTAATATTTTAAAGCAAGGACACGAATTAATTTATTTTGGACATCACTCTGATGGCGCTAAGTGTAAATCAAACGAACACACGTCAAATCAGCCTCGGAGTGCAAATCGTAAATCTTTGAGAGAACATGTATTGAATAGGGAACAATGTTAATTTATTCAGTACAACATATTAGCAACGCAAGGCAAAGGTCATATAAATTCATGCGTCAAATTTACAAATATTATTTTAAATTAAATAAACACTTTGAACGCAATCATATCAACTAAAGCTAACAAATATATGTCAAAATGAACTAGAATTAATAAAATATACTTACTCTAAGTCAGAATATGTAATTTACATTAATATTATAGTAAGATTTAAAATATAGGTACCTTTATTTCAAAGCTATTTTGAAGTCTAGACTGGCAAGGCCATAACTTATGTTGCATAATAAATTAAATTTATGTAAATTGTTCAAAAAATATTACACTAACATTTAACTTTTCTGTCTCTACTCTCTACTATAATTATAGGTGATGAATCAATCTACAAAACGACTTTGTATATGTATTTACTAGCCTA